CCCCCTCTAAACCCTCCTGGCCCCCCTGGGCCTCCTGGACCGCTCGGACCGACAACAGTGGGTGGTTGAAGTTGAGCGAGTTGCTCCGCCGTGGGAGGCTTAGGACGACCACCTAAACCACCACCGAGACGCCGAGGCTTCCATCCTTTTACAGTCCGACCTCTTTCCACGTCGACGAGGATTTTCTTATGGTGGATAGGTATACCTTCTGCGTCTTTGTAGGCGGCTGAGTGTGAGCTTATATTCGTGACGACGTAGTCTTGCAATGATACGGTCATCCTCTGCACATTTCCAATACGAGGCAAGATTGAACGAAAGGGCAGTGGGGCAGCAGTCATGGGGAAGTAAAACTAACCCTTCATATCCCTTTCTCTTTCGTACACTATGAAAGCATAAGAATTGCTTTTGCCCTTCCGATTTCGTACGATACGAATGTGTTCGATAGCTCCGTACATTTCGAATTCTCTTCTAAGATCTTGTTCCGTTGCTTTACTTGACTGTCCGTCAGTGCTTATCCACCAACACGTCTGTCCGGTCGACGCCACCCTCCAGATCTTGAACGACCGAGAAGCGAATATAGAGGGAGAAGGGAACGTACCAATCGTGAAATGAACAAAGTTTTGTACGGATCTCCCACAGCTTTCGTATCATCCTGGGGTCGATCTGACATATCAGCTGATCCTTCTTCAGCTCTAAACCTTAAATCAACAAACAATTTGCCTCTGAATCTTTCTTATACTGTTCTTTCCGCTTGGCCCTCAATTCTCTTCTCATCTTTATAGCTTCCTGTCCCACGACACCCATTTCACTGATTTTATCTTTCTTCCTCTTGATCTCTTTCCTCACTTTTCCCTTTCCCTTCCCGTCAACTTTTGACGAATCCTCTTTGATCTGTTCATCCTCCCCACCGTTCATCTCCACATCCTCTGCAGCACCCTCTTCGACCGGTTGCATGCCCTTCTTGACCTCCTCATCCTCTGCTTGTTCCCGTATCCGCTGGACGAGCGATCCGACGCCTGCCAGACGGTCGGGGCCGCGTTTGGATTCATCCCTGGACAAAGGCTTCAAAAATGGGGGCGGGGGTCGTGGGGCGAAGAGTTTTAACAAGTTTGGAGGGAGGAGAGATGTCATTATGGATGATGTTCAACATGCCAGATGTTCAGACTCGCTTTGGCGGTTGGGTGAAGTGGAAAACGCCGCGGGATTTTGGCGAGGTCGATTCAGTGGCATTTCAAGAACCCAGCGATTCAGGTCGAGAAGATGCAACTTTCATATGGGAATCTGAACAAGTTAGTAACTTACTGTTTACCTCTCCCTATGTTTACTCTCGTATCTCAGGATGAATGTCCGCTACGCACAACTCATCACAACTGGGTCTCCTCCACTTCACGCAATACCTGACCAATCTCAATCTAATCCGTCATATCTTATCCATCTCGCTCCCTTTCCCTTCCGCTCCATTCCTCTCCAGGAATCTCCTTTCCCTTCCATCGATCCTTATCATTCCTTCTTGCAGTCAAACTTTTCAAAGCACTTCATGCACTGCATTCAGTTTCCACTAGCAGAGACGTAGAATCCCCACGCTATCGACTCAGACAGTGAAGTCACTCGGTCGAATCAATGCCTGGAGAACAAGGGGTCAGGTCGGATGTTCAGAGGTACGATGGCCGATGGCCTGGTGGGGGGAAAGATCCGCGGAGGAGAGGATAATTCATTCTCGTCTCCAATATCGAGCGCTATGGATATGGAGTTTACCGAGTCATTGGAAACCGTGTGATCGTGCGAAGAGGTCAACGAACACCACCTACTTACCACAATATCATCGATTCGAGGACTGAGGTCCCGGGTCCGGTACCTGTCCGCAAAATCAGGAGCGCGCCGAGCCTGCGTGCCGACCAAAGGAGTTGAGCATTTGTTGTATGTTGCTTCGGCACTTGGTCTACACGAGTTCTAGCACTAGAGTATGAGCATGGATAGAGCACTCTACTGCCTCCAACACTTAGTACTCTCCATTGATCCATCTTTTCCATTGAGATGATCATTCCTCACGTACCAAAGTCACGTCCATGAAAGGAGATCGTCTTAGTCTTAGGTGTGATGCCCGCGAGACCGATGCCGAGACGTTTCTTCGGCCTTTGTGAGAGGTTTGCGCATCACGTATACGTAGCTTAGGCCTTCCCTGGCATCAAGGGGAAGGGGAGGATTGATTCAACGTAAAAACTGCCTACTTGGTCAAACTCACATCTAACTCAACAAGTCCAGAATAATGATTCTCAGCCGATTCAGAAACGACAACAGCCAAGACTCACACACTGATTGTCTTGAAGAGCTCAGCAGTGCTTTGAGGACCATGGTTAGTTTCTTACATCTCCAAATGGGAGCAATGCCGAACAATCCCAACTTGCAATTGGAAACATATTTATGGGGTCGTATCGCCAGATTTGTCAACAGCCATCTTGACAGAGTGGAATCGGGCGACGCTATCGACGTTACCAACGTGGAGTATGCTAGAGCTTTTAAAGTGGTGCGTACCTTCACACTACGTCATCACGAGAGAGCATTACCTCGTATCTCCGAGGTCGCAACTCGTTGGCTCACTCTTTCAATCAAGAGATGTGTCGCTATACGTGCGCTACGTGAGGGCCAAGCTAGACTCACTACACTGAGTCCGATAGACCACTTGGAAGAGGAGGACTTTACTCAATTGCGTATCTTCGAGGAGGGCGTTTTTGGCGAAGATTCGGGCGAGCCCCGGGAGAACGAGCCTGGCGAAGGCGAAGGAGATGAGGGCGAGCCCGGCGAGAATGAGGATGGCGAAGGTGAGGGAGAGGAGGGCGGCGGGAATGGGGAAGAAGAGGACCAAAGCGGCCCCACCTGGAACAGCGAGGACAAGGATGTCATCGCACTTCATCAAGGTCTCACAATCTGCACCTGTCCAAAGGGTGGGAACCCTGGAGAGAGGAGTGAGGAGGATGGCGTCGCGTCATCATCCAACAGGCTGACAGCTTGCAATCGTTTCCGATTGGAGAAGTCCAAGACGGTGAGTGATCTCGTTGAATGGACGGAGAGAGTCTCGGCAGTTCCTGATGAAGAACTTGTCGTGGACAGTAACTCTTCTGATGGTACCTCGTCCGACCACAGAACATTTTCAAGAACGAATATCCTTGCAGCAATAATCAGACTTTCGTCCTAACAAGCCGCCAGTAGGAAAGTCATGAGCGAAGCGGGGTTGCTTATCGTGAGAGAGAATGACTCGCGTACGAGCATGGGGTGCAGGAATGATAGAGAGACGAGGAGTAAGTACATTACCCATTCACGTACGTAGGCATAATTCATACTACATGCTACATGCTACATGCTACATGTCTACATGCTACATACTACACACTACTTACAGTATGAACACATGAGGTTTCACCCCGAGGTCACTCCTCTAACGTACCCGGCAACGTGGGGGGTACGCATCATGTCGGCCGGCAACATGGCATCCATCACCCGACCGGCAGGACCTCCAACTCTAAGCTTATCTTTTTCTCTCTCCTTCATATAAACATCTACTCTAATTCACCTGTCTCACGACGGTCTCTTGTTACCGCTTGATTTTCACCCATAATGTCATCCTTGACCTCACCCATAGATCCAATAATAATAGTAGGTTCCGGTCCTGCAGGTCTACTCTTAGCTCGTTATCTTCAACTCCACAATCTCCCTTGTAAACTCTACGAACGAAATCCCTCCCCTTCTCATCGACCTCAAGGGGGTACCTTGGACTTACACACGGGAACAGGTCTGAGGGCTTTAAAAGAGACTGGTTTGTTGGAAGATGCTCAAAAGCTTATGAGACCGGAAGGAGAAGCTATGAAGGTTATGAATCGAAGTGGGAATGTTTTGTGGGATGAGAATGGAGATGGAGCTTGGGTCACTCCTGGGAGTAGACCCGAGATAGATAGGTGAGTAATCTTTGACTATCTTTCAAGATGCTCCTCATACAAATGTTCATTACATCTGTTGCGCAGTATGCTCTTCTCCACCCTAGTCTTTGGTCTGTTCTATGTACAGTGTACATGGAGAGCGTCCTGGAATGTAGGAGTCAGAATTTGAGAAGTGGGACCCAGCAATGAGAATATCGAGTAGACGTTCAATTGACATACAGAACCGACCTCCGTAACCTTCTTTTATCCTCCCTCACTCCAGATACTGTCTCGTGGGGACATGAAATCACCTCTTGCATTGCCCTGACTCCTACCGAATATCAAATAACCTTTTTCCCTCCTCATCCTCCTGTCATAACTTCCATCTTGATCGGAGCAGATGGTGCTTTCTCTCGAATCCGTCCCCTTCTACATGACAAACGTCCAACATATACCGGTGTATCAATGTACGACCTCCTCATCTCTCCTCCCAACCTCACTCCCACCCTTTCGAAATTCGTAGGTCAAGGCGCTGCCTTGATACTGCACGAAGGCAAATGTGTTTTACCGCAAATGAACTCTGGTGGAAGGTGTAAGATTTACGCTGCACTTCGAGTGGGAGAGAAATGGCTAGATGAATATCCTTTACCGGCAGAAGGGAAGAAAGAAGCTGTGGCGAGGTTATTCCCTGAAGATGAAGGATGGACGGGGAAGGCTAGAGAATTGATCGAAGCTGCAGATGAAGATAGTGTGGTGAGCAGAAGGATTTATGGGTATCCTCCTGGATTAAAATGGAAGACGGATTTGACGGGTGTCACAGTTATTGGAGATGCGGCTCATGTCATGTCTCCTTTCGCGGGTGAGGGAGTGAACCAAGGTGAGTCCGGATCTGGTCTTGACGGAACCTTTCATCCCTTTGTACATTTCCAACACCTGTGAATATCACATTCAACCAAATGACGACACTTTGAGACGACCGGAATGATTGTGTTCTATCGATAGTGTTGCGTTCATGGAAGTGATGTTTCAGAGAAAGAGTTTGCTGACTATCAGCTCTTGCAGACGCTTTACTACTCGGTAAAACCCTCGTCAATACTTACTATAATTCCTTTCCCAAATCAACTTCTCCAGCCCCGTTCCCACTCTCCCTGTTTCCCGTGTCTCCACCTCCTCGATCTATCCCCCGTACGCCATCCCCCGCCACCCTGCATGCTGCTTTAAGAACCTTTGAAAGCCGCATGATGCGTCGAGTCGATCCAGAGCTTCGTGGATCAGCAGAAAACTTGGAGATGTTCATGGGTCCTCATGCGGCAGAGAGAGTACACAACTTCTTCCGATACATGCCGCTCGTCTTCTTGAAACAAGTCACGAAGATGGGTCCGTGGGGCTGGTGGCAGGCGGTGAGGGTATGGTGGGACGATGATTAAGTTCCTGTCGCTTCTTCATTCTCCTCTCCAACTTGCGCACTTTCATTCAATCGCTGCGGGAAGAGGTTGTATGAGGTATGAAGGCACTTGGTATCATCAGATTGTTACAATTAGACATTTTGGAAATCATATGATGCATGCTATCACCCGTCCATATATCATGAATAAGACGCATAAGAAAGGTACACGAAATGGTACGAGGGAAAAGAGAAGAAAAGACATTGCATAACCCTCAGTGACTGTCAGACAGGCCGACACTCGACATATCCGCCCGAAGACGGTGTCCGAGCTTGACTCTATTGTGCTGGCGAATCTCATCATAGGGTAGGTGTGGGGCATGGAGGGTACATAGTATATCTGATTATCTTTACGCACCATCGACCGATGCAGCGGATCGGATTGGGTCGGGGGAGGCTGTAAGGTATCTGTCAGTACGTACTGTGAGGGTCAGATGTTCCAAGTGTCCGTATCCCACTGGGAAGTCTTAACCTTGACGATATTTGAGAGCGAGTCGATGTCTGATATGAGAAAGACTAACGGTTGTCGGGTCCATGAATTTCGACACGTTGAAGAGGGGTCGTCATATACAGTTCAGCCCTTCAGGTAAGAAGATTTAGTGGTCAGACAGCATCACACCGAGGATAGCGAGCCATCTGCGGGTGAGTCCTCTACTCAGCACTTACGAGCAACTGCTTGCTCGAAAAACATGAAAAGTAGGAAGAGGAAGAAGAGATATGTCTGAGAGGGTGTAGGGAAAGTTTCGACGGAACCATCCGTGGTTCGATTACGTAAACATTTCCCTCCACTTGTGCTTTCCCAAAAAGTCAAATTTCCATCTCGATCAATCTCCTCCCTCTTGCTTGTATCCTCCTCACAACTATCACCTCTAGTTGAGGCCCTACAAGTAAGAATTGCAATAGAGGCCAAGTGAAGATGCCAACGGATCCACGATTCGCTCGCCTGCAGACGGATCCTAGGTTCCGTCGACCGAAGCAGAAGAATTTGAAAGTGGTGATTGATGAAAGGTTTCGTGAGGTGCTCGAATCGGATGAGTTTGGACAAGGAGGGAAAGGTGGTGAGTGTTATCATGTACCTTCTATCCACCAGTTGTCCCTCTACCTACTTCCAACCCTACGATATGGCCTGAATATGCTCTCACTTTTTCCTTGTTTTGACAGGTCTGTAACTTATGTGAAGTCGATAAACGAGGAAAGAAATTAGGCAAAGATCATCAACGTCAAAACCTTAAGAGATTCTATCGATTAGCTTCTCCGGAAACTCAGCCGAAAGTGGATTACGCACGTGGAGAAGCTGCCCTCCCTTCTTCCGGATCTGAAGACGAGGGGGACGAGGACGAGGACGAGGAAGAATCACAATCAGAGTCGGAAGAAGAAGAAATCGAAATTGGGGCGAAACGTAAGAGACGGTATGGATTGGGATTAGATGAAGCGTTAGGTTTATACAATGAAAGTGAGAGTGAGGAGAGTTATTTGGATGTGGATCTTTCAGAAGATGACATTCTACCTGTTTCGAAGAAAGAACGGAAAGGGGAAAGTAGCAGTGGTAGAAGGGAAGGAGATGAGGATGATAAAGAAGTAGTTGAGATGATAGAACCGACCGAAAGGATAGCGGCGGTGAATCTTGATTGGGACAATCTCAGAGCTACGGATTTATTCGCGATTTTCAATTCTTTTTTGAAGTCTGGGGATGCAGGTAGGACACTAGGAAGGTTGGTCAATGTCAAAATATATCCAAGTGAGTTTGGGAAAGAGAGGATGGCTAAGGAGGATGAACAAGGTCCAGCTGGGGGGATTTTTCTGAATAAGGAGAGACGACGAGCTCGAGGTTCGGTCAGTGAGGGAAGCGAGAATGACGAGGACGAAGAGATTGATGGACAAGAAGATGGAGAAAGTGAAGATGAGGATGAAATGGACCTAGGAAGCGACGAGGACGAGGAAGCGGAGGAAGAGAATGATCTTAGTGATAAGTCTAATCTGGGCCTCGAACAGGATATGAACGAAGGTGAAGTGAGTGATGTAGATGAGGGAGATAGTGAAGATGGGGTAGATGTCGAAGAAGGAAACGATGCTCTCGTCCAAGGGGACATAGACGATTTAGAGATCATGTCTGATGTCCCGTCCGACGATGGGGATATAGACATGGATCAACTCAGACAATATCAATTGGAAAGATTACGGTTGGTCACTCCAGTTCTCTCTCTCCCTTTTTGTTCAGTAGGTGTATAAATCCTGAAGATTTCATGACGAAGCGAATCTACAGATTGCAAATGATAATCAGTCTTCCGGTGGTCTAGCCGCAAAAAAAAAGATACATGACATTCAAGGAGAAACTGACGAACAGATATTATTACGCCATAGCGACTTTCTCCACTGTAGAAGCCGCCAAACATGTCATGGAGGAATGTAATGGTACGGAATTTGAACGGACTGCCAATGTCCTCGATCTGAGTTATGTGCCGAATGGTATGGAATTTGACGATGAACCGAAGTGCGTCTTTCACCTCTTTTGCTTTACGTCACTGATGGTAGGGACGAAGCTACAAAAGAACCGAAAGCTTATAAAGGGAATGATTTTGTTACTGATGTGAGTATTCTCATATCTTCGTATATCCCTATTACCTTTTCCCAGCTCCCTTGATATTTTCCCTACATGTTTACTCGCGGTCTGATATTCGGCGATGACAGCTGACGAATAGGCCCTGCGACATTCCAAAGTCAAACTCACATGGGATCAAGACGATCCTAATCGAAACAAGATCACCCGACGTGCACTTACACGCGAAGAGATAGAAGAACAAGATTTCAAAGATTACCTTGCCTCTTCTTCCGGTGAATCCGACTCTGATGATGATCAAGCAATCATTGCCGCTCCTCTTCCCACTTCCAGCACAAAAAGAACGCACTCATCCATACCTTTGTCCAAAGTCGAAGCTTCGTCGAGTAAAGCAGAAGGGAGTAAATCGAAGAAGAGGAAAATTAAAGAACGTACTGCCAAACTACGTTCACTCCTCTTAGCGCCCAACGAAGACGATGGGGATTTATGGGGTAAAGCTGGTCGATCTAATACCGTATCCATACCTATACCAGAAAAAGAAGGACAAGTGGAGATTACTTTCCGACCTGGTTTATCGAAAACTACGACGGATGAGGAAGATATGACCACTTTGGAGAAATACCAAATGCGAATTAAAGAGAAGAAAGCTAAGAAACAAGAAGCTGCAGAACTTCGTAGAGCCGAAAATGGAGATCCCAAAGCGGGAGAAGATGTTCAGGTGGACGAATTTTTCGGAGATGATTCTGATGAGGAACGACATAGCAAATCCATCAAGCTCAAGAATGGTAAGTCTGTCTTGGGAAGGGAGAAAGGTAAGAGAAATGGGGAATTGGAGGGAAAGAAACAAAGGGATGATTCAGTGGTAGAGATGGATATGGAGGTACCGATGGGTAGAGAAGATGCACATTTCTCAATGAAAGATGTTATGAAAGCTGAGAAAATGGAAGGAAAGAAAAGAAAGAGAAATAGGAATAAGAAAAAAGGTAGAGAAGATGAAAGAGAAGTAGAATTAGGTCCTGAAGGTTGGAAAATGGATGTTAAAGATGAAAGGTTTAAAGTTTTACATGAAGAACCTGAATTCGCTATTGATCCTAGTGATCCTCAGTGAGTGATAAGTCTAGTCTACATTTTCCCTCTCTGCCTTCACCGTCCTTTTTTTGTCCCTTTCCGGATTTCCCAGGATGTAATCTTCTTCCCCATCTTTTGACCATACATTCTTTCTTCTTTCGATTTTGTTTTTGTTTTATCTTTCTCGTTTTTCACACGTTTTCGTCATATCATCATTCATCATTCATCATTCATCATTCATCATTCATCATTCATCATTCATCATATCCTACATTCTCAACATCACATCACCCATGACTTCAATAGTGATGATAATGTATCATCATGCTGAATTCTCGCTAACATCCAGTTTCACTTCGACTAAAGCTATGAAAGCAATGTTAGAAGAACGTCGTCGAATTCGTCAATCTGTCGAAAATTCCACTTCCGTTTATCAATCAGGCAAAAAGGGAGAGAGTGAGGAAAAGGGGTTAAGGGAGTTGGTAAAGAGTGTGAAGATGAGAAGTAAATTGAAGAGATGAAAATGCGGGAAAGAAAACAAGTTACGTAGATATGTATATCGATATTCAAATTTGGTATGGACATTACATGATCTCGTCCTCTACGGATAACTTTTGAGATGCACATATTCGAAAAGCAATACCGGATCAGTAGAGTATTGATTCTAGGAAGTTCTTTAATCTTTCCGACATTCTCGGTGAATCTAACTTTCCTCTTGAGTATCTGTTACCGTTCGTAATGACAGTGTAGAGGTGAGGAAAGGGATGAATGACTCTAATGATGATGATGATGATGTTAATTTAACGTACTTGAACGGAACGTTGAAGTCGATATGAAAAGACGAAAGTGTGAAGACACAAATGATGGATAAAGAACCAGAAGGAAGAGGTGGACAATGAACAGATGTCAAAGATGTACCGCGTAACCGTATATACCGTAAGTGGTCAAATTTGATCAATCCATTTGAAAACGAAGATTATCTAAGAAACTGACATCAGTGAGTTATACTGTATGACATAAACTTGACTAGAATCAGTAAAAGTTATATGACGGATGAGCAAAACGAAACGAAACGAAACGAAATAACATGACATGACATAGTATTGTCCTTGATTAAAAAAAACTACAACAAGCAACATATAAAAAACAGGTTTGTCAAGTCTATATCTTGACAAACGAGCAGAAAGAAGAAATGATACAGAAGATAGTCCGTTTTGAATTTCCACAGTGAGTGAGAAAGAAGGTACAACAATAAAGTACACGGTTGACAAAGGTACTGTACAACATTGGGTGGAATACAATTTTCGAAGAAAGTGTAAAGTACAACAAGAAGAATAGAGGCATGTGGGAGTTCAGACATAGACTCGGGCAAAATACCAGTGGAGGGGGATGAGAAAGGAGGGGGAAACCGACATCTAGTCGAAGATTCGTTTGGATTATTAAATCATTGTCATTCATCGATCAACGATAGAAGGACAGGATGGTGTTCGAATGGAGATTATAGGAAATATTGGAACGTTTGATCGGAGCTGTTCATTCGGTCAGAGTTCCTTGATTGTCGGATTTTGTGTTCACTCGAATAGAAGGATTGGATGGGTTTTTTTCACTTCTTATTGGAGAGAATCAAGATTTATGGTGTTAGGGGTAGGACACTCCATGTTTCAAGTCAGGGATTGTCATTATCGATATCATTCTTGATTTGACTAGGAGTTTTTTGATGATTGGGTTTGTTGATAGAAAGAGGATTAAGGTTTTTTTATATTTCTTCCTTCTCGGGGTAGAGAGACCTTTATGTTTTCTAAATAAGAGACGATATATTCGTTTTTCGATGGTCAGGAGGGAAGAGGATCTTGAATAGGAACAGAATGTCCTTTTTCTTTTTCTTTTTTTTGGGGGGGGGATTTTCTACTTTTTTTGATGTTTTTTCTGTGGTTTTTCTATTTTTTTGTGTTTTTATAATGCGGTATAAGGAATTTCGATTGGGTAGTCCGAAGGGGAAGTGGAAACGACTAGGATTGATGGAGAGGGAAGAGGGGGATAGAAGAAAATGAAACTGAACGAATTGAGAATTGATTTGATTAGGGAGGAGAATATTGTATGAGGTATCAAGGATTATCGGTGTAAAACTCTAATCTGACAAAGGAGAATTCCGAATCCCAAAATCTATGTTGAACCAGGAACAGTAAGTGTCTTGTTTTTATTCCAAATAGTTTTCACGAGGACGAGATGACGTTGATAAATTGTCTAGAGACCGAGTTGACGAAAAATCTCTCTTCCAACGCATTCTTCCCTTTTACCCCATTTGAAAAAAAAAGACAATTATCGAGTATGATTACGAGCCCGTTTCGAGCTCGAACCCTCATCCTCGGGTTCCGAAGCCTTTCGTTTTGTCGATTTGGGAACCTCAGCACCGGCATTCTTAGTGCGGGAAGCTCTGATAGGTTTCCCATTGGCGTCTAGCTCAGGGGGCGGACAATAGACCCGAGGTGGTTGAGGAACTTTGTTTTCCCAGAGGTCGAAAGCTGCGTCTACTCCTAGAAACACCCGAATATCATCGTTAAATTCAAGGAGTATTTGTTTACCATCCATTTGATGTACCTTTGAGTGAGTCTTGAGTAACGGCCACATTTCTGATCTATTAGTATTGATCGCAAGTCTTCAATGGTGGTCCTCTTCGTGAATGTACTTCGCACATCCTTTCTTCCAATAGGGGTATCAACGTTCATGATTGAGTGTGAGGGGATACCAAAGGAAAACCACTCGGGTGGTACGAACTAGTTATGAAGGAGGAGAGTGGGTTTAAATGAAATTGATGAGAGGCAGAAAAGAGGGTGAAAGAGGAAGATAAGAGTAAATTCAAAAAAAACCCACGTTGACCGAAAAACTTGTTCGACAACACTTGTGTGTGAGAAGATACAGTTTTACGATGATAATAGGAATCCCCCATGGCAATCTCAACAATCTTTCCGATGAGTTCGTCGCGACCCATCCATTCACCTTGGAAGCGCATCTGGCCTTTACCACAAGGAGGAATGTTGGCGATACCTTTTACATCGTCAGCTATTGATATCACTCACCTGACTGAGAGAACTTACAAAAGGCGAAAACGAGTCGTGACCTTGCATCTTGCCAAGCTTGTTTATTAGGTATCGCAGCCCAATAATCACTACCCAAGAATCCGAAAGGGCTGTTAGCAGGGTCGGCACCGTTGATAGCCATAAGTGTCATTGCCACTCTCTCTGTTTCCAGATCACAGAACAGATGTATGGGGACCGGATAATCCTCAGAGTCATCGGTGATAGACATGATAACTTGATAAAACCTTATGGCTCTCTGGGATGGAGTGGGAAGAGGAGTCCAAACACCAGGAGGGGAAGGTATAGTCACCGGACGAATATCAGGATATGGGATTATTGGAGTTGTCGCTGAAGGTGGAGGCGAGGGATAAAGAATTTTCGGACGTGTCATCTTTTCCTTCCCTTTTCTAGACTGAATAACAGGTTTCTCAGGCTCATTGTCAGATTGACTTGAGATAGTTTCAAATTCGGTTTCGATAGGGGAAGGAGTTGGATTTGAACGAGTTGAAGAAGAAGAACTGGAAGCGACCGCATTTTGCTGTCTAGCTGTTTGACCTCGTGTCTGCGCCGTCATTTTTAAAGGCTTTGGCTTGGTGTTACGGGACATAGAAAAGCTAGCTGTCTTCGGTGCTGCGATAGAAAGAGGAGACAAGAGACTCGGCGGTAGAGAGAGAGGAGGGAGGGCGAACGGTTGAGAGAGTTGTAGGTTGGTAGGAAACGGTAATGAGGATATAGGAGGTAAGGAAGGGAGATGTCTAGGAGAAGAAACGGTCTGTAAAGTCAGACATATGTCCTTTTGGCCGAGCTGACATATACTTACATGGACACAATAAGGGGGAGGGGTAAAAACAAGAGACGAGTGAGAAGAGAAGGTGAGGAGGAGAAGGACGAAAGGAAGAGGAATGTGTGGCGATGGGAATGGTAAAGTGGGAATTTCAGGAATGTATATGAATACTCACAGGCAAGCAATATCCCATCTTACGAAACAGGTAGGTTTAATTTCTCGCGTGACAGGTGTGACAATTACTGTCAACTCGTGACTGGTCAATCAAATGATATGACAGCAGTGCTCCGTGGTCCGAGAGCTGATACTCGATTCGGAGATGGCTGGGCGTTCGATGTGCGACAAATTACTTTGAAAATAGACAAATGACGTTTGGCAGTTACTGGGACTGGCTAGAAGAGACTTCGAGTCGCCGGAAAAGTCGAGCAATTTATTATGGAGCAATGCAGCAAACGGAACAGGAGATAGATGATGCGTGATTTGTCTAGTTGGAATGAATGGGAATGAACGATCTCGATTCTTATTGAGAGTATGTATGAGGGATGGAATGGCCCTTTATGAAGGATACCAACTGACGGTCTGGTGATTGATCAGTTGGCACGATGGCACAAGAGACGGGTCGATCTCGGTGTTCGTGCCGAGGGAAAATCAATTGCTTCCTGATGACAGCAACGAAGGATTCGAGGATATCATACACCGCCGCCACCGAGCTTCTACCCTTTCCTGGTGTTGAATCACACTGGTAGGTGATGACCGACCAGATTCAATGACAGGAAGATCTCTGCGGGACTCTCTTGGTGATACCTCCGTGTAGCGGAAGAAAAGCAGAATTGCCTCACGGGCGGATCGCCAAGAAGTCGACGTGACACGCTGTTCCTCTGTATGCTTCGTTCGTTACGTTTGTAGATTGGTCAAACCGGGCGAACGATTGCTGAATAATTGAAGGGACGATCGTAGCCGTAATACTGATCCTTCGTCAATTCGTTACGGGGGGAAATGCCGGTAAAGTGACGTCTGACGCTGGTTTGTCAACGTCACGATGGGGAACACGGTCCGGCCAAGTTGCAGGACGGGTCTTATGACGTGTTGACGACGATGACGGGAAGATACGGTCTTTCGGATCTTGGACTTTGCACGCGGTCACGGGTTTATCACTTGAGAGGTCGATTGTGAGATGTTACTCGATGATCGGATGCCGGATACGTGATATCGGGATGATGTTGAGAGATGGGAAGTCAAAATAAAACTTTGACCCCGTTGTTTTAATAGTACAACAAGTATAACTGAGTATGAGAGGTAGAAGAAGAGGGAGGGATGAATAGAGTAAGTGTATCCGTCAGAATAGTGTATAGCAAAATGAACTAGGGGAATGAACCAGAGGGAAGGGGTTGATTCCGGATGGTCCCGATGAAGAAAGGGGCCAACAGGGTCGTGAGTCACCATAAGGAGAACGATCCGTTAGTGAGGTAGGAAGCCCCATGATCGCATGAGCTATGAGCCTGTAGACCACCGGATCCCATTGCATTGGTTGTACGTCATCTGACCAAGATGGTTCATCCGGTGCGTCGCTCCCTGTCTTTGGTCATTCCTCCCCTCCCTTTTTCGCGTTCAACATGTGCACTTGAACGTTCTCCATAGCCACGATCGGTGGACCAGCGAAATCGGACGAGTGAGCTGTGCCAGACCCGGAATGGTCCAACGATCCAAGACCAGACGACATGGACCATTCATGGTGTGGGGGCGGGGGCTACCAGATAGCTGGTACGCTGGCGTCCATTCCTGGAAGGGGATCCATGATGAACCTTAAGCTGAATGCTAGGTGGGTGCGCGTGAGTAGGCACTTGAAGGTTAGTAGTCGTTGGGCCGCGAGCTAAGGGAGGAGACCAGTTTTGAATGCCGTAAGTAACGTTATCTCGTCATTCCACCTTCAACATCGGGATAAATCGTCGCATTAATCCTCAAAAGATATTCAGAAAACAAACCCTACCCTGCCTCTCCACGTCATGAACACCACCACCCACACCCGCACACATACCTGCATCCTGCGGTCCCTCCTACACATCTGACAGGCCAGGATGCAGTCACATTCCTCTCCATCTCCCCCCTTAAAAGCACATGATCTCTTCACCGAATCTACCGATGATGATCCCTTCGCTCAGCTCGACGGAGCCGACTCTTCCCATGCCGTCAATCTCTACATGGAGCCTGATCCTGCAACTAGACCTACTCTTATACCCCTCCCCGAAGACCACCCTAATGACTTTGCCTATGATACCTCACATGACCAGATTGTTCCTCCCTCTTTCGCTCCACCACTTCCCCAGGATATTCCCTTACCCAAGGAAGACCCACAATCACCAGAACCAGAGCCTCAGGGGCAAGCAAAACCCACTCCAGACTATTCCCTCCTCCTCGCTGAGTTCTCCGACATAGACATTCTTCCGCCAGTCGAGGAAGAACAGAGGACGCAAGGCGACGTGAGACTCCCACACGCTCGGCATCTTTCAGGCGCTGAGGAGCAAGACATCACTGTGGACCCCCATGACCAATTTCCAGCTGCCGCTGCCCTTTTCGGCACGTCAGCTGATGAAGATCAAACCTTTGATCCCTTCCTTCCTCTCGTTGGCGTACCCGATGCTACTTCTACTCCTCCTATCGTATCGCCCGTACCCGAGCTCTCCATCGAACAGGATCAAGACGATGATCCCTTTCACGCCCTCGCCCAGGCCGGGGCTTCCTCCGCCATTGCAGAGACGGGGGAGACCTCTTTGCTATCCGACTTCTCCGATGCTAGCAATTGGTTGGAAGATACGTCAATTGACATGTCGTTGGACCAAGGGCCACAACAAGACATTGGGCCCGAGACAAAAGACCATAGCTACGACGACGTTCAACCAGTGGAGGTTGACATACCTCAAGGGTGGTACGATGATCACGGGGAGTGGCATTGGTACACTGAAGAGGAGAAAGCGGCGGTCAGACAGGTTATGCTGACACCGGATACTTCGGTGCTAGAACAATCTCACGGCTCTCCTGACGTCGGCGTCACAAATGGCTATGGACAGAGTAGGTCGCAATCACCTAGGCGGAGGATGTCTCGCTGATACAGACCAGATATTATATCTCCCGCTCTCAATACAGGAGCCTTCTCTCCGGGACTGTCAGCACGACCCACTTTCGAGCGCGGTAACTCTGAGAACCTTGCTCGTCGGACACCTCAGCCGGAGCAACCGGCAGTGTTGAATAGCATAACATACGATCCGTATGCTCCTCCACCTCAATCGCAGGCTGATGCCGGTCCTTCAACATCATACCATCCCTATCAACCTTATCAACCTGCTGTCTACGACCCCGCTCCACCATCTACTTTGAACGGCTCTTCAGTAGGGGATTCAAAATACAGTGCTTCTCTCTCCAAATATGACCCGTACGCACCTCCTACCTCCAGTATGCCTCAACGTTCCGTCTCCAACTCCGGTCCGACTTCAGTCAACAAGCCTCCTGGTCCTCCCGCTCCCAAACCGCAACTACAACGCATGACATCGAACGCCTATGATCCTCCATTGAGACAGAACAAACCGATTGCCAGATCGGTCTCCGCGGCACCTCTTGTTCCCATTGGATTCTCGATGGCACAAGCTCCCCCTGTACCTCCTCTTCCCAATATGAACCCTCCGGTTGCTGCGCCTCGGCCACCACCATCCGGTCCCCCTCGTCGAGGGAAAACACCTGTGGCCCCAGTGTTTGATCCTCCCCCAAAAATGCCAGCAGAGCAGCGAGCACCCCTGATCAATGGACAAGCGGGTCACGAGTTTTATCATCCTGAGATATCATCAGGTCCGCCCGCCCGGGCGAGCTCCTCGACATCAACACATGCGGATAATATTCGACCTGGCTCGTTCAACAGCTTTGATCCTCCAATCCGACCTTTCAGTACCGCACACCATCAGCCCCATCATTATCCAGCGCCACAAGTCTACACACCTCCAACCCTCGCCATCTCCCCTCCACCCGGTGAAGCGGCAGCTCGTCCGGCCAGTCGTGGTCCGCCCCGACGGTCTTCCCCAATGTACGACGCTCCACCCCTTCCCAGACCTGCGTCAGTCAATCCCCCAAGCAATCCTCCACAGAACTCCAACTATGATCAACCTCATCGGCCAGCACCACCACCGTTTCCTGGAGATACTTACGATAGTCGTCCCCAGCCTCTCACGCAGTCCAGACTGTGGGACGAAGACCAACCTGGACATGACCTTTCCGACGCATATTCTCATCACACGCTATCTCCGCCAGTACCTCAGAGTGCATATCAGCTTGAACCTCCCCGACCAACCTTACCTGTGAACCCCTCTGACATAGAAGGAAACTTCGATCAATCCTCATCTCTCGGACTGCAGCATCATGCTCCACATGAACCCCCACAGCCTGTTCCTCAATCAAGGCCATATCAGCCGTACCTTCCAACGTCCGACACAACTTCGTCTTATGCTCCACAACCTTCCCGACACTCACCCGCCCCCTCATATGGTCAACCCCAGTCCTACGAACCTTCTCCTTACTCTGTCTATGCCCCGAGTATGACATCACCCACGCAAAGTCAACCTCGCCCCATTTCAGATTACAGTACATCTCCCTCTCTGGCCTTCTCTCCGGTCCAGCAGCGCACCTCTTTCGACGAGGCATACGTCCCGCAACAAGTCCTTGAGCAACGTCCTGTTTCTGAAGACCCATTAGGTCGATGCAGTCTTATAGCACGTAATATCCCTTTTGCAGTGTTCGGGTTTGGAGGTACCGTGATAACTGCCTTCCCCGCTACAGCCGACGGTGAAGCGCCCGGCCTCGGACATAATCGTACCATGTCCTATGGATATGCTTCGGGGCGAGGTAAAGTGTGGCTCCGTAACATCACTGAATTGGTCCCTCCCAGTGTTCTGAAGATCAGTGAGACGCCTTTTCCTGGGCCACTGTTGCTCGACCCAGCTGTGCCGAAAGGAGTAGCTGGAGAGAAGAAGAAAAGAGAGGCAATCGTGGGTTATTTGGAGGCGAGAACGGAAGAGATAGAAAGGGGATTGCCGTACCTGATGTCGTCAGCTAGTCGTGCCAGGAGGAAGCAAGAAGGAAAGCTTGTCTTGGTCAAACTACTGGCGGCGATGATGTTGGGAGAAGGCCGGTTATTGGGAAGGTGGGTTCTAAAGCCGTTACCCCTTTTCCCCTTACTCGTTCCATCGAACTTCTGTGTGTGTCGCTTGGCTTTATTTTTGGACCGTCAAATTAACTCGTGGTATCTCTTCGATGAGTCTGAGCGGACAGCGACCAAGGGAAAGGAATCGAAAGTGCCTGACTTACCGAATTGACGCTGACTTTTTCCAGTCCCAAAGTGGAGGACGCCGTCCGCAACGCCCTTCGACCCCCAGCTGAAACTCCCAACACCTACCCCTCGACGACCTCTAATCACATCACCGCTAACGGCTTCTCCACTGCCCAAGGGGCGCCGGTTACCTCATCGCAGTTATCTGATATCTCCAATCTCCTCGGCAGTGGAGACAAACGAGGCGCTGTTGCGTATGCTGTCGAAGCTGGTTTATGGGCTCATGCTTTGGTCATCTCTAGCTCTGTCGATCCTGAACTGTGGTCCGAGACTGTTTCTCGGTTCTCCGCATCGGAATTAGGAGATAAAGGTCCCTCTGTATCCGGTCTGAAAGCTTCGTACGCTTTATTTTCAGGAGCCACCTCGCACACAGGTAAGTTGCTCTCATCGCATTCGTACCGGCTGACAGAGTCTAGTGGATGAACTTATGAATGCGGCAAATATCACAGATGACCCCGCGAACGATCAATGGAGAGAAGTTATCAGTGCCGTCTTGTTCAATGGCAAAGCGGCGGATTTGTTGTGCTTGGATGAGCTAGCTCAACGATTGGTCGCTGCTAAATTACCAGAAGCTGCACAAGTCTGGTGCGTGACTTCATATTCATTTTCAATGAGCTAATTGCTTTGTAGCTTTTTATTGTCACCATCATCGCCATTTTCAGATCCTACACCTGCAGCGGCGGACAAACCTATCTTGTTGCTCCAGCAAAAAGACGAAGATAGCACTATCATCGCTGAGGTGGCGGAGTATGCCAGGTCTCTCATACCTCTGCCAAAAGGTCAGGAAAGTCCTTTTGCAGGACTGCCGGGATTGTTACCTGAAAAACTCCACCGTGCTTGGATTGCCGCTGAGTTGGGAGAAATTGATATTGCCACCAGGTTAGTGTCGTAACCCACTTCCATATCATATAACCTTGCTTGTCTGCGGCGAAATGTTCTGTCCTTTCCATTCTCCTTGGTACTTGTTGTGATCGAAAGTTATTTAGTGATAGCTACGATGTTTGACCCGGTGCTGACCCGATAGATATTGCAATGCGATTGCCGCAGCGTCCAAGCCTATCAAAGCCGGTCCATCTCTCCTTCCCCCATCCCTTCTTGCCAGTCTTGAAGATCTTCTCGAACGTCTGACCGGCACTCCCTCCGTTGACCCTCCCACGGCTATCGGCTCTCGTCGCGCACCAAAACCAGGTTTAGATAAATTAGGTTCATGGATAGGAGGTCGACTTACAACCTTTATCGCTGGTGAAGAAGGAGGTCCACCACCAAAACCCGATCCCACACAAACCGGTCCAGTGGGACCATTCTCACATTTCAGTTCCATCTCTCCTAATCCTTCCATGCCCACCACACGCACCACTTCATCCTCCGATAGCGGTCGTAGTGGACATCTCGGTATTCCCAACATTGATCCAGGACAAAACTATGATCCAACGTCACGTTCATATGGTTCTTCCTCATCTCTCAACACTTATGGTGACTGGTCAGCATATAATAATCACTTGGATGATGATGCTACTCCTCATGCTGAAATCCCTCCAGATGGACCTGTAGAATTGTTAACTCCGATGGCAGCATTATCTCTCAATTCTTCGAATACACCTTCTTTCACATCCACATACCAACCCGCTCAACATGATGAAGAAGAAGTAGAAGATGATTTAGGATTTGGAAATACTTCTTTGTCACGCGCTCGAACACCTAAACCGGAAAGTTCAAGAGATACAAATACCTCGAATCAATCTACACAGTCAACAACTGATAAACCTGTCACACCAACGCCCCCCACGGATTCACCGAAACCGGAACAGAAAACCGGTTGGTTGAGAGGATGGTTCGGGAAGAAAGATGATTCCCCCGGTCCTGTGAAAGCTAATCTGGGGGAAGAAAGCTCGATGGTATTTGATCCAGAATTGAAAAGATGGGTTGTTAAAGGTTCCAAAGGAGAAAAAACTCCACCTCCTCAATTAGCTCCTCCACCTAGAGCGCAAACGGCGAGTCCTTCTAAGCTCGGTCGACCGAACCATCATCAAAGTCAGGCTCCAACAGTGAGACCGATGTCCGTTGTTCCTGGTATTTCTGGACCACCTAAGAGTTCAAGTATGACGAGTTTGACAGGGACAGAGATAAGGAAAAGTAGGAGTAGTTTGAACGAAAGTGTTACAGCTGGGGATGTTGATCGTATCACTTTTTCCGTTGATCCTGAGGGTGAATCAGGAGGACAAGGTGGTAAGGAAGAAGGAGAAGAAAGAGTGCAAGGTGGTAAGGAAGGAGATGGAAGAGGTAATGTGAATAGTGGGAATGGACCACCGAGATTGACCCCAACACCAATGACCAGTCTAGGTATTGGACCACCTTCCAGACCGGGTACAGCAAGTATAGACGATTTACTCTCTCGTCCACCTACCAGACCGGGATCAAAAGTGAAGAAACCGAGAAATAAATATGTGGATGTATTTCAAGGACAGGGATAAGGGGGATTTGGGTGGTTTGTAGATGTCTATGATGATATGTTTTTCTTTTCATCGAGAAGGAATGTGAGGTACGAGTTGCCAAAATAGTTGGGTGGGTGAAAGATGTTGGATCTACGTATATGCAATATGCAATATACAATATACGATATTAAGATGTATCTTTCTCTGGCGTAATGGTACATTATGATTGAACAATAGCATCATAGGCCAGAAATATACTCTGATCGTTTCGCTCTTATCCTTGGAAGATGCACTGTGATGGCTTTCACTAAATTTTTGAGTGTGTTGTTACTTTACTGCACCTTCATTGAGACATGAAATCTCACCTGAGAAATCCATGTTGAAAGGCAATCTTTCTCCAAGCTGCAAGATAGGTAAATACTTAAGAGCATTAACGAGAGACTTACAGGTCAAAGTCAAGATAATATGTACATGTCAATGTTACACCTCATCAAGCATAAATCCCCTTCGTGATGTACCAATTGTGGCATCGTTGGGTTTTCACGAACATTAAGGATAGACGTTTTCCTCGTGTAAATTGAATAGGAGAGTCATACATGTATGTTTCTATTCCCATGAAATTATCCCAACTATCTCAAATTTCCCAAAATACCCAAATCGGATTGTCCTATAGTATAACGTACAATACATCCTCCTTCATCTTTCTTCATTCTCGAGTAACCAACGGTCCATCTCTCTTCTCCCTTCACTCTCTCCATCACTCCATCACTCCATCACTCCATCACCACATTTGACCCTTCACCCCATGCCTTCCCTGCCATCCCTAAATTCCCACCTCCCACTTTGATCAATGATATGTCGTTGTTCATTCTTCTCATACTGATTGAAAGCCTTTTCATTGGACTGATTATATGATGAACCGTATACAAACAAAGTACGACGGGACCCTTCCCTCGTACCCTCGCCATTAAGCTGAGGTCGGACGTCGAGAGTTGGAGATTTATAGTTTTGAAATTCTGTGATTCTCGGACGCCTAGGGAAAGTGAAATGGAGGCATGACTAATCGTGGTTTGAGGTGGATCAGACGAAGGGATATCAGAGAAGTAGATGTAATTGTAGATTAAGGGAAGGTTCAACATGAGCGAAGGGGAATATGGAGAGACGAGTGACTAAAAGAAAAGTTGATAATTGACGAAAACGATTGATCGAGTATTCGGATAGGATTGGATACCACGTCTACTGCGCCACAGTGAAAGGTTGACTTAACCAACTTTCATAATCCTCTTCAGTCTCCGGATCCCCCGTCACATGTAAAGCACGCATCAGAAATCTGTACGTCCCATTAGGTATGGTAGTTCCATTCAAGAATACCGGAGGGTTCAAAGCAACTGTTCCGTAATCGTTTCCTGATCCATCTGCGTTGTCCGTGCTGATTTATCAGTTCATCTCCTCCGCACATTGTCAAATAATCCAGTATGTTGTGTCATTTTCAAAGATGCTTTTTCCAGCAACGGATCTCTTAGAGAAGATAACGTTTCGAGAAAGTTCTTCCGGATTGAGATTATCTTGTCGTGATTCACAGTGATTGAGGCAGCTGTCTTAGAGATGTTGTGGTGGGGTAGGGAAGTAAGCGATGATGATTCGGAAAGCAAGTTAAAGACAGGAAATAAGGTAGGTGTGGGGAAGGTTGAAGATGATAAGAAAACTGAAAATCTTTGAGATCGACTCACTTTCTAGGAATATACAAAGCTTGATATATATTCCCGATGATTGGAACTTTATCATATGTCCCACTTCCCTTTGATGTACATCCTGGTGCTTTGTAATTTGTCAACTCGCAATACAATTTTAGGATTTCTGCTGCTAAACCACTAGCCCTTTTCTCGTTTCCTCTCCCTTCCACCATAGCACGTGTGATAGGATATCTCCCATTTCTTTCTTCCCTCACAAAGCTGCGTTTCACTTGTTTCCCCTCAGATCTCTCGTCGAGATGTATACCTCGGTCAGAGATATCCGCAATCAAACTCCGTTTGGTATTGTATCTCGGAGTAAAACCCAAAGAAGAATTCACTCCTACCAGATCGATGTATAATGCAGGTGTCCCACCTACTAACCTATATAAAATAGTTGGATAATCGTCACCTTGGAAAGTATACGTTTGAGGACCTGATTGAACATCGTTCGAGGGGGTCATAATGACCGGAGTATCAATTCCTAAATAATATGCGGTAGGATCTAAAACTGGCATATTCTTCATTTTCGCCGCTAAACCTAAATATGGTATAGAGGCAATTGTCGAACCACCTGAAATCTTGATATATCCTGAATAAACTGGGAATTGTTTTGAGTCTAATCCTGAAGGAGGGGAGAAAGAGAGGATTATGATAGTTGTTTGACCTGGAAATAAAGAGATGGAAGTTTGAGAGAAATGTACGGTGGCACTGGAAGAAGATTGTGGTACAGGTTCATCTGCAGATTGATCAAGACCAGATTGGTATGTTAATGCTGTACCTGCTGGTGCGTGAGAGATTTTGTAGGTAGTGAATGATTTCCCTTTATTCGTGACGGTCAAATATTGTAAAGAATTGATATATGCTGTGTCGTTGAGATATAATTCTGATGGAGATACGTAAATTTGAGAGTTGATAGCGTCATATATCCCTACTTTTCCAGAACCTTGTGAAGCGACGGTTTCGAGAGTTTGATCGGATAAAGAAGTGATCACTGGTTGAGAAGTAAATTCCAACATTTCCCTCACGTTTTGAGGTGAGAGATTGGAATTTCCTTGAGAATTCAAAAGTAAAGCTATGGAACCAGCTACGAGAGGAGCAGCGAAAGAAGTTCCTTCTTCTACTGACCAATTACCCAAGGCGGTAGGTATCAATCCAACTAAATCTGATCCAACGGTAGAGACTTGAGTGGTAATGTATAAATCGTTCGATGGTCCAATTTGAGAGAAAAGACTGGTAGTGTTTGCCGTCAAAGTATTAGGAGCGGCGATTGGTGCGTATTTGAAAGTCACGGTAGTGTTGGAATTCGATGCGAATTGATCGATTAGGTAGTTACCATCTTCATATGATACAAAAGCGAAATTGATAGGATAATTTTCGTATTCTGGTACAGTATCAGGAGTGTTGACCAAGAAAATACCAGAAGCTCCTTGATAATAAGCATTTTGAGCTTTGGTCAACAAGGCACATCCTCCACGACGGATGAGTACTAATTTTCCACTCAAATCAGGTGTACCGTCGGGAATAGCACATCCATCCGTGGCAACATTGGGATCGGTAGAGAAAGCGTAGAGGGAATAAGTTCCAGGAGTGAAAGGGTTGTAATCGTAGTAAGTTATAGGGCCGTATCCCGTGCTGACGAAAGCTTGTTGAGCGGGGAAGAAAGAAGAATCAAAGGAACCAACAGATATGACACCTCGACCAGCGGCAGGAGCTTGAGGGTAGAAAGCGCCTACTTGACCTGCATTACCAGCCGAAGCGACGACGGTGATACCCATGTTGACTAACCGACTAGCCATGACGGATAACATACCTTCGGTCCAAGCTGATGGTTCACCGAGGGAAAGGTTGACAACGTCCATCCCATCTTCGTATGCTTTTTGCATGGCCGTGGCAATGAGATCGTCTGTAGAAGCACCTGAACAGCTGAACGTGCGGTACATGTAGATGCTCGCTTCGGGTGCCGCACCCGTGACGCCATATTCATTGGGATTGGCACCTATCAGACCGCAAACGAAGGTTCCATGACCGTAACATGAATCGAAAGGATCGTTATCGGGTTGAGGATCATTGGACCCGTCGAAAGAATCACCGACGAAATCGTACCCTCCTGCAATCTTACAATTTGGGCCATAACAACCTCCGAGGGGGGTTCTAGTGTAGTCAACCCCAGAATCGATGACACCGATCTTGATACCTTTCCCCTTGTTCCCAGAAGCCTGTACACGGTCCGCCTGAAGCTGTCCTAAAACACCATATGGTGCAGTCTGGGATGTTGGAGAGGCAGAAGATGTGGAAGAGCTGGGACTGGAGATAATTGAGGATGATCTCAGTGATGAAGATGAAGTAGCAGAAACGGTGACTGTTGTCGTAGTGCAGGTCTCTTTACCTTTGCGATCTTTCGTGCACGTAGTCTTGGTACTGACACTGGCCGAAGGGACCGATACAGAAGTCGGACGACCGAATGTGTTGTTGGCAGTGAAGCCGATTGTGGCATTATCAGGAAGAGCAGTGGAGGATGGAACGATGGTCGAGGCGGGGCTGGAGCTGGAGGTGGTGACATTGTTGGCATGTTGAACGGAACCTGAGAACCCAGAACCTCGGAAGAACGACTGTGCATTCAATGTGGATCCATGAACAGAAGGCAATTGAACTCTGTGAACGGGCAAGATGTTCTAAAGCTGAGTGACAGCTCTTCCGTCCATGAATTCACTTACGATCACTCCTTGTGAGCTGGCCAGAACTTCAAGGTCCTACAATGTCAGTGCTCGTTCACAGTTGTCCTAACGTAAATATCCGCTGACCTGAGCAGAAGAAAGCTGCACAGAGGCACCAAAGAACAAGTCTGAGTTGTACTCTTGCTTGATAGAGTATGACACGCCTCCTGTATCCAGCTGTTGATATAAATCTTCTCGCGCCTGTCCGTGAGCACAAATGTTTGCAGTTCAGCAAGCATGACCCACAGTCACGACCCGCTTGCCGATGCTGGACTGAAGATTTGATGCAGAGTCAAACTCGACGATATACCTCCCAGGGATGATGTCACTGAGGTCCGTCAGCTATGACCAAGGATGAATCTTGAAAATGACACACGATGATCCTGAAGTGATATGCGAGATACTTGAAAGGTCAAAAGCTTTTATCGTGAGGGGAGCATGGAGAAGCGTTACTGCCCAAGAGAACAACATGCTTGGCGGGGGATCCGGGGGAAGGAGAGACGGTAGTGAGTATTTATATTGTGGGGATGGGTCGATGTTGTACAGGAATTGAGGCGTGGAAAGATCGTGTTAAGAAAAAGAATGTGATTGTCGATCTGTGTGTCGATCTCGATGGGAATGTGTCACAGATGATTTCACGAAATGTCGACCATGACCTCGTGTCGAAAAGGAAAAACAACACGGGAAAGACGGAGGGTGGTGGTCAGGATTTATAGGGCCTGACCGGTTCCATGACTACGGTAACCTCGCCCTCGGTGCCCTGTGAAATTCCACGGCGGGGTGGAGAGGGGGGAAGGGGGGAAGGGGAGCGGGACCGGTACCGGTACACGGAAGGAAGGTTGTACAGGGTTAAAAGAGAGACAAAGTAGACATGTCTCAAGTGGGTGTGATTTTGACCGTTGAGACTTGCCGAGTTCTAGGGCGGTCGGAACCCGTGCCTGAGCCTTTTCAAACGCCACAAAGGGGTGTCCGTGCAGCCGTGTCAGGTCACGTGGGTGGAACAAGGGCGAAGGCGGTCAAAGCGCACGCTTCTCCCCATCACCGCAGCGTACAGCATGTAAAGAAGCAGCATGGCAGCAAGACGAGTGAGTGGTCATGTCGGCGGGCGTATGCATATCAAAAGAGTGGTCATGTAGAAGCCTAGATGAGGCAGCTGCAAAAAAGATACAAAGTCATAAAATAGATCAGATAGCATCGACCATGCTCTTCTCTCCTTGGCCAAGCTTACGTTTCTCCCAAAAGTCTTTGTTGTAGGAAAGGAATTTGACCTGAAGAATCAGCCACGATCACTGAAAGGGGTAAAGTACCGTTGGGGGGTGACGGAGAAAGAAATTAGGTACTGACATTCTGATCCTGTTTAACCTACGCCCGTCAGCATTCGAACATGCATACAGTATATGTCGCTGACACCGACAAGACCGTTGAAAGTATCGCACGCTGAGATATGTATGAATAACAAAAACAACGACTCACCTTATCCCAAGGCCTCCAATCACCGGAACGATCCCAGACCACTTCAGAGTGTTGAGAAAGACGGGCGAGGTAGAATGTAGCGCCGCCCACTGCGACGCCGACGACCCTGCGATGTCAGCTGCCTATTTCTGCACAGACGTCCTCGCTATGGCGTCTGAAACACTTGGAACTATGAATGCAGTGAAGGGTAGAGTTTCTGAACATACGCGATGATCGGGTACACCTCGACGGGCACCCACTTCCTCAAGAACTGACCATCAGCTTGAAAGAATCACTCAACATTGGGAAGTACTCACCGCACGAGCAGAAGCCATTTTTATGATATTGAGTTGATTGTTCGATGCAAGAAAAGAAACGGAAAGATGAATGCTATGGGGTGAATGCTGTCTATCGATCTATATAAAAAGTGAAATGAGAAGAGAGAGAAAAAGAAGAAAACACTAGAAATCGGAGAGACGGAATCGGTGAGTGAAAACTGAAAAGGGTCTCGAAAATCGCAATCTATCACAGGGTTGCGATCGAGTTTTCGGATCTTCGGCCGCGATCTCCGACGCGGCCGCCACTATGCCACCCAAGCTCATAATCCCGCGGCGATAGTCATTCCTCTACCAAGTCCACTCGAGTGGGAAGAAATCTTCAACATCACCCATCATGGCAGACCTAGACTTCACAAAGGGTCACGAAACCTCTGGGCCAATCATCACTCTTTCTCCGGAGGCCGAGGCAAAGTATGAACGTATCATCCGACGTCTTCAAGAGGTGACCAGTGGGGAGATTATTCGTAAAGTGTTGAGTGAAGGTGAAACCGTGCGAGCGTATTGGGGTGAGTTCTGTTCGGCTTTGTTGTTGTATATGCTGACAACCTAGGGACTGCTATCACGGGTAGACGTGAGCGGTATCGCTCTACTGTCGAAGTATGACGCTTATGAGATAGCTCACATAGCTTATTGTGTGCCTTTGCTTAAAATCGCCGACTTCCTTACCGCTGGTGTAAATGTGAATTCACTTTAGCTCACGTTTGACGACCGCTGACATGTAGTTCAGGTCAAGATACTACTAGCAGACGTACGCTTTATCCTGTTATCCTCTAAGATACACTGACACAGGTCCAGTTGCATGGCTTTCTCGATGCGACGAAATCAACCTACGATGTTCTGCAACATCGTACGAAATACTATGCCTTCTTGCTTAAGGCCGTGTTTACCGCGCTGGGTGTCCCTATCGATAAACTGGAGTTTGTGACTGGTACTTCATATCAGCTCACCAAAGAGTACACTCTGGACATGTACAAGTGCGCCGCAATCCGTCTTTTGAGCTCACGTTGACCTATCAGATTCCATGCGTTGGTATCTACCAAAGCGGCAGAACACGCCGGTGCCGAGGTCGTCAAAGAGTCCGAATCACCTCTGATGTCGAGTCTACTCTATCCTGGTTTACAAGCGCTGGATGAACAATATCTCGATGTGCACTTTCAGTTCGGAGGGGTCGACCAGGTCAGCCGCCTCATTGCAATCTCACCGGATCAGCTGACATTCGCAGAGAAAAATCTTCATGTATGCCGCTCATTACCTTCCCCGACTTGGCTACGCCAAACGCGCTCATCTCATGAACGGCATGGTCCCTGGTCTTTCAGGAGGCAAAATGTCCTCTTCCGATCCGAAATCCAAGATTGACTATCTAGACTCTCCAGCGGACATCACAGCCAAATTGAAGGCCGCTGTATGTACACCAGCACAAGTGGAGGGCAACGGTGTGCTCGCTTTCCTACGAACAGTGCTCATACCGGTGCAAGAGTTGAGGGACGAACAAGCGCAAGGACGTGGGGAGAAGGGTTTCAGAGGAGAAGGAAGCTTTGTCAGCGACACGGCTCCCGAGGGTACCGTCTTTTCGATCACTCGTCCTGAAAAGTTCGGGGGAGATATCCACTTTGCTTCCTACGAAGCTCTGGAACAGGCCTATGCCAAGGAAGAAGTTCATCCGGGTGATTTGAAAGGCGGTGTGACGGACGCCCTGATCAAGTTGTTGTCCCCGATAAGGAAAATGTTTGAGGAGAGCCCGGAATGGCAAGAGGTTGAGAGGCTTGGTTATCCGGATCAGTCTGTGCAGGCTATCTCAGCCAGTACCAAGCCTGGAGCGGGTATCAAGACTGATGGTAAAGTGGTGAGCTATCTTCATTAAACAAGACACGCTGGACCCACTGACCAGAGTAGAAGACCAAAGTCGCTCGCGCTGCCCCGCCATCAGAGGAGGAACGAGCCGCCTTGCGAGCACAGAAAGAAGCGGAGAAGGCTGCAAAGGCGCAAGCGAAAGCGGGCGGATTCCCAGGACCCACGGCGCTGGAAGAGGAACAGAAACAGGCTGCCGAGGTCGTCCCTGTTGGTGTGGGGAGCAGCAGTAGGCCAGCTGTCAGCTCAATCCTTTGTGACGATTTGCGAAGCTGACCCGATAGTTGACTCAAACCAACATGTCTAAATTAAAATTACTGGCGAAAGGCAAAGTCCGAGATATCTACTCATTGCCAGACGAAGCGGATGCGGATAAATTACTCTTTGTTGCTACGGATCGTATCTCTGCGTTTGATGTCATCATGGAGAACGTGGGTGTTCAGACTTCTTTTTCTTTCCTCTTCTATAAAGTCCCTAGTTAGATGGGTCATCATCTACAGAAGGTGTTTTCGTTCATCCTACCTCTGTGTCTAACGGGGACTTTTGCCGTGAATTCTGCTATGCACGTTGATGGCTATGAATTCGTGCTCACTCCGCAGGGCATTCCGCAAAAGGGCATCACCCTGACTACCCTTTCTCTGTTTTGGTTCCACAAACTTCGACACATCATCCCCAATCATGTCCTCTCTCCGTCCATCAACAGCGACTCCCCCGAATGTCTCTCTGATCCCACATCAGCTTGGTCCCAATTCCCTCGTTCTTTAGACGAATACAGGGAGCAATTGGAAGGGAGGAGTATGATAGTCAGAAAATGCGAAGTGGTTAAGATTGAGGCTATCGTGCGGGGCTACATCACTGGTCAGTGGAGAGTCTTGAGTGATATCCTGTCCGCTGATAGATTAGGCTCCGCATGGCAAGAGTACAAAAAGTCTCAGACGGTGCATGGTATTCCTATGCCTGCTGGGATGGTAGAGTCTCAAAAATTCCCAAAACCTATCTTCACACCTTCCACAAAGGCGGATTTGGGTCAACATGATGAGAATATCCACCCGGACAAGGTTAAGGAGATCTGCGGGGAAGAGTTGGCAGCGGAGATTGAACGTGTGTCTTTGGAATTGTACAGTGAGTTTGCTTGTCTTCCGTGCTGTCCCCTTTCTCGAACTCTTCGTTCCTTTTTTGCACCACGTCAACACTCTGCGGCACTTTGTTGGATATTTTCCATTCTCAGGATAATAGCCGAATGGACAGTTTGCAAATGCGTCAAAATTCAATATGAGGGCGCATGAAAGTGACAGACGCTAACGTGACAGCCGAAGCTGCGGCTTACGCTCTCGAGCGCGGATTCATTCTGGCCGATACCAAATTCGAATTTGGTCTCCTACCCACCACTTCTAAACCTAAACTTATTCTCATCGACGAATTGCTCACTCCTGATTCCTCACGTTACTGGGCTGCCTTTTCTTACGTCCCCGGACAACCCCAACCTTCTTTCGATAAACAATACCTACGCGATTGGCTCATCTCTACCGGTCAGAAAAACGCCCCGGGTGTGTTTCTACCAGAGGACGTGGTAGTGGAGACGAAGGCGAAGTATGAAGAAGCAAGAGATAGAATCATGAGTCTTGGCAAATTCGGTGTGAGGGGTAAAATAGGTGTGAAGGGTGATGCGGGAGAAGCTGGGTTACAGACGGATCAAGTGACTGATGCTATTGAAGAGGTTGTCAAGACGCAATTGGAGTAGAAATGTTTTCACATGTAGTTGATACATTCGTACATTTCATCTACGAGTGCTCTACTTTACAGTGAGGTGTTGATGCACCGCATTTGGTATGATCATTTCAATGTACAGATTGCGACGTTCACTTCCATATACTCTCATCTCATGCTACTGATTACAATTTCGATTATACAAGATCTACAATAATGTGGACATGATGAACATTGGTCAAACTTTAGATGCGAAAAACCAAGTATCAACTGACAAATCAACTGTGATCTCTTATCGAGTATCGAGTATCGAGTATCCAAAAACAAAAAACAAAAACAAAAATGAGGGAAGAAGAACGATGTGATTGAGGATATATTGATTTTTGTAAAAAAAAAAGTATGATGAGTGGAAGAGTAAAAATGATTTGACTAACTCTCCGAACTACCTTCAGAATTCCCAACGGATAAATCTACACTAGCTACAACTTCATAACCTCTAGAATCGAACATTGCTAATAAAGAACAAGCTAATAGACGAACTGCGTCAACTTGATTTCCATTGGAAGTCCACCATGGTGTTCCACGTAATTTGATTTGCCAACATGATTCTTCTTTTTCTTTTGAATCTTGGATACCTAAAGGCCAATATGACTGAGTTGGTTAGTTTTTTTTTCCCTTTTCCTTCCTTCCTTGCTTCCCTCCCTCAATATATATCTCTCTTTCTCTCTCTCTCTCACACACAAATACACACACACTCTCTCTCTTTCTCTCTCTGGGTGTGTCCCTCCCTCTCCACACCTGTTTCCCCCTCCTCTGTCACTCTGTCACACACACACTCTCTATCAACACCTGTCACTCTCTCACTCAATATTTGAGTCTTTGTTGTCGAGTTCAATGTTTAGGTCTATGTCTTTGGGATCGATGTATGACTAAAGACTACTCACCTGTACAACCCCAATAAAAGCATCCAACGTTTCCCTATCAGGAGAATCTATCAACCTAATCTTATCCGATTCATTAAAACTCATTGCGAAAAACCTCCTTTGTATCGAAGGTCCAGAACGGAAGAATAAAGTATCTTTATCATACATTTTTTTAGATAAATCAGCTGCAATGATGAGATGATAACCGATATTAGCTAATGTTGTTAAGATATGAGTTATGAGTCTTCTACTTGGTACTGCTTCTCTTCCTTGACCGGACCCTGGGATTAGCTATATGATCTCATTTCCTTTGAATTGATTTTTCTCGAGTGGGATCATATCGTATGGTGTAGCATAATATGTGGAGGTCTGGAGCCTAATTTGAAGCTAAGTTCATATAGAAAGAACAGTAGGCCTCGATAGAGCGACGATTTAAAGATTGACAAAGCGTCAAAGATTTCATACCTGATCACATTGATTTCGCTGAAGTAGATGGGACCTCTTGAGCAAGAGGGTAGAAAGAGATCACAGTGATATGAAGTTGACTATGAGAGATAGTGAGGACGACTTGAGAAGATAGGGGGAAAACCCACTCACAAGGATTCCCAACTAACTTCCATTCATACCCATTCCCCATAACTTCCTCCTTTTGAATCCCAACAGGCCAAGCATTCTTAATAGTCACTCCTAGAGGACTTCTGACAGATTGAGGGAATCCTAATATCCTGACTCGGTCCGTCCGAGCTAAATGTACACAAGCGTAGACGGTTCCCAACATTGTCGAAGGACCAGCGGTGGGTTTAAGGTCGCCGGCGTAAGGAGGTGGACCGTCTGGGTCTTGTTTCTTAGTATGACCGAACATGTCGTCCTGATTGGTGTTGAGTCAGTGAACCGTGTTTGTGTATCCTGTGAAATTGAGTGATACTATGAGAACAAGAGAGAGGAAGGTGAGAGGGGATGAAGCTGTGCGGAGATGTCGGAAGATCGGAAGTGTCCGAAAGGCAAGAAGTCCGGAACTCGGAGCGGAGGGTACTAGCTCAGGCACGTGCCAAGTAGTTTGCCACGTGGTTATGACGCTATACTACCACTCCGGCGTTTGATTCTGAGCGATTAGCGAAATGCATTAGGGAATGAAAAGACAATTCACTCGTCTTTGTCATTCCTTCCCACATTCCGGCGACTGAAACAGCTCAAAGTCTTCCCGTAGTCCACCTCGGAAAAAGGTATATATACCTCATCTCACGTTCTCACGTCCCACCAGTCGAGAAATCCGAGTTTTATAGCTGCCTTTTGATTACCGCTAAAGTTGACCACAGTCAAATCAAAAACAACTTCATCATGTCCAACAACGAAAAGATGGGTGAGGACGAAATGTTCTCTTTCTGTTGGGATCATGTGATTGACTTACAGTTTTATACGGTTTCGCTCCTTCTGTATGGGCCAACGTACCTAGGGTAGCACTCACAGAACTTGGGTTCAAGGAAGGGGAAGATTTTGAGACCATTTCTATTGATCTGTCAAAGGTCAGTTTTGATCGTCTCGCTCTTGACACATAAGCGACAATGATACCGAGTGTCAAACATCTTTTCGTGCCTCACTTCTATATATGTCCCTTCAATCGTCTCTTTTGAAAACCTGTTGGTCATCTGGGTTGCATGTGAAGAACGGACCATGGGGAGAGTGGGTGGGGAAGAGAACAAGAGTACATATATGTATCAGATGATCCAGATGATCATTGCTGATCCCCAGGGAGAAAACTTCAATCCCGACTTCCTTAAGATAAATCCTTCAGCGACGGTCCCAGTTTTGAAACTCGGAGATAAAGTATATACCGACACGGCCGTCAGTCTTTGTCCCTTCCTGACACTCAGTGAAAGCTGATTCAAATAGACTATAGTACCTGCTTTAGTAGCATTATCTCCTCATCCCCCACAAACTTCAGAAGGTGTCAGTACGAGTATCATCGAAGAGGTCAGTCTTTGCTTCTTTTTCTGATAGTGTATGCTGATGAGAAGACCCACTTGATGAGTCATGATCCTAATGCCATGTTACTCATGGCTCGCGATGAGGATGATTATGCGGAAAAGAAGAAAGGGATGGCTTTTGGATTTGCGTCAGGTAGACAAGAGGGTTTGGACAAGTGAGCATCACTGGATTATTTTTTGCTTCTTTCCCTTTTTCCCCGAGTTCATTCAAGTTGTCGTGTTTTCAGTCACGTATCATCTTTTCCGTTTCCCTTTCCATCTAATAAGGGTTACGTATTGTCATCCGCCTGAATGTGGTGTGAGACAAGGATGTAGACAGGGGACTGACATCGAAGATACGCCCCTTTAGCCCCTTCCGAATTGAAAGAATTCGTAGAAAACAAGCAAAAATCCAACCAGGCCTTGCTTGATTTCTATCAAGGAACTCCCGATGTGAGCCTTTCCCACACATCTTATCTTACCACCTGTCCTCGCATATCCTTAATACCTTGGACTTTATACCTTTGGCTTGAGCTCGATACGGCTTTCATAACCGTCCCAACTCCTCCCTCGACCTTAGAAGTCTCTCTAATGACATGATCACTTGTTGTGGGTGCCTTCCCAGAAATGAATAGACGATCTTTCATTTAGTAGGAATACCCGAGGATGATGACTGGTCTAGCTGACAGAAAAAGGAACAAACCCGAAAGACGCATTTCACCCAAGCGAAAGCATTATGGACCTCAGCTGGGATCTTCATCCGTGGCGTTCTGACCCAAGCTATCAAAAAGACTCCAGGGGCGTTTGTAGGTGGTGAAACTCCAAGTCAAGAAGATTGTCAGTCATCTATTCTTCATACTATTCTCGCTCTTTCCATTTGTCTTTGTAAAGTTTTCGGTAGTTGATAATCTGTGTGACATTTGTGGCTTTGTCTCTGGACATTATCCCGCTCAGTTGGAAGTACCTTTTATAGTCAAAAGCTGACAGGTAGACCATATAATCGTTTGGCTCGCACGAGTAGTCACGGATGCTTCTCTACCTCCTCAAAGTCCTTCGTCGAGCGTTATACCCCGTTTACAGGAGTTGATGGGTGGACATGAATTTGACCCTGTCATCAAGGCCTATTGGGAGTGAGTCTCACCATATTTTTACTGGTTCTGCTTGTTCCCTCACTCACTCTCATCCTATGGAGAAATATGTAAAGGATCACAGAGGGAATACATACTGACACGCAGCGCATGGTTGGCAAGAGACAGTTTCGTCAAGAACAACGTGTTCTAAGTGTCCACACTGCGAAAAGTAAAGTGAATGGCAGGTTGAAGAAGAAAGAGGAAGTCGTCACAGTAAGATTATAACCTTTAATTCATGTAGTGAAATATGAAAGAGTATATGCCACAATGCAATGATCATTCAAAGACATCGTACAGTCGTCAATTCGTCAAATTTCATCCTCATTCTGCTTCAATCTGCTCTTCAAATTTCCGCTCATTATCTCATGCCCCATACCGTAAGTCATCATTGTCGTCCTTCTCTTCTTCCGACTGACTCATTGTGTCGTTATCTCCTCTCGACCAATCTCCAGTGAACCACCCCATCCTGATCCTCGTCCTACATCATGCAAATGCCCCATCACCCTACTCCAGCACCGACAAGATCATAGATATGAGCTAAGAGATTCAAAGATCACATTTCCGGACTGGTCTTGGCACTCTTCACCCCTTCTCCACGATCATAGCTCCTCCTCGGATCTCTGGGCGGACGGGGTGGTTCAACAGTCAAAACATTTGAGACCTTTTGTCTAGATACTTCGTTGATTGGTACTATAGCGGAAAGTGGATATCCTGACGATTCAGTCACGTTTCCGATTGAAGGATATCCATGAAATTGTTCATTTCCATATCCCCGTGATTGTTCGTTGCCATATTCCTGTGGTCGTACAGCTTTATACCCTTGTGGTTGTCCAAGGATATCACCTGCCAAAGAAGATTCAGCTGATCGTTCATCTGGCGCAGTGACGGAAATCCCAGGCGTCAAAGATGACATCATATGTGGTGATTGTGATTGTGTCACTGGAGGAGAAAGTGGTCGATTGACTGTGAAAGAATTCGAAATGGATGGAGGTTGAGAATGTCTTAATACTTTGAAAGAACGTTTAGGTACTTCTTTTTCTTTTTCTTTTTCTCCATTTTCGATATCTTCATTTTTTCTTTCTTTTCCTTCTCTTAAACCCCACTTCTTCTTCCCTTTCTTCTCTGACTTTTCTTTTTTCTCTTCCCTAGCTTTCTGCGGATCCACTTGTGGAAATCTGACAGTGTTTGTGGAACCACCCATGACCGGCGTGAGATTACTAGGTCTCGCTACCACAGTCGGGGGAATGTTCTTAGGTTCAGGTTGAGACCCAGGTCGTTTGACTTTGAACGACGATACTGATTCCTGTCGGATTTGTCCTAACATAGATAATTCATCTGTCGATATAGGTGAAATAGGTGAGACAGAAGGTCTACCAGCTCTTTTAACTTTAAAACCCGTAGTAGTCGGTGTGGGGGTCTTTATCGATTGAGTTTTAGGAGCTTGAACACCTGCGAATAAAGCACCTGATTCAGTTGCTAGAGCAGCTTTTCTAGCTTTATTCTCATCCCTTACACTCTCATCTTCTTCCTTTCGTCTTTTGACCAAACCCAAGGTAGCTTTCCATCCTCGAGGTGCACCACCACTCTCGACAATAGCAGGAATAGGTTGGAATGGTTCCGGTTCACGCATCTCTAATTCATCCGTAACTGTGATCGGAACCTTCATACGTTTATGTTTACGTCTACGTGAAGGACCAGGTTCGTCATCTGATTCTTCGTCTTCTTCAGTTCCGGAAGTACCAGAAGATTCACCTTTGTTTACGGCCATGAACCATCCTATAGGTTTTGAACGACGTTTTTGTTTCTGTTTTCTTTTACTTTCCTTATCTCTTTCTTTTTCTCCGAGACCGTATCGTGATGTAGGAGATACCTCTTTGAGATTATTCAATGAACGTCGTTTAGGAATTGCCAATATAGGTGGACGTAGACCTTGAGAGTTTGGACGTGCGTTGGAAGTATGTCCTGGCGGATAAAGAGAAGATGAGAGAAGAGTAGAAGAAGATGGTGGTGGCGAATTGAATCCACCATGCTGAGCAGCCGAGGCAGACCACGTGCGACTATGTGTAGGTACTTTCGGTCCAGAAGCCGAAACAGGGGAAGGGGATTGTATTCTACCTGGCCCAGTGGCAATATAAGGATTACGCATTTCAGCCCTACCTCCAGAAATGACGTGAAAGCTTTTCCCACCATCTGGAGAAGTAGCAGAAGGTACGTAATTCCCAGGAGGAGCATAACCTTGATATATATGAGGAGGTGAATGAGGTGGTGACCAAGCATCCATAATATGTCCTTCAGCTGTACGTTCCTCTGATCGAGAGTCTGATGAAAGACGTTCCATCGGCGGAGGTCCCAAGGGGGAATGATAGCCTGGAAAATAAGTCTGTGGTCCGGGAGAAGTAGGAGATTGCAAAAAAGGAACATGTGTTTCCGATACGGGTTGACGAGGGATACCTTGAGAATGTCTATCGAGCATCATTTGTGTTGTGAGCGATCCAGCGGCGGAAACATTACGTTGCAATTGTTTTGATCCTCGTTTCCGACGTCGACGAGCGGCGGCTTTCCCTCCTCTTACACCGTTGAGACAGTCAAGGTCCATGATCGCTGCGAAGATACCTCCATCTAATGGAGAGGTTGATTCATCGAAATGAACCGAACCGAACAGTCGGATAAGTCCTTCGACGACTTTGGTAATGAGCATGAGTGCGAAGAAGACGAATGCGATTGCCTGGAGGATGAAGATGGAGTATGCGATCCAATCATCCGCAGAGCGGGTCATGCTGAGCTGGAATTGTCAGTCCTTATACATATCACAGCACGCTCAAGAACAGCGATTGTATTAAGGAATGGGAGTTGACTCACGTTGGGGCTAAGAAGCATGACGAGCACCACCGATACCACCCGTAGCAATCCCAAGAAGGCACTGGGAGCCCCCATACTAGCACCTTCTCCCCAAGGATAGTACACAGCTGGGATGATCAACATTGCCAATTCGACTAAGATCAACACCACAGCTTGAGCCAGCCCACTCTTTTGCCCCGCACCGACCACGATGCCGGTAATGAGGCTGGCGGAAAGCGGGAAAATCCGGAACATCTGTTTCTCTTCCACATACACGTTGTACATCGGTCCGAGAGATAATAACGTGCGAGTGGCATCATATAGTTTACCGGTGGGAGTCCGAGATATCTTGAAGAGTAGAAAAGCTGGGATTATAACGGAGATGAAGATGAACGCCAATGCTGCAAAGACTCGCGATACCACACTGGCCTCATGACCGAGAACAAGTTGAAACATTGAGAAAGTCGTTATGGGAAGATGAAAGAGGATGATGAGTCGAACTAGATTGCCGTAGAGAGCCGCGGCGTGAAAAGCACCTGCCTCGCCTTTGAGTCTGAATCGCCACCACGTCTTTCTGAGCTTGTTTGAGAACGATAATTGTTGACCGCTCAATGTCTGGGTCAAAGAAGCTTGAGTGGGGAGAATGCCCGGACCGTCGCTCATTGCCGGAGTCGCATATGTCTCTTTACCTCCCAAAGAATCGTGAGGACTGTTACCTCTTGAGTATCGTTTGGAATGTCCTCGAGGCTCGACAGTGAAGAACTCGAAGAGACCATGGAGAAACCAAAGGAAAAGACTGACGAGACATACGGCGAGAGTGATGAGTAAGAAGATCGCAAGACATGTACCGAACAGATCTTGTGGTCGAAGACCAACGGCGAAAGCAAATGATCTCATGCCGTTTGATATGTCGTAGAGGTTGAGAAGACGATCAGGAGTGGACGGGTCGAGGTATAGAGGCAATGACGAGTCGCTGATTTGGGCCGCAAAGTCTGACGAGGGAGTGAAATCAGTCGCATAAGGGGACACTCGGTCGTTGGTATTGGACCCTTGAACAAGAGTAACATCTGTTCTGAGTATACCACCGATATCTTTCGAAAGGCAAACTTACTCCAAACGAGGTCTGCCCAGGCTCCTTGGGCAAAGATGGGATCTGCACTAATCAGCGAGTTATATCAACAAGGTCGGAGTGATGACGTACAAGCAAAAGTTGGCCAACCAACTGCGACCATACCCAGTATCGTACAGAATTGAATGTGATGTATGATGTCCCTCAAACTAGGCGTCACTGTGCATCAGCTCATGGCGTTGAATAGTCTTGACAAGCTTACCAAACCTCAAGAGTCCTCCACTGACACTCAACCTCTCCCCGCTCAACCCACTGATGATCATAGTTCCCCACTTCCTCATCATACCATCTCTCCTTGCCTTCGCTGGTGCTTCCTTCTGCTCATACTCTGCCACCCCACTACCTATCACCCACCCCGCTGCGAACCTAGCGCCCCAACTCGCGATCCAATATCCTATGGCCAAAGCGATGGGTAATCCCAAAAAAAGACTGTAAGAGGGCGTGCTGTGTCGATATGGGGTGAAGTTCATATCGATACATGAGAGAGTTTCGGCAGGGTCTGAAGAATCTACCAATCGAATACGAGTGTGAAGGGTAGTGAGAGCGTAAGAGCGCCATAAGGGTATGGAAATGTTGATACCGAAACGACCTGGAGAGAAGGGACAATAAGTCGTGTTTTGTGAATAAGGTTGTGGAAGGATAGAGGGGAAAAGAGAATCGCATATCCATGATGAAGACGTCCAAACGTTGAAGCCGGCAGTTGTCGTTTCTGTGAAAAGTGTAGCTGGCCGTCAGCTCTCGGCTTGCTCATATTCATTTCCCTACAAACAGTCATCTCTTCTGACCAAATTCGAACAACGAGAAAGAGTTAATTCGGACTGGGAATATAACGCGAAGGGATAGGTGTGACGACTGACCAAGTTTGTTCGTGTCATTATCATAACCATCAAAAGCGCTGTCCGTGCTTCCCAAAAGGTCTACCCGTAGAACTGAATGTCCCTGTCCTGCTAAACCCAGTTGACTGGCCTCTGCACCAGATATGAGATCCGCGTACACTTCCGAGATATTGAACTGGGTACTCTGTGGTGCCAATGGAGTGAAGGATGAAAGACATGACGAAAACGCTGGCTGGAGTGGCACCGCCCCAACGTGTGAAGTGACAATGACGAGGAGTAGGAGGTGGAAGAGTGGGTGCATGTCGGACTTGAGCAGAGCTCGCATAGCTCTCCCTCTCTTCGTAGAGGGAGTCCTGAGAGTCAGTAAACGAAAGATACAATCACAGTGGGGAGGATGGTTTCAGAGGAAAGGACAATGGACTGACGTATCAGATCAAGTTTTTCAACCTCCGCCCTCGAGGCTCAAGCAAGCACTCTCACTTTGATCAATCGCCACTCAACGTCGTGGCTGTGATAGCACTTGGCTATGATGATGACTACACTGCATGGTACGGTCTACCATACAGCTTGAACTAGAATGACGACAAACGACTGAAAGGGAAAAAAGCTAGTGTTGAAAGACAGTAGAGAGACGAGAAGCGATGTAGACAAAGGGTGAAGCGGAGTTCCAAAGACGTAGGTCTCATAGTTTTAAAGCATGTCTTCCCACTCTACATCTTCTCTCAACACCACATTTAGTCATCCTAATTTGATAAGTAGAGTATAGCACTGCAGTAATGACACTGTTGACTCTACTGAGGGATCGAACACTGCTGAAGCAGGAACGTCAAAGGGTATCATAGTCGTAGACTTCGACGATGTTCTATGGTATGCCTTCTGCTTCTCTTTTGCATCGCACCACCCAGGCATATTCTCATATCCTTGACTCCTACAAGACTCTCTCTCTCTCTTCTGACATTCTCGCTCAATCTGTCATGATGGCTAGGCTAGAAGTTGGACTTGGCGGGTCAATGATTCGGCGTAAGTTATCCGGGGCCTGTCACTAGTTTTGTGGGGTACGGGGAAGGCTGCTAACACCTCAGTCAGACAGGCCAGACAATATGCGATGAGGCCAACAAGCAGTATGGCCATAATCCCACGCTTACACTAGACGACTTCAAATACGAGTACTATTGTTACAACCGCGGGTGGAGTCATCTAAAGGAGACGATCAAAATGTTCCAAGAGCTTGTCCAGCTCGGTGCATACGAGCGGTGTGCACCGATGCCAGGTGCTCTAGAGGCACTGACGAAACTTCAGGAGAGCCATAGATTGATGATTGTCACTGCCAGAAGTGAGGCGGACAGAGAAGTGATACAAGCTTGGTTGGATACGCATACGCCAGGTAGTGAGTGTTGTCATCCCCTTCTTTGCCCTTGCTTGCCCTTGCATCCCTCTCTTCTACTTTGACAATGGGTCATGCCGCTATACCTCTGATTAACAGGCAGTCTTTCGTGGAGTGGTGCGGGACGTATGGACGTGCAGTATCAGAGGTTCGGCGGGTGAGACTCGGAGGCTGATCTCAAGTATTCGAAAAAGTGTATTTCACATCAACTTTCACCAATCCTGAAGATCCCGCATCACTTTCAAAGACGACCAAAGCCGAAGTCATACAGAAGATCGGAGCTCATGTGTTCGTAGATGACTCTCCTTCAAATATTGTCGGAGCGCTCAGAGCGAACTCATCCCTGATGGGGCTCCTATTTGGTGAATATACATGGAATCAGGCGGTGTGGTCGACAATGTCCGGCGGACCTCCGAAGGGAGAAACGGATAGTGAAGACATACCTTATGTGGACTGGACCGATGATCAAATCAGGGATAACGAGGCAAGGAGACAGGAGAAAATCGAAGCGGATTGGTTACCCAATAACGCGGTGAGGGTCAAGGACTGGACGGCGGTGTTGAGTTGGGTCGAAGAGTGGGAGAAAACGAGGAGCGCATTGTGAATACGTCTGTTTCACCACTGTCGGTCATGTTTCGTACCTTGGCATATTGTTGCATGTCGCATGTCGCATGTCGCATGGAGTTGATGCGGAGCGGTTTGAGGTTCAGAACTCGGAGAGACACCCAGAGTCGACATCATTTCTGGTCTGTAGATCACTTGCCCTTGGCTGAAACCGAGTCGAGTCGAGCCTGCTGAATGATTTTCTGTGGGAAAGACTTCTCTATACTGTACTCGTAGCATGTAGCAATTGATCACTCCATTTGGCATGACTCATTCAATCATTCAGTTATTCTCAGCATCATTTCGAGTGACGAAACCAGAGCGATCGAAGCACAATCAATCTCTTCAGTCACGTGATCAGATGAGTTGCTATCGCCGATCGCCGGGTGAGTTTGATACCTCCACCTTGCGCGACTCGTTGTGAGCGTGTGCAACTCTTTTTAACTCTTTTTTCCATTCCCCTTGCAATCCCCTCAAATCGACTCTCAAGTGTCTCAATAATTGATCCAACATACGATAAGCGGTTAGCACCTCAACACCGATATGACCGGATCAAACGCTCGTCCTCTCACACCTTCATCGTTGATCGTTGATCATCAACTTGACCAAGGGACCCTCCTTTAACGCCCTCCACATCGAATTTGAACCAACCAACTAAACCCTGAATTTGATCCGTTCAACTATTCTGATACACCCGATGATCCTGACGTCGTAAGCCGGTAGACCGAGATTCGCCGAAGATGTGGGCGTCGTCGGATGTCTCGATGAATTTGGCGGCTATTGTGAATCGATGAGATCGCTGAGATCATTGGGATCGTAGGATCGTTGGGATCGCTGACATTTGCTGATTGTCTCAAATAACCTTAGCCTCGTGAACGACACGTTTTTTCATCTTCACTCCGCAGAATCACATGTAGCCATCCCTCATTCCAAGGCTTTGAATTGCCAAGGAGGTACTATCGGTATCAGGTACTAATGGCTTTAGCCGGTAGGAGAAGGACACCGCGTGGCTGACGAAATACAAACCCCCCTTTATCAAAATCGCTCTCCTCATGACCCGTCCCATGGATTCATGGGCTCGACCCAAATGACGAAATTGATTGATGAGTTGATTGAAGAAAAGTGGGTGACGTACTTCTCAACTTTTTGATGGTCCCTGTACCGTTTCGAGTGGATCGCCGTCCGCCGGGAAAACGATCACGATCAAAAAAGACTTTTACTTAGTTCGAAACATGACAATCCCGATGAGCGATGAAGGAATCGAGCTAAGAGCAAAGAGTATGGATTTGCTTGGACTGGGCGTGGGTGTAACGTTATTTATCCTGGTAGGATCGTCTCTCACCCCACTCTCCTCAACAAGACAGGTGTCGGAGCATGAAGGAGTGGAACTAGTGTATTAGTTAGTGGAGCGATGGAGCAGAGTAGTCATGACCAACGAAGAGGAAGCAATTCCTTCGGTATTCTTCGGGACCGCGGACACGGCTTTTGGCTTTATTGATGCATGAATCAAGGGGAGGACCTCACGACCAGAGATGAAGCTATTTACTACGTATCCGACAAACGGAGTAACGGATGAAACGAATGGAACACACTTGGCTACCGTCGTATTGTCAACCAGCGAGACGAGGCATCGGATCAGAGCAAGCAAGGAGGGAAAGGAGTATTGAGGTGAGGAATTCAAAGAAAATCTCGTCATCCCTTTGAATTTCCCAATTGGTTTGTCCTTACCCCGTTCAAAATTAGTTACCTCTTGACCCCCTGCCTTTGACCCCGATCCTCGTTGTCGGTCGTGGATTGGTCAAAAACGTCAGACAGACCGTCCTCTCCACTCTGCTTTTTTCGGCGTATCCACCCGCACAGCCCCGAACGTGGACGTTTCAATACATCGTGTTAACCCACATCTGACCCCCACTTTGTTCTTTGATAGATGATCGCATCGAGATAAAAAGCAACGAGGCAAAAGGAAGGTGAGTGAAGCAGATTCCATCTTACCCCCCGCCCATACGTATCAAGTCCGTCTGATCAGTCAATCGCCCTCATGTCTCACCTCCACTTTCTCTCTCTTTTTTAGTCTTATTCATTAAGATCAGAAACTCGAAAAAGAAAAGGAAAACTCACTAACCCGAATCAGGTACGGACCCGATTCCCCCCGGGTACAAGGATCGTCCGATCGTCGGACAAAAATCAAAGCTTACGTCTTGCACTTTCGCCCCAGTCACGTACCAGTCGTATACCTCAATGACCAAGATGGGATTTACTCCAAGTCGCACATGCTCCCTAAACCCTCCAAGTGTAAGATCCCTAGTCTAAACGTCTTTGACGCTCAGTGTCATTACCCTCGGAAACAAGAATCAAAGAGTGGTAAATTGATCAGAGACAAAGCGATTGTTGGGACAAGGGCGAGCATCATAAACGTAGCCCTTACTGTACCAGTTGGAGAGCATCATTCCAACATCTCGAAGACAATACAAACATACTTTGGGGAGACTAAAGAGGTGGGTTAAAGGCAGGGTAAGTCTCATTACGCCTACGACATCTTTGACACGTTCAAATCTGCTCACTCACACACAGATCAATTAGAAATCTTTCCTTCTTGTCATCATCTTCTCTTCTCATTTTTGTTCACTTTTTCACCATCTTCAAAGATCATCTCTCCTCCTTTTTATCCTCCATTCCATTCTCAATTTCAACTCACCACTCTCACCCGTCCCAAACTCCCACCATTACCCCATCACATCTTGTGATCGGTGACTGCCGACCCAAGACGTCACACCCAAACCTCATTTACCACTTAAATCCCTCATCGTCATACAAACTATCTTGAAACTCGTCCATACTCCCCTTGGCGACATTCGCCCCGTCACCCACTCCTTCACGTACGCCCTCGGACCGCGACCGCCCTTCGGTAACCCAAAGCTGCGACATACCCTTTACCTGACTTGCTTGCAATACACCCACCTGCTCCTAAGAGTCTACCCGCACGGTTTTCCTTTTCCTTTCCACTGCCGAGACGTGGAACAAGTGTGGGGCGTCGTCATCATTCTAGCTTCTCCTGCGCCCAGCTCAAAGTTTGGACAGCGAGGAGAAACGATTATTTAATTCCTCGGAAAGGGTGATTCAGGCTATGTACGGTCGCCTCCAACCTCCTAGACCAGCAAGACCAGCTGCTGAACCCCCAAAACCACGTTATCTTCAACCTGGACCTTCCCCGTGTCTACCAGCTAGAACTGGTTGGGCGGAATTACCAGTCCAATCCATGCGTTCTCCTAGTCCTCATACTGGTTATTCCACTCATTATACCTTTCAAAACACTCCTCATCCGGAATCACGACGGAAGAGTGATGAAATTCTTCCGGATAGTAGGGGAAGACCTGGGGATAGGGGGAATAATGTGGGAGGGAAAAGCGTGAATGGTCGCATCAGCTTATTGGCGGATATCGCTTTGGCAGAAGCTCAAGATGATGATCCACAGAGAGAGAATGATGCGAGCACCGCCCAGAGATTGAGGGATCATAGACCGTCATTACCTTCCCTCGCCACTGCCATCCATGGGAGTAACAACAATACCAGTTGGTCGCCACATTCTGGATTCACTTCTGAAGCCCCTCGTGCCAGACCTGGAACTCGTGGTGTTGTTTCCGAAGTGAGTTCTCCTTCCTGCATATATTCTGCATCGTCTATGCATACGTGGGGTCTGGCTGACGGTACTAGCCTAGCTCAGGCGACGTTCCTTTGAAATACGATGTTCGATCTTATTCCCGAGACCCAAGGAAATCTCGTTCGGCTTTCCCAAGTCATCCTCCGACATCTTCAGCTCCTACACACCAGAATCACCAGCACCATAATGTACCCCAACAGCACCATCAAAATAATCCCCATCTAGCTCAACTCATGCAAACCGTTCCTATTCCCAACCGATTACACTCGCAAACGCAATCCCGATCCGCCCCTCATCCACTCACCAGCATGACATTGGACAGAGATTATTCCGGTCATTCTGTGACAGGATGGCACGAGGAAGCTCAACATCTGTTACGTCCGCCACCGCCTTTGATTAATGGACACACGTCTCCAGGGTCTACCGGTTCTACCTCCCCTTTGAAAGTACATCATCCTCACGAAGTTCAATGGGATCATACGACCAGCGCAGGGATGGCTGTTCATATGGTAAAGGATACTCGTGGGAGGGTCGTGCATCCACCTCCGCCTCATACAAACGCTCCTACTCCGGGAAATTACCCTCAACAACTACCAGCAGAGCAGAGACAGAGGGAATATACTTTTGTCAACGTCGATGGAGAGAGATTGGCTGGAGGTTATAAGCAAAATGGCACGGGACGTAGAGCTAGTAAAGATTTGGGAGAGAAGATTGGTCGACAAACAGCAAACATCACCACGACAACATCTTTGACTCATCCTACTCCTGTTCATCCTACTATGAGAGTGGAAGAAGAGGGAATCAATCGTCCGACTCATTATTGGCATCGAACATTATCATCAAGCACGACTCAAGGAAGTGATTCGACTGTGAAGAGTATACAACATTCTGATCCTCTACCTCTTACACCCCGCGAACGATCAGATCTTTCTCCCATCGCAAACGAGAAACGAAGTGCAACGTCCACTTCTCCTCGACGACATTCGGACTCACACGATCATATCGAATATCTAGGTCAGACCAACGGACATAATTCGAGTCATATCTTGGAAGAACCTACCACTTCACTCCCTACTCCGATTTCGGTTTTGCCAACAACACAAATCCATCCGTATTCTCATTCTCATTCTCACTCTGCTTCTTGGTCTGACGGAACGTTCGCTTTCAGTGGAAGTAGGACCAATGATATAGACGGTTCACTTTCACCTGACAAACGTCGATTCGGAGGATCAGATACAACATCTTCTTACTCTACAACTTCTCTACCTATTTCTCTGATAAGAGCTCGTATCGAACAAAGTCCAGGGAGAAGGATCAAAACTGAACCTTGTTCACCTGCTTCTCCAGGTGAAACATGTTCTGTTTCTCCTCGATCAGAAATTTGTTTGGAAAGACCTGCCAAACGACTCCGTTTAACACTTCATACAGCTTCTTCTACTTTGTGTAATGGAGATTTGGAAGATATTTGTAATCCTAAAGACAATATGCTGCATTTTGATGGACTTCGAGATGGAGATGCGATGAGCACGGATGAAAGGGTTGGAGATGAAAACGAAATGAACAGAGATGGAGATGGAGAGAAAGAAGGGAAGAAAAAAAGACGTTATGCAAGAAGATCAGGTCCAAAGAGGAAAGAACAGAATGCCAAGGCACAGAAAAAGTTTAGGGATAGGAAGAAATCAGCAGGTTTGAGAATGGCACAAGATTTACAATTATCTCAGAGAATGATGGAAAAGAGTAAAGCTAAGATAGAAGAGTTGGAAAAGATGTTAAAGGAATCAGAAGAGAGTAAGAGGAAGATGAAAGATTTAGAAGAAAGATTGAAAGAGACTGAGAAGAAATTAGGTGAAATCGAAAAGGAGAATAAAGGTTTGAAAGGGGAAACCTATTGATTCTTTTCTCCTCGTCACGCTTTCGGTATTTCCCGTTCTCGAATTACGACTTGAAATCAACTTTTTCACACTAAATATCAATGTACCATTAGTTCCAAGATCTCTCAATCCTCATTCTCAAATTTTATACCACTATACTTCTACCAAGAATCACTGAAGTATCGAACATGATTTTCCTCAATTGCCAATATATCAACGATAATTCTCTTCGACTATCAACCTACCATCCTCTTCACAGACCAACGTCTTCATGTACCAACTACTTAACGTCGTTATCCTCGAATGTGTTCAAACTCTTCATTGATCATGATCAATTACTATCTACAATTCAACTTCATTCCACTCGGGTGCTGGAAGCGGGTGAATTGGTAGAGGATGGTTAATGGAGTGAAGAATATAAATGAGAATAACATTCAAACCACAAGGACCGATCCCCAGAAGAAGAGTGATCACGAACCTCAGCATTTTATGAGAAGTTAACAAATTTGTGTGTATGCATCGAAATTATGATCTATGAGCAATTTGACAACGTTGGCCAACACTAATGATTCATGATACTTTACATCTTTCCCAACACCACAACTGACCAATACTCTACGTGTATTCACCTCACACATTACCTCGTTACCTTCTCTCATCTACAAGATACTTGTGAAAAACGAACAAGTTACCGTAACCGTGTGAATGCAGAAAATTACACAAGTATGTGATATGGATACCAGGTACATGTCACGATGCTCACTATCAAGTACTGTATATAGGCAAAGGAGCAAAGGAGATTAAAGAATAAGGAACATGAAGGGGGAAATGAAAGAGAGGAATCATGAAACCATGATATCATGATCACATGCATAAAATATTCAATTCTTGTTGCATTTGCATCTCTGTCCATTGTTCAGATCTAGTACCGTGAGTCTGAACGTCAGTCTTTCCTTCCCCCTTATCTGATCCATGTTATCTCATAGCTCATAAACTGCGGCGTGAGATGAGATGTTTCGCCGTTTTTAACGATTTGATAATCACACTGGGCACCGACGATATCTGATCTGATATAATCGACATGGCTGATTATCTGACAATCGAAACCGATCGGAGATGTACATGAGTGACGTAGGAAAAAAAAAAGGCTCGATTGAACGGGCTGATCTTGGGTCTAGGGAAAGGATCGAGATCATTTATAAAAGCAGCTAACAGCTAGCAGGGATCGTCTGGTGGGAATGAGGCAGACGATCAACCACTAACCACTGGCTCCAGTGCACTAGGGTGAATACGATCGGCGAGAAGATCAAGGCAGAACGGACCGCATCAGACGGATTTTTCTCCTTGGAAGGTGGGTTACAGGTGGGGGAGGGAGGTAATTCATGGGAATGTGGGTATGAAGGTATCCATAATGATAATTCCCGATCAATGGCAAGGGGAAAATAAATTGTGAACCAAAAAGGGGAGAGAAGGATCACATCGAGTCAGAAGAGAAGAAAAACTCACACTGACTACGATGACCCTCTGATCATCTATCATGATCCCATTAGCTGCCATACCTTCTTTTCTGATAATCTCAACGAATGGTAATCCACTTTTCACGTCCTCTTTCCATATCTGTCGATGGACAAGTATCGTAGGCTTGTCCACCACTCTGATTTTCACTTCCACTTTCTTTTCCTCCAAACTCCCTGGAATTGACTGGTTCTTCTTATCGACGGTTTTGTCCGTAGGGTCGACGTTAGACGATGGGTCTGATGATGAGTCGGACAGGATGGCGGAAGAAGAAGCTTCAGAGAGCAATCGACGGACGGTAAAAGGGGAGAAATCCAAGATACTGATATCTGATTTTCTGGGAGGTTGGTCGTTCAATCGGGAAACCTCGCGTCTTCGCTCCAACTGTGAATGGAGAAGAGAGACGAAACGATATCCAGAACAAGAGCAGACCTGTATGTAAGTGAGACGTAACTTTCTTCTTTGTCATTTCCCTCAAACCCCTCCACTGACTAGCGTTGAGGCCTTCAGTCAAATCTGAAATAGGTGAGACTGGATTTAACGGAAAGAGGCAGAAATGGGGCAAGCAGAACAAGACAGATGATCCGCGATGATAGATGGTCTGACAGACTGGACAGAGGGAAGTAGAAAATCCGCACTCACCCAATTACGTCTAGTCATCGTAACCTCTTGCAACCTCGCTCGACTGGCCCAAACATCCCATTCCAAAGTTTCAAGAACATTCCAAAACCCAAAATCACGTTCGGTCCAACTCCTTCTCCATCTCTCCTCTCCCTTTTCACCCAATTCCACGAGCATTTCTCGCAATATGAACAACTCAAACGACGTTCCGTCCACATCATCCCCCTGAAACCCGGCAGGAGTGGCTTCAGTGACTTGAAGCTCAAATACCAACACCCCTTTCTTAGGATCTTGAGTGAATGGTTTTTGTAACTTGATCCCAGAGCCAGGATCAGGTTTAGAAGGTGGAAAGGGGGGATCAGGACGGACGTCGAAACCTCCCACACTGGCACCTTGGACGAAAGCTGGGAGCTCGAGTTGAGCAACGAGTACAGGTCGGTGACTCGTATCGTCTAGGTAATCGGGACCGAGAGGCTGGACGGGGTTGATATGTGATTTGGGGTCGGAGAGTAAGGAGTAAACCTGTATGACAGGGGGAAAGACGGAGGCTACTGAACGTGTTTCTGTAGGAAGCACAGGAGAGACGTTGTGTGTGGTGGTGAGAAGGAAGGTGGTAGGTGATAAAAGGGCGAAGGAAGCGAACCATCCTGCTTCGACGATGGCATGACGCTGAGATTAGCCAAGACTCCCTTGCTACAATCATCCACCAGGGACGAGATACATGGAAACACATTCAAATGTAGGACAACCCGTGTCAAGGGGACAAGCAAAGACATTCCGAGAAGGGAAGGATTGAGACTCATTCACAAACGGGGCACTGGGTACCACACGGACACGTCCAGGCGCACCAGACACTCTCATTTGCTTTTCGTAAGGAAACGGACTCGAAGAACAGTTGAAAGTGCAGCAGAATTGACAAATGTGTGAGGAATATCAACGACACTCACAGCTAAAACTCTCCCCGTCTTCCAATTCCAAGCAACTAACTCTTCATCAATCCCACTTATACCTCCTGCACCAAAATTCATACCGACACCCAATCCGGCCAAGATCCACTGAGGAGCCGATCGACTAACCAACACACACAATGTGTCACCCATGACCTGTATCAACTGTCTTGTCTGAGTCAAGCCAAGGGAGAACGGAGGAAAGTCTAGAGAAGGTATTTGTGCCAATGGGTGCGGGGTGAAAGATGATAATGTGAGAAGGTGAAAACGGTGAGTTGGGGGAGGTCCATTAGGTATCGATGCTTCTGGCCTGTTCGTCAGATGGCCGTATCCTTTAACGTCCCATCGATCATTCAGATGAAGCAAATATTTTGTCGACTTACCGATATTCACTGACGACGAGAAGATCTTGAGTGGGGTCCATGGTGAGGTCTGCGATGGAGAAACGGGCTTTATAGCTCTTAGTAGGGAGTGGAGGATTGTTGAGATCTGGATCGGCAGAGGAAGGTAAAGGTATGAGTCGGATCGATGATGGCTAGAGGTGAGCTCCATTACTTCTGACATTTATAACGGTGAGTCATAGACCATCGACAATTGCATAGCTCCTGCCATCGAGAGTGAAGCAACAACGCTTAGTGCTGGGTGACACGGAAACAAGGAGAAGACGGCGAGACTCACTCGATGTTCATCAAAATCCCCATAATCATCACACATCAAGAATATCCCTTCTTGCAACTCATAAACTCCAGCGGGTCCATCAACCTCAATCTTTCTCCTACAAACGGGATCCAACGTATCCCATCTCTTTTGTCTCTCTTTTAACTTATCCAATTTCTCTCCTGCTGACAAAACTCCTCCAACCTTTCTAACACTTGACTGTGTGGGCCAATCGGGCATCCGAACAGAAGGTATGGACTCCCGTTGGTTCATTCCGTTTCCCACGCTGTCCACAATGGGCGGAATGAGTGGTTCGTTGGGAGCCAAGTTTCGGGGTGTTATATCGGAGTTGAGTGATATAGGGGGTTGAGGTTGTACATGTGAGTTAAGTGTTGAACCGAGTTGAGAAGATGGTAAATTGGGATGAAGTGATAAGTTTGAGTCGGAAGTCATATCAGAGTGAAGAGGTGATATATCGGAGTTGAATGATAAAGCGGAGTTAACATGATTCGCCATTGTTCTCAAAAACGTTGATGTTGTCGATTGAGGTAAATCGATATGAGCAGATATATGTAGGTGAAAGTCATATTGTAATTGAGCGGAAGTTTCATATATCCCTTTGAGTATTTTACATACCTATGGTATCAGTATTGATTTCACATGCCAAAAGTGTGTAGTTCCATTTACCAACCTGAAGGCCAAGCAAGCACTCTCAAAAATAGATAATGATCGTATGGAAAGTGTGGTTTGAGAGGGGAGTAGGTAAAGCGATAATGTTCAAGAGTAGATGGATAGATTTGAATGGTCGCTGAAGATTGTTAAGGGTGACTGGACGGATAGATTGAAGAGTGGTGCGACCAAGTGAGAACGTATGAAGGCTTGTTCAGTAATGATACCACATGAAACATATATCTCGAAGAGCTTTGTTCATATTGATAAGATGAACGATATCCAAAAACTCACACCTCTCAAATTCAATCGATCATCATATCCCAATTGTTCAAAGACGTTTTCTAAAATCTCCTGTGGTAAAGCTGACAACGTCGCTTTATCGTCTTTCCCAGGAGAGGCCATCTTCCCAATGAAGTCTTCACCTCTTCACCAAGTCTCGAACTTTGCAGCTCGGAATGAACCGATTGAGGTTAAGAAAGGTTCTTGGAAGCCCTTTGGGAAAGATATGGAAGAAGGATGAGGGAGTGAGGATTGAAAAGGATCGGAGTGGGAGAAGTGGTAAGTGGTGCACATCGGACAATCGAGAGTGAAGGGGAGGGATATGTTACGTAATTTCATTTCACAAGACGCACGGTCCAGCAAGACACAGCATCGACGTTTGACGCGAACGCGATGAGGGGATTGTTTTCACCTGGACCCACAACGATCAACGAGCAAGAGACAGTCAAAAGTCCAAAAACGTATAAATGTATGCATAAAATTCATAATCGTGTAAATGATGATATCATACATAGATTAGATCACTATCACACTTCTTGACCTCCACCTTCTCTACCTTTCAAATCCTCCAATTCTTTATCCACCACAGCAGCGTCAAAGAACCCCTCTCTATCTATGCCATCGACTTTTTCATCGTATGCGTAATCTTTCTCCGCTATGGATCCTTCATCAGGTCGAGTAGGATATGGTGTTTCGGGTAATGGGTCAACTATCAATGGAGGTATACGTCGAATCGTCTCGAGATGAGCTTCGTTCGTCTGTAAGTCAGCTAAACACTTCATCGATCTTTCTCATAAAGTGAGATCTTTCGAGTAACGACATAGTTACACTGATATCACCTGCAACGGAATAGTGAGTGCCTATTAACAAGTATAGTATGGCCAACTCTCAATAATGGACATATAACAAGACCGGGAGGGAGATCAAACAAGAAGTACCGACCTGAAGATTCTGCCCAGCGGCTATAGCTTTCATTATCCCCCCACTTGCTTTCTCATGTAATCCTCTCCTCAGACCACGTTGATAAAAACCAGAAATCACCTCCAAAGGCCAATCATCAGGTACCAACCTCAACACCCTTTCCATATCCAAATGCATCGATTGGGCATTCAAAAGATTTGAAGCTTGTTTGATCGTTGAATCACTACCAATCGTCAGTTCTTTATCCACTTAGCAAGAAAAAAATAATGACTACTCACCCATCTCGCATATACACCCCTAATAATTCCATCACTGAATTCTCTTGAAGTTGAGGATCTACACTTCCCCTTTTCTTCCTTCCTATCTCCCCTATATTGGCCCAAGGAGCTAAATCAGATAATCTAGAAGCAACTCGTTTGGCCGTTTTGATAGTGATGAATTCTCCTTGTGTGCAATAAGTTTGAGCGGACATTCCATCTCCAACATCTCTCGCTAACAACGATAAAGCCCTTTTGGTCTCGCCCAACTAGGGCATCAGCTTAGCACTTCCATAGTGGGAAGGGGAAGGCAGAAGAAATTTCAAGACTCACTCTTCCCAGGATTACGGCCAGTTCATATTTCAACAACTCTTGTCCCTCAAACCTTTGTGATGCATCCTGAAGGTCATAGAATGGCGAACCTTGTAGAAAAAGCATAAGTTTCAAACGAGTGAACTTGATCGGTGTCGGAGGAGCCACTTCAGCTAAGTAAACAGGAAATGGGTCAGGATCTATTTGAAGCCGGTAGTCCGCTTCGAGCTCTTCGAGATGGTATTTGACCCCGTCATCTTGTACCAGTGAGAGGACGGTGTCGATCAGACGGGTGAGTAGGTCCTCGTGGAGATCGCGAGAAGAAGACTTCTTGTTTACTACTACGTGCTCGAGATACTCAAAGGACACTTCTGGAGAGATTTGCCTTAAGTCGGAAAGAAGAGAGATGTCGTCAATTTTACCAATGGCAGGATTAGGAGACATGATGAGCTGCATCGTCAGCTTGCCTGCCAGTGCTCAAGGCACTCATTCAGGACTCATAGCTATGGGGGATGGGCGAAGTGAGAAGAGTTGACCGAAGCGATACTCACTGAAAGTCCCTTATGAGCATCACGTGCGACCAGCCATAGGACATATTTCCTCCAAATAACAGGATCAGTGACACCTTCGATCATCTGATATATCTCTTCGATGGGATCGTCACAGAGCGGATCCCCGTGTTGAGATTCTGCAATTCTTGACAGTCAGCGTGACCCCACGGGCAGTCATGAGCTTACCCTCGAAGAATCTCCAATACCCTATCGATTCTCCCTTGCTGCCTTAGGACGGTCGCCAATACGTAGGGTCTTTTCTCCAGGAACGGCTCCAGTTCACTCAACACCACATCATTAGGCGAAGCTAATAATGCGAGAAGCTCATTGGTGATCCCTTGATCCGCCATCAACTTCGATAGAGTCGTATCGATGACCTGAAATGTCAATGACCACTCATCATATTCTGCCGGTCCACAGAGGAGTCTCGAGGGGACAAACGTACAATGTCAATCTTTCGAGAGTCTACACCTCTCGCCCCGCCTTTTCGCCGCGACGCCCTCGTACGTCTCAGCAATTCAGTAAGCATAGTCTTAGCATCATCGTACAACGCGTCCCGTAGCTCAGTTGTTTCCGGTGCACTTTGCGAGTTTGGAGACACATGTGGGGAGTAGTTTCTCTTGATGCTATTCGCAACTGTGACATCAGCTGGATCTAGAACTCAGAAAGGTCAAATTGACTGATTTGGTCTACGGTGGGCATTTCGAGCACGACCTCTCGAAGTCCTTCGTACACTTCGACATCTTCTGCTGAGCCTATGACCTTGCCTCGGAATGCAGGAAAGAGACGGACTATGAGACGAGGATCGACTTTACCACGGGAAAAGTATTCGCCCGCGCGTTCAAACATCGCTTCTAGCAAGAGGTGTGAGGCGAGGTATAAGTGAAGATAACGCATTGTAGCTAGGTGGGTTGTCTACTCCGGTCAGTCGGACACTGACATCAAAGCTTGAAAGATTGACCTTATCCTGATCCACCTCCCCTCTTCGTCCCCTCCTGCGTTCCTCGTCTACCGCGGCAGTGGCTTCTTCCATTCGACGTTCAGCGCATAACCTCTCCACCCGCAGGATGATCGACGCTGGCGAGAGTGACATGATCGTATTCGGTCCAAAGACTACAGTCTCTGTGATGACTGTCGAAAATGGATCCTTGACAGCGGGCGCGGTGGTCTGTAGTAAGGAAGTTTGCGTAGCCGAGAATATAGGTCGTCGTCCGAAGTCAGGAGGTGAGGATGGTGGGGTCAGGCCCGATCCAGATGACGGTTCAATCACCGGTGGGATGACATCCAAACTAGGTAACATGTTTTCATCGACTGCGTCGACACTCATGTTGCTCAAGTCTACTCTGGGCGGACTTCCAGAATGAACTCTGATGGGTGCCAGATTGGGGGGTGCCAATTTCCCACTGAGCAACTGCATCCGTCCAGCTTTCAATCGTTCGTCCCTGACCAAGTCCCTAACCTCCACACCGTAAGGAGAATAGCTGAGAGCCGTGGCGTTCATAGATAGGTCGAGGGTGACGATCTGTATAGGTTTGTCAAGATCGTCCAGTCTGTGTACTCTGATGGTTCCATTTTTCAACAAAGCAATGATGAAGTTGGCCTCAATGGCAAGACTGAGTGGATGATCAGGCCATTCCATCGTTCCCCTCACAGGATCACCCTGCCCATTCAGGAAGACACCCATGGTACTGACTCCGGTAAACGAGGTGACAAGAAATTCGTTTTCACCAGGTATGACGACTATATTTGGATTTGGGTCAAAATCGAGGGTGGTAGGGTCGAGCTGAGAGACGGGCAATACTTCAGTGAGTGATGCGTCTGAGAGATCGATGATGCTGTATGTGCTTTGGTCGGCCGACGGTATGGAAGCGCATAGAAATGTAGATGTCAGAGCTATCTGAGTAGGTGCAGATGGCAAAGGGATTTCCTGTCCGTCAGTCTTATTAATAGGGATTGATAGGACAACCAACCTTTGCGAGTGTCATGCGTTGTCCAACTTTGTATATAGCCAAGCCTTTCCGTCTCACCACGACCATGGTCATTTCTGAACTCTTATCTTCAGACTCGGGGCCCGTCCAATCGAGCTCATCATCGTCTAGGGTGACAGTCACGACACCTCTGATGGTGGGGATAACGGTAGAGGGGACCGCTTCGAGATTAGGAAGGTTAACAGGATGCACTGTCCCGTCTGAGATCATCAGCTGAGTAATGTTTGAGCAGCTAACCTACACACCTGAGAGAATGAAGGCCCTACCAACTTTCGGGAGGAGCACGATCTTGCTGACAGGTCGACGAGGGAACACGGAGTATTTGTTCTTCAAAGACCAACCTTGTGCCTAAGGCGTCAGGCAAGTTGACTGAGAGAAGAGTCGACTGACTTGGGACGTCCCCGCACTCCCATCACATACCCACCATTCAACAACACCATCTGTTCTGGCGACGTAGAGGTTAGGTCCATAGCCTTCTACGCAGGTGACTTCTATTTTCTGGTCTGAAGGGACGGACTCGGGTCGAGAACGGTCGGGAGAAGAGGTAGGAGAAGAGCGGAATGGGGAAGATTGAGCGGCTCTACGGGTTGCTGATGCGGCTAAAGAGGTGAATGAGGAGGATATGGATGGTTGCGGGGAGGTAGAGAGTGGTTGAGCTGGAGGTCAGTGACAGGTTTTGGAGACTGCAAGTGAAAGGGAGACGAACCTGGGGATGAGAGATCTAAGAGGTCTTGAGATTTATAGAGTTGTGTGAGGACGGGTTGAAGGTGGAATGGACCGGGCAGGAGGGTCATGGTGAGTGAGTGAGGGAGTGAGGGAGTGATCAGTGAAGCAGACCCGGTTCACCCAGTCTATGTCATGAGCCTTGAGTAGTAGGAGAGAGTAGGAGTCGAGGTGACGATGGTGAAACGGAAGAAAGCCACGTCATGATAAGCTTTAATCCGAATGCCCCGATGGGGACGGAACTGAGAAAGAGCTAAGGGTGGAATGGTCCAAGCGAGGACCCTGAAACGAGGGTGACACTTGCCGGAAGTGGGCTGTGCCGGGGGGGGGGGGGGGAGTGCGCATGAGCCATGGGCCATGGACCAATCGATCATCATGCAATCAGGGGCGAAAACTGGGTGTGGAAAAAGTCGGGATCAGCTTATAACGGACTTTTCAGATCTCTTCCTACATCCTCGCTTGTTTTCATCATTATTATTGGGGGGAAACCACCTCGTGGCTAAATCTATTACATTCTCAGCGCCCCTCGTCTTACATACTCTTAACATTAAGAGACCCCCAACAATAAACGACGTCGACTACCTGACACCGACCCCTCCCTTTGGTGGCCATTCCACCCATCATCAACCTTTCACTCTTTCCCAGGTCAGACGACTTGCCACCACTTCCTATTATCCCCTCAATTCTTCCCTAAATCCCCACGAGTGGCCACGAGTTGTCGTACACCTGACTTCTTTTCATCCTCACTTCGCTTATAGCGATCATCATCCACAGATAGTCACCACATCTTTCCTCTACACACGAAATACACTCCCATCATTCCCATCATGCCTTCACCTCCACCTCAACCTGTCCCTACCAATAACCCCCACGCCGCGTTCAAACATCCTCAGAACATCAATACATCACCTAGAACAGGTATGTCACCCATGTCATATGGTGCCATGACCGGTATAAGTTTCACCGGAGCCGCGTTCTCAATGGAAAAGTCATCAGCGGGCGTGGGAATCCCAGTCAGAAGCTTGAAAATGTCCGGCGTCGTAGGTGGTGTCGCGGGAAGTTATGGTGCTAGGTTCTATAGTGGAGCGTGAGTTCAAGATCAACCTTCATATTCTCTTACTCATTCAATCATCAATATCTTTTGGGATCGTGGATCTCGAAGCGAGTGGGTTGAAAAAACGAGCTGATCGAATTCAGAGTGGGTTCTCCTCCAGCGCCCTTTTCAACTTCCATCACAATGGTTGACCCTTCTTCAATCTCACGTAGATCATACGCCGCAGCCGTTCAAAATCGTAATTCAGATTATCCAATGAACGCACTCTCGTCATCCTTCAACTCCCTATCCATGCATGCCATGTCTACCTCTTTAGGGACGTCATACACCCGTGGACAGGTACATTCCTTATTGGCCGCAAGATCAGATGCCGAACTTACAAAAGAATACATGTGTTGTACACAACGTTTTGCCGGATTACACGATTTATTGGAACATGTGGAAGATATGCATCCTCTCGGAGGTGAAATTGATAATCAAAATAATCATTTCTTCTCGATGGATATGGATATGGAAGAATTGGATGAAAAACCCTTGATCGAACGTACCACTTCATTGGCGGGTTCATCGATGACTAGCGAGAGCCGATCTTCTGAAATAATACCGACATATCCTGTACCTATCAGTAAACCAACCACTCCGACGTCAGAATTCCCTGTTCCAGTTCCAGTGACGGGTAATTCATTCCAAATTTCAGACGTTCTCACTTCTCCATTGGAAGTTCATGTCCCTTCTGCCCCATTATCAAGAGTCTCAACGAATACTTCTTCTCCGGCCGATGGATCAGTCGTCACACCTAACACATCGGGTCAAGCTTCTCCTGTATTTCCAAAGATGGCACCTGGTCGATCTGCTTTTTTCCCAATCGCCAAACAACCTATCAACCATAAACGTCATTTCGATAGGGCTTTCAATGATGTGGTGTCGGGCAAAGCAGCATCACCCAAGACGAATACGGAAGATGGTCAAACGTTGAAATTACCAAGAGCCGTGGCACCTACTGTATTACATGGTTCCGGACCGTCCACTTCAGACACGCCAGGTCAAGGAACGAATACAAGTGGAAATGGGGAGAACAAATCCACAGATTCACCTTTACCTCAACCTAGCTTGTTTTCAACGGATAAACCTTGGAGATGTCCGAATCCAGGATGTAATAAATCTTATCGTCAAAGTAATGGTCTGAAGTATCATCGTGAGAAAGGGTTTGTCCTTCCGCATTTCTAATGAAAGTATAATGCTAATGAGATCAGACAATGTGATTTTGCCATACATGATGCTGTGGACTTGGGTCTCACTTTTGAAGAAGCGGAAAGACGGAATAAACCTTTCGTATGTGCGGTAGGTAATGGATGTACAAAACGGTATAGACAGATGAACGGGTTGAAGGTGGGTTTTATCACCGTTCTCCGACTCTCATCATTCATCTTTCGTACCCACGTCCCTGCTCCAGTCGTCTTATTTTTCTCTCACACTCGGTGATTCTCTGTAAAGAAGACACGCATATGGCATCGACTAACAACCAGTATCATTACCTCAATTCCGGTGCACATGGAGCATGGGGTCTTAGATTATTAGAAAACGGTACTCATCCCGCACCAATCAATCCCATCTCAACACCTTCAACTCCCATTTCATCATCTTCAACACCTAAACCTCGTCCAATAAATGCACCTTACACGATCCCTAATGTCTCTCGGCCCAGTACCATCACTCAAAGTCAAACTCCCGTTAGACCCGGTGCATTAAGTCAAACGAGACCAAGTAATATATCAACTTCAACCATTCAACCCACTCAAACCCAAACTCAAAGTGGGACATCGAACCAAACGAGACCGAACAATATATCAAACCAGAATACAAAAATCGGAGTATTGAGTCAAACGAGACCTAATCAAATCCCCGTTCAGACTAAAAGACCTATCCCGACGGGTCAAAATGCTTTAAATAGGATAGGAGGGAATGGTTTAAATCAAAGAGGTCCAGAAGCTATGTTATTCGCTGTTGGACCGGAGGATTTGTTGGGGAGATCATAGGTCATTCTCACAACGACACAAGTGTTTCTCAATAATTACACGATTTAATCAATCTTCCATCTGACACGACGCCGATCAAATCATCCTTAAAACAAAAGATCTTGGTAATGGTTCATTCCATTTCCACGCTCAAATCAAGTTTTTCTTGAATCATCTTGTAACGAATTGATTCAAGATTCATATGAAAACTCAAAAAAAAATTGAAAAAAAATTCAACAATCATCTTGTCAATATCAAGTACAGTATGTATGATCTGATCTGTATAAAAACAACCACATCTTTCTTCAACTTTGGTGAAATCCGTATTTGTATACAAATGGTAGATTGGTAAAATGGTAAAATGATAAAATGGCACTGTTGTTGTGCCTCTTTTGCAAAGTTTTTTAGTATAATTTGGATCTTTTGTCATGTTGCCATGCACCTTTTTTTGCTCTTTCGTTGCACTTGTATTTCCCCTTCATCAATAATTACAATTTCTTTCGTCTTAGTTCAAACAGTGAAGTAGTGAAGTAGTGAAGTAGTGAAATTGTGAAGGAGTGAAGTAGTGAATTAGTAAAGTAGTGAAGTAGTGAATTAGTAAAGTATTGAAGTAGTGAAGTAGTGAAGTTGTGAAGGAGTGCAGTAGTGGATAGGGTCATGATTATCGAACATCTTTTGCATGTGTATATTTTCCCGAGCGAGCATGACCAAGATTGAAGATTCAACTTCCCATACCATCTAACTCACTCCTACTCCCCGTCCGATGACTTATGGTCAATGGTCAAGGAGGGTTTCATACTTTTATTCGAGGTCCTGTGTGATTTATCATATTCACTAATATCCCCTGCCATCTTGTCGTGTCTAGAATCCCAGATAGTGGTAGTACTACCAACATCCATCAAGTTGACGTACCACCAACATCCCAAAAGTACTGTTCACCGACCTTTTTCAACAGCGCACCATACCCCACTCCTCAAGTCCGTAGATTTCCGACTATCTTCTCATGTCGTCGTACATACCTTCTGTCCCTTCCTGCTGTCCATCCGCAACGGCAATCCAGCACTGTAAACCAGGATTATGCCTCAAAAATGACCATGACGAAGAAGATGAAACGATGTGAAAACATAAACCTCCCCAATCACTCTCTCTCCCTCTTGATCACCTCAACAACTTCTTGTGCCGTCTGAGCATTCGTTACCCTCAACGTATAAGGCGCCGCCACACCGACTTGATCAAAACCTAGGAATTTCACCATGAAACCATCTGATGTGGGGTTTATATTTTTATTCAAAGACATATTCTGTCATCAATTTGAATTCCCTCATGTAACTCTACCACGTGCACAACGCAGTACACCTTTGTACGAAATCCTGATATCATAGTTCTATGCTTCCGAGTAATCGAATTATTCGATCGAAGATGTAGGATTGGATCAAGTCCATCCACGGTTGATGGGATATGTAGATTGAATTTGATCGCCATCTTCGTTCGCCGGTCATCGTCAATTGTAAAGGAATTGAAAACCATCAGAGGTATGACACAAGTGAGATAGTGTGAACATGGAGGTATCGATGATGGTAGGGAAACAATTCAAGTTCACTCACCAAGATCACATTACCAGAACCGTCCGTACGCATCAACAACCTCTTTTTACCTTTCCCATCCCCTTCCTTAGTATTACTCTTCAACATGAACTTTCCAACTCCTTCCAATTTCTGAACTCCTTCTGTGAACCTATACAATTTCGCTCTCGCTTCGAAGATTGTCTCTTCACCCTCTTCACCCGCCCCGACAGTTTCAGCCAAGTTTTTACTCGTCTCATATGGTTCTTCTACTTCTTCCCCCGCAGTTCCTGATTCGCTCGGTACTGTCACTGATGTTGCAGCAGGTATCGACGCCGGGACTGACGGCGTGGATCCGAATGTGAAAGCGGGTGTACTAGTGGAATTGGAAGTCGCGCCGAAAGAGAATGAAGGTGTAGTTGAAGGTCCAGAAGCAAAATTGAACGTCGGTCCTGATGAAGTGGTAGTCGAGGAACCAAATGCGAAATTGAAAGGCTTAGAAGTTACAGGTGCGGTATTACCAGGAGAAGATTTGGCACCTCCAAATGCTAATTGAGGTTGGGAACCCCCCGGACCAAATTTTCCCAGTTGAGTGGGAGAATTGACATTGGGTTTTTCTAATTGAGAAGAAGGTGAAAATGTTTTGCTTTCCGGAGTGGTTTGTTGTAGAGGGACCGATGGTGCGAATGAGAATAATCCCGATTTTCTCTGTTCCGAAGAAGGTGTTGAGTTGGGGACTGTACCATTACCTCTCTCAGGTGCTTGACGTTCGGTCGACTTGTTTTCCTCATCAAGGACTTGCTGTGCCAGGGCGTTAACCTCTGCAGAGGGTTTCTTAGGAGTACTCGTACTGGATTCTGACGGTTTGCCGAATACGAAGGGAGCTTTGGGTACGCTGGGTCCGTTGCTCGATGGGACAAGAGTGAATCCCCCACTCGGAGTAGTAGGTTTTGCGGGAGGGAGCCCAAAGGAGCCGACTTTGGGCAAGGCAAATGTTGGGGCTTTCGGTACGCTGGGAGCTGACGCTCCGTTGGACTTTGGGTATGTGGAAGAAGACTTGGCTGGTGCCCAGCCGGCAGTCTTGACTGCTTGAGATAGATATGATTCGTACTGGGATGATAAATCAGGTAAGCAGGATGACAAATCAAGGAAAGGGTCGTTTTCGAGAGTGTGAGAGAGAAAAGTCAGGATTGAATGGTTGAGACCTCGAAGAGATGTCCAGTAAGAAACTTCACCTTCATCAGGCGGGGTTTCTTGGGTTGGTTGAGGAGCAATGGCCTCGTTGGTCGTGATTGCCGCATTATCTTCGGTTGATAGCAGAGTCGACTTCGGAGGCTCCGAGTTGGTAGCTGAAACTGTAGCCGTAGGTTTGGCCACGGCGGCACCAGCACTGGGGGCAGGGCTAGCCGTGGAAGCCGCAAGGGTTTCTGTCGGTTTCGTTATCGCGGACGTCGTCGAAGGTTTGTTGAAATTGAGTCCTGCAAAGGGATTGGTAAGGGCAGGTTTATCCTTTGGAAGCTGTGGTTCACTAGGAGTAGAAGCAGAGGTTTGACCAAATGCGAAGCTGGGTGCTTTAGGATTCAGCCCGGAAGTGGGGGCAGACGTTTGACCAAAGTTGAATGCACCAGATGATGTGGGTGCAGAGTCTTTAGGTTGACCAAAACCACTGGTGAATGAGGATCGAACGGGTACAGCAGAGACGGGTGGTTTCTCTGGTGACGATGTAGTCGGCTTGGAGAAAGCGAAGCCTGTGAAAGGGGAGGCTGCTGGGGCGGCGGCGGCAGGAGCAGGAGGAGTGAATGAGAACCCGGAGGAGGAAGGGGCAGTGGCATTGAATGAGAATCCTGAGGAAGGTTGGGTGGAAGCGCCAAAACTGAAACTCGCAGAGGATGAGGGGGGAATGGATGATGTGGAAGAACCAAAAGTCGACCCTCCAAACGTTACCGGGGGAGGTGCATTAGAGGCAGAAGGCTGAATCGTCAGTCGGTGCCAAGAATGACGAGATCGAGATCTTACAGTTGGTATTGGGGATGCAGAAGACTCCCCGAAGCCTCTCCGCTTAGGCATACCTTTTATTCTCGCTACTTTAGCTTGAACATAGATCTTGTGGATAGGATCGACTCACTGTCTACCCGTCACAGGTGCCAAAGGTTGGGAGCGTACACCGGGCTGGTAGAATCAGTACAGATCGTTGACACAGTGGGAGTGACTCACGTCTTCCTCATTCTCTGAAGCGGACTCCTGTTCATCCTTGGTTATCTGCGATTCCGCACCACGCTTTGCCATGTCGATATAGGTGTTGATGAAGTGCAGTCAGAACTTACCGCAGACGAGGGAAAGTCGAATTTTGATTGAGGGTATGGTGAAGTTATTGGGAGCGGCGATGGCCGCAAATTGGAAGTGGGTGGTGGGTCAAAGCGCTGCTGTTCTCGAAATGATGAATGGATGGAATGGATGGATGGAATGTACTCACTCTACTCAAGGGGGGGTCATACTACTCTTCTTGCTCATCTCCCTCTTCTCTGACACAGAGCTCATCTTCAAGGTCCGAACCGTCATCTCAATAGCACAAACCTCCCCTGTTTCCCTCCCTATCGCGCATCACTCACCCACCATCTCATCACTCACCAAGACCATGACGTGATCAGCTGATCAGAATCCTTCACTCGGTGAGCCCTTTGTCACACATCTATCACGCAAGCTTACTCGTATGACAGGGCTACATGGCTACACAGATCCCTTATAACACTCGGTAATGTCGGCGGAGATCCCTGATATCTCGTCTACTTCACCCGGCCCACACTCACACGCTCGCAGGCGTACGACAACCTCGTCTTCCTCTTCCATCTCGGCAAACCGTGATAGCCCTTCAAAGCCTCACGGTCCTCGTCTACTCCCTTCTTCTCCCCCTTCAGTCTCCAAACGTGATCGTCCCGGGTCTTCTCGCACTCAATACTATTCTACTCCTCCATCAACTCATTTCATCGCTTCTATAGGACCAGTGAGAGAGATCATACCCCCTCCAAGCATCATGCATTCTTCACCCCGTTCCACGCCTTCTCCTTCGAAGACCACAAATGATGCCGACATCGTTATGGAGGATTCGCCCCATGCTCCTTATCGTCCTCCAGAGGCCGTCTTTGAACCACCTGAAGAACATCCCCCAGGTTATGTCCCAGGTGTGGTGGCGGAACATATCGGCACAGGCGATGATGAACAAGTAGTTCTTTGGGATAGCAAAGCCGGTCCATCTCGTCCCATGAAACCACCAGAAGCCAAATTGACAGATCTCTGGGACGCCGACGAAGAACCTTTACCCTTCAGTATTCCAGATCGACCCGTCATTGGAGCAGGTCTTCTACCAAGAAGGTTGCTGATGCTCGTTCATGAACATGAATTGGTCCTTCCTGTCATTGAGGACTTACCAAAACCAATTCCCAGGCGTCAGTCCATGCCGCCAGCTGTTCAACCGGATTTGATCAGATTTCCAGAGGACGAGAAGCCTGCAACATCTCCGACTACCCAAACGTCCAGTACACCGTCTTCGACATCGGAATCACAGCCCACTTCAACTTTGAATGATGTCTATGATGCTCTCCCTGGAGGAGTCGACCATAATCGAGAATGGTATTTCTGCGCTGTTTGCTGGGGGTGGGTTCACATTGTGTCTGGCCGAGGTCACCTTCCGGCTATCGACGATATGGATGTTTGGTCTTTACAAGCGGATAAAACATCCACCTATACAGATGATCCCACATACGAACAACGATACTCGGCTCGCGTAGAGGAACAATCACGCTTGAGAAATCTTCTAAGCTGTAATCACCTCGAAAAGACACCTGGGGAACATCACTTTCATGAATTTCATCATCTCCTTCAACCCTCGACCAGCTCCGTTCAGGTACCTAGGATCCCAGTAGACTCCGAAATGTGTGCTTTCCCTCATCTCACACCAGGTTTAGAGCCTGAGGAGTCGTGGCAGGTGTATCGCAGCCCGAGGAAACAGTCAAAGTTGTATGTTAGCTGCACATCTGACTTGTGGATCTTGGTAGATGCCGGACCTGTCCCAGGACAGATACCCGTGGGTCTTGTCGAAGCCTTCACCCTCGAAAAGGTCAACAATCCTCGGCCCGGGATGGACATGTACGAAAGTGTTAACAAGGCTTGGGGTTTGATCGTCACGTGAGTCATTCAAGGTTAGCGCTAGTACGAACTGACTGTAGACTGCTTGAGAACCCGTTATTCAAAGGTCAACGAGGATGGGTCAAACTGGAGAATAAGAAGTTTCAGGCGGAAATTGGTGCCAATATATCCTCGTGAGCCCTCCTGTGTCTCCTGTGATCGAGTCGCGCTCATAAAATGCAGCTCCGCCCTTCTTTACCAGATTGGATTTGCATGCCGGGAAGAATTAGAGGGGATTCGAGTAGGACCATTCCAGAAGAATGACAAGGTCAGTGAAGAGGACGTGAGGCAGATGGACAGATACATGCTCAGGACATGGGTGGAGATCTCTTTGTACCTTCAAGCATATCAGACACGAAACAGTCAGTCTCGAAAACTTCACTGTGTTCACAGACTTACCAACAGACCTGCCAAAAACTCTGTCTTCTGTCATCCCGACTGGGCTTGAGGAAGCGTTATCCCAGACGCTCGACCTCTCTGGCTATCCCGCCCGTCTGTACACTCCTTTTCCACTGATGTTCAAGCTCACCAGACAGTGGTCCGCTCTACAACCGAGTCCGTCCCTGATGCGCTAAACAGTTTGGGTGTGACCAAGTTTGACACGGCTGCTACCATCATAAAGGCTTACAACTTGCAAATACTGGATGATCCACGACCCTCACCGCTATATCTTAATGCACTGGAGCTACTCTCGCGGACTTCTATTCCGGACAGAGACACCCTGGAGCTCAAAGTGGGGATAGAAAGGTCGATGGGTGCTTATACTGCCAGTGAGTGGTGACATTCAAATCATGATCACCGCTGACTAAATTTCAGGCGATATCCAAGGAGCATACGCACGTATAGGCTATGATCAAGCACACGCCGCTTCCATCGAAGTGGAAGCTCACGACGCTCCTGACGAGTATATTCTCGACATGCACAAGAAGACGATGCAAGCTTCATCATCTGCCAGTGACAGGGCGGAAATATCTGCCGCGTTGGTCCTCATAGGTCGTGAGAGACGGTCGGAAAACATCCAACAGATAGGAAGAGGAGGACAAACTTTCATCTCCGTTGAAGACGCCTATTCTGCTTTGTCAGCCCCTAGGGATTGTATCGACGACGGTTTGGTGATGCAATACGAGATGGCAGTGGCGGAATTTCCTGGTAAAGCGGATCATTATCGAAAATGTCTCGAAGTCATCGCTTCTGCACCTGGTGAGGAAAGACCGTCTATCAGAACTTTTCTCGAGACTGGAAGTAAGGATTTCTCCGGTCCAGCTAGGAAAGATATTCCTGTAGGATTACACAATATAGGTAATACATGTTATCTCAATTCGATACTTCAATATCTGTATAGTATCAAACCTATCCGAGACGCGGTGATGGAATTCGAACAAGATCTTTTAGGCACGACTACACCTCCAAAACCAGAAGTCGAACGTTCTCGAAGATTTGTCAGACATTTACGTTTGTTATTCATACAACTTTATCTTTCCGAAGCTTCGGCTGTTCGACCAGAAGAAGAATTAGCTTATCTCGCTATCACCCGACCAGAAGTGGATCAAATCATTGAACCACCTGCTCCTACTAGGGATGCTTTCTCAGGTATAAACGATATCCCATCACCATCTTCTACCAAAGTTGCCACTCCTGAATATAGTCCAAGTCGAACCGATCTATCACTCCCTTCCTCTCCCGTTGCAACACCGACAAGAGAACAATCTATCCTCGGTAAACGTCAAAGCACAGATCGTGATTCCGACGGAGGTATCTCACCAGGAGCTAGGCCAAGACTCAAATCAGATGATTACGAAATGGAATCTCCTACGGATGCGAATCATAGTATGGACACCGCTCGCAATCTATCCCCTGATTCTGGGCCGATACAGAGAGGTTCAAGTCCTTCTATGACAGCGAGAATATTGAGTTTGGACATCAAATCTCCTCCTGAAGATTCTCTAGATGTGGTATTACCAAATTCGAATATCACTAGTTCACCAACGAATATCTTGGTACCTCCCCCTTTACCTCCCAGACCTAGGAGGGAATCCACATTGGCCTCAGGATTGAAATTTGGTCTTCAACAGGATTCAGCAGAAGTTCTCATAAATGTTTTATCTCAATTGGAATCAGCATTCGAACCTCCCGTCGCTAAGGATGGGACGAAAGGGACGAATCTGATACAACAATTGTATTCATGTAAATATCGTCAACAAATAATCTTTCAAACTCCTGAAGGAGTGAAAGAAGCTAGAGAACCTGTGGAAGGTGTTTTCGTACATCCTATAATTGGGGTGGAGGAGGAAGGGAAAGATTTGTCGGATTGTTTGGCTGAATTGTATCTCGGAGGGAGTGATATAGAGTATGAAGGAAAGAAAGGGGCGATGATGGATTTGATGGACGAGTTTCCGCCTATGTTGTATATACAGATGCGAGTGAGTGTTTTCCCCTTGGCCTTAATCTCTACTCTATTGGAGTTTCGCTTCATGTCATTACATTCTCTCCTCACCCATAGTGAGCCCTCGCAGGCTTTCAGCTTGTTGAAGTGGGCATTTGCAGTCAATTTCCTTCGCTATGTGCTTGACCTACAGCTTTCACTACACAAGAAATCTCGTCCTCTCACATGCCCACCTCCCGCCCATTTGAAATCGACCCACTTATGTCTTTGACATCACAATAACTCATTGGCATACCTACCGAGAGTAACCGGAAAGATGGTGTCTTTTGCTGACACCCAGCGCTCTCAATTTGACCTAGCTACCGGTCGCGAGAGAAAGACTAATACGCACATACCTTTTGGCCAGACGCTCAGTATGGACCGTTTCCTCGCCACTGCCGATAGACAGGCTCGAGAAGCGTCGATTGTTTTAACGCAGGAGATGATGAATGTTCGACATCGCTTACATCAATTGAGAAATCATAAAGTGAGTTGTGTGGATCTAATATTTCCTCTTGTCTCCAACTCGTTCCTCTATGCGCGTGTCCTGTTCCCCGCCTAATCCCAAACTCGTCGATCTTTTATTCTCTTGCTATTTCGCATGGACGGTACAAGATGTTGTACATTACTCGTTCTTGCTCCTGCTGAATTCTTTCACTTTTTTCCCTGAACATTACCCATATGTCCAAGTCATCATTTCCCCTTTTCCCTCTCCACCCTTTCCTCCCCGGTCAAGGTATTTGAATCATTCAACCTCGATCACCTGCTCAATTCAGATATTGAAGTCTCATGGAGAATATAGATATGTTAACTCACTCCAGCCCTTGTCCATCCCATCCACTTTCTTACACGTCCGTGACGCCCTCTCTGCATTATCCACAAACCCTTCCAACGACTTCGAACTAGATATCACCCCAGATCTTCTTCACGCCCTCACATCTGAATCTGATGAAGTCAAACGTGAGATCAGTCAATTAGAACTGAAATTACCTGAAATGAGAAAAGAATTAGATGAGATATGGAAAGGGAAAACGGAATGGGAATACGAGTTGATGTCTGTTTTCATGCATAGAGGCAAGACTAGTGGTGCAGGACATTATTGGACTTATCAATCGCATTTACCTGATCATCGTGAGTTGTGTTTTTTGACCTTTCCCCTTTTTGTTCTTCCTCTGCTTCTCCCTCTTCCTCCTCACTCTTTTCCTCCTCACTCTGCTCCTCCTCACTCTGCTCCTCCTCACTCTTCTCCTCCTCACTCTTCTCCTCCTCACTCCCCTCCTCCTCACTCTTCTCCTCCTCACTCTTCTCCTCCTCACTCCCCTCCTCCTCACTCTTCTCCTCACTCTTCCTCGGTATGAATCTCATTCTCGCTCCTCTCCTCCCCACTCTCCCTCTCGTACGCCCATTCCCTTTTACACACTTCCCAAACCCAGCATCGACAAATTGGAAAGATGAAATAAATCACAATACATCATACGAAGATAAATACAAGACGCCTGTCTGAGGAACAACTCCAGCCCCAACCCAAATATGATAAGACGTGACAATAGAAATCAAATAGTGAGACAAACAAAGAGTTTTAAACTGATGTTTTCAGAAGACAAATTCTTTAAATACAATGACGAACTAGTAACTCAAGTCCCTTCATCTGAAGTATTACAAGATAGAACAGGTAGTGATGCTAATCCAGCTTTATTATGTTATGTACGTAAAAACAAAAATTTAGTCGATACTTTACATCGAGCGATTTTAGAAGTAGGTTTGAAAGAAGAAACTCCTGAACTTGTTGAACCTATGGAATGATGAATGATACATTTGAGTAAGATGCATACATTTAAGCATGTTTATGAAAGAAACTATCATCAAACTTGTGTTTAGCATGTCATAACACCCTACCCTGTTTTCGTTTCTATTCGAGTACGTACAATCAATGGGAGTTAAGATTGTTCTTCCGTCAAGATTATTTCCTCCTTTTGAACAGAAGAAGACATGATTCTGTATGGATTAGAACATGTGAGTCGTAATTCACTTCATACTGACAAGACTTTGAAATAGGTATGGATATGGGATTTCCCATGATATTACTTTGTATGGTCGCAAGGAAGAATGTCCTCGTGGTCTTTGTGAATGTCTATAAGTAGTTTTTGCCCTGAGTATTACTTGAGGATTAATTAACTGTGTGATACTTCACTTTCACGTCCTTAGTCAACTATCTACCTTACTTTTACTTTTACTAAGGGTGCAACCAACATTCAAAGACATATTATGATTTGGTTCATGGCGATATCATTCTTAAAACGGCAATGTTTCTGTCCATAGTGACATCTGATTCATATACAAACTTTTACGAATAATCCCACCAATGCATTCTCCCATACTCATGATAATACTGTACAACATTTACAAAGCATAAGTCTCCGCATGAAAATGAACACCACCACATGCAACCCTTTCCCCTATTCCTAAACCCGCCACGGCATTCTTACCCTCCATCACCAACCCTTCCGGACCACAAGCGACCACTGCTAAACCTCCTCCATGTTTCTCAGACGCTGCTTCTACGTCTTTGGCATTTGGAAGAGGTAAAGCAGCACGAACTAATTGAGCTACTTCTGGTCGATATGGTGATATGGTGGAGCAATCCCGTAATGAATCTAATATGGGTGGTAAAGGGGAAGGCGGGTCGGTGAGATATAATTGATATTGTATTCTCAAACCTATTATCTCTGCTCTTTTTCGTAAATGTGATAAAGTAGGTGCGAGAGCATGTATGGTTGCTATATCTGTCAGCTCATCGTATTGAACATGTTAATGAGAAAAGGGTTAGCTCACATAAATCTCTGACGACCCATGCCACATCTACATTTCGTGTTCTCCCACCTGCTTTCCTCGCTGATAGAGCTTCTTCGATGCTACCGAGGACAAAAGTGATACCCGATCCACCACCAACGAGCAAGACACTCTCAACAGCTCCGAGATCTAACTTTAAACCCCCATAAGGTCCATCAAGCATGCACAATACACGTTTACCGGGATGATTAACCAACACATCTTGACTTTCTTTGTCACGAGCGAGGAAAGCTTCTGTTTCCTCCACGTCCACCCCAGTTTCCAACACCACCTCTCTGGCCATATTGTGTACCCGTCGGGTCCAATCTCCTGCCACCTTGGCGTAAAGAGTGATCCCTCGAGAAGAAGAGGATGGTGCATTGGTGATTGTGAATGGGTGAGACTCGAATAATCCTGTTCCACGGAGGATACGTAGGTTGACATGTTGTGTGGGTAGCCACCCGGAGTTACAATCTGGGATATGTACCTGCCGCTCAGCTGTCATACTTCCACGATCCAGATAAGCTTACCATTGTCAGTGTATTATCAACAGGAACAAGAATAGCGTCTTTGATCCTGAATCTAATCATGCGGACCACAAGGCTGTCTATCAACATATGCTTGGTGTGGATGACAAGTGAACTCACTCGTAGGCGTATATACCCGCACATGCCGTGACCCATGGAATGGCATATGGCGTGTGGTAGCAGATAGCAGCGAAGAATCCCACAAAGAGAGAGATGCTGACCATCAGATTCACTGAGATACTATGTGTGTGTGAGAGAGAGACGTACTGAGCGATCCAGAAAACCTGATAGCATAATCGTCTGACAGGTTTGAGAGACGTGATGACAATTCCACCCAATAAACCGTACGCCAATAGACCTCTGATAGTCTTGTCGGCGGAAAGTTCATCGTACTCTTTGTAGTATATGAATTGATTGATCCATAAAGAACCATGAATGGTGACTGCAAGGAAGAGAACTCGGCCAGCCCATCGATGGAGAAAGTTGTAATGCTCGTAGGATAGTGTGGGGAGGAAGACAGGTACTGGAAGGGGTGATTTGAGCGACAATGTCAAAATGACGGGTAAAGTGGCGAGTCCCACGAAGCCTAGCACGTATCAGCATCATTTCAAATAAATCAGGACCGACAAGCAAGACGCAGAAAAATGAGGGCATTTGGGTGACTCACCAGCACGGTTGGAATTTGAAGTAAGATCGACCCCTTTTACAATACAAGCAATGACTATACCCGTGTAGGCCAAAACGATGAAAATCTGAGAAAAGGATAACGAAAAGTATGCTCGTCGACAACAATCCGCCACTTGGTATTTCCAAACTCTCAAGCTAGGTAGAGGCGGTGTGAACAAAGCCGCACTTTGCCATACAGCATATCCGGCATTTAAGCTACGTGAGAAGAAGTTGGTTTCGGGTATTGGAGCGGGTTCGACGTGTTCTTCTACTACAGACGATCGAGAAGGGGTATCAGATTCAGTGATAGACCATGCTTGCCACCAACGTCCGGTACCGACGGCTCGGAAGGCATAAGGGAGGGAGAGGAGGGTTGTAAAGACTAGGATGGAAGTCCATATGATGGTGAATGTGATTTGCCATTGTGGATCTACCGTATAAGACCTGATTCATTAGCCTGGTATTCTCATATCAACTTCTTGAGTCTGATCAAGGAATGATTGGGGTGGTTGGGGTGGCAGATGGAGCAAACTTACTGATAGACTTGGAATTGAGTGGGGATGGGAATGTATCTCCCGTGCAAATTGACAGAGCTCATCTTGAGGGTGTAGGTCGGGATCTCATGAGATTTGTCGAAGATTGAGAAGGGTCTAAGAGTATAGGACGAGGAAGTATGGGTTATGATGTTGGAAGCGAGATGGTGAGTATCATGTTCTGTATAAACCAATTCTAATTTGGAATCGTTGTGAATTCATTACCAAGAGACAACTCCCCCGCACTTCCCCCACTTTGCCATCCCTCAATCTGATTCGTCCATCGTTAGATCCGTGCCTTGGACGGATCAACCGATCGGGAGCTTATTTTCTGGGTTCACAAATGACACGTCATGAAAAGCCTCAATCGAGTGCGGCCTTTGCAACGATGGTGACATCGATGGTGATCGTACTCTACTCGTACTTACAAGCTTGCTCATGCATCCGTTCCACTCTCCCCTTTCAATGTCAACATCACAATGGACTTACCTTCTGACTCTCAGCATCCTATAGCCTCAATCATCGTGACTCTCACCGGAGTCGCTTATTTCTCATTATGGTCTTACTCTTTTTACCCACAGGTCATCCTCAATTACCGTCGTAAAACGTGAGTTTTGAGTTCCAATCTTTCTTTCAACTCACTTCCTTTCCACCTACTATCATCCCGAGTCTTTTTCTGTCTTTAATCCCTAGTCACATCTATGAAGGAAAGACTTATCTCTTCAAATACAGTATGTTGATGTGACTTAGGACAAGCGGTTTCTCACCCGATTTCTCATACGTAAACCCCACTGGGTTCCTCGCTTTGTCAATCTGGAACTGGACCATTTTCTTCTCTCCTCTCGCTCGTCAACAATACGCAACAAGACATAATGGTCATCTACCACAAGTCTCACCATGGGATATAGCATTTTCGACTCATGCACTTTTTCTTTCCCTCATTGTCCTCTTACAAGTCCTTTGGTATGCTCGAAAACATCGACTGGGTTTAGAAACCAACGACGAGACAAGTCATTTATTACCTGTTCCTGAGCAATCACCAAAGATCAAATCCGAAGCATCATGGACTAAACCTTCAATCATAGCTCGAACAGCTATAATACTAATTTTCGTTTCTGCTTTCCTCACCGGTTGTATGGTCTGGATTGGGAAACTTGAGTTTTTGGATTGGTTATATTGGATCTCTACGATTAAACTCATCATATCCACTTTGAAATATATCCCACAGGTGATTTTGAATTGGAAGGTCAAAAGTGTCGAAGGTTTCGCCATTGGGGCTATCATCTGTGTGAGTGATATAACTTGTGGAAAGAATGAAGCGTGAACAGCCTTGAAAGGGAAAAGCTAATGAATAGGATGTAAGTGGATCGATCTTGAGTTTCGCTCAGTTGGTAATTAGTAGTATTTGGATAGAAGGGGATCCTTCTGGTATTTGAGCGAATCCTGCCAAACTTGGCTTAGCGGCATTGTCAGCTGGGTTTGATTTGGTATTCTTATTCCAAAGATATTATCTCTATCCCGGACGATCTGTCGAGCTTCTCACCTCTACACAAGAAGAGGAGGAAGAGTTTGTAAGATGATGTGAGGACATACAAAGTAGAGTAGAAACACTCATAACATGTTGTATGAAACCAAAATAAAACGCTATGACTCCCACAGTGTACCAGGTACAAATCGTGTTCCTTCCTCACGAGCCGTGACGCATCCGTCCGCGCTCAGACCTGAAAACTCCGCAGAAATAGGTGTCACGGTCACATAACCCATCGCAAACGCCCAAGCGTCCGTTCCTACAGGTAGTTGATCGATAGGGGTGAACAATAATGGTTTCAGATCAGGAGCAAAGTGGAATGTGAGACCGGTGTCTTCAACTGGCGTTGCAGGTTCCTCCTTTTCTTCTCGAGATGAGGATTTTGTACCTGATATTGGCATAGCACCTGGTCCAGCAGATGCGGTAGTTGATAATTGAGGAGGAGCAGATCTGTTTGATCTCAAATTCGTCTTAGCTCTGTCATATCAATGAGCGAAGCTCATGAGAAGAATCTGACGTACGTGACATTAGGCTTGAATAAACCCCCGTAGGTGTTCCGCCACATAGTTGCCCAACAAACCTTCCTATTTATTGTCTCTAATTTGTCCTCCACGAGAGGTATGTTCACAGAGTACACCTGCACTCTCCGTCTAGGATTGAGACTTTCATATCCCCAATCATCCCATAATCGCTTACAGACCTCCACCGCGGCTTCATGAGCTAACTCGATTGCTCGGGGTGGTATCGGTCGGTCGACGACTCCGTAAGAAATTGCGATACTGGGGATATGGTCGATATGTAAAGAAGGACCAGAAGATGGACCTGGTAAAGGAACAGAAAGAGCAGCCGCAAGTGCCGCTCCTAAAGTTCCGGAAGAGAGGGAAAAGGCTGCTGACGAGTTACGTCCATCTTCACTGTAAGCTCGACGACATCACCACAGGGCTCAGACAGCTTACGATTAGGTCCTGAAATAACGAGGTCTATCTCTCCTGGGTAAAGGTTGTGAAGTGCGATGTTAGTACATGATGCAGGTGTCTAAGAGATTAGCTTCAAGACGTTTCGGATGTCAAAGCCAAGCTTACACCCGATATTAGAACCCATTCCATCGATTCACCTTCTTTCAGCGGTCGACGAATAGTGGAGATTTCTCCTTTTAGTCCATCAGGTTCTGATATCAGTAATATCAAAGAGATGGATGGAGTCTCACCTGAAGGGTAAAAGTACCGAACTGCAACTACCTCGCTGATGGCATATGCTTTACCAACCCTGAGATCTTTCAGCTGAAATGTGTAAGGTTGGGGACCAGCTTACTTACCATGATTTTTGGCAATCGGGAATGACAACTTTGACTTGCCATCCCAGTACAGATTGTAGTAGTTTGGAAAATTCGAATATGTTCGGTGAAGAGGAAGAGGGAGGACCATCGTCGTTCTGCGATCCATGTCAGCTTGCCAGCTTCCAGGTTTTCGTACATGGAGACTTGAGTAAGAAGACAAGGGATGGAAGTGAGCCTGGGTGGGAAAGGTGGAAAGCTCACGGTGAGAAGTACCACTGGACTAGAGCCATACGTAGGTAGAGGTGTCATGTTGTGTGACAAGGCGGTATTTGATGTCCTGAAGGAAGAAAGAGGAGAGTAAGGTAGCTTCGAATTGCACCCTCACCATGTTCAATTCGTGCTCACGCAGCGACTCACCTCCACCTCCACAAACGCCACAGTGTCCAATGCCGACAATTCCCGCAGATCGCGACCATCGCCACCTCAAACCGACTTTTCACCATCCACCTCTCCTTATCCTCGAAATCATGTCCTTCCCTCCTGGATTTGGTGGACCTGCGGGGCTTCCCCCGAGACCCAATGGGGATACAGTCATGGAGGGTGATTTCTTCGGTCAACTCACTCCCGAGGAGATCGAGAAAAAGGCGAGGAAATGGAGACAATCGCAGAAGAGGAGGTTTAATGAGAAACGTCGTGCTGGGGGTGGAGGAGGAGTAGATTTCGGCAAAGCTGTGAGTCGATCCGTTTATAAGTACCTGTACATAAGAATAACATCATTTCCTGGAGCTACTAATGCGAATTTGGTACGATGTCGATGAGGAAGGAAGAGAGCTGATAAAATATAGGACTTACCACCTGAACATATCCGTAAAATTATCAAAGATCATGGAGACATGTCAAATCGCAAGTTCAGAAATGACAAACGTGTTCATCTTGGAGCGTTGAAATATGTGCCTCACGCAGTCATGAAATTATTGGAAAACATCCCCTGTCCTTGGGAACAGGTCAGAGAAGTGCCCGTATTGTACCATATCTCTGGTGCTATCACTTTTGTGAACGAGGTTCCCAAGGTCATCGAGCCTGTCGTGAGTCTGAGTCAGCTATAGAACATGTGTGCTTTAGCTAACTGGCTAGTATCACGCACAATGGGCTTCAATGTGGTTAGCTATGAGAAGAGAGAAAAGGGATCGACGTCATTTCAAACGAATGCGATTCCCTCCGTTTGATGACGAAGAACCACCGATGGACTACGGAGATAATGTTTTGGATGTCGAACCGCTAGAAGCTATACAGTTGGAGTTGGACGAGGAGGACGATCAGGCTATCATTGATTGGTTTTATGATCCCAAACCTCTCATCGACACCCAATACGTCAACGGTCCAAGTTATCGATACTTTCAACTTTCCCTCCCTCATATGGCAAATCTATATCGAATTGGCCGACAATTGCTGTCAGATTATTCAGACAACAATGCGTTCTATCTCTTTGATAGGAAGAGCTTTTTCACTGCCAAGGCACTCAATATAGCTTTGCCCGGTGGACCCAAATTTGAGCCTTTGTTCCGGGACACGGATAACTTTGATGAAGACTGGAACGAGTTCAACGACATTAACAAAGTCATCATTCGTGGCGTCATCAGATCCGAATACAAAGTTGCTTTTCCGCATCTGTATAATTCCCTCCCTCGTTCTGTCCACATAGGCACATACCACGAGCCCAAAAATGTGTTCATCAAAACGGACGACCCCGACCTTCCCGCGTTTTATTTTGACCCTCTTATCAACCCTATTTCTCAACGAGTCGTCCAAGAAGCTCATACGCCTTTGGTTTCCCACGAGGACGCGGTCTTCGGTTATGGTAATGAAGAGGATGATGATTTCGAATTACCAGATGAAGTGGAGCCTTTCCTCTCTCAACAAGATCTGAGTAACGAGAACACGTCCGATGCCATTGCGTTATTCTGGGCTCCGTACCCATACAATCGTAGAAGTGGTGCTACTCGGCGTGCGCAGGACGTTCCACTCGTCAAGAACTTTTACCTCGAGCATTGTCCACCTGATCAACCTGTCAAGGTCAGAGTATCCTACCAAAAGATGCTAAAAGTGTTCGTGCTCAACGCTTTGCATCACAAGCGACCAAAAGCTATGGTCAAACGTAACCTTTTCCGTTCGCTCAAAAGTACGAAATTCTTCCAGACTACAACACTCGATTGGGTCGAAGCTGGCTTACAAGTTTGTCGACAGGGTTACAACATGCTCAATCTCCTCATTCATCGTAAAAACTTAAATTATCTTCATCTGGACTACAACATGAATCTGAAACCGATAAAAACGCTCACGACTAAAGAGCGCAAGAAGTCTCGATTCGGTAACGCTTTCCATCTCTGTCGTGAAATCCTTCGACTTACCAAACTCATCGTCGATGCGCACGTCCAGTTCCGACTTGGTAATGTCGACGCTTTCCAACTCGCCGACGGTCTGCAATATATGTTCGCCCACGTCGGTCAGCTCACAGGAATGTACAGATACAAATACAAGCTCATGAAACAAATCCGCATGTGCAAAGATCTGAAGCATCTTATATACTCGCGCTTCAATACTGGGCCTGTTGGTAAAGGTCCTGGTGTTGGTTTCTGGGCCCCAGGATGGAGGGTTTGGTTGTTCTTCATGAGAGGTATCGTCCCACTGCTCGAACGTTGGTTGAGTAATTTGCTCGCGAGACAGTTTGAGGGAAGGAATTCGAAGGGTGTCGCCAAGACCGTCACCAAGCAGAGGGTAGAGTCGCACTTTGACTTGGAGTTGCGTGCGGCAGTCATGCACGATATCCTAGAGTAAGTGCGATCTGACACTTGCCTAGCTCCTTGTGCTGATGTTCAGTATGATGCCGGAGAGTCTCAAAGGGAATAAGGTCAGCTCTGACTGCTCAGCCTCAAGTATCAGCTGACATTCATAGGCAAAAACAATCTTGCAACACTTGTCTGAAGCGTGGCGATGCTGGAAGGCCAATATACCCTGGAAAGTCCCTGGTATGCCGGCAGCCATAGAAAACATCATTTTGAGATACATCAAACTGAAGGTCAGTATCGTTCGGTACATGAATCATCGTGCAGCGCTGACGTTTAGTCGGACTGGTGGACATCAGTGGCTCATTACAACCGTGAACGTATTCGTCGTGGTGCCACCGTCGACAAGGCTGTCGTTCGTAAAAACCTTGGTCGACTTACACGACTTTACCTCAAAGCGGAACAAGAGCGACAAAATGGTTATCTCAAAGACGGGCCGTATATCTCGTCCGAAGAAGCTGTGGCCATTTACACCTCGACAGTCCACTGGCTGGAAAGTCGTAAATTTGCTCCTATCCCCTTCCCGCCTTTGTCATACAAACACGATACGAAGCTGCTTGTCTTGGCCCTCGAAAAGCTCAAAGAGGCATATTCTGTACATGGTCGACTGAATCAGAGTCAGAGAGAAGAGCTTGCACTTGTCGAACAGGCGTATGACAACCCACACGAATGTTTGTCACGAATCAAGAGATTGCTTTTGACTCAACGTGCGTTCAAGGAAGCCGGTATCGAGTTCTTCGACACGTACGACAAGCTCATCCCGTGCTACGACATAGAGCCCGTGGAGAAGATCACCGACGCGTATCTGGATCAGTATCTACACTATGAGGGAGACAAGCGGAGATTGTTCCCACCATGGATCAAGCCTTCCGACAACGAACCTCCTCCATTACTGGTGTACAAATGGGCCAATGGTCTCAATAATCTTACAGATATCTGGGATACGTCAGAAGGCGAGTGTGTAGTGTTGATGGAGACGGTCCTTTCTCGAGTATACGAGAAGATCGATCTCACATTACTCAATCGACTGTTGCGTCTGATCATGGATCACAATCTTGCGGACTACATCACGGCGAAGAACAACGTCATTCTCACGTTCAAAGATATGTCACATGTCAACGCCTATGGTTTGATCAGAGGTTTGCAATTCTCCAGTTTCATCTTCCAGTATTACGGTCTTGTGCTCGATCTTCTCATCCTGGGTCTTCAGAGAGCTTCTGAGATCGCTGGACCACCCGCACTGCCGAATGGCTTCTTACAATTCCGAGATCGCGAGACGGAGACGCGACATCCCATTAGGTTCTATACTCGATATGTTGACCGTATCCACATACTCTTCCGGTTCACTGCCGACGAAGCTAGGGATCTCATTCAGCGTTATCTCAGTGTAGAGCCAGATCCAAACAACGAAAACGTCATCGGTTACAATAATAAGCGTTGTTGGCCTCGTGACTGTAGGATGCGATTGAATAAGCATGATGTGAACTTGGGTAGAGCTGTATTCTGGAATGTGAAAAACTCGTTAGTTGTCGGATCCACACCTTTTGCATAGCTGACTCTCAGTCTTCCACGTTCTCTTACCACAATCGAATGGGACGACACGATGTGTTCGGTGTACTCCAAAGATAATCCGCAACTCTTGTTCTCCATGTGTGGCTTTGAAGTTCGGATATTGCCACGATGTCGTACGCAGAATGGAGAACAGTATTCCCTCAAGGACGGCGTGTGGAATCTTACCCAAGAATCTACGAAGGAAAGAACAGCGCAAGCGTATCTGAGAGTGTCCGATCAAGCCATACAAGACTTCAACAATCGTATCAGACAAGTTCTGATGTCTTCAGGGTCGGCCACTTTCTCCAAGATCATTTCAAAGGTCTGTATTTGACTTCTTTGCGTGTTTCAGTGCTGACATTGCAGTGGAACACCGCCTTGATCGGTCTCATGACTTACTACCGTGAAGCCGTCATTGGAACGAACGAGCTTCTGGATTCTCTTGTGAAAGCTGAGAACAAAGTACAAACTCGTGTCAAGATTGGTCTCAACAGTAAAATGCCTTCACGTTTCCCGCCTTGTGTGTTTTATTCTCCTAAAGAACTGGGAGGTTTAGGCATGTTGTCTATGGGTTTTGTTCTCATCCCTCAGTCCGATCTCCGGTGGTCCAAACAGACTGAGTCAGGTGGTATAACCCATTTCCGATCTGGTATGACACATGAAGAAGATCAATTGATCCCCAACCTGTACCGTTATATCCAACCTTGGGAAGCCGAGTTCCTCGATTCTGCTCGTGTGTGGTCAGAATATGCCATGAAACGGAAAGAAGCCACTGCGGCCAATCGGAGATTGACTTTGGAGGACTTAGAAGATAGTTGGGATCGTGGTATTCCGCGTATCAACACTTTGTTCCAAAAAGTGAGTCAAGCAATATATATCTCTAGCGTTGCCGCTGACTGGCTCAGGATCGTCATACTTTGGCATACGACAAAGGTCATCGTGTGCGCACCTACTTCCAGCAGTTCTTCCGACTACGTGCCAATCCCTTTGCTTGGACATCTCAAAGACATGATGGGAAACTATGGAATCTTAACAGTTATCGAGTGGACGTCATCTCTGCCCTTGGCGGTGTGGAGGGTATTTTGGAACACACATTGTTCAAAGGTACTGCTTTCCCTTCTTGGGAAGGTCTGTTCTGGGAGAAAACGTCCGGTTTCGAAGAGTCTATGAAGTTTAAGAAATTGACCAACGCTCAAAGATCTGGTTTGTCTCAAGTTCCCAATAGAAGATTCACTCTTTGGTGGTCACCAACGATCAATCGAGCCAACGTGTATGTCGGTTTCCAAGTGCAACTCGATTTGACGGGTATTTTCATGCACGGTAAAATCCCAACTCTGAAGATCTCCCTCATCACCTTGATGCGAGCCCATTTGTGGCAGAAAATCCACGAATCGGTCGTCATGGATTTATGTCAAGTATTCGATCAAGAGTTGGAAGCTTTACAAATCGAAACCGTTCAGAAAGAGACTATTCATCCTCGAAAATCATACAAGATGAATTCTTCCGCCTCCGACATTTTACTGTTCTCTTCGTACAAATGGCAGATCAGTCGACCAAGTTTGTTATCGGACAACAAGGACGTACTGGACGGAACTACTTCTTCCAAATTCTGGCTCGATGTACAATTAAGATGGGGTGATTTCGATTCCCATGATATTGAGCGATACGCTCGTGCCAAATACCTCGATTATTCATCAGATAGTCAATCGATTTACCCATCGCCCACAGGTCTGCTTATCGCTATCGATCTAGCGTACAATCTATATTCAGGTTATGGATGTTTCTTCCCAGGTCTCAAACCTTTGATGCAACAGGCCATGGCGAAGGTCATGAAGGCCAATCCTGCTTTGTACGTATTACGAGAACGTATCCGAAAGGGTTTGCAACTGTACTCTTCTGAACCAACGGAGCCGTACTTGAACTCGTCCAATTACTCGGAACTGTTCTCAAATCAGATCATCTGGTTTATCGATGATACCAACGTGTATCGTGTGACCATCCACAAAAGTGAGTTAGACAAGCTTTTGATCAGAATGTCAAACTGACATACATAGCCTTTGAAGGTAACTTGACCACGAAGCCTATAAACGGTGAGCACCATCATCTATTCACATGGAATGGCGGCTGATGACTCAGGTGCTATCTTCATCTTTAACCCACGTACTGGTCAACTTTTCCTCAAAGTCATTCATACCTCCGTTTGGGCCGGTCAAAAACGTTTAGGTCAACTTGCCAAATGGAAAACAGCCGAAGAAGTCGCCGCGCTCGTTCGATCTCTTCCCGTGGAAGAACAACCCAAACAAGTCATTGTCACTCGAAAGGGTATGTTGGATCCACTCGAAGTACATCTCCTGGATTTCCCCAATATCGTCATCAAAGGTTCAGAACTTCAATTACCTTTCCAAGCCACAATGAAATTGGAGAAATTCGGTGATTTGATCTTACGTGCTACTCAACCTCAAATGGTCTTGTTCAATTTGTACGATGATTGGCTCAAGAGTATCTCGTCTTATACCGCTTTTTCAAGGTTGATACTCATTTTACGTGCTTTACATGTGAATAGTGAAAAAACGAAGATCATCCTTCGTCCGGATAGGAACACCATCACGGAATCGTATCATATCTGGCCCACGTTGGGTGATGAGGAATGGATGAAAGTTGAAGTTGCGTTGAAAGATTTGATCTTGAATGATTTTGGGAAGAGGAATTCGGTCAATGTGGCGAGTTTGACAGCTAGTGAGATTAGGGATGTTATTTTGGGTATGGAAATTACGGCTCCTAGTGTTCAAAGACAACAGGCTGCGGTGAGTCTGGAGTTTCCCTGTTTCTGCTCACCGCTGCTTCCCTTTCCTCATATTCTGCCCTCCACCTGTCTATCTTGTACATCTTCTCCACTTTCCTCTCTGACCCCTCTCCTGGTGATTTAGTCATCGACATGCTGTTGCGGTCATACTCTGCCTTGCCACGTCCATACCTTGGCCTCGTCTGTCCAATAACACCCCTTTGCATCTCCCTGCTCTAATCATGTCATGGCTCAGGGGACTTAGCTGACTGTGCAGGAACTCGAAAAATCTACCGAAGCGGCTCAACAGGTCACTGCCACCGCCACCAAAACCACCAACATCCATGGCGACGAAATCACAACCTACACCACTACCAACTACGAAGCACAACAATTCGCCTCAAAGTCAGACTGGCGTATCCGGGCCATTTCAGCTACCAACCTTCCCTTACGTATCCACAACATTTTCGTCGGCAACGATAATGTCAAAGACGACGCGGGTAGTTACACTTATGTCGTTCCCAAAAACGTTCTTCGATCTTTCATCGTCAATGCTGATTTACGTACTCAAGTCGTCGCTTTCCTCTACGGTCGATCCCCTCCAGATAACAAGAGCGTCAAAGAGATCAAAGCCGTCGCATGGGTTCCTCAACGTGGTACGAATAACGGTGTAGATTTACCACTCACTTTACCCAAACATGATTTCCTTTTGAAAGATCTCGAACCTCTAGGTTGGATAAAGACACAATCTCAAGAAATGGATTATCTTTCCGCTGCGGACGTGACTACCCAAGCGAAGATTATGGCCGTTCATCCTGAATGGGGACCGAGCAGTATCTGCGTCACATGTGCTTTCACACCTGGTTCAGTATCACTAGCAGCTTGGGAACTCACAGTGGCAGGATTCGAATGGGGTAGAAAGAACCAAGATGTCACCGGTGCTCATCCAGGTTGGAACGCATCAATGGCCAATCGAGTTCAATTGTTGTTATCGGATAGAATATTGGGTATGACTTTGGTACCTGAAGGTGGGGTGTGGAATTATGGTGTGGGTTTGACACAGAGTTGGAGTGAGAAAATTGCGTATAACATGACTTTGGATAAACCTGAACCGTTCTGGGCCGCATGTCATCGACCTGTGAGTTTGGACTTCTTATTCCTATCTTGTTCTTTTCTCATCTATCTTCATCTTCGTCTGTCTCTGAGACCTTTACGTCTCCCCCTCCCCAACTGTTTAGTTTTGATGGTGTCCGGCTTGCTCTCTTGTCACTTTGCAGCGTGGTCAATAGGCTGACGGACAGAACGCTTTCTTAAACTTTGCTTCGATGGAAGGTGATGATGCTGCCGATGTGGAGAATAGTTTGGAGTAGTTGGCTGGGTCGGATGGAAGATTTGAACGGGTTGTTTTGTTTGTAGATTATCATCAATGCTATGCGTGCTCGGATTCATCACTTTTTCAGCCCACAAACCCGTGTCCTCATTCGACCAATGATGGTTGACAATCTCACTAATGAATAATGAATGAGCACATTGCACAAAGCTCAGCTACACTCTTTGCATCTCTCAACACTATTCTATGATCATGATACTCATATGAACATATGAAGCATGATTGTTATACTCATACGGGAGATAAAAGGTGGGATGAGGAACTAACAACTACCCCCAAAAGCGTTCCCGCTATTGGCTTTTCCACCGTTGCCAGCATTGTGAGAACCAATGTTAAGTGCGTGAAGGTTGAGCAGACTTTATTATCAGCTCACATAACTTTTGTGATATTCAAAGATCCCCAATGAAACCTTCACGGATCCCACTCTGAAATGTAATTCTCAAAGCAAACTACATCTCCCTCTGCTCTATCCTTCCAACATGTAGCCTCCTGATCCGAGGAAGTCTTTTAGTGCAGAGGAATGACCGTAAAAGACTATTGTGACTCACCCAGCATACGAAGTTTCAGAATTAGAACCACCATTAGCCTGACCACCAACACCTATCCTGTCAACTCTGTTCTTTCCTAGGTAGATGGAGACTCACCAGTGTAGGCATTCCCACCTCCATTACCACTTTGACCGTTGCATATACCTCCGACAGCGTTACCGGAAGATGCATCACCGCCATTTCCTGCATTATCCGAACCGATGTTTAGCATATCGAGGTTGATCAGACCGGCACTGAGTGGGTCAGTCTTGTATTCAAAAGCCGAGTCAAGTGTCATGTTTCTTCTTCAGATTTGACCCGAGGGTCAAGTGAACATACGGGTCATCATAATATAGGAACGAGAGGAGAAGAGGAGAAGAGGAGGAGGAGGAGGAGGAGGAGAAAGTTGAGACTCACCTTTCCTGACTGATCCTATTCCCACCGTTCGCTTGACCACCAGCACCTGTATAAGCGTTCGCACCGTCACGTCTTAAAACATGACCTCCGAATGCGTCACCGGAAGAAGCGTCCCCACCATCACCAGCATTATTCGAGAGAACGTTGAGGATATCCATGTCGTCTTGGTTGGTATCGTACAAGTTACCTCCATTGGCTTGACCTCCTACTCCAGTGTAGGCGTTAGCTCCCCCATCACGTGGAAGAACATAACCTCCGAAGGCGTTACCGGACGAGGCATCACCACCATGTCCCGCATTTCCAGATAGAGTATTGAGAATGTCCAAGGGAGTGTTATGGTTTCCTGTGGTAGATTCGTATAAATTACCTCCGTTGGCTTGTCCTCCTACTCCGGTGTAAGCATTACCTCCCCCGTCGCGTCGAAGAACATAGCCTCCGAAGGCTTTACCGGAGGAAGCATCACCACCGTGTCCCGCATTTCCAGATAGAGTGTCGAGAATGTCCAAGGGACTGTTGTGGTTTCCTGTGGAAGAATCGTATAAATTACCGCCATTGGCTTGACCACCTACTCCAGTATAGGCATTCGCTCCTCCATCTCGTTTTGTAGTCGAGACATACCCGCCGTAAGCGTTCCCAGAAGAAGCGTCACCACCATTTCCTGCGTTGCCAGAAAGAGTGTTGAGCATGTCCAGAGGGAGGTCATGATTCGTAGAAGATCCAGATTTGTATAAGTTACCACCGTTCGCTTGTCCACCTACACCTGTATACGCATTGGCCCCTCCGTCTCGTCTTGTGTTTGAAACGTAGCCGCCATAGGCGTTCCCGGAAGAAGCATCTCCACCATGCCCTGCGTTCCCAGATAGAGTGTTGAGCATGTCCAAGGGTAAATCGGGGTTTGTAGAAGATCCAGTTTTGTATAGATTCCCACCATTCGCCTGTCCACCTGCACCGGTGTATGCATTGGCTCCGCCATCTCGTTTGGTAGTTACGTAGCCACCGTAGGCATTACCAGAGGAAGCGTCCCCTCCATTTCCGGCATTACCAGTAAGAGTGTTGAGCGCGTTCAAGGGGAGATCGTTGTGAGAGGTAGATCCAGCGTTGTACAGATTACCGCCGTTGGCTTGTCCACCCACACCTGTATAGGCGTTCCCACCACCGTTTCGCGGTTCTAAATCTTTGACAATACCACCGAAGGCACTTCCGGAAGAAGCGTCACCTCCGTGACCTGCATTGGATGAAAGAATGTTCAGAGTCGATAAGCCGTGGGTTGTTTTGTAGAGATTTCCGCCGTTGGCTTGTCCACCAACACCGGTGTAGGCGTTTGAACCGCCGTCACGACGAGTGAGAGTGTCAACAACGCCACCAAATGCATTGCCGGAAGAGGCATCACCGCCATTTCCAGCGTCGCCCGAGAGTACATCGAGAGTCTTGCCGTTGAGGAGGTTGTAGCTGCTCGTCAGAATTCCTATCAGCCATCTTATTCGCTTTCCTCGGGCAGTAGCGCAGAAGTGACGTCTTAACGCGCAAGACTAGCGGGTAAACTCAAGAGAGGGTGGGAGGTTTTCGAGCAGAGGGTATTTGGAGAAGACGAGAATGTGAGAAAGACTTACTATTGAGAACCTCCATGGGAGGCCTGAACGAGGTTTCCACCGTTGGCTTGACCGCCAGCGCCGGTATAAGCATTCGCACCACCGTCGCGAGCAATATTGACGGGGGCAGCATTGGAGACTGCCAAAATGGAGAGTACGAGGAAGAGTTGTTTGTACATTTCGATATATCTTTCGTGGCTTTTGTATTTACTTTTTTTGAATTTTGAGAGAAGAGGTAGAGAGCGATAGAGTGTAGCTGAGAGAAAAAAAATAAACAAAGTAGAAGACAGGGGAAAATTTTTGTACGGAAAAGTTTCCGTTTTTGAAAGGTCGGTCGAAGGAAGGACAGAAAATAGAGACAAAGTGAACTGATGAATGTGAAGAAGTTCATCATCGATATATAAGTCTTCTCACGGGTTTACCAAAACACGCAGACATGAGACACCGCTTTGCCAAGTACAACGAATGAAAATTGGAGTCGGTGCAGCGCGGTGCAAGCTGTGAAGGGTGAGACGGAAGAGAATTGTTTAGGTAACCTTCCATTCTTTGGTCAGTTACGATCGATATTGTTGCGCGAGTGGCATGATTCCGTCAAAACATCATCTTTGTTGACGTGTGACTTTGAATCGATCGGGCGGCCGAGGGGAATGAGTGTGGTTGAAACCGGTCATACAACCAAATGCCGCATGCCGCATCAGTCGACGATGCTCGAGGGATTGACAGGCTGCTGATGAAGCTTTCATTCAAGTTTCCAAACGTGACGATTGTCCAGTCCGAGCTCGCCGAGGATACCAGTGATTGGACCTTGTTCCAAGTTGGGACCGAGCAGGCCGCATAGGGGTCGCATCAGGCTGCAGGTCAGTATCGCTTCACGCCGTCATTTCGGAATGACAGGACTCACTGAGGCGGCAGACAAACGAGGACAAGGATGTGACTTCGGTCGCTTGAACCTAAGGCCTTTTGGATACTGCTTTTCTGGATCTTTTCAGGGCGATATGTTGACAAGTCGTAAGAGAGTTTTTCTTGCAATCGAGGAAGTAAACCTGAAGTGGCTGCCCAGTCGACCTGTTCCGAGTCAGGCTTCAAATGAACCAAGTGATATCGTCCTGCTTTCCTCGTGGGGTCTGATGATTGAGGAGGAAGACTGGCTAGCAGTTGTAGAAATGGTGCAACTCCCGTTCCGGAGGATATCTGAGAGTCAGTTATAGCTAGCGGAGAAAGAAGGGAGAGATACCATGACAATCCTATCGTATGCCTCGGGGATGATAGAAAAGGTAGTTAAGGGTCCCCGTAGTCCAACCAGCTCGTTCGCATGACGAGAATGTAGCATTCTTTTGTGTCAGTGACTGAGCTACATCTTCATAACAGAGGCCGCACCTGCCTACTTCCCCGCCCCGAACACGCTTGACGACCAGTCTCATCTCCCCATCCAGTCCTGGATCGTTGACTGGGGTGTAAGGACGTTCGATCTGTAGATCCGGTTGCTTGATCATGACATGTTGCACTGTTATTTCTGCAGGGTCACGCTCTGGATTTTGAGGGGTGTGAGAGGTAGTCGAGCCGAGTGGAAGGGGTGCATTTGGGGAAAATGATTCTCGTGAAGCGGCAGACAGGGGGATGGTGAGGAGGACATGATCTGGCGAGAGGGTGGTGGTGGATGATATGACATGATCTGAGTAAACATATGGATCGAGCTTGGGACCTCTACTTTTGTGATAGAAGTATGAGATAGGGAGCAAGGAGAGCAGTAATCCTGCTGGTACAAGCCATCGTCGACCTTGAGGAGAGGGGCGAGGGGTGGTCGAGCCATGTTGAACAGAGCCGACAACGGGCCAGCGGTGACCGCAGTGGAGGGTCGGTCTATGCAAGTAGCTTCGGTAGAGTCTACGAAGTCTATAGCCTTGTTGAATCCGCGGTCGGAGTAGAGTATGAATGTATGACATGTATGACGGGTATGAAGTAAAGTCGAAATCTTTTCTTCAAGATAGAAGGTCGAATTCGCTCGCCTCTCTTTGTCTTTCTTCTCTTGTTTGATCTGTCCGTCTTCTTGTTTGAATCACCCAAGCGATGCCCTCCCCTTTGGCTCAGAGTCTTTCTGGAGGTAGAGAAGAGGCAAGATGGGAGGAATACGAAGACAGGGATCGTCAACCAGGCAGCTCTCGCCGTGATGATAACAGGTATCACGACAGAGATAGAGATAGAGACCGAGATCGAGATCGAAGATATAACGATGACGGAAAGCGATCTACTCAGGCAGACAGCTCCAGGAGAAAGGAGAGGAAGCGGGATAGGAGCCGAAGTAGAGAATATCACAGCGACCGCGAGAAACGTAAAGACAAAAGTGACCGAAGGGACAAGCGAAGGGATAGAAGTAGAAGCAAGTCTCGGGATGGTGATGAACAGCGTCGACATCGAGAGAAGGGCAAAAGCAAAAGGGAACATAAACGAGAGTAAGTATCTCCCTCTCTCATCATCTCTTCCAAGGTACTTCAACACGATAATCATTGTTAATGTGAAGTTCAAAAAGTCCTGATGATATCGCTGCAGCTAAAACAAGACGTAAAGAAGTTCGAGCGACGGCCAAAGCTACCGCTAGAAGAGAAACAGAACTCGAACAATCACGAGCTCTTGCAGAATTATCAATGTATTCCGCTCAAGATAATCCCTTCCACGATGCTAACCTCGGTGAGAGATTCGAATGGCATAAGAAACGTGAAAAAGAGAAAAAAGCTGGTCTCACAGCAGAGGAGATTGCAAGGAAAGATGCTAGAAGGAGACAGGAGGCTAAGGAAGAATTGGAAAAGCTGAATAAACGTAGAGCTGAGAGAGAGGTAGAGATGGCTTTGAGGGAAGAAGAAGAAGCAAAGATGAAACGTTTAGCAGAAGATGCTCAAATGGCAGAATGGATCGCCAAAGAAGATGATTTTCAATTAGAACAAGCGAGAAGAAGAGCTGGTATACGGTTAAGAGAACAACGTGCAAAAGCTATAGATTTCTTAGCTATCAATTTAAGATTCGCAGATGCTCAAGCCATTGGGAAACATACGGCTGCCATTGGGGCGTTGACCAATCCCAGGAAGGGTGAGGTTGAGAGGGAAGAAGAAGAAGAAGGATGGGGTTGGGCAGATGCAGGTTTCGAATTTGAGATTGATGAACCTTGGAAGATATTTGAGGTGAGTCATTCGTCTCATATGTTCACCTCCGACATTCGAGATTCATGCTTATGAGAAGAATTTGACTCTGGAAGATTGTATCGAGTTGGAACAGGATATCAAGATGTATTTGTCATTGGAGAAATTCCCCATCAATGTCGAGTTTTGGGAGGTCAGCTCCATTTTCCCGGGTGGATCTTAGAAGCTGATATTTAGGCCATGTTGGACGTCTGTACCAGTCATTTAGAAGATCTAAGAGATCCAGATCATGCGGAAGGAGGACGTTTCTTTGATCGTCAAGTTCATGAAGCCGCTGGGAAGATTGTAGGAGGTTTGAGTCTACAGCGATTGACAGAGTTGGAAAGTAAGACCAACGCGATGCTTCGAAGTGGTCAGCCTGTAGATGGAGAATTCTGGGATTTAGTCTTGAAGAAGATTCATTTGGAAAAGGCTATCGTAGGTTTCTCCTTTTCCACTCTCGGCGAGCATATGAGAAGAACTTGGTTGCTGATGGATAGGCGAAATTGAACGCCATACACGAAGTAGTCCTCAAGAACAGACTGGAACAATTCAAACGACGTCAAAGAGAAGAAGCTCTCAAGAATCAAAATCAAGGTCAAATCATTACCCAAAAACCCGACGTAAACTTCGGAGGGGACATGCGAGCAGAGGCGGGTAGTGAAGGGGAAGAAGAGATGGATGATGAAGCTGAAGAGGAAGATCATATCGAGGAATATAGTCGAGGCATGTCGCCAGAATTTGTAGATTTACAATCATTATCGGCTGACGATCGACGATTACCTATCATTGATGAAGTGGATGATCAGCGAGCTATCGTGAGTGATTCATCATCCTCAATTCTAATCACACGGCAAGCGATCATACTCTCCCAGTTATCCTCCCCCCTCCCCCCTCCCGTCGTCCTTGACCAACCCCTACTCGTTTCCCGCGAATAGTTTTTGATGTCACATGACCCATTAGCCTCCAGACGTGGGATGCGAAATAGAATCATCAAGTAGCTGATCTCAGTTCGCCGCCCGTCGAGCGCTGGTCTCCTCGACATTCGCAGCTAAACCTTCCCGAGATGACGCTCCGGAAGGTATAACCCAAAAGACAGTCTCACGTCCTTCCGCAGCGGACATCGAAGCCGAAGCGTTCTATAGAGCCGAAGCAGAACGTGAGAGACAAGATCTAGGGTCTGATGAGAGCGAAGAGGAATTTGGGGATTTGGACGAGACTTTGGATGAACCAGTGGTTAAGGGTACATATGATTGGGGTGATAGGTTCAGACCACGTAAACCTAGGTTTTTCAATCGGGTGCATACTGGGTTTGAGTGGACCAAGTATAATCAAACGCATTATGAGTGGGTCCTTAGTGTTACATCCTCTACCAATGCTTCCTTGTCGGTTGTGGAAGGAACATCTGGAGTCTTGGACCGTCCACTTTACTTTTCATCATTATAGTTCTGAATGGGAGTCGACTTGAAGTCTGTCGATTTTGTCGAAGGGAAGAGCTTGAGTGATGGGAATGTGACTGACGAAATAGTACGGATAACCCACCACCAAAGGTAGTTCAAGGATATAAATTCAATATATTCTATCCCGACCTCATGTGAGTCAACAGCCTTCTTATACTATCTTTTTTGTCTCTCTTCACTTCTACTCCCCTAGACTTGTCGCCTCCATACCATTTTCTCTATCAATAACTTTCAGTTCCATCCTCATCCATGTTTCTTGCTCCACAGACTACATTACAGGATCGAGTTAGTCGATTCAAGAAACATAGCTGATATGTAAAGAGACAAAACCAAAGCTCCTACTTACCGTACCGCTCCAATACCCGACGACCCCGAAACAGAGATGATCATCTTTTCCGCTGGACCGCCATACGAAGATATCGCGTTCCGAATAGTGAAACGCCAATGGGAATTTTCTCACCGGAGAGGTTTCAGATGTTTGTTCGATAGGGGTGTTTTGCAATGTGAGCTGGGGACTTGATATGGCGGAGGTTCAGCTGACAAAGTAGTATATTTTACCTTTTCGAGGACATGGTATCATAGTTAGCGCATAGGCTCAGTATCAAACCATCAAATGTGGAGAGAATCCTAAATCACAGAGAGAGAGGTAGAAGAAGAAGAGGGAGGATGGAAGTATGAATAACAACATATAATGCATCTTCGGATCATCCAGAGTACGAGTACTCAGTAAATGCTACATGCTACTTATCTACATATCTTCACGTCACTAGGAGTTTTTTCCCCTTCACGCAGCAACACCTTCCCATTCATGTACAGCATAAGCATTCGCACCACCTCTTTTCTCCCTACCTCTTTTATGTTTCTTCCCAACCCATTTACCTCTTTCCTTTTCTCTATCTCCATGGGAAGGCAAGAAACTTTTACCTGATGAAGGTACTGATCCGATGATTCCTGGTTCATCCGACCAAGCGGCGATTTCGTATGCGTTTGCGAGTTGTTCTGATTGAAGCATAGAAGATAGGGTATGTTGTCTACGAGAACGTTGACGATATCTAATCCATGAAGATATCTATGGGTGAGTGAATACAATCATAATCATCTTGATTTATCTGTTTCCCTTAAGTCCTTTCCAGTTTCAACTTATCAATATGTTTTTACAATGACTTTTTTATATGCCTAACCTCAATGATTAATGATCGAGAATCGTCTTTTGTCTATCTCCTTATTTTCTTTGATTCCACACAGGATATCTCCCATTTCCTGATGATTTTCTTTCAAACACGGCTTTAACACAAAAGGATGTAATACCAATTGTAGTGAAGGATATGAAGAGAAAGATAATATGAAGTAAACAGAGTGACCTAAATTAAGACTCACCTTGAAAAACAAAACCAAAGCAGTCAAAACCAAAACTATTATACCTGCCCCTACAGCCGTTTTCACAATTTTACTGGTATTGTACATATACCCAGGCCCGGTATATCTCGTAGTGCCCGAAGGGGATGAAGTGGTGATTATATCATCTGTGACAGTAGTGATTTTTGTCATTTTGACTGTACTGCTGGGTTCGATGATTCGGTGATTGGTATTAATGTCGAATGGATTGATGTGTGGTCGTTTGAGTGAAGCTTGATTTGTGAATGTCTTCCAAGAATCAATGAATCGATGAATCGATGATTTATCTAGGTGGGTCTAATGATGACATGTTGTTGTTCGTCTTCGAGGTGAATATGATTCGTTTTTGTCTTTCTTTCTATATCGGGGTTTACTGTTAAATGAAAGACAATGATGGATAGAATAGATAAGTTTGTCGATTGAAGTATGATGTTGATGAAATATGTATACCAGGTAAACTTAGGTGTTTTCAGGTGAAAAGAGGGAAGAAGGAAACAAAGCTTAAAAAGGTTCAAGGGTTTATCCGATCTTTCTTCCTTCCATATCTTTACTCCTCAACCATCCCATCCACCCCATTCTTGACTTCAACCTCTCATAAAGATGTTAGGTATACGTCCAACAGTGTTCCGTACCCCGATCCAAATAGCAAAGAATCAAAAACGTCAAGCTAGTCATGGACCGACTTACAACCCTCCATCGGGTTATCTATTCGGCGAGCGTGTCAGTTTTTTTTTTCTTTCCCTTCTTTTTTTTAATCTCACATTAGTCGTCAATGTCAATGATCTTAAAGCTGATATAATCTAGCCTGTGAAAGGACAGAAAAGACAAAGAGAATCATGGGAGTGAGTTTTAACTTGTTTTCGTATCCATCTTTACCACAATTCTCGCCAGACAAGTTCTTATCTTTTGAGACGTCTCACCAGTAGTAGTGACTCCACATGTTGAAGAATATAAGATCTCAATGGTATAATTGTCCTAAAGATTTGTGATCATCGCGAGAATATGAGCGAAGAAGAGAGATGGTGGGATAGGAAGTACAACGGGATAATAAGGGATTATAAATTGATATCAGACTAATCTATTACTTTGGTCTTTTCGGAGGGATGGGACTAGCAGCTGTTTTACTGACTTATAAACCCGACACTAGGTGAGTTATCACTTTCCTTCGACTTCATTCCACTTTCCCCACCCAACATCCTCTTATTTTGCGTAATCGAACATATTGGACTATAAAGAGATGAATGGGAATAGAATGGCTGATGTACAGTATCCAGACGTGGGCTTTGGAAGAGGCTAGAAGGCGTATGGAAGAGCGTGGGGAGAAAGTGGAATATAAGCCTTCGAGGGGGTAAGATAAGATAGAGATGCATTTATTTATTTCTATTTCTTCACACTTGGTATACTTCTTACTTCTCCTCATAAATGTACATCACATGAACCACTTGCCAGTTGCCAGTGGTCATGCCATGAGTACTTAGTGTCTAAGAAGCATCCCCTCCACCCTCTTTATTCTTCGAAGTCTCTTTGAATCCCAAAGTGGTAAAAACAACCAATTTACTCGTAAGTACTTCCTTTCTGTCACCTCTTTACCTCTTCAACTCTTCACCTCTCTTCCTCACTTCCTTCTTCTTCTCTACTGATATCGATGATTTCATTCTGAATTCTCATCCTCAGAACAATACCCATGCCGTCACACACCAAACCCCATCCATCAAGATCCCAAGCCCGTCGAGTCACCACCAACCCCGTCAATCCTTCATTCCCCCCTTCGGCATATATACAAGCTTACGAAGCTCAACTCCGACCTTCACCCGATGTTGGATCCAGTAATCCCTCTCGAGGTCTTATAAGATGGGTGGGGGATGAAGCAAGGGTTGGTAGTGAGGATGGGGAGAACGAGGGAGAAGGTTCAGGTGTTTGGGCAGATAGGTACGTTATGAATTTTCTTAGATAGTCTTTCCACCTGCGAATCTGATATAATAACACTAATTTGTTCCGTGATATAGACAGTGCATAATGTTATGTTCACATCTTATTTTCGAATCATCACTTCTGAGTACGAATATTGGCATGACTTGCGATGACCTGTCTCCAGCAGACGTCTTCTTGACACCTATGAGCCCGTCACGACTCTGAGTCGAAGACTGATGGTTGTTGAATCACCTCACATCGCAGAGTGTGTTGAGAGTTTCATCTGGGAAGGATGGTATATCACCTTTAAGGAAACGGTGGTAGAATAATTGAAGATCAGACTGATGAAGATGATTTCCACAGAATACTCATAGTAACATCAAAGAAACAATTTTTTGATTTGATGATATCTACTAGTCTCTTAGTTCTGAGCTGATGATAGATACGACCTTCTTCATCTTTTACCTTCATTACCATCACCTCCTTCTTCCCCTCAACCGACCGATTCGGACGATAGTGGTTGGACAGATGTTCCTTCTGAAGAAGAAGAAAGGTTCTTACTTTCTGGATCAGATGAAGAAGAATATGAAAGGAATAAAAAACGAAAGTGGATAGAAGGATTGAGGGAAGAACGTATGAGGGAGATGGGGAAAGAAGAAGAAAGAGGATCTAAACTTTTGGAAGAAGAGGTGAGCTTCTTTTATTCTTCCTTACCGATAAAGTACGACTCTTCTACAACATCTTTCTCAAATTAATCCACATGATTCACGTTGAAAGGCGATATTTTGATGGGGTGAAGAAGAGATGCTGGTGGCCCAGGCCATGGACGGATGGATGGAGTGAGTTCATTGGAGAAATCCGAGTCAAACAGTACATGCGAGCCATCTACATGAAGATTGACCTCGAATCGAAGGGAAATTGATGTAGGAAAGAAAGCTTGTCCCCAGGATCAGTCGTATCAGATGAAAAAGTGGGTTTGAAGGGTATAATCATCCAATTAAAAGAGAGATCAGGAGAAGAAGGAGAAGGAGAAGGAGAAGAAGACAGCAGAAAAGTTGACATTCTAGCCTCCTGAAAACATATTACAACTCATGCGTCACACAGCTCAATCAATAACATCTTCACCAAACCCTCAAATATTGATCAGTCGTATTCTTGCCAATCACGTAAAAGATGATCGTTTCCTTTTTCTGAAAGGAAGGTATTCTTCCACTTGGCAACGTATTCGAGAAGAGCTAAGAGGTTTGGTCAAAGTTGAAGAGAAAAGTGAAAGAAACAAAAAGAGTGTTGGGACAGGTTTGTTAGGTGGTTATGAGAGTAGTACTAGTACTAGTGATGATTCCAGTGGAAATGATCAGGATGAGAAAGGTGAGAAAGATGAAGAGGATAAAGATGAGGATGGAATTCCTCCACCACCTACAGATGATATTCCACCTCCACCTGATTCACCTCCGTCTCCTCCATTACATCCGTCACTGGGATCACCTCCGTCGCCTGCTCTCATCTTATCTCATGATGTTCCTGTTGGATCATCAACAACGGATGTATTCGGGATGGATGAAACACAGGATAATGCCGAAGAGGAGAAGAAAAGACAACGTAGAGTAAGATTAGAAGAGTGGAAACGATCTCGAAAAATATGATATCTTCATGACTTTCACTTTCATATCATCATCCGTAGGGTCGTAGGAGAGGATATTATAGTAAATAGCATTCAAAGCATCTCATTCATTTGCATGAAACCATATCGTTCATATTGACATTATCTCTCTGTTCAATCCAACAACGCTTCACCCAACATGTCCAACACACCAGGTCCAGGAGTTGCCGTTTGAGCTTGTTGTTCCATTTGTTGTCTCAACAAATCAGCTTCACGCTTTACCGCTTCGATGGGGTTGGGGACGGAAGGATCGACAAGTGGTCGAATGGCCGCTGAGAGCTCGGCGGGTTTGATACCGAGTGCAGAAGCGAGTTTGAAGATTTGAGATTGGACATCTTCACCTCCGGATTTCTATGCATTAGCAAAGAACATACTGAGGTGAGGTCCCACAGGATCTTGTCAGCTAGCTTGGAGACTATGTCACCCGTAAGAGTCCCGGGGACCAAACCACCGTCATGCCTTGACCACTCTAGGTGATGATTCATGAAAAGGTGAATTGGGGGCTCCCCAGTTGAAGAGATATGAAATAAAATGAGCTGGCCACCAGCATAGATCTGTGAAGTAGGTGGTCTGGACGCTAGGTAGAGGTATAGTAGAGAGATATAGTAAACACTCACCCCACCCACAACACCTTTTCCCGCACTCGACTGTGTGGCACTAGCAGCAGCCTGTACGATACTATCCGTATCGATACCCGTATCCACTGTCCGACGACCAGTCATGAGATTCCAATAACCCCCTACGTCGGCCGCCCAGACGGTAAGACGCCAGACGTAGAACGAGGCGAGTGTGAGGAGGGTAAGAGCGAGGTATGTGAGGCTATGGGTCAATCATATTACTAATATCCTTCTGATCTCTGATCTCAACGTCTCAATTCCCAGAGGGAGATCGTAGTGGGGGTTAGTTCAGCTTGACGCATCATGAGCAGGAGCATGAAAATGATCTGAGATGTGATACTGCACGCCGGATATAGGTGACTGTCGATTTGTTCAATTGTACAAAGGGAGAGTAAGCGTGGAAGAGAAGAAGGGGAAGAGGAAGTGAAGGAGGGAGGATAAAGATCCACGTACAACTTGTTCATTGACATATCGATAAAAGGAGGTTTGACATGAGGTTTGTTTCTTGGGACTTTCTTTCCAGGGTTACCGGATAAAGAAGCTCTAACAAATCAATTCTCATCACATCTCATCTCCACGTCTCATTCCCTCATCATCACCGAACTCCCATATACACAGTAGGAAGTTGAGGGGGGAAACGGGAATACTGACGGATTAGACACCTTGACATCTTCATCCCCGTTCACTACCTTACTTCTTTGACGTATTCCAGTAGCCTCAGGAGTAGACATTCTGTGACGTTTCTCTCACTGAAGATCACGGATGACGGATCGATAGTTGGCAAGAAAAGACGGAGTGGAATGACGAGGGTTAAAAGACCTCGCGAGATGGGGGAGTGGACGATGACGTATGAGCCACGTGGCTACTTGGGGATCGGATAAATAAGAGAACGACGGAAACACCTGCCGGCCGGGTTCGTTAGCGTAGCAGGGGGGGGGGGCTTCACCTTGATCACAATTGCAGAAATTGACATTCAATCTTAGTATTTAGTCTTCAGAAGAGGGAGCAGCTAGCAGAACAGACGAGATGCCAGACGAACAGAGTTTCTTTGATCAGTTGGAGGATTGGTTTGAGGCGCAAGTCCCGACCAATTTGCACGATCTACCTTTTAGGATGTTAGAGACGATGGAGAGGATGTCGAATGATCTCAGTGAGTTGTCTTCTTGCTCTTTCGTATCTTGCCTTGCTCTCGACAACCTATATTGGTCATGTACCTTCCTGACACCATTGCAAACTCCCCATCGGTAGGAGTCAACTCGGGTACGTGGAGACAAGAGAGAGATGAAGACAATTGTTTGAAAGAAAGCTTGACATGCTAACTTCCAGTCGAATCCTTAAACGTTCATGGTCCTCCTAGTATATCCATCCCTTTCCCACCTTTCACATCCAAAGATAATTCCCCTCCTCCACCTCCTCCTTCCACACCTTTACCAATGGGAATTTACCATAAAACTTGTAAAGTCACCAAAGCACATCCGTACGCTGTTGGGGGCGTGGCGTTGGCTATGACGGTTGGTTTAGGGATCAGCGGATATCTTCTTCGTCATGGTATCAAAGGATATAAATTCGAAACATTTTCCACTCAAGGAAAGACGGAAGATGGGATGTTGAAAGAAGCTATAGGTTAGTAGATATATTCATCGGATCATGAGAAGGGTTAGAATGAGACTGATGAAATAGTTTTACTTTCACCTTCCCCCACACCACCTTTGCTCATTCCTTTGGCCGCAAGTTTGCTCAAGGCTGGTTATGTGGTTATAGTTGCTGTTCCTCATCTTAAAGAGGCGGAAAGTATCGAACGTAATTTAGGGTCTTTGGAAGGGAAAGCATTGAGGGTTTTGATTTATGATCCAGAGGATGTGAGTGATTTCTTAGTGTTCCAAATCAATGTCCTTTACACCGATGCTGTCACTGTCACTTTGTAACATTCATTATAATACAGGAATACTTCATCTGACCTCCAGTCTGCTACTTTCCCTCCGTTCCATCGCTCTTTAATGGCCACACTCACGCTGCGTTACCCGGCTCGGGGTCACTCTGGGACATCCGACTCGTATAACCCTCAACCTTCTCATATCCCACATATCCACGCGTTCATCTCACTTTATCCTCTCAACCCTTCTCCTCCTTCTCAACCCGGAGCACTTCCCGCACTTCCTAGCCTACTCGTTCCAGGATCAAAAGGAAGAAGCCCCAAACTTATCACTCTCTATCCGGCATCTTCGATTCTTCCTGTACCAGACACGTTCGCTTCTCAAATACTCAGTGCAAATCATAAATTACTCGCACAAAATCTTGCCGTTTCATCTGGTACTCGTAATGTTTCGATATACGTAGGGGATCTCAATCTCCCAACTTTGCCCGCTATGCTCAGTCATAATCTTCCCTCGAGACGTGAACAAGCTAGGTTGGTCATGCAACATGCTTCCACTCGTCAACGTGTCAATTACATTAAAGGTTACTTCCTCGGTGGAATCTATAGTGTATACACGAGAATGATGGGAACCATAGGTATCGGTCTTCCAGCAAGGGATTATACCACATTTGAGCGATCACTCCTTCGGGTTGTCAGACATCGTTCTTGGGGTGAAGTATCATTAGGTCAAAGATCATATCTCGTTCTAGCACTTGGGAAACTTCCTCCGATCATCTTACCAAATGTTCTGTCGATATTTCCAAGATTGTCAAATGCGACTGGTCCACTTCCTCCACTCCCACCGAAATTGATAGTGGATGAAAAGGAGATCAAGTTGGACCCACCGATTAAGAGTCCAGGGACGGAGGAAGATTTGACAAGTTCGATCCATACTCACACCAGTACGTCGAGTAGGGGAGAAGATAGTGGGAGTGGAGGATTGGAAGGATCGTGGATTGGTTTGGAAGGGAATTAAAGTTTGAGATCTGATTTTTTGGAGAATTGTTGGAATTGTTGTACAGAGACTGTTTTGATGGGGAAATCAGGACGAGTTGTATGGACGGTGTGAAATGTTAGATGCAAATGAGTCGACTACTCTATACCCCTTCTCTTGGGCTGTGTCTCTGGACCGGTGGTACTGGGCTTCATGATCACTGGCCAATTGGCCCCTGACTGACTGGCCACAGTGTGCTTGCGGTACACCAAATGACGGTCGACTGTCTATACTTTGTAGAGCAACTTGAGATGTGCACTTTCAATCCTTACTCTATACCCCGGTGACGCCGGCTAAGTGCAATGCCCACTGCCGAGTGAGGGTTACCGGGGAAAGTGGTCCGCGGTCCGAACAACCGGTCGCTTCTCGTTTCTCGCCCTCTTCTCGATCCTCGTCCCCAATGCAACATCCCCAACCAACGTCATGACGTGACTTCGTGAAGACAGTCACACCAGCACACCAGCACACCAGCACACCAGCACACCCAGTCTCAGTCTCAGTCGTCACACCGCAGGATATTCACACATACTGCCAAGAGATATAAACCCAGTCATCGAACATCTCTCTTCATCTGGTTCCCATCATCTATCTGCCATCTAGCTTCATCTTTCTATCTTTCTATTTCGGTTATATCTTTCTCTTTCGGTCGTACTTCTCTATCTAGGTCTATCTGTCTCCCTCAGCTGTTCATCTATATTGTTAGTGCTCACACTCTCGGTACTATCTTCTCCTCTGGATCACGACACATCTCAGTCATCTATTTAAATATCTACAAATACAACTCTCGGAATTTGTCATATTGCAAAGATAGCAGCGTAACAGCTTAACAACTACCACCTCAAAACTATCCTCAAATATCTCGAACAAGTCCGTGAAAGTATCTGGCACCTCAGCGATCAGCGTTATCAATCTCATCACATCGCCTTCATCTACGGGTTCACGGGCACTTGTTGACGCAAGGTCATTTTCTTTCGACATCTCTTCGAATTTTATACATCTCGTCTCAATTTGACAAAGTATCTTCACCATCACTATATCTCTGGCTACCAAGACATTGGATTTATCTGTTTCAGTCTCTCGCAATCATAAGTCGATCAACTTGAAACACACGATGTCACCCGCTTCACGCACGTCCATCGTCCGTTTACTCAACCTCACTTCCCACGCCGGATGTAGAGGTTGTGGTAGGACTCATTCAGCTTTGCACCATACTCCACATGTGCACGATACCAAAAATGCTTCTCGAGCTATGGAAGGAATGTGGAAGAGGGGTATGGCGACACCTATCGATGGAGGCGGTTTACCCCCAGGAGATGGAGATTACGCTTTCGAGGTGAGATATGTTCTTGAGGACTGAAGTTAGAATAAAGCGCTGACACTTGTCGTCCTATCTTTCCAATCTCCTGTAATACCGTCCCCTCTCATACTATCAACAGATGGCCGCTTCCAACCTCCGCTTCGGCGCACATGTCACTCGAGAAGTCGGAATGGACTTTTCTAACATGATCTCTCAATTACCAACAGTCGAACGAAGTCAAGCGAAGATCGGTGTGTTCACCGACCCCAATGTTGCAAGGCTAAACGTCATGAAGGTGAGTTTATACGCATGCGTATCCACATCAATCGGGGCGCCAACAAGATTAACTGCTGACCTCTTAGGTTGTCGAAGATAGTTTGATGAGAGAAGGACTCAATTGGGTCTTGTTTGATAAATGCGCCGTCGAACCTACTGACAAGAGCTGGCAGGTCAGTGCGCCGTATCGTCTGACAGATCGTGATAACGGGCGCAGTAGCTATGTGGAGTAACACGCAGGCTGACCCAACAGGAAGCTATCAATTTCGCTCGATCCTCACATATCACCCATTTTCTCGCTGTCGGCGGCGGCTCTTCGATGGACACTGCTAAAGCGGCCAATCTATTTGTTAATTATCCCGAATCAGACATGTACGATTTCATCAACGCTCCCATTGGTAAAGGATTGCCAATTGCGAAGAAGCTCAGTCCGATAGTGTGCAGTGAGTCGCCTGGCTGAGTGTAGCGTTGTAATGCTGATCAGAAACAGTCCCCACCACTGCCGTCAGTCTTTCAAAGTTGCCAAGACGAAGACTGATGACCAGGGTACCGGATCGGAAACCACTGGTACTGCCATACTCGACATCCCCTCAAGGTCTTTCAAGACCGGAATTGCGAATCGAGCATTGAAACCCACGCTTGGTATAGTAGATTTGCAAAACACCGCTACATGTCCCAAGGAAGTCGCAATTGCCTCCGGGCTTGATGTCTTGTTTCACTCGCTTGAAAGTAAGCTGAGTATTTTCCATGGTCTGTAAGCTGATCAATAGGTTGGACGGCTGTGCCATACTATGAACGTACCCCAAGACCTCTGAATCCGATCAATCGACGTAAGTCCGACACAGTGCTCGTGGAAAGGTCTCTGACGAGTCAGCCGCTTATCAAGGCTCTAACCCCCTTTCCGACATTTTCTCTCGCTGGGCTTTGGAAACCACCATCAAGTACCTTCCACGTATAGCTTTGGATCCCACAGGGGACGAAGAAGCTCGAGCTCAAATGCTGTGAGCTTGAAGTTATGTGTCTTGATTTCAGCTCATCCCTCTAGTCTTGCGGCTTCTACAGCCGGTATTGGATTTGGCAACGCCGGTGTTCATCTCTGTGTATGTCTTTCTCTTCTTTTTACTCTTCGAATCACTGACATTATCAGCATGCTGCGTCGTATCCTATTTCCTCATTGAACAAAGGTCGACCGAAAGAGAAACAATATCATCACCCTTCTTATTCCCCAACAGTACCTCTGATCCCTCACGGCGTGGCAGTATCTTTGACCGCTCCGGCAGTGTTCGACTTCACCGCACCATCTTCACCGAGCCGACATCGTGAAGCCTTGTCCGTGTTTCTGGGGAAAGAACGTCAAGGGGAGGCTATAAACGTGAGGGATGAGGATTTAGGTCAAGCGTTGAGGGATGAGATCCGAAAGTTCTTAGACCTCGTCGGTGTTCCTAGAGGGTTGAGTAAGGTAGGGTATAGTAAAAGTGATGTAGGGGCGTTAGTAGAAGGGTGTTTACCACAGAGGAGAGTGTTGGATCTGGCCCCCGTGTTAAGTCGGGGGAATCAAGAAGAGGAACGGGAACAGTTGACGGGGATTATTGAGAGATCTTTGGAGTGGTAGTAAATATCGAAAGCTACGAGATGGGAAGTGATCTTATGGGTGTATGACAGGATGTAAACAATTTAATCTTCACCCAGTCTTTGATTCCAACTCTGTCAAATCTTCTCTTCGTAGCTCATAAAGTCTACTTCAGCGGTTGCAACTTGCCAATTGATGGAGTGTACAGTAGAGAGACCTCTATCATCCGTGCTCTAGCTTGCTCTATTATGGTATGGGTGCCACAGTGCCACAAGTGAAAGACGGAAACAAATTCCTCAACAGTTGTCTGTTCTCTGTTCACCTGTTCTCTCCATCTTACCTAGAGGTTTTTCCCCGTAGAAGTGACCTCCTCAACTATGTCTGTCCCTCCTAGTGGACCTTCTCGCCCGATGCGACCACCTCGACCACCGGGTCCTCCGGGTGCGAGACCTTTCCGTCCTCCAACAGGGTGAGTGTTGTCGATCATATCTTCCCTCGTCTCTAGTTTCCTTCGACCCTTCTACACGTATGCTTAGTGTCCACTAGCAAACTGTTTCAGGTGTCTCCAATTTTTCCACAAAAGCATGGTTCTCAGTGAACATTCACACTCATTAGATCAAGTGCGACGTTCTGGACCTCCATACAAGTAGCTGCTGTCATCATACCCCTGTGAAGCTCTCATGTACGAGCTTGAACAATACTGTTGTCGTATCTCATGACTGACACTGCAGCCCCGCAAATTTCCACCCTCAAGCACCTATGATGCTCCCTGGTTTCCCAGGTTGGGCACCTCCACCTATGATGCCCAACTTTCCTCCACCTCTTCCACCTGGTTGGTCAGAACATTTAGCTCCTGATGGTGTAACGAGATATTATTATAATTCAAGTACGAAACAATCCACATATATCAGACCAACTTTCGTACCTCTTCCACCTACATCTGTTGATCCTACCGGAATGAATGGTGTAACGAACGGTGGTGAAAAGAAGAAAAAAGAAAAACCGAAAGATCGTGTACCTATACCAAACACCACTTGGACTCGAGTGACGACCACAGAAGGAAATGTTTTTTATTTCGAAAAAGAGAGTAAAAGGAGTGAATGGACAGTCCCTGATGAGATTAAAGATGCTGTTGAAGCATTTGATAATGAGGAGAAGAAGAAGAAAGAGGAGGAACAAAAGTTGAAGAAAGAGAAAGAAAGGTTGGAGAAAGAGAAAGTTAGGTTAGAGTTAGAAGAAGAGAGAAAGAGATTGGTTGAACAAGGTTTGGAAAGGAAACGTAAAGCTGAAGAAGCAATAGCACAAGCAAAGAATGAAGAGAGGAAATCAAAGGTTGCGAAAACGATTAAAGGTGAGGATGAAGGCGAAAGAAGTGAGGAGGATGAAAACCATTTACAGGGAGATGGAGAGGAAGGTGATGAGGGAGAAGATGAGGAAGGCGATTATGGACCTGTGGATGAAGATGATGAAGCGGCTTGGCAGAGAGCTGTAGCGGCGGAATTCGCTGAGGCTGATGCTGCTTTAGAAGCTGAGAGAGAAAGGGAGAAAGAAGAAACGGAGATGAAAGAGGAAGAAGCGGTCAAACAGGTCTTTTCAGTACCGGAAAAAGTTACTGTTTCGTTGGAAGAAGGAAAAGCTTTGTTCAAGGTGAGTTTCGTTTCTCTCCTCTCCTCTTCAATCACTCTCTCCCACTCTTCTCTTGTTAAAAAGCAGGTTCATCCAGCTCAAGGTCTCACTCATACCATACTCAAAGATGATACCACTGGTGTCTCGGTCATTGGATAACGCCATGTGACATGCTCACTCCAGGCACTGCTATACGAAAAGGAAATCTCTCCTTTTGCTCCTTGGGACCAATCCCTCCCTCTGTTCATCAATGACCCCCGATACGTTCTTCTCTCCTCTCTCAAAGATCGTCGTGAAGTGTACGAAGAGTATTGTCGTGATGTTGGTCGAGCACGGAGACTCAACAAGATCAAGCCGGCCGCGCAAGAAGAGAAGAAGAGTGATCCTGAACGGGAATATAAAGCATTGTTGAGGGATGAAGTGACGAGCACTCGGACTAGGTGGGAAGAGTTTAGGAAGAAATGGAAGAAGGAAAGACGGTTTTATGCGTATGGAAGGGATGATAGAGAGCGAGAGAAAATCTTCAAGGTTCATCTAAGGGAATTGGGGGAGCGTGAGTTGTTCATAAGTCCCATTGTCAAGCTGTCCACTCGTTCTTCTCAGACAGTCCGCCGGACACTCAAATTCTTGAGCAGATTTTTTGGAGGTGTCCACTGACCCTCTGTGATGTATGTGAGACAAATGGGAAGAGACAATTTCGTTGCTACAAAGTGGAACCTGTTGACACTCAGGTAAACGAGCCGATGCTCAAAGGGCCGAACAGGACTTTCTGGAGCTCCTCCATGAAACCCCCAACATTGCACCATCGTCAATTTGGCAAGACGTCAAGAAATCACTCGTCAGTGATAAACGATACGACGCCGTTGGTTCTTCTTCCCTCCGAGAAGAACTGTTTGACAATTATCGGAAGACTTTGGAAACGCGAGCTGAGCCTGAAACACCTGAGCAGGCAGCAGAGAGAAAGCTCAAGGAGCGTAAGGCGAGGGAAGAGGCAAGTTTACGGGAAAGAGAGGCTAGAGTGAGAGGAGAGAAGATCAGAGTGGATCAAGAGATGAATAAGTCTAGAATCGGTGCGGGGCGAGAAGAAGGTGAGAGGGAATTTGGGAGTTTGTTAGTGGATCAAGTGAGAGATCATGATGTGAGTGATTTGTTCGTCCTCTCGGCTTGCCAATTTGCTCTAGCACCTCTGTGTTGATTTCCAAACTCATCTTTTCATATTTATCTCTCGCCTTTCTTTGAATGGTTCACACATGACAGCGAACCTGGCCATCTCTTCACACAGCAGTGAAAGCAACGATCAAATTGGCGATATATCCAGAGTAGTCTCTTCCGGGAAATTGCCTGCTTCTACAAAGGGAGCAGTGGGAGGTTTGGAGGACATCGGACATCGCTGATCTCAGACAACCTGGGAATCCGCCATTCCTTACCTTTCCCAAGATCCTCGATTCTCTCACCCTTCTCTTCGTTCATCAGACAAACAACGTCTCTTCACCGAACACATCTCTCATCTCTCTTCTAAACGTTCTTCAGCCCTTCACGCCTTATTCTCATCTCTTGCCCCGGCCCTCGATACACCGTTCGAAAGCATCTACGCTAAACTCATTGAAGATCCTCTGGTAGTCCGACTCGCTCTGGGTCCAGAGGGTTTGGAAGAACGATACAACGCTTGGCGTCGGGCCAAGGAGACGGAAGCCAGACGTGAATTCGATGTCATGTTGGGTGAAAATAGCTTTGTGGAGTTTTGGGGAAGGATGAGGAAAAAGGCTGTTGATGATGAAGCTGCAAAGATAAAAGATGAGGAGATGGAACCTGATGAAGAGGATGAAGCGGGGAAGAAGAATATGAGAGAGTTGGCACAACAAATTGATCTAGATGAGATTAAGGCTGTTTTGAGGGTACGTCGTTGTTACATCTGTTTTTCCTCCCGAGATCTTTCTATTCCTCCTCTCTTCCTCCCTCTTCCTCGATACGATCCTTATTCGTCTCTGTACCGTTGGGAGGTATTTTCGGTAGTTCTCTTGCGAATGACTAGCGAATGTCAGGACGAGGTTTCTTTTGTCCCGGTAGAGTTGATTGTGATCATGGATAAAGTTGATACATCAGCGCGATAAAAGATATAGGATATTTGATCATGTTCCGGAGAAAAGAGAAAGTTGGATACGAGTGAGTTTAATCCTTTGACTTTTCATGAGTTTTCATCACTGACAAGAAGGATTATATGGATAGTTTATCTGCCGCATCAGGGAGTGAAACTATACATCATTTGGGTTGAACATGCATTGTCGTTTTGACTTTATCGACATGTTATCCTTGTTTAATATCTTCAATCGTCAAGTCCTGAAATCCAAAATTGCAGGTTCCTTACTCTATCGCATCGTTCATATGAAGATATGTCCAGGTGGAGACTGATGGCTCAAACGTATTGAGAAAACGGAACAATAGTAATTCATGATGCATCATTGACATAAATAATTGTAAGATATGCAAGAATGATTCAGATCCATTGTGTAAATGCTTTTGATCGCGGCGAAAGTTAAAGATGACGAGATATCACATGCCTAGAGGTAATGGTCGAGCGGAGGAATAAGGTTGTAGATGGGAAGAAAGGAAGAGGTCGGTATCGTATGTTGCCCAACGGCGAGGAGGCTCCCAGGTAGCTTTAAGAGGGAGGGAGACAGGGGGAGGGAAAACGTTCTGGGTGAGACGACGGGCGGAAGATGGAGGAGGGTAGTCGTTGTTATTTGGCCGAGGGCCCGGAGGAAGGGAAGGAGGATCTGTGGGTGGGGGTTGGGGTGGGGGTGGTGGAAGACTTGAAGGTGGAGGAGGGTAGTCGTTGTTATTTGACTGTGGGCCCGGAGGAAGGGGAGGAGGATTTGTGGGTGAGGGCGGGGGTGGTGGAAGACTTGAAGGTGGAGGCGGGGGCGGAGACCAGGATTCAAGCGGGGGTGGTGGTGGTGGAGGAGGGCAATCATCTGACGGCGGAGATGGCGGCGGTGGATTTCGGGACGCAAGCGGAGCCGTTGGCCAATGATGCTTCGGCGGAGGAGATGGTAATGAGAAGAGACCGATTGGTTGTGCCGGTTGTGTTGAGTGAAACGATGGTGATTGATGGTCTGGCGAATGACATGAAGACCCTCCTTCACCTGTACCAATCTGTGGACTTCCAACCTCACCTTCCGTCTTCGGACCTTGAGGTGAGGAACTAGAGGATGAAGATCCAAATCCTCCATAAACTACCAATCCATCCTCACTTCCTTCCTCTTCTCCCTCTTCCTCATCCTCCATTTCAATCCTCCTTCTGACCTCTTGCATAGGATCTGGAAAGTCAGCTCCCCTTTTCTACTTCTCCCCCCTCTTGTCTCCTCTTCGTCTCTCCCACACACACACTCCTCTCGGATGATACAATAAACCTCACCTTTCACAGCGGTCCATCCTGGTGGATACCCCCAAAATGCAATTCTCTCCAACCAAGGCCACTTCTTTCTCCTTTTCATAATCTTCCTCTCCGCCCTTCTCAGAGCTAAAGCTCTTACGTCAAGTTCATCTTCTTCATCCTCATCAGGGTAGAATAATGCATCAGCCAGATCGGTACTAATTTCACCTGGTTTGAACCGTTCTGACAGACTCAAACGTCTTATGCGAGATGAAGGGGTGGAACGGTATGTATCCAAGAAGGCTAGTGCGTTTGGGGGAGGATGGTCGGATTGAGATAAATGAAGAGATCGAGAGGCTGATATGAGAAAGGGGTTTCGTGGTTCTGGACAGGAAGAGATACGGTGGCCTGAAAGACGACAATTCCAACAGATTATCGAACTGGCATTAGCTTGCTACACTTTTTCCATGTCGACAGGTTCGACGAGAAAGTGGATATGTCAATTTAGATATAATGCGATGTATTAAAAATACGAGTTTCAGTGAGAGGGGAAACGAGTACAGTAACATACGATGAACTTATCCGAGTTTCCTCCAAACCGCCAGAAGTTGAATTATCTAACTTATCATAGATGATATCCACACCATCATTCCCTCCTTCCTCTTCCACCTCCCAAGTCACTTCATCCGTATCAATCACAGGTACGTCCAACCCTACCGGTCCATCGCTAAACCCTGCAAAGGTAGATTCGAGGATAGCGGCATGTTCATCCCATTGCCCAGTCCCCAGAGCGTCTGATAATGGTGCTCCTCTGCTGGAAAGATCGAAGAAATATCTTCCAACAGCTCGTCTCCATGGTGGTATTTTCCGTTTTACAGGCTTTTCTCCATCTGGAACTTGTTCGACATTGCCATTATTAACGGAATGAGATCTGGTAGGAAGGGAGGAAAATCTCAAGATGGATTTGTATGGCTCGAATGGGGTATCTGGTCTTCTGTTTGCTGGTTCGCTTGCCATGCCTCTATCAAGGCTTTGAGGGCGGGACGGTCTATACGATGCTTTTGAATATGACGACCTTGGAAGTGTAGCACGGGCTGACGTCAGTATCAACCCCAATTCTCAGTCTCCCACCGCGAAAGTCTTTACACTCCAACCTAGAGCTGCTTCAAAGTGTAGGCCTGAAGGGATGTTTCAGGTCAGATGCAGTTGGAAAAGATCGGATGGAGAACAACTCACAATGTCGTACTGATACAACCTACGCCACTTCTTCGCCTCTTTTTCATCTGCGCTGGAGGGAGGGTCACGAATGTTGAACGTATCTAGCTCGAAAGGAGTCGTCCTTCTCAGAATAGCCAGTTCTTGTTTAGCCACCTGAGTTCAGCAAGTGCTCTGACAAAAGTTGAAAAGGAGGCGAAAGAAAACTTAACGGGGAGAGGAAGTGGAAGGAAATTCAAAAAATTGGCTCACCTCGCACAATGAACACTCCTTTCCTCCCGTAAACAGCGTCAAGCGGGGCAGCGGAAGCCTTGGAGGCATGTCCCGATATCTCACTACTGTCTAAGGTCGAGATCGACCATGCACATAAAGTGATGTTGTATACTGAGGAGGAAATGAAGTTGTGGAGAAGATGTTAGACCTTGTGGTGCCTGGTCAGTCGCGTCAGCCGTGGACGGCAAATCCGGTCGAAAGTCTCTGCCTTTCTCTTGACTTCTCATCATCATCCCATTACCTCTATTTCACTCGTAACATGTCAGATGAAGAGGAAGATGTCGCAGAGTTCTTCATATCAAAGCGACGAAGACCTCGCAGGCCGCTTTGTGAGTCAGGCAGGCCCCACCGGTATCGACCGGATTGACAGATTTGACTTTCAGCGCCTCCTCGTGTCCCCTCCCCTCCTCCCGTTGTCGAATCTTCTTCCGACGAGACCGATTCCCCTATAAGAAGAAGGAGGTCCAAGAAACCGCCTCCCCCGAAACTTGCTTTACCAGCATGGACCCGACCAAAGCCGCAGAATAAGAAGTCAGGGAGGAGTAATTTGGAGTCTAGGAGAAGTGCTACCGCGGAACCGATGTGAGTCATCAGTCCGCTAGCTGCTGGATTCAAGTAGCATCGTGGCTGGCTGATCCGGAAGAATCATTGTAGATTCCGATGAAGAGCCCCCACCAAAATCACGGATCGACTTAGATCTTCCGCCACCGCCCGAATTGTCAGCGGCCAAGAAAGCGGAGCTCGCAAAACTTACCGCGTGAGTTGCTTCTCATTACATCTCACTATAGTCAACGTTTCGCACGGCAATGGTATTGTGAGAGAAAGATCTGTTCTCGCTCCATTTTTAATGATCTGTTGAGGAACAGCTACCTTGGTGGAAATGGTTGAGATCTCGACTAACGCCTAGGCAATTGCTGGGTATAGAACAAGCTCTAGTACCACCGGAGACAACTACGGTACCCTCCTCCGACCCACCAGAATTGGAAGACGCTCATTCCGGAGAGACGGTGATGATATCAGTCCGGATGGTTGCCGACCCTGCTCGTATCGCCGCAGGGGCTAGTGCCGCTGCTATCAGAGCATATCAGAAAGAGAAGCAGTTCACCGTGGACCGAGTACGCGTCTGCATCTCACGTCAGCATCTGTGAAAATCGACACTGACTATTAGGGTGGCCCATTACGAGCTCTGATGAAAGGTTTAGCGCAGAGAGTTGGCAAGCAACCTGAGGATTTAGTATTGGTCTACAAGAAAAGCAAGATCAAAAGTCTTCAACTGAGACCAGTCGATCTAGGTATCGACTCTTATGGTGAGATGAGTGAGTTTTCGCACTTTTCCCCGCGATCTGGCTAGACTTTTGGCTGATGGTCGAGCCGGTTATGAGAAAGATGTGTGGGAGAAGATACAACAGGAAGAGAAAGCAGCGAGGAGAAGACACCTTGCGGAATTGGATGGCCAGACGGAAGATCCTGAGCCCGCATCGACATCACCCTCGAACCCTTCCACCACTATCGATCCCCTACCTGAACCGACTGCGGGGCCGAGCAAGACAAGACTGACTTTACGAGGGAAAGAGGGTCAATATCTTGTCGCTGTCGAACCGAACGTCAGCGCAAATGTATTATGTCGATTTTATTGTAAGAAAGCAGGACGACCGATGGAAGATGGCGCTGGCATGAGGTTGGAATTTGAAGGGGAGCAAATCTCACCGGATGAAGCGATAGAGGAGTTGGATCTGGAGGATGGGGATCTGTTAGATGTTGTGGAGATATGACGGCGGGGTATGTGGGCATGTAGGCATATACAAATATAAACATCTGGGTGGTTGGACTGTAGACTATGATCAGGGCACCCGAGATGATTTACTAGTTGTCATGATATAGATCCCAGACGAACCGACACGCGTCAATGAAGTTGTCAGTCGCGTGAAGAGTAGTTCAGTTCTCGTTGATTTTTCCTTTGACTCTTCTTTCTCCACGCAAATGACATGATAGGACGGTATCTACAAGCCTGGTTCAACTGTATCTCTAGGTAGGTACACTCTACCAACTCATAGCTTATTTGTAGCACAGCGTATACTTGTCATGCCCACGGAAACCACCGATGGATCTCTTCCCGATTCCGTACAAAGCGATGTCAGTTCTAACCTTTCGACAGCACCTTCATTCCGGTCCATTCTCTCCTTCTGGGGTAATGGTAATACTGCTCCTCCTCCACTGCCTCCACCACAGATGAAAAAGAAACGTAAAGCTCCGGTATCCACTCTTCAAGGAAAGCTCGTCACTGGTCCGGACGGTTGGACGGTTGGTAAACCTGAAGTGGAGAATCTGCCCGTTTCCGAAGCTGGAAGCTCGATTTTGGTCAATGCTCCAGATGCTGAAGGGAGTTCAAACTCTAGGGATGCTGCTGTTGAGGCTGCAGGGAGAGAAAAAGGGATAAGGGTTATCACTAGAAAGCCGAGAGGAAAAAAGGCTCAGCCCGATGGTCAGGATGTTGACTCAAGTGGAGCCTTTCTTCCAATCATCCAAACCGGTGAGTCGCCTCACATCATCTCTGTCTTTTCTTCCAATCTCGGAAAAAGCCTCAGCAATGTGACTGATAACGAAGGAGACGACCATGATCCGAAGTCATCAACTACCTGCAATTTAGATCTTTCTGATCTCGCCCAAACAACCTCTCAGATCGCAAAGAAGAAACCTCGAAAACCTCAAACACAACCTTCCAAGCCTACTATCCTCCTCTCTGACACTCCCAGACATACACCAGTGATAGAGATCACCTCCGATCCACCAGATATTGAATCCAGTGAACGTGAACCAGATTCGTCCACTTTCACACGTCCCACCCGTCGGAAAGACGGTCCAGCTCAGCAACTTGAAGTCATGCGACGTACCCTCTCAGACTCTAGCTCGTCGAAGGGTGCCTTGCACGATCCGATTCAGATAGAAGAAGACGATCATTGTGATATTGAGGAGGTTAAGAAGGTTCCGAAAAAGTTGGTATTTGCGAGTGATACGAGACCGACACATGGTTTCTTTTCTCAGGTCGGAAGTGTGGTGGACAAGAAAGCTGATTTGGAGACAAATGGACCACCGGAGGTGATGGAGAAATGCCATGTGGAAAGTCCCGCAGTGGAGAAAGTGAAGAAAGTGCATACGTTCTTCTCGATGAACGGTCACGGGGATTTACCTGGAAAACTGAAACCTGGCTGGGGAGGAGTGAAAGAGGGAGAGGAATGGTCGGTTCCTTTTCCAAGAGGCGATTGGCCGAGTCATCTCCACTTCACCGAAGTTCCTTCTTCCATCGACAGCGGACTGAAGAAGAGGAAGAGGAATCTCGCAACAGCCTCATCGAAAGATGAGCTATTTTGGCAGGACTTCCTGCGACAGACAACGACCGCTTATTCGGCTACCAACGACTCAAAACCCCCATCATCTTCAGAACTATCGACTTTTCCATTCATTTCCAACCATCCTGCCATTCTTTCCCTACCCCATAAAATCCGATCTGTCTCCAATCGCGAGACCTGGTGTGAGCTATACTCCCCTCGATCGGCCTCTGAAGTACTCGGCAACGAGACCGAAGCTCTGTATCTTCGTGATTGGCTTCATACCCTTCAGCTCGGCTCGTCTTCACATTCCACCTTTCCAGTACAACGTAAAATCCGTAGACCAAAGAGACAAAACTTTGACGGATGGATAGTCGATGATGTTGGTTTATTTGGTGATCCGGTCGATTCGGAAGAGGAAGACGAATTACAAGAACCTCACGAAGAACCTGAACTACCACTGGGACAACGACCAAATTCGTATATCTCAATGGAACAACGATTGACAAATACTATCCTTCTGACTGGTCCATCCGGGTCAGGAAAGAGTGCGGCTGTTTATGCTGCCGCACATGAATTGGGTTGGGAGGTTTTTGAGGTGAATCCTGGGATGGGAAAACGGACCGGAGGGAATGTGACCAGCTGGGTGGGTGATGTGGGAAAGAATCATATGGTCGTGAGGAATGAAGAGAAGAAGAGTTTGAAGAGTCTTTTGGGTGTGAAAGATGCGAAGATCAAGGAAGCCGTGTTGACTTTGGAAACTCGAGATATGGCTGAGGAGTCGATTCTGATGGATCTGAAAAACGATTCGAAGATGGATGTTGATGATGAAACGGACGGACGGGAGGAGGAGCGGGAAGCGAAGAAGATCAAACAGTCTCTGATACTCATCGAAGAGGTCGATATACTGTTTGAGGAGGAAAGTACTTTCTGGCCTTCTGTCATTAGTCTGATAGGTGAGAGTCGACGGCCTGTGATATTAACTTGTAACGGTGAGTTATTTCTTCTTCTCACTACAAACCTCATCCCTGTGTAAGCTCACATATTCTCTTTCATTTCACCCTATGTTTTCTCGACTTCTAAGGAAATCTCGTGATGCTGCGCCTCTCTGGCCTTTGGAGAGAGGAGACAATTGGTGAAGTCAAACAGTCACACTGACATCAAGATCCCACAATGATACCCCTAGAACAACTCCCTCTCCAAACCACATTACACTTCCAACCTCCTCCATCTTACTTGGTAATCCCATATCTCGAAGCTATCGCCAAAACCAGCGGTATCGTCTTTTCCACCTACCCATCTCAATTATACGCTGGTTCAGTGATCCGACCTCCTGACGTGCTCAGACGACCTTTACCTCCTAATGGTAATGAACCTCTATCGACATTTGACATGAGACGAGCTATAATGCAAATGCAACTTGATCGATCATCTTCTACCTCTCAACCTTTGTCCGAACCGATGACAGTGTTGACTGAGGAAATACTGGAGTTGAAGGATTTGACGAGGAAGATGGAATTGGCTTCATTTACGGATACGTATTTGGATCCGAAAGATTGGATGATACTTGATGTAAGTGTCACTCCCCTCCTCGTCAAACTTGAGCAATCTCCCAGCCGTGCGTCGAGTAGTGATAGATGTTTCCGACTTCCGAGTTGGTGTTGACAGGGCACGGAGGGATGGCGTGAAAGGGATGGAAGCTGAACATATAGACCATCGAAATTGATAGATATTCACCTTGTGCAGATGACGAAATTGGTATATTCTCGTTGCTCAAACCTGAAGTTGAAGACTGGCGTCCGACCTTAGCTTGTACAGCTTTTTCTCATTGTGTAGAAATATCATCAACTGTCGAGGGGTTGGTCTCTGGGTTTATTCCTTTTTCAGAGGAAAAACTCCAAGATGATCGGTGGGTTTTATTCTATTTTCCAGTTATCTCAAGACCATTTCTCATCTTCTGCATCCGGTCTTTCAAATCATATCCTCTTCTGGAGAACGCTCCCTGAAATATACTCATCCTGTATAAAGAAATCTAAATTATCTTCCAAGAACTTGTCACTTGAGAGTAGCTGGGGTAAAGACCTTGATCCTACCTGACGAGTCCTCCTTCCTCTCCCAAAGTTCACATCTCCTGCCTGACTTTACTCTCTACTACTTTATTCATCTCTGATTCCACCTTGTCCGTGATGAGATTAAAGTGAAAATTAATGAAGGAATGGAAAAACAAGTATCGGCAATTAGGTTCAGAGGTGTATATCAATATTGGAAGAGAGTACTCGTACTCGTACTCATACATCCAGAGAGAAAAAAAATTGTGTAAAAAGGAAAATATTGATCTTTTCAGAACCAATCACATACGTTCCTTATTACCTCTTCTTGATCCTTTAATCCCACTTTCTTCTCATCTCCTTCCACACCATTCATTATTCCTAGACCAAAAACCTTTTTTAAGTATAATGGTGCAAATCGATGATTTCCTACTTCAAGCTGATCTCGCCGCTATGGCCACAGGTGAAGGAAGGATCAATAGGAAAACCGGTAGACCCGTTAGGTCTCAAGAGGTTTATGATCGGTATTGGGATTTGTCAGTTGATGTTTTGGCCATAGCTAGGAGACAAGTTGGAGAAGGTGATTTATCTTGAGATGAAGGTGGTGTTAAAGATGATTCATCTGAGAGAGTCGTTAAGATATAGCTTAAGGGAGAAGGGGAGAAAGAGTTGGTCCATACAGATTTCGTTATTGGTAGAGTTTTGTTGGATGATTGATATGGGTGGGGGGTTGTGAGAAGGGTGTGATAGTGAAAGAAGGAAGGAATGAAATCACATAACATGTTGCATGTTGCATTTTAACTCATTTCACTACATTTAATTTCAACAATTTTGATATTCAGTATCTACAAATGAAATTGTCCAAAGGTGAAACGAATACATTAATCCTACAACATGTTACTTTTGTTCGTTACGAATAATGATTGAAACTCATATGAAATAAATCAAGAACTCAACTCAACTTCATACTTCCATCCACACGTGAAATCGATATACTTTTATTCAACATGATCCCTAATCCATCAGGTCTGATTAAAAGTAAAGGTAATTTGATCATTCCTTCTTTCCCCTTACCCACTTTACTCGTTGCTCCCAATTTACCATCATCATCATTTGTTGTCTCAACTGCCATGCTTTTATTTACATCACTGTCATCAGATCCATGTTCAGGTGGATAAACCTTGACTATCCCTCTTATTTCTCCTGAAGGTGTATCATCGGGGAAAACTTGACCATCCGATACTTCCATAGAAGGAAGAACCATCTGGTTGATATTTTCTCCAGACTCGATCGATTGACTAGAATTCCTCACTTCTGAATCAACCATTTGTCCTTCTTGAAACACTTGTGTTGGTTGTCTTGAAATATCAACTCTATCCATAGATCTCAAATGTCCTCCATCGGATCGTGCTAGAGTAGGATCTAACATGAATTCATCCAATGTCATTTCTTCTTTCCTCAATTCCATATTCCTATCTTCTATCATATTCTCCGTCTCTTGAATCGTCACCATTTGAGAAGGTTGATGATAGTTTAAGTCTGGTTGTATGGAATTAGATGGTACTGTCCATTCTTCCGTATTACCTTCTTGCGTATTTGATCCAACAAGAGGTGTTTCAACGTTTTCTACCGTTTTGTTTGAATGAGAAGTAGAACCCGCCTCTTCACCGGTACCATTGAGACGTCTCTCGATCTCCTCAATAGCTAATAATATAGCTTGACTACTAGGAATCTCCACTCTCATCGTGATAACCACTTCTGGATCGGTCAGAGGTTGATGTTGGGAGGAAGTAGTGGGCGGAAGGACGGAGACCGATAAAGGTCCAAGAGGTCCGAGATAGAGATGAGAATGTTGAGCAGAAGAAGGGAGGAGAAGATCGAGTGATGTGAAGGTCGGGTTTGGTTGAGGGTCTGACAAGAGGTTGGGAATCGGGTCGAGGGAATGAGAAAGTGGGTCAAAGTTGATGAATGAGTATGAGAATGAGGCTAAGGTCAGTGACTCGTCATACACGCTGGCTGACTATGAAGACCGGAGGGAGAAATCAAGGCTGGGGACTTGAGGATGGTCATGCTAGTGAAGCCAGAACAACTCAAACGGAGAAGAAGACACGAGGGCAGGAAAACACCTCAAACACTCACAAACACCACCGATAACCCAACACATCCAATCTTCCACTTTATCAACAATCTTCCCATCCCTCTCCTCCACTTTCACTCCCGCCCAACTGACCTCTGCCAACGTGCTCCCTTCCTCGTCTTCCTCAATGACAACTCTGGCCAAAGCATTCCTCTTCGTCTTGACCTTCTTCCTAGGTCTACTCGACGATTCATCAATACTCCCTATGTCTCCTTCCAGAGGCAATTCCATATCCGCCAATGTGTCCCCTTCCTGAGTATACCGATTAGGAACTTTTCTCCTCCGTATTCGACTAATCTCATCAGGTGTCATCAACTCAGCCCCTCCCTGTCTTGCTCCGGGAGCGGAAAGATACATTCTCTGTCCCGCATTTTCCTCCACGCGTACCAACCCCAACCGCTGTAAAACACTGATGGGTCTTCCCTCATCTGCACTCATGTCCACCTCGCCCTTCTCCACCTTGACCAATCGCACGGGTTCAGACCGACTGCCCGTGTGCACATCATGAAGCTGTACGACTGAACCGAATGTCAGCGTATCTGAATCTTGTCGACGTTTCGCCTGAGGTATAGGGGGAGGGGCAAGAGAGATGACATGAAATCGGAACGGAGTCCATTTCCCTGTTTTCGCGGTGAGTTTGCCGGATGATGAGTTCGAAGATGGAGTTTCCATAGACATGTATTTGGTTCTCACTGTTTGAGCGTGGATCCTGACCCAAAGGGCGAAGACGGTCGAGGTGGAGAGGAAAGCGGCGGAACGGGATTTCGCTGTTTTGATGGACGGCTTGGAGACCATGTCGAGTGGAGGCGAAGTGAGAGTAGCCCATACATCATGAGTGGGGGTTTGTGTTTGTACCGAGACCGAATTGAGGGTTTTCAAAACTGGTGGATAAGGCAGAGTAGGATCTTCTTCTTGGTGTCCAACATTTGACTGCTCATTCGCATTAAGGACAGCTGCCGGAGTTCCATTTTGGTCGTGGGTGATCGTCGAGGTGAGTTCCGACTGTGATGGAGCAAGCTCGGTCGCGACGGCGGCAGGAAGATGATCCGCCAGGCTTCCCAACGCATTGCCAATTTCATGATCTCTAAGAGCATTCTCAATATCATGATCCCTCAAAGCGCTGAGTCCTTCCAAATCATCTGCACCGAACATTTCGCCCAAAGCGGTGACCGCGGCGTCGTGTAGAGTATCTTCCCCTGTCCGTTGCTCCTCGACGGCATGAGTATCATACTCTGTCGGATGATCAGCTGGGGGCTCCATCAAAGCGACGTCCTGTCCGGGTGGACCGAGAGTAAGTCGAAGTTGGAATTGCTTTCCCTTGCCTTTCTTCCCTCCAGCCCACAGAGCGGGAAAAGCCAATCCCACCTCCAATGCTTTACGTTCGCGGGCTATCATTCGCAGCTTCTCTCGTGACAGTGTGGCAGCAAAGCCAGCCTTTGCAGCCAGACTTCTCCAACGACGTTGACGGGCCTCCCTTTCAGCTCGCTTGTGGGAGGAAGCGGGAGGTGAAGGAGGTTGGGAGGAAGGGTCAAGTGGAATGATTCTGGTCTCCCAGGACATCGGAGGAGTATCTGGGGATAGATACACAGTCGCGAGGGTGACTGCTGTGAGAGTAGATAGGAGCGGGCCGGATACACGAAGGAGAGGAGCGGGGCTCAGCATGCTAGAAGGGTCAGCAAGGGGGAGAGGCAGAGGGAGGACATGACTGACCGTCGTTCATTGACGTATGACTTTTGAGCTGTGGTAGGATGCCAGACTTCTATCCGGGTAATGTCTTGTTGTGCATCCTGGTCGGAATGACCGAGACATAGCTTGGAGAGGACGGGGATGATCTTTGCAATGTCTTGGGACGAAGGAGCCGAGTGGCTGTTGTGATCTGCATTGTGTGAGGGCTGAGAGTGAGCGGTGAGTTGATGGGAAAAGAGAAGAGAGCTGACCTGGGTAGAGAGATAGTCCAACGGATCCTCTGGGGTGTTGTAAGGTGGACCTCTTATGGCGTTGATGAGGAGGTCAAAAGCGTCCATGGTGATAGTGGTGGTAGTAGTAGTAGAGTAGTTCTCCCACGGATGCTTTCACTCTCGGAAGTCGGACGGGTGAGTGGGAGAAGAGAAGGATCGGTGTTTGCGGCGTTTCGAGTTGGAGGCATGAGATCATTCATCGATCAGTGGCCCAGAGGCCAGAGGGTGGAGGTCAAGCGAGGCCAGGTTGGACGGGGCGCAAGCCCGCGGGTTACGGAATTTTCTCCTCCTTCCCTCGGGCAATGGACCCTGAAATGGATGAATTCCTCGCCTCCCCTTTCCCCTTTGCTCCCTTGCGCTGGCTGGCATGGCTTAACCCCCCTCCCCTCGCAATATCCATACAGTAACCGCAAAGAAGTCCCACGACCATAAGTCACTCTTCTCATTCGTCACATTCACTCATACCACCATCTCTCATATCAACCTCATCACTGCTCAATCGTCCAGCAACGTGTCTAACACTTACGCCAATTCCAGCCAACCGAGTGGTGACGCAGAGGACCCGACAAGACCGAGCAACGCCGAGTGTTTCCGAAGTGTAAAGAAGCGCATTTTGCACCCACCCACCAAGCACCCCACCCCTCTTGACTCGACCTTCGACTTTCGCCATCAGATCATCCTTCTCTCTCTCTGACCCTGGAATCATCCGTCCCCTTTGATATCCAACCGGAGCCCCTCGAGGCCGTACTCCCTCGCCCTCGTCGTTCCACTCGCCCTCTTCATCTTAGGTGAGTCGGCTGTTTTTTCCTTCTCGGAATCCTACTAAGGAACCATTGGCCGTGCGGGGTCGCGTGATGAACGTTCATGCTTCATTGATGGTTGGCAAACAAGTCCATCACTCCCTATGCATCCTATAGGGGTCGTTTGCTAGTTTTCCATCTTGCTCCCTCCGTGTTTCGTCTTCTATTCTGGCGCATGTCAGAAGTGTCATTTCAATCCTTTCAGATCTCTTTAAATCATTCCACACTCCGACATCGCACATCCTGGCGTTCACCCCGACTTTGTACTCGTCTTCACTTCTCTTCTCCATAGTCTTCTTCGCCTCCACCTAACCTTTGTATTGCTGCTGCTTGACCTCCTCTCACATTATCCTCCCTCACCCCTTCAGCCTTGCCGCCGTATTACTCCGACATCGCGCCGAAGCTGACTCGTGACGCAGAACCACCCACCTCTCACTCTTTCACCTTTCATCATTTCTTCCTCTACTCCTTCTCCGCCCTTCGCCGGACCGTCCCCCCGTTCGACCACCTCTTCAAAGTCGTCTCCAAGTTCTATAAGCTCAGTCTCTACAACCACAAAGCTTCGACCACTTCTTCCAAAACCTCCCACACCAGTCGCATCAGGTGCTACAGCTTCCACCGCCGTTCTCACTTCCGGTCAACGTTACATTCAGCCCAGACCGGCCAAGATGGAAAAGCTCTCCTGGCGTGCTGGTCCAGGTTCCAAGAAGGGTCCCTTCACAGTGGACAGCGGTGGTGGACATGTCAAATCTCCCAGTGTCGCCGCCGCCCTCGCCTCTGGAAACCCCTACGAACGTCCAACATCAGCCTCTTCATCGACTCGTCACTCCAACCCACCGACTCCTCAACTATCCCCAAACGCTCAGCGCCATGTCTTTCCTCACCCGTTCATCTCTGCTCTCTACGGTGGCGCCGTAGCTGGCGCCAGAAAAAGACAACAATCTCGCGAAGGCTTGCCGTCCAACGAGTACGTAAACCACGTCACTACTCCCACCTCGTCCGAACAAGCCATCCTTTCTGCCAATCAAGGCCTTCCTCGAAATGGGACCAGTGGTCCTCGTAATGGACAAGGACCTTCGCAGACACAACTGCCCAATGTCAACAATGTCAGTCGACATCACCGTCCTATCCCCGCTCCTGCTGCACCGCTTTCGGGCTCTACAACTCCGCTGGATCCTCCGCCTTCCCCATGGAATGCCATCGAGACATTCCCTCATGACTGGTTGCAAAACGGTAATGCCCCTTGGGCAAGTCCAACGGCGTCTCAGCAATCACACATTCAGGCCGACGCCTCAGATTGGGCTACCCTCATCGATACCAACATGTTCGCTGGATTGGAAGAGGTGGTCCAACAGGGCCAGGCAAAAGCGACAGGTGGGCAACAAAGACCATGTAATTTGATGGGAGCCCTCGACGCTCCCGGTCAACACAACACTACCTCCGCCGTTCCTCCCCCGGCTCAGAGCCACTCAAGTCAACCATCCAGTCTCCTGACAAGACGTTTGCAGCAGCATCAATACGATCACTCGGCCCCGGTTTCGCCCCGCGTTGAGCAGCATTCCTTCGACGGTGCGTCTTCGGTGACGCCTACTACGACGTCACTTTTGTCGTCTATGGGCCTCGGGGTTCTACCCACCCCACCTCAGAGCTTTAGCTCTCATGGAGGACCTTCACGTCCACCCATGAACGGTACTCACAGTCCATGGCCTCTACCCGAGCGAGCAATGGGATATGTCGAAACTCCCGCGACCACTCCTGGTGGAAGTGAAGTGGCCTTTGGAAGCCCAGCTGACGTACGTACGAACTACCTGTAATGCGTGTCATGGAAAAGCTGATAATTCAGGCCAACGGCCTCTCACGACAAACCAGCAACTTGTCTCGCCGCAACGATAGCGGCGTGCCCCCTTATCTTGGCCCTTCCCGCATGTCCATGCCTCCGCCGCATGCGACTTCCCACGCTCCACAAACTTTACATTCCCCCAACGCTTTTAGTCATGCAGTCTACACGCATACCACTCGAATGCCGCCATTGCCGGATGATTCACTTCCACCTCTGCCACCTGGATTATCTATTGAACATCTGGCACAATACGGTGCTGCTGGTCTGGAGATGGCTATCCGACTGGGAATGGGCATCGGCATGCAAGTCGGACGTCAAGCGCAACAACAATCATCTTCCAGCTCCGCCTCTGTCGTCCCAGCTCATGCCATCACTCCTTCCTCTCACGCGGACTCGCCATCCACCTCCGCATCGAAGACCAACCAGAATGTTGTCAGTGACATCTTGAACGACGATTTCCTGTCCCGTATGACTTCACCTTCGCTCTCCAGTCCCGTGTCGAACCAGGCTCCTGTATTCACAACATCACGACGACCATCCATGGGAGACGAGAGCAAACAGAACGTGGAGGGCCCGCCTGAGGAGATGGCCAAGAAAGATCCATTGGCAACTCAGATATGGAAAGTGTATGCTCGAGGTCGTGACAATCTTCCGAATGGCATGCGGATGGAGAATCTGACTTGGCGGATGATGCACTTGACACTCAAGAAACAAGAGGAAGACGCGGCTTTGAAGTTGAACGAGCAAGCAAAACCTCACGAGTCGCCTAAAGCCGGACAGCCACTACCATTGACATCACCGACGGAAAATGAGCGAGGACGGACGAAGGGTAAATCGCGAGTCGTGGGCTTTCAAGCACCTGGAGGTCCGTCTGCAGTGTAAGTTTCTTTCCCCACTGATGTGCGTCTTCATGCTCACTTCGCAGGGATGCGGACATGGATTGGCGTGCCGCAAGCCGCTCACGATCACGGATGAACGTCGATTGGCGAGACCGATCCCGCTCTCGGTCGGCATTCGGCAGCGTGCGCATGATGGACGTCTCAGAATCGCACGCTCATAGCCTGTTGGCTCACGAGCAAGGACCCCCGGACGAGAACATGTTTGCTAACGCTGGTCAGACGATGCCCGAGTTCTCCGATCAGTGGATCCAGCAAGCGCCCCAACATGCTCAGTCTCACCCGGTAATGGCCATGCACGGAGGCGACGAGATAGCTGCTCGTGACGGTTCAGCGCCCAAGGACATCAAGCAAACCTCTCCGAATGAACCGCAGGCGACTTTAGACCACGCTTTGCGAGCTGCAGCCGCGTACGAGCTTTTCGCCGCATCCGCTCCGACTGGCGGCCCCATCGCTCATCTTCAGAACTCTCTGGCCAGCGGGCAAGTGGCTGTCGGTAAAGGACATGCGCCGCATCTGCCGGGAATATCAGGCCCCGGGCTGTTTGCAGAGATCAAGGAAAACTGGCATCCCGCTTATGGTTACCTTCCAAGACTGGTTCGCAAGACGAGTTTCGACCATACCATCAGTCCCAACGGTAATGGCAATGTCAAACCTGGTGGTCACATGCCACCTCCTGCCAATCCAAGAAAGCGAGCGGCCGATGCTTCACCGAGAGATAGGGCTGCGCAAGCTTTACTCGAGAACGATTCTGGATTCCCGTCTGGCATGTTCACGTTCAATTTCGACAACAACGCTATCAACAACAACAACTATGACAACTTTTTCGATCTCAACGCCGCGTCAGCAGCTACCCCTGCCAACAACGGAAATGAAGGTCCTGAGGAACATGTGCAAACACAACCCCAAGATCAGAACCTCAATCAAGGACAAAATACAGGTCAAGGACATGGACAAAATCTCGATTGGACGGGAGCGAACGGAGGACCTCAGAGTGCTCCAGGGACGGAACCCGCCAGTACTTACGGATCCCCCTCAAGCTTCATCGATCCTGCATTTATGAACATTCCTCAACCAAACAGTGATAATCCATTCGATTTCCAACAACTTATGCATCTTTACCTCAACGCCAACGCCACCGCCTCTCCATACACGCATATCAATCCATCTCAAGTTCTCGGAGCTATGCAAGATCTCGTTGTCAATCCTTCTGGTATTTCTCCTCAATCTGGTGCACCTACACCTGGCTTTGTAGCTGCTCCACATGTCGTGAGACCATTACCGAAAACTGTCGGGGGTAAACCTGTCAATATGACCGATCGTATGCCACCACCACCGGCGAGATCGAATTCATCACCTAATCTTCAAACTCTGAAGATGCCGTCGATGCATAGAACAGCACACGTGAGGAATCAATCGACCAACGTCCCCCCTGGCAGGTCGAAAGCTCCGACACCGTTGGGCACTTCTGGACCAGGGACACCGGGTAGTGATGGTGATGATTTGTACACGTTTGCAACGGGTTCGGGTAGCGGAGAAACACCAACGGTCTGTACGAATTGTCAGACGACTAATACTCCTCTTTGGCGAAGAGACCCGGAGGGACAACCATTGTGCAATGCGTGTGGATTGTTCTATGTGAGTTTTTCAGAGTTGTTTTTCACGTCATCACCCTTCTTAGTCGAAACCATCATTCTGCACATATCCAGTTGATCATCTTACTCTCCTTTTCGAGAAAGTTAAGACAATAGAGACATTTGAGTTCGAGCTGACTCTTAGAAACTTCATGGCGTAGTCAGACCTCTATCACTAAAGACGGATGTTATCAAGAAACGGTCAGTCATCTCTTTCTCCCGTCTTTCAATATCATTCCTTCACCTTGACTATCTCAAATGGTTGATACCCTTTACTCTTTTCCGTCTTTTGCAACATGACATCGCCCGAGCTCAGCTGACAAATTTAGAAACCGTGCTCAACCTCCTCCCAAAGATGTCCCATCCCGGAAAAATTCCGCCAATTCTAATCCCAAAACACCCGGCTCCAACAAATCTAAACCCCCTTCTCCGACTTCTCCAAGCGGAATGTCCATGTTACCTTCTTCCTCCGTCTCCACTGCCTCGGGATTGAAGAAAGCCAGAAGAGCCAGCGAAATCCCAGGTTCCATAGGTAATGGGAATAATATGATCAATGGGAATGGGAGTGTCAACATGAATGGTTTGTATGGTGTTGGTAGTTTGAACGCTACGACGGGAAGTTTATCAAGTCCTACCAGTCAAGCGATTCTAAGTATAACTATGACGTAAGGTGGGTCATACTCGGCTTGGTCATTGTGGCTCAAGTGAGTTGGAATGAGTGTTGGATGTGGGAGATCGAATTGAGGATGGGGAGTTGGAATTGTGCGAGAGGCCAGTGAATGGGTGATGGATGATGGATGATGGGATTAGAGTTGGAGTTGGAGTCAAGTATAATGTTTATTCATTTAGTCATGTTTCCATCTTGAATCATCTTGAAGTAGATTTTTCCATTGTGCTTTTTTTTCTCTACATATTTCTCAGCTTTCGTGTTTAGTGCTTCATAGAGTTGTGTTTGGGTTAGAAGAGATGTATCACTTCGTTCTTGCTATCATGTTGAACTTTCGTCGTGCTTTCATCATCATTTGACAGAGACGCGACGAAAATCGCTATTGATTTAGAATAAACACATTTGTCCAACAAGTTGACTATGCATTTTCTATTCCACGCCGATTGACTATATATGTAGATAGGCTGTATCAATGCACATTATTATTACCCATTTTTCACCTTTTACCTCCGATGTACTCTACACTACCTCTTCACCATCTTTGTCCCTCGGTCATCTCTTCCCGAGTTTCCGACGCCTCCTCTTCCTGCACAATGACAAAAAACGACATACACATTCCAATCTAACTTCAAGTCAAATATCCATAGTATCCCACATTCATGAATGATCATCCTTGATGAAAATAATATCCTTCAGGATTATATATATCAAAATTATGTTGAACATAACCCATCTCTTCCATCTCTTGTCCCATAGGAGCCGGAGGTACAGACATGTATCCCGTGGTCGATCCGGATCCCGAAGCGGATAAAGAAGTTGAATCTTGTCGGACAAATTCGTATCGATCATTCCAGACGTTTTCTTCTCCTGGACCTGGGGATGGATCAGATTTGATGACTTGGACAAGAGAATGAGAATGAGAAGGTTGAAGTTGATAATTGTATTCCGTAGAAGGGGGGGAGAAATGAGGCGAATGGTTTGGAAGGGAATGAGCAGAAGTTGGACCTGTAGCGAGAGGATCCCATGGGAAGATATGTTCGGATGAGGAGGAGGATCGGGTTTGTTGCCATTCTCTTCGAAGACTTAAAATCAGCTCAGGCTCACACAGGAAATGAAATTGATATAGAAGTGAGATACACGTCAAGAGGATAATCATAATCATGGTCTACGGGAGAGGAGAAACTCACTCGGCCGAACGTTCAAATGACTTGGCATGGGCCCATCGGAGTTCCTGTTCGATCAGTAAAAGTCGTCATCACGGTGTTGACTGGCGAATTTCCGAGAAAAGTAAACGGAACAAGAAGACGCGATTTGAAGAAGGATGATCCTCGGAAGGAGAATAAAGAAGAGCAGAAGACACACATTCAACGCTCGAAGACAAATAACAATATCTTCATCTGTATCTCTCATTTTGGCCAATAGCATGGCCGTGTAATACGTCCCGTCTCGGACGAGCGAAGCGTCCCATTCGAAAAAACTGCAGGAGTCAGCATGTCTCGCCTCTTCTCGATCGCTGGGGATTCCGAATTCACAATGGGACCCCTCAAAAGCGACATGCGATGAAGACAAGGCCGAGCTGTTCGGACTCACCTCGTCCCCACATGTCTCTTGATGATATCCATGGTTTGCCTTGTCTGAACCTCACATTTACTCTTCGATATGTCCAGCAGATGCCGCAAATTTGTCACTTCTCCGTTTGTACTGTCTGGATCGCTAATATACGCCCCAGTTTGAGACACAATACCCTCCAGACGTTTCTCGAGCGAGGTCCGGATAACATTTTGAGCTTCAAATAGGAAAATTTTCTATCTGGTCAGCCGTGTACTACTTGCTCTGCTCCAGATATAGCTCACCCATCCATCGGAAAACCTGTAGCACTGTTAGCGTTGGACGCACTATGAAGAGAAAGACGCACCGGATGACCTCATCAGCGGAAGTATAAGATCCTGGAGGTTCATGACGCAAGGCATCGAACTCCTCCCAGCATTTCTCCAACGCCTCCCACGCTTCCTTGACCAAGGCTGCGTTTACATCTGCCTTGCGTCGAGCGACTTGTCCAGTAAGGGCTTTGTTGATCAGTCGACAGGCCATCTGGATATCAGCATCTGCGGCATGATCACGACCTTGATAGGGAAACAGAAACAGGAATATGGAGACAGACGCACGGCAAGCTGTATGGGAGCAGTGGCGAACTTGATACTAGACTTCATCTCTGGCGATTTCACCATTAAGGAACGATGGTTGATCGAGTCTTGAATGGTCTCCAAATCGTCGCCGTCAAGGTGAAGTCGTCCTCCCTTGAGTCCAGTGGTGATACCCTCGTGGACAAATGCATCTGCGCAAGCGATAAGCAAAATTTGGATAGCACGGACCATAATTTCACTCACACCAGTAAACGCGCACGCGGACCAGCAGGTAATCCCGCCCTTCTCTACTATCTGTACCGCCGTTGGCGCTTGAAGCAGCAGAAGGCTGTCCGTCATATCCCAAAGCGTTGAATGAGCACAGGGCGTGCACTTGAGAGACAGCTGATTCGTACATGGTCAGTCGTTCAACTGAGGTCGAAATACCTGTACCCGTCAGCCAGATGCCTGGAGACTAAACGTCTCATCGAGCTCACCTTCCGTCAGCGGCAGAAGGAGAAGTAAAACTCGTACACCGTCCCAGGATGGTCGACGAAGAATCCCAGCGTCATCGATCTCACGAAGGATGATCTCTACCACATATCGCATTTTTGCTCTTCTTCCTTGGCGGTCGGCTTCCCTACTGGCCTCTGCGTCACTCGGGTGCAGGAGACTAACGTTGAGCAGCGGAGCGCCGCCGTTTTCTGGGACGTCACAGTTCCCTCGTTCGTCGACCCCGTACGACACCGCCCAAGCATACAAAACATGGCAGAGGATGGCGCCTTCTGGACCCATTGCAGCGGCGGTGGGGTTAGTCGGCCGAAGGTACCTCTGGACAAAGTCATCGGGATCGATCACCGGTCCTGTATGGTAAGCCGAGCTACTCGACGGTTCACTATCAATTGACTCACGTTGCACTTGAAACCTACGAAAGAATGGGGACTCAAAGAATTCGAGGGTCAACTCTGGCAGCGTGGCGATGTCTCGTAGGGCTTCTCTGCTCGATGTCGCTTCAGAGTCTTCCGACGACGCCATGGCGGCATTGGTCGCACTTTTCCCGTAGATATTCTCGATCTCAGATATTCTTTTACCTCTACGCAATTGTTTTTGAGCCTTCAGCGGGGCGTATTCGTCGCTGCCTGTCAGCATAACCGGTCTGACAAAGGGAAGCCGAAATACTGACATGCAGTTCATCTTTCTCTCTAGACAATTTGTACAGCTCACTTTTCTTCTCTTGCCCTGCCCTCGAACAGGACCGACAGTGCCGTTCTGTAACTCTAGAGCAGCTTGCCGTTCAGCCTCTTCTTGTCTGTCCTTCAGATCACATTTCACTCTACGATGTCGGCATGCGCCACACGCGGTAAACTGTTGTCGAGAGGTCTTGGGACCATGACCTGTGCCGACGGTGGAAGTACTGGTGGATCGGGACTGTGAAGGACCAGCTTGCAAAGATGCTACTCTAGGTGGGTGTGAAGACCAGTCAGAGGTTGAAGGCTGGAAAGAGGATGAAGCGATCAATGCTTGTTTAGGGAAGTAATCGACCATGGTAGCCGAGGTGGAGGCCGACGTGTCCGCAGTGGGGGCACCGGTAGGAGGATGATACGGTGATTGCGTGAGCTGCTGGGAGTAGGCGGCGGAGAGCTGTGAAGCATCGTACATGCCAGAGGGAGGGATAGGAATAGACAGCTGTTGACGAGAGTGGTCTTCGGAAGTTTCGTATGTGGATGGGTACATGTGCATCGGATGTGAACTTGACTCGACACCAGCGCTCATCTGATGTTGAGGCAAGTGGGTGTTATCGACGGCATGTGACACCTGGTAGGAAGTGTCATACAAGTATTGGGTATGAGGGCCAACTTGGAATTGCGGTGGACCGGTGTCGATGTTGGAATGATGAGGGTGTTGATGTGGTCGGGATGTTTGTTGCTGGTGATGATGAGGATGAGAATGGTGTTGATGTTGTACATGCTGAAGCTCATGGTGGTGATGCTGAGGGAGTGGGTCACGATGCTGATCTTGATTATGCGGGTCGGGGTTGGGATATGGGTGGGACATCTGTGAAGAGTCAACCCAATACCACAAACCATCTTGACCTAAGACGGGGATCATGGTCGACAATGTGGATCAACTGTGGAGACTGAGTCGGTGACAAACATTCAGAGGACGGAGAAGGGGGATATGATATGCGAGAGGAAAGAAGAGGTGACTACCTACTGGATTAAAAGTCTTCCTTGATACTTGGGAATACTAAGGGTATACCTTTCACGGCTCCTCGGAGTAGATTTCCCGGGTTGGGGTCTTGTCCAGTTTGTAAAAGATGGATGTAAGCCTGTGTAAAGATCAATTTCCATTCGGCCCTAGACTGGAACAAATAAGGAAAAGGTAGGGAATCGATGATTCAAGTTTGATCAAAGGGAGGATGAACGATGTGGTCAGGGTGGGGTTTGTGACCTACGCACGATCCAAAGGAAGATGAGAAACATACTCACTACTTTATGGACCGTGTGGATGTAATGTAACTAATTATTATTCCGAGTGATTCTCTGCCACTCTTGCGCCCCCGATGATGCCATGACCGTGTAGGAATGGACAGAGAGAGAGAGAGACGGAGGCAAGACACCGTACACCAATCAGCGACTGGAGCCTTGCTCAACTTGCCACCGATGATTCCAGCTGGTACGCGGCCGTGTATCAAAAAGCGATGAGAAGCGGGTAGAGCGAGACGCGGAGATGTAGAAGTTTACGACGTCAATGGTACGACGAGTAGTGATGAGGCCGTGGGGCCGGGTTTGGCGGAGGAGGATCAGTGTACCCTCGGTGATGGCGGCTGGCGACTATCAGCTGGCGGTATATTGATGATCTGTGCACGAGTGAACACAGAGATAGGGAGGAAGAGGTAAAGAATGAAAGAGTGGGGAGGATATCAAAGTGGGGATGGAGCGATTGGCGATGACGGGTCGTTCGTCTCAAAGGAATGTTGTCGTCTGCTCGTCTGTTCACAGATCCTGAGATTCCCTAAGATGAGGTAAGTGTAGCAAGTAGGTGTTCGTTCACCTTGGACCCCTCTCGTAATGAATGTGGAATTTCGGTGTCCGACCACTGCGCTTACCGATTGCAGTCAATCGTAATATCCCTAGAGTGGAATTTGTCGATCCTAAAGTGAGCGTGATCGATCACACCCAAGATACAGTTGTACAGTAAGTGGCTTCTCTAGAAGAACGTCACTAGCCTGGGGGCGTTTTTTTAGATCGATATTAGACCGACTCGGTTTTCGGTGAATCGGTGAGTGACACACAGTGCCGTTCCAGTACACTTGACGGATTGACCGGGGGCAGACGATGGTTGAAGCGAAAGACCGAGAGTCTGAAGAGATCGTATGTGTGTATAGGGCGTTATGGTTTTTGTATCAAAGCCCAATCCGAGGCCGATGTACGATGTGAGGTGACAAAATTCAAAGAACGTTGGAACGGACCGCGGCCTGATGAGTTTTCCAAGAGGACCGAGCGTTAAGATTCGATTCTAAAGGTTTGTGATGGAATTTATTGACGGTAGACGCCCTTTCGTCGGATCAAAATCATACACTCCGCGTAAACCAAAAGAAATCCGGATTCTAAAATTCCCAAAATCCAATTTGTACTAACTACTGTTGTCACTCATCAGAATGGCGTAATTATCTCCTCCACCTTTTGACTTCCATCCGAGATCTAAAAGTTGTAGAGTCCCGGGCAACGGAGTGTTGAATGACGCACGGTGTTTTTGTACTTGAGTTGAAGGTATCAAATGAAGGCTTTTGTTGTGAAGTTGTGTATTAGACGGTCTCGTATGCCCGTCGTCAACATCTCAACCTTCAGAGATAAACCCAACTACACCGAGAACGCGCCCTTAGTGGGAGAGTTATGGTCGGTTGGTCTCAGTGGAGCCAGGTTGGTAACAGAGAGAAATGGCTCTATGCATTCCGTGCTTTTCCCTCTATCTCCGACTCATCAAGGCAGCTGCCCTAACACTTGGGAATGTGGCTTGTCCTCCTGACGTGCCTTTCCATCTTTCAATTTCTCCGTCACCTTCTCCGCTCCTTCCCTCACGTCCCGTTTTATCTTTGACACCCTGATAGACCAATCGACGAGTTTGTTCATTGGCCGATGACAAAGTGGAGGGCTGCGGTATCCAGAATGACCTAGGGCCAAGAGTGAGGCACCTAAGGGACGAGCGAGTGGGTTAGTACTCGATTTCCAGGCCAAACTTTTCAGTTTGGACACTGAGGGCAAACCTCCCTCTTCTTCTCTTCTACCAGAACGGATTGAAATCGACGACCGCGGCCGTGTGCCTACTTACGCGTTTGTTCCGACAAGCTCTGATCAGGTCCACGGGTGATATCATCATGCAGTTTGGTACAGGAAGAAACAATGTTCGGTGCTCGGGTACTGAAGGTCCGGGCCCGAGTGGTTCACTCCGATATGGTCGGAGGCAAATGCATCAAGTTTTCAATGATCAATGATTAGTGGTCACTTTACCTCTGGCTCAGGAGATCAAGATATAAATGAGCGTCGCCGAGCATAGTGGTCAGCGATCAACTGAGTACTGAAATTTATGTATCACCAGTAATATACAGTGCGCACAGTGCACTGATCACTGAAAGTCTAGCAAGAGCTGTGATCTACCTGGGCAGTGTTTCTACAAATCGTACACATACATACGCACATCAAGTGGGGTGGCGTTCCATGGTGGCGTGTCCGTCTTCTTTCCTGTTAGTCACTCCCCGTCTTTCCCCTTTCATGTCCGTCTGTCGGCTCTCTCTTCAGGATATTTCGGTCCGACGATCCATCCAAATCCAGCATAATCACGTCTTTCGTTCTACGTTTTCCTGTTCGAAGAGGATTCCCAATTCTTTACTCATCATGTATCGTACCCCAATGACCCTCCTTCCCCTATTTCTTCATTTCTTGTCCCTGGACTCTGTTTTGATTCCTGCCGATCCGCGATCCAGGATATGATGATGATCAACGCCCAACCGGTCATCTCTTCTTCAATCTCCGAGGTATGGGATGGATTCCAAAGGAAGCAGAGTCGTACTTCTTGCTCGAGGCTACACCGTTTTGGGCTCCCGGCGATCAAGTACACTTGTGATCCCCGTAAGGAAGGTCATATGCCGTCGTTGTTACCGGACACTCCGGACCCTTCTCTTGTCTCCGGTATCCAAGAGTCCGAAGCATGACGTTGACGACTGTAGGGCGGCAATACCTCATGTTTTGGACAATGACAACAGCATGCACTCGAAACATTGGGCGAAGGGCGTCAGGATCGCATGGGTAAAACCTCGATCGCTCTCCATGTGATCTCATGTTATAGAATATGCCTCTGTGACCTTTGCACAGCATGTGCTTAACGTTCAGCGCTACATACTCGCCGTATGGCACATACCGCATGATACAATACAAGCATGACGAAGATTCATTGACCAGAATAACTATACACGCCCCAGACCATCGCGACCAAAGTGAACAAGCCCGCTCCTCCCATCGGTAGACTCCCCGTACCGAGACTCAATACAAACCAGGGCCAACCGATCGCCCTGTCCAGCGTGGTCCCTAGGGCTTTCCATATCAAGACAACCAGATGAGGTGTGGGAGCGGGGCGTGGAGGATGAGGTGGAGGTGTTTCGGGTAGTTCTGGTGCGAGGTGGGGAGCGGGAGCGGAGTGAGAGGCATGAGGCAGGATAAGGATCGCATGGACGGGTTTATGGTCGGAAAGAGTGAGTGAGGAGGTAGCGTTGAAATGCGCGATTTGAGTTGTGTATTCCGGAACAGGTGTGGATTCCACTGTATACTGAGAAGAGTAGAGGCTGAGGGGGTCGGTATGGGAAGCGAATAGAATTCTATCGGTCCATCCTGGGATTCGTTTACTTGTCCATCAGCCATGTCTCAATTTCGAAACTCAGAAATCAGGGAGAATGTTGACAAGAGGGAGTTGTTGGACATACTTGCTATATCCTTCCACTTTACCGACAACACGTTTGTAAGTAGGTGCAAATCCGCTCAAGTCAGGTTCTCTCAGTCCGCCAAATACTCTTCCTGCTTTTTGTTCCTTTCGTAACGTGTCCAGCTGAATCATGGCCGCCCTCTCCTTCTCCAACTCCAATGCATCCTCATCATCTTCTCCTTCTCTGGGCCAGCCGGTGGAGGGTATTCTCTCTAATCGATAATTAAGATCTCCCAGGACAAATAGATGGGACGTTTGATGGATTTGTTTCGGTACCTCTAACCGATCAGAAGGACGAAAGATGAGACAAGACAAGATGTTCTGATATTGTTGATTCCTTCTCGAGATATTGTGGTCGTGCGCTTCTAGATGTGCACAGACAAATCTTTTCCCTCAGTACATCATTTTGGAAACGAGCGAGAGGTAAGACTCACGTCATTGTTTCCCAACTCCCCTCATCACCTCTTCGAACAGGTAGACGGATTCCTACAGCACCTTTATTCCCCATACCGCCCCACCATAATCCCAGCGTAGCCTTGAGGGATTTACCGAGTTTTCCAGAAAGGGTGGATTCCCTGGCAAAAACCCACATAGCCACCCCGACATGAGAAACGCGTTCCACAAGGAAATATTCTTCAGCCTCATCGTCGGACAAAGTCTTGGCGTGTGACGTGAGGATATGTTGAATACGATCTGTCAATGCTCGAAGAGCAGAGTGGGTGAAACCTCCAACTACAAGTCAGCGTTGGTATAAGATCATGTAAAGGAAGGAATGGAGAGTACACACGGGCTAGCTCGAGAGGCAAAAGTTCTTGCACACCGATCACGTAGAGATCGGGGACGACGCGAGAAGCCGATGGGTCGTTGGCAGTCTGATGGAGAATCGGCAGAAGCCAAGAGGTGAGATCTTGCGGCTGAGCTTTTGAGCCTTGTAAGCCAGTGTTCCAAGTCGTAAGGAATATGGTCAGAGGGGGCATGGTGTCCACAACAGTCCTGCTTGAATCCTTGAATATCAAGGTCAGTACTGAAGACGAGGTGAGATGGAGGTTGTATGACGTCGAAATCCAAGTGCCACGCGGCGAGACCGAGCTTTGACCGCTACTAAACCCATACAATTCGTCTCTTCTCTATCTTGTTCCCATCTTGAGTCCATCTTTTCTCAGTCAAGACTAACCCTCCGCCCGGTTCAGGTCGGCTCGCTGCCCATGATGGCCAGCGCCTTACTCGCCAATATGGCCAGTGGCGGGCACTACAACCTCAAATGTCAGTCGAAAACTGCCTGCCGTTCACTGGCGTAGCTAACATTCCAGCACTCATCAAAGCCATCCGTTCTTGCAAGGTCAGCTATTGAGGTCTGGCACTAGCATTCGCTGATACTATAGACATTAGCAGATGAACGTTCCGTCATCCAAAAAGAATCAGCTGCCATTCGTGTAAGTGTTCTCACGTTGACCCTCTCGAACGACTCTGGGTGAAGGGCGCTGATCAGCAGACTTCATTCAAAGAGGAAGATTCCTACGCTCGACATAACAACATCGCCAAATTACTCTACATTCATATGCTTGGTTATCCTGCACATTTTGGTCAGATAGAATGTCTGAAACTCGTCGCCAGTCCGAGGTTCAGTGATAAACGGCTCGGGTATTTAGGTATCATGTTGTTATTGGATGAGAATCAGGAGGTTCTCACTCTGGTCACCAACTCGTTGAAAAAGTGAGATAACTCAAATTACATCACTCCTCCCAAAATGAGATGCGACAGTCACTGACGTGAAGCGACATGAACCACTCCAATATGTACGCGGTCGGATTGGCGTTGTGCACTTTCGCCAACATTTCCTCTGAGGAGATGTCACGAGACCTTTGCAACGAGATTGAAAAGTTATTGGGAAGTAGCAACACATACATCCGCAAGAAAGTAAGTCGTGCGAACTCCTTAGTTTGCTCATTGCTTACATACAGGCGGCTCTCTGTGCTCTTCGAATCATACGCAGGGTCCCCGATCTGATTGATCATTTCGTCGGTAAAGCCCGTATGTTACTGCAAGACCGGAACCATGGGGTTTTGTTGGCCGGCGTCACGTTGATCACTGAGATGTGTGCTATAGACGAAAGCGTCAGAGGCGAATTCCGCAAGGTTCGGTCTTTGCCGGGTCATTGTCACGGCAGCTGACCTCAGGCCACCGACCTGCTGGTGAAACATCTCAAATCCCTCGCATCTACAGGATACAGCCCCGAACATGATGTAGGGGGAATCACTGATCCTTTCCTACAAACCAAGATCTTACGTCTGCTGAGACTTCTGGGGAAAGATGATACCACTGCGAGTGAAACGATGAACGATATTCTTGCTCAGGTCAGTTGATCAAACGGAATTTGACAAAGCTAAAAACAAGGTCGCGACGAATACCGACTCTTCGAAGAACGTTGGCAACTCTATACTGTACGAAACAGTCCTTACTGTCCTTGAGATTGAGGCGGATTCTGGACTACGTGTAATGGCCATCAACATTCTGGGCAAATTTCTCACCAATCGAGACAATAATATCAGGTCAGTCATCTACCATCCTTAGCAATTCAGCTGACTTCCAGATATGTCGCCTTGAATACCCTGTTGAAAGTCGTTTCGATGGACACGAATGCCGTACAACGACACCGCAACACCATCCTTGATTGCTTACAAGACGGTGATATCTCCATTCGCCGACGAGCATTAGAGCTCTCGTACGCATTGATCAACGAGACAAACATCAAGATCATGACACGCGAGCTGCTGTCGTTCTTGGAGGTGGCGGATAATGAGTTCAAGCAAGGAATGACTACTCAGATATGTCTCGCAGCGGAGAGGTTTGCACCTAACAAGCGATGGCAGATTGATACTGTGATTCGAGTGCTCAAAGTGGTCCGTCAATTGGCATTCGCAATGGTCCAAGCTGACTCGCAGTCTGGCAACTACGTGAGAGAAGAGATTCTATCCAGTTTCATCCGACTTGTATGCCACACACCAGAATTACAATTTTACACTGTTCAACGTCTGTATACCGCTCTGTCATCCGATCTCTCCCAAGAGTCTCTCACTCTCGCATCTGTGTGGATCATTGGAGAGTTTGCCGATGTGCTGCTGCGAGGGGGACCAATCGAGGATGGCGAAAAAGAGGTGCAGGTGAGTTATCACTTCGCGTCTCTCGCTCATGGAGACATTTGGCTCACAAGACGTAGGTCACCGATTCTGACCTGGTCGATCTTCTCCAATCCGTCCTGAACTCTCCTTATGCCAACACTCTCATCCGCCAGTTCGTCCTCGTCTCCGCCTCCAAGCTTGCCGCTCGTTTAGCCGAGCTTTCTACACCTGGCCAGGCCACGCAACAGGACAGGATAGCCGTGATACTCGCCACTTTCTCGTCCAATCTCGAACTGGAGATTCAGCAGCGGGCAGTGGAATTTGGTAGTTTGTTCTCTATGACTGAGATCCGTGCCGGTGTATTGGAACGAATGCCCCCTCCAGAGATCAGAGCCACTTTGATGGGAACAGGTGAGGTTTTCTGCGATGTCGGATTTTGAGCTGACAAGTCAGTGAGTGAACGAAAACCTGTCGGCAGCACACGAACAGACAAGGATTCTGTGGTCGACTTGATAGGAGACGATTCAGCTCCTTCTTCCGCCGGTATCATCGGAGCTCCGTCCACTGGTCCCTCTACACAAGATCTCCTAGCGGATATATTCGGATCTTCCACTGATGATACTCAAGTAGCTGGACTATCATCTCCTGCCCCAGCTCGAACAACAGCAGCAGATATCATGTCACTCTTCGACGCTTCTCCTTCTTCCCCTCCGGCGATGTCGAGCCCAGGACCGAATGTGGGTACGAGTACGAATTCGATGTTTGATCTCGTTTCGCCTTCCTCATCTGCACCCCATTCACAATCACCTGCCCAGATTCCAACTTCACAACCTCTTGCTGCTGCACCAAAACAACTTCCTGCGTATACCGCCTATGAGAAGAACGGTTTGAAGATCACTTTGACTCCTCGTATGTCGCCCACTCAGGCGGGGGTGGTACAAATCCTCGCTAGGTTTACATCGCAAGATGCTGTATCTGGTGTCAATTTGCAAGTTGCAGTCCCAAAGGTATGACCGATGCAGCGGATAGATGGATTGACACTGACGGGACAGACTCAACAACTTCAAATGCAAGCTATGAGTAATACCGACATTGCTGCTGGTGCCACGGAAACACAACAGATGAGGGTGTTGGTCCCTGTAGGAGTGAGTCTCTTCTCACTGTTTGACAATTGTGTTACGTATGGGATGGGAGAGATGCTGATCATGTATAGGCTCAAGTAAGACTTCGCATGCGGATATCTTATAGCAAGTCTGGACAAACCATTTCAGATCAACAAGATTTTAGTGGTTTCCCTCCGGACCTCACGTCTAGAGGATAGAAGAGATACTGTATGCATTCCTTGGGTACCATACCATTGGTTTCCAGACTTCTTTCCTGTCCTACCTGTGCCTCTATTTGCATCGTTACTAAGAGTCTTTATTTTTAACCTTTACCTGACATGCCATCGCAGATGGAGGGCAGATGGAGGGAAACCCCGTTGGTAACGAAAACAAAAAAAACCAGTAAAAAAGAAGAAAATACAAGATGCATATCCGGAATGCCAAAGATGTCAAATGATAACGCCAATAAGTCCCAACCACCCTGACCAAGATCCAAGTACCACCTTCTTATATCACATGAGTCTTTTCCCTGGTCTTTCTCCTAATCCCACAGATCGCCGTCTGTCTCTACCGAGGGCAAGTTCGAACCACGCCAGACCTCTGAGAGCGTAACGTGCAAAGAAAAAGATAGGTACTTGTAGTCTGTCCCATATCGCTATTGGTTTCTTTGAAGAAGAGGAAAAGAATGGGTTGGACGGTGTTGGGCTGGGATCTAGCGATGGGGAAGGAGGTAAGGATATATGAGGGGATGGTGGGGTCGGGAAAAGGCTTTGACGGGTTTGAGGAGGACGGGATTGGAGAGCTTGGATGACGAACTGTGTGTTAGTGTGATGACGCAGTTTGAGTACTTTATGTGAGGGTGATAGTACATGTTTTGGACTATTGACCGACACGACAACACGACGTTCCGGTGGCCGGTGGATGATGGTGCGATTGTAAATTACGAGAGGGGGAATGTAGTTACGATGCCTATATCAGGAGAACGTGGTGGAGAAGTTAGGATTAAGAAAGTGAGTAGTCCATAACTCTGGTCCAGGCATTGGTTCTGGAGATGATACCAGAATAGGTGGAACTTATGGAGGGACAAGGCGAGAGGGGGGGGGGGAAGGGGAAAGCAAGGATCGCAGATACGTACGAAAGGATAAATCAAGGCAAAAATGACCATGTTGACTAATGGTGGACCGAAAGAAGTGAGGACAGTAGCTGGAAGACCGAACCCTATCATGTACCCTATACGTTCTTGCATGAAAGAAATCCGATGGTCCAATCCCCAACTACGGGAAAGAAAAGTTGATCTATTTGTCAGTGTGGCCTACATGTAGTCCGTCTCTTCAAAACGCCCCTGCCTGTCATCATCTCCGTAGTAAGATCTCTCTCGGCAGTGAAACATCATTGAAACTCCGACACGGAAGCTGATGGAGGGATAAGTCCAGCGGTGGACGATGAAAAGAGGTACGAGCAAGGGGGAGCGATCAGGACGAGGGAGTAAGAGAACATAAAAAGGGGAGAGGAGATGAATTGAACCCACTCGAAAAAGTAATATGAATTTATAATACACATGTATCCCATAGCCGACCATCTACCCAAGGTTGGAATCATACACATGATACGCGTAAGTAATGTAAAGTCACTAATCATGGTAATCCTAGTGAGAGAAGGCATAAGCCAACCAATGGGGTTGGAAACGAATGATTCTATGTTGGATTGTTGTGAGAATCCCGCTGAAGTGGGAGTTGGACTGGGAGAAGGTTGAAAGCGATATGAAGGATGAAGAAGAGTATGAGCTCTGCGTGTAATGTCAGGTGACCAAGATGCCTACACATAAGTAGATGATCAATTGCATCTAGTTGGGGATAACTTTTTTTGATTTGTTTCAGGGGGAAGGGTTTCGTACTCACATTTATCCAGAAACAAACGATGAATACTGGCCAACTGAGTAAAAGGTTATACCACATGCTTATCTCTCTTGTTTTATCTTGCATGGTCGGTGAGATTGCTGAGGTGGTAGATGTGGAGAATATGGGAGAGAAGATGAGAGGCCAGAGGGAGAGTAAAAGTAATGAGAGTAGGTTGATCAGTCTAATTGTCAGCTTTCAAAATCACTCGAACTTTCGTCTACCCTTCACAATGCCAATCAAATGTATCTCCTCACACAGTAGTCAAGTTCACCCATGAGGGGAAAAGCATTGAGAGAAGAACAACACTCACGTGGATTTTATGACCAAAGACCGAAGTTCATGATCACTTTCTTGTCAGCTTGTCTAGGGAAGGTCGATGTAACTTACCTCCAGACCAATGACCAGCTCCTATCTAATCTAGCAGCATCTGCCAAACCCAAACGTAATCCATCCAAACCATGTCGCACCACGGCTAACACAGGATTGTTCCCCTGTATGCTCAACTCCGGTCCGTCCGGAACACCATAACCTCCATTCGACGAAGGGTAAGAAGGATATACAGGAAGAGGAGATCCATCAGCATAAGGCGTGAGATTGGGTGATGGCATTGGATATCGAACTTTGGTACCGGATTGAGGTGTGGCGTACAAGCCCGAGCTCTGTCTTCGAAGAGGGGTGTAAGTTTTGTTTGAAGGAGGAGCTGATTTACTAGGTCCTATCCCTGAAGAATGAGATGTGGAAGTAGTATTCGAGTTGAAGCGATGATGGAGCATGGTTGTTCACCTCTTTCCAAACATCAGTCGATGAAGTTTGTCGTGAGTGTGATTTCGCATGTGAGACGCGCAGTGGTCTTGCTGACGTAATCATTTCGCACAGACTTCCTCTTTCGGAAGGGAAAGAAGAACAGGGGGGAAAAGGGGTGCCTTTGGTCATTTCAGATTAGCGCGGATCAGCCGGTTGAGCGGACTTTGGTAAGACAGACGGAGATGACAGATTCAGGGCCCTCGTCCTCTTTCTCTTTTGAGATTTGTATAAAGAAAGAACCGCGTCTCTCTTCTTCTCCACTCCCCCCACGGATTGATTTCCCTTTTCGACACTTTAAACTACTATCGTCATCTCAACCTCCTTTCCTTTCATTCTTCATCCCTTCAGTCCTTCACCACGTATTCAAAAGTCCGACCAGAGACCTCTCTCTCTCATTTCTCCTTCATCTTTTCACTCGTACTCTGCTTTTACATTCCTGCATTCAATACCCGCTTGCTACATCTATTACAACCGCCTATATAACATTCTTTGATCGTCCGACGATCCATCCATCAAAGCATCAAAAGACCCTGATCATCTACCCACTCAACAATATGACAAACCCTGTATACCGCAAATGGTCCTCTTCCGCTCCTTCGGGTTCTTCCTTCAATGTCAAACGTAAACGTAATGCAGACCCTATGTCAGAGGATGAAGATGAACCTAAAGTGAGTTCAAATTTCGTTTTGTCATTCCTGGTAAATTGAGGCATTAAGAGAGGACGAGAGCTGATATGGTTAGCAAATGCGCATCAGATCACCTCGCTCAAGTAATCATCATATGTCTCTCTCGTACACTCCCGAGTACATGACGGACAATTCAAACTCCGCCTCAGACACGGATCACGATATGGGAATGGACATGGATCCTCCTTCTTCCCCTCATGAAGTTGTGGTCCAGCATGAGAGTGACGGTTATCAATTTGCCGAGTCGGGTACGGGAGGTTTTGGTTTCGGACCTGGGGCTGATGAAGATGAAGAGCTAATGGAGAGTTCCTCTCCAAAGAGTGAGTCTTCCTCAATTTCTCCCTTCCTTATCACCCCTGGAATGCGTTCCTACTCTTCCTTACATAAAACTCATCCAGTGAGTGGAAGCGACTCTGACGTCCACAGAACATCAAACGCTTCCAAATCTCACATCTCACCAAAATTCCCATCATTTCTCCCACATACCGTCGCAACCCACTCCATGGGCCGCACAACCATACTCCAACAACCTCCGTGCTCCTCAAGCTCGCGGGTTGATCCAACCCACCGTCTCCAGTCCCTTGAAGGATAACGCTACCGACGTTGAAAGAGCTCGTCCTCAACATGGTCCAGGTTGTCAAAGCATTCCAAAATTGGTGCTGAGCCAATATCCCGATCCCAACACTGGTGAGAAGACAATGTGGTCGCTGTGCGAGAGCTGCGGAGCGTGTGAGTTGGCTCAGTGAACAAGAACCATTTTTGCCGAATATCAAGTCGTGTAGGTCAAACAGTTGCTACGTGGGAGCAAAGGGTCATCCTCGCGAGTGTATAAGTGGACCGGATGAAAAAAAAAACTGAAAAAGACACTGACTCGCTGGCGAGATCAGTAGTAGTAGCATGTCCGGCCTATCGAGCCTATTTACAGTATCATGTTTTCCGGGCGTTGTTGTACATACACGATATAGTATAAATGATATGCACATGTACATGTCTGTAATACCTCCTCCATGGCAATGATCATCAAGTATAATCCTCTGCTCTCGCTCTCCCCTTTCTGACATGGACTGATTTGGTGGATGTGTTCTCAACAGGCGCAGCAGTGTCCGTCACGTCCTCCATCATATCGACATTCTCGTTGACGACGTCCATACTTTCATCTACCTGACTTGTACCATCCTGCTTCCCCATCATGGCGTCATCTTCAGCTTCCACTTGACCGGGAATCATCTTCTCTTTTCCATCGGCAGCTACGAATCTGAACCTCTCTGCTCTACCGGGCATCTCGTCAAGCGTCGGGTCGCATGAAGGGGGAAGATGATGTTTGATGAACCTTCGGGCGGCATTGACGTCGACTTTGTTTTTCCTTTCTGATCGTTAGTCGATCGTTGACTTGACTACTGCTCTATGTTCATTCCCTCAATCCTGACTTTCAAGATGTAGTGAGATTGTCCCGAACTCGGATTAACAAGATGGTCTATATTGTCGTGGCCAAAGAAGATTAGATATGATATCTAGAAGTACAAGGAGGGCACATATGAAGGTACTTGAAGGCAAAAAGAAGAATCAAACCCACGTTCAGACCCAGATTCAACAAGCTTGATCTTTTCGTAATATGTCCTTATCCTTTCCTACGTCTCAGCAAGACCATAATTCTCTTGTTTGATGAGAGGAGGAATATAACTTACCAATTCACCTGCGACTGGGTGTAAAGATGGATCATGACCTTTCATCTTGAGATATACTATGGATCAGCTACTATTTTCGTCCGTGTTGTTACGTATTGGGATTCCAAACTCATCTTCTCCGGTCAAATGAGAAGCATTACCGCACCTAGCTCAAGACTGAGGAGGAAAGGGGGAAGCTATACTCACTCCAAAGTAAATCACTTATCGTGTAAGCCAATAAGATATCCATCTTTGCTCTGTCCAAACTTTCCAATTCATCTAGCGTATCGGAGAAAGGGCGTTGATGTAAGGGTTCTAAAGCATCTTGAACAGCTTTTATAGATTCTACCAAGCCCTTTGAGGAGGAAGAGGGGTTAAAGTCGGACATTACTTGCCAGTCATGTCAATGCAAAGATACTGGCCTAACTTACCTACTAACTTACTCGTACTGAACAGCTGCTGAAACTTCAAGACGGAAGCTTTTCAAAGGCTGATCACGTGATGACGCGGTGAGATGCACATCGTGCATCGAACTGTAGATGAGATATTCTGTTGGTCAAGTTACTAGCCACAACCACCAGCAAGAGGGATCGAGAAATCTTTGGAGAAGATGGCGAACGATGATGACTACGTTCTTCTTGAATCAAACGATGGGTTCAAGTTTGTCGTATCGCGTAAAGTGGCTTGTGGGAGTGGAATGTTAAAGTCGATGTTAGATGATGAGGGTGGGTTCTTCTTTCTGTTTTCCCGACGGTTTTACTTCTCCTCGTACTTTACATCGGACTGAATCGACAGCAATCATTCAATGATGGTAAGGAATGATGTCATCTCGTGGCTGTTGAGTAGAAGAGTGCGGAGAACTGATAGTTCAGCTGCTTTCTCTGAATCAAGGAGTAAAGTCTGTCATTTAGACTATCGGTACGTTGACAACTCCTCATCTCCTACAGTCTCCACCCCAATATCTCACTAAACGCCGTAAGATATATCCGGCAAGCAGAGTAAACCCTACCACTATCCTTCTAGCTCTCCAGATGGTGTTAGTGCACAGTAAATACTACTCTGTCAACTGGATAACTAGAGGAAGTGATGGACCCTTGAGAGGTGTTGACGACCAGGGGTATCATACTACTCAAGGTCATCGAGTATCTGTCGTACAAAGTTCAATATGCAGATTTCAATTCTGAAGATATTATCGAAGATTTCGCAGATCGGATAGATCCTTATATCGCACTTGAGCTGTGAGTACCGTTGGTGTCCTTGGTTTCTGTCCTACCCTCCACTCGGTTGTACCCTGTCATACCTCCCCAAGCCTTTCTCTTGTTAGGTCTCTGGCTACAGTGCTAGAGTTTTCATATGCATTGATACTCTGGGTCCCAGGCTAACAAATAGATTGACGGCTGCCGACTTTCTCGATACATAGTGCTACCACCTCATGAATCGTCACCTCTGCATATCGTATTCTGGTCTACGTCCAACTATCGTATCATTCCTCATGAGCCTCAAATTCTGCCCCAATGTCGTCATTTACCCAAAGAACCAATAATACCCTTTCCGCGAGATAAGAAAGCAAGAGGGAAAAATATGTCAACCTCGGAACTTCTTTATACTTTCCCCCATTCCTGCACCTCTCTCCAACTCGGCCCTTATATTCTCATCCGCTTCTTTACCTTTTTGAGCACGTAGTACCACTTCCTCCGCCTTATCTTGTGGGACGATGACCACACCATCTTCATCACCCACCACCCAATCACCGGGCTTCACAATGGTACTTATCTCTCCATCGAAAGGGATCTCGAGTGGAACGTCCAACTGAGATGACCGGGTGAAAGTTGCACTTCCTAAAGTGGAATGATACTTTGCCCATATCTGTTCTCAGCATGATTGTCATATTCTTTCATCACTACACTTAGTCTTTCATAGCGACCGCTTCTCCCCTAGATCCCCTAATAGATCCTTGACAGGGAAAGACGCGAGAACGACCTGTGAACTCACCGGAAATCCCAAATCCCTATTCTCGGCCAGATCTCTAATACCACCAATGACGATCAACCCTTTCACACCTTTTTGCTTCGCGCCGGTAGACATGAGTCCTCCCCAAATGGCGTTTTTCATTCCTTTCTATCAGTATGGCGCTACTTGCAAGTACACCTCATTCTTACCAGGCGGTTGAAGGAGTACCATCACTCTTCCCTCTGGACAAGCATCGACCTGTGTTTCAGTCATACTATGACACATTGTGAGAGGCATACGAAATGTTCAGTCGGTTTGAGACCAGGATCGGCAGTGGGTACCATCTGATATCAGCCTTCCATACAGAATGTCCAAATATAAAGAGAATCACTTTGACAGTGAAAGCTTGACCTATGAGACGTCCTGTATCGATAGCGGGCGAATAAGAATGTAGGTCAGGGAGTAAACCACCGGTAGGAATACCCATTTTGACCATTGCGTCTGATAGCTAGTGGTTAACGAAGGAGAGGAAATACAGAAAGAGACGAACATCACATGTAGCTAGTTGAGAGAGAGAAGTGAGTATCTCATTGGGAGACATGATGTTGATGCACGAGTAATAGTTCAGTTAGTCGTATAGTGATGTCGATGACATGTTGAGTAGGTTAACTTGACTGATGATGAAAAATACAATCCAACCGGCAATGTTGCCGGACCGGAGCGAAACGGTTTTGTGATGTGTGAGGATTGAACTCACGCGGATAAAATCCATTGGAGGTGTGCAACAGTTCTGCGAGCAAAACTTAAACCCAACGCCATAACCACTCGGCCAACATCACTAAACGTGAGCTGAGTCGTTGTTATTAATATATAAAATGATTCCTGGGAGTTGATTTTGTCTATTGTATCAGTGCGAGTAGTCCCAAGTATCCAATTCATCACCGTCAACTAACCTAGTTACGACGAATACATCGCATTCTACATAGGTGTGTAGATAACAGTCCTCAACTCATCTTTCAACTCCCAATCACCTGCTGGCAACGTATGTATACTACTCAAAGCCGCTATCCAAGATGTTGCTAGATCCGTCTGCGTACCCATCCAATCCAACGCCACTCTCCGAGCCTTTTCGTTCATCGTCTCATTCTCCACCGCGTCTTTCGTCACCGAAACGGCTCGTAAGAACCTAGTATCCGGGACATTGATGTAAGTGGTCGGATCATGATAAGTGGCCATCTCGTTCAAAGCTGATATCATATATTGTTCTCCTGATTGATGATATGTTTGAGCCCAAAGAGAAGCGTCATTCCGGGTATAATTACAAACCGTACCATCTCCATTACTGATGGGGAAAGTTCCACCCTCAGGTGAGCCCATAGATATGGAGTAAAAGCTTTGAGCCATGTGCGAATGATCAAGGGCGGACTTGAGGGCTGTTAACGCTCTTTGGACGCCCGTAAGGGCTATTGATGTAGATGGAGTGAAGGAAGAAGGGACGGGTTCGACAGGAAGGCCGGAGTCGATCCTAGAAGGAGATGACATAGATGGGTCATCATGGAGAGTCTTTCTCTTCATAGTTACGGATTAGAAGGTGGAATGAAATGGACGGGGGATTTGTTGTACTCGGGGGGAGCTTTATAAGCAAGAGAAACGACGTAGTTTTTCAAGGAGGCATAAAGGAACGGGCGAGTGTGCAGATACGGCGGAGCTTGATAGATGTGACAGATGTGCTAAAGAAGGAGGTACAATTAGAAAGGATCTCGATGACTAAACGTCAGACGTTATAACTCCTTCCCAGAGCGACTTCCGACATCTCATCGTTTCATAAGTCGATGACGACGGCTCACACCACTGACACACACAGGAGGTCCACGACGCCTGCGTAGCGTACATCGAGGAGTAGTCGTATCAGGTATGGATTGTATCAATCAGATCATCAACCAGCAGTCAAGTAAGTAGTCAGCACAGTGCTAAAATTGTGAGTTCCTTGCCACGACTCCATGGTGATCCATGGGGTCCATGAAGCCCTTCAATTCCGAACAATAACATTTCTGATTCCAGGTTGACCGAGTACTTGATAGCTTACATGCACAGCTCACTTGATCGCTTTTCTCAAATCCGCCCAACCCTTGCACGTCAATTTTCAGACCTCCCTTCTTCTATCACGCTCTCAGACTTTCAATATCCTCGAGTTGGCCCCTCTCTGGCACTGGCATCCGCCGTGCCATAGATCGCCCCCTTCAGCTCGTCAGGCATCTCCCACGACGGTTCCCCAAGCGAGCTCATATCTAGCCTCACCTCAAACCACAACTGTCTCAGCTTGTCGTCGATCCCTTCCTCTGCAAACCACCGTTTCGCCAACTCATCCCCCTTGGATCTCAAGACTCCCGGTCCAATATCATCCGTACACTGTCTCACCGAGTCCGAAAATGACCGTGCTTGACTGCTTCCAAGAAGGAACCGAGCTTCGGCCAAGGTATTGAGCGCTTGAAGAGTATACAATTCCGCTTGATGATGATATTCACCCTGCCTGGAGATCGCGGTGTCGTATGTCTGCAGACCGTCGCTGAATCGAACGGAACGACCTGATGGGGCAGCGGCCAGTTCGCTGTACACCGTATATGAACACGAGGCGGAATGTCGAGCTCGGAGGAGGGACTTCACGATTGGGTCCTGTCGACTGGCATCAAGTGACCGAAGAGATACAATGGGTACAGAGTTGAAGGTGGTTATGGTGAGCTGATTATCGAACGATAGGACTGGGACAATTGTGTCGGTACCTAATCGAGTAGATAGTATAGACAAAGCCGTGATTTCGTTGACGTTCATGATTTTACAACTAGAGCTTGTCGATCGATAAAGGTTATACAACCAGAGCTTGTCGACCGATAAAGGTGTATCTTGATTCGGCAGGCCGGTTGGTCGAGTGACTGTGGGGACATGATGGAGTTGCCAACGCCTTATGTCACACCGGCCATGTGCGACAAGCAGAGGGGACAAGCCTTCTAGACCGGCCTTGTTGAAGGGAATGTCCATGAAAGGGGCGCCGGGAGGTGGAGGTAGACGACGTCATGGTCTACTTGCATACAAGCAGACGGACGTGAATTTGGGGCAGATTAGACTTTTGTGTGGTGGAAAGCCGCCGGTTATGACCATTAAAAGCCCAACAGCAAAGGTCCTCAATGCTCTATCATCAGCAGAATTGAAAACATCTATGGCAGATCGAGTGATCGAACTTACCCCATCTGTCTTTTCGACTATCCTCCTTTCCCTCGAGAAGATCACCGACCCCTGCCACTTCTCATCCCTTCCAAGACGACAAAGGACGGGAGACGGCTGAACTAAGATCGACCTCAAAGGGGGCGTGGAGAGTTCTGGGGGATACGGAGTAAATGGTGAATGGAACGGCCAGGGTTGATGTGAGAAACAGGAGTCGGTGGAGCGTGATCTTAGAGGGTGAAGGGCTTGTTGTCGTTATACCATTCTTGGATCATTAGTCGATACAACTTCGTTTGTCCAGCCCCGTGCTATCGATTCTTTTTCTGTGCTAGGGAATAACTGTTTCCATGGGTTTCACGCGACTTTCGACCCTCGTATTATCTCAGTCTCCTGTTGAGAAATCTTCACGAATATGTTCAGACACAAATCGGTCGGTCAAAACACTAGTCATCAGCAGGATACTCACGTTATTTCCCCTCCTCGCCGCATTGACGATTACTCTCCTTGCCCTTCTCTTGCCTTCCCCCTCGATTCACACCGGTCTACTAAGCATACATCCTTCTGGACGTACGATCGCACCGACAGCAGCCATCAACTCTACCACACTCGATGATGATCCTCTAGCCTTCTCAGGAATCCCGCCAAACAGCACCTTTGCTTTGAATAGTAGTAGTGTGCCCGATAGTGTGGTAGGTAAAAACGCTGTATTGTGGTATGGGACCAGTGGACCGAGCATGTGGATTGGTGTTATGCGTGAGTCGTCGTGTTATAGATGAGAGAGATGACATTGACTTGAACAGAGGTGTGTAGTCGAGTGTATCCACAAGCCGACGTGACTTGTACTCTTTCATCTCAAGCAGCTTACCGTGAGTAGATCTGCTGATTGTTGGAAGATGAACATGGACTGACTTGAGAAGATGCGGCTTTCTTACCATTGTCTCTTGGCATGAGCCTTTTCGCTCTTCCCCTTTCACCTCCTGCTCCTATATTACTACTTCTCTCATCCGTCGCCATTATTCTCTCCATCCTCGCTCTATGCTTGGAATGGATTCTCCCGTGTCTCGTCCGAAAATGCCGAGGGGCAGCTTGCGCCATGCCATGGACCCGAAGATTTCCTCCATTGGAAGATAGAGACAAGATGTACTCCGATTCCGATTCTATGATCGAGCTGGTGGATCGGCCTCGGGTTATCAGTTCTGTCGCTGAGGGGAGATTGCTCCCTAATCTCGGTTTCGCTGCTTTGGCCACTGCGGGACTTATCCTGAATATCGTCGGGGTGGCTCTGGAAATGACGTCGATGCGTAATGTCGTCGCTGCGTGGAATGCGAAAGAAGCTGTGGACGTGGGTATGGTAATTTCGATCAGACCTATGGCAATACGTGAGTCATCCTTCGTCCTGCACCTTACCTGCTCTGTGAACATTTTGACAATGTCGTTATTTGGCAGCTCATGATCAGTCTTATGTTTTGTACCCATTCTAATATCTACATCAATCGTCGTCGCTTACGCGCCCAAGATCGTACAGAGAATGTGGCGACGTTCAACCAGTAGCGAAGAAGGATCAGGAGGAGCTGTGATCAGAGAAAGACGAGATATTTCTCCTTTGTTCAATGAGCCTATCATCCAGATACAACATTCGCAAAGGTCAAGCATCCCACTTCCTCTTCAAATTCAAGATGGTGGAGTGGTGAAAAAGATTGAGGTGACAGAGGTAGATAGAGCAAATGTGCCCATGGAAGGGACATTATCAGGGGGCGAGAGACAGTCACGGAGACACACCCAATCCCCAATTGGTGTGGCCGTATAGATTAGTTGTGTACCAATATGTAATTTGTTATTCGGTTGTACGCATGATATGACGGATAATTGAAAAGTGATGAGATGACTCTGCTGAGGAGTTCGATTACAACATGCATTGAGTGGATAGAGGGGATTAATCTTCGAACCGTAAGTCTGCCCGTCGAGGAGCTGTTTATCAGCATATAATCTCCCTGAAAATGCCCGCTCAAGCTCATAATGCAAGCAGAGATATGCAATACTCAGCCAGTAAAGAAAATGCACATGTACGCGACTTTGTGATTTGTGAGAGGAAGAAGAATGGTAGATAAAAATGGGGAATTGTGATCAAAGGACAGACCTATCAGAGGATGCAATTGAGCTAAGTACGTTATTGCCCACCTGAACGTCAGCAGCGTTTGAGACAGAGGTATCCCACAGCTTACATGAGATAACAACAAGTCAACGCTAATGCCACACTGGATCGTATCAATCTAGCCCAGTCAGCGAGAGGACCCACAGGCTGTTTGGTTGGCCCAGGCAAGGAAGGAGGCAGACTACACTCACACTTGATCTTTACCCTTGGGAGTGAGGAACCACGCAGCGGCGGCGATTATGGCTACCACAAACCCCACAGAGACGATATGAAAGAAGGACATGATGGTGGTTTGGCGGAATGGAATGAGTAAACGGCAGAAAGATACATCTAAGTAAGTGTGACTAGCAGCGTTCGCGATGTCGCTCGGGGTTGGTATGCCACGTGGCACACAACATTTCTCAAGGTATTCACGAGATCACTATGCTGGGACGGGATTGACATGATGGCTCGTTAAATTTCATCTCGGTCTCATTATATTCTCTGATTTACCAACCTCGCTACCTCATCCGCTTCGTGTCTCCTTCTCTCCGCTCTGCCCAAATTGGCAGGTCCACCAGCCAAATGGGCGGCTCGGCTCAATTTCGTCAGAATAATCACCAGTTTACTTGGCTGGACGGCCGAGTATGACATCTGTCGTATAGAAGGTTCGAGATATCCTTGTATAGCCTCGGACAGTACAATGTTGATCGTCTATCTACATCAGCAAGAACATATGGACATGAATGAATGGACCGACAAGTTTGACTTCATCAAAGACATGATGAAGATCCGGTTTGTCTAGCCGACGGATCTCAGCTTCGATGAAAGTCACATCTGCCAAGACAGATGACAGTGCGGCTTCGTTATATCTTGGGATATCTTTACCACATAGCATGTCCTGACGGTCAGCCATTCTCTCAAACTGTGTACCGAGAGCCGGCCAGTCCGCAAGATGTCGTAGAAAGCATGTCCAAGTGAGATATGCGGGAGAAAGATGGCCGGCAACACACCATAAGCCATTTATTGATTCTCGCCAAAGCGCTCATATACGCCCTTGTCTTTATTCCTTCATTCAACCCTATCAAAACCGAGTCTACATAAGCGGTGAGGAAAGTGATCATCTCGAAAACATAGGTACTCGGTTCAGTGGCGGTGCTTTGTGGTCGAGCCGGAGTCCAGTTGTATTCTGCCAATTCGAAGAAAGATTCTAGTTTGGAGCCAATCACTTGATCGATGCGACTTTCGGCAGCAGCGAGTGCTTCGGCAAAGGATTTACATGAGGCGAGTTTGATAGGTCCTCCACGTTGTGAAGCTCTGATACCATTAGCTCATGTCCCCAGGGAAAACAAAAACAGAGCTGACCTCAAGCCCATGAGCAGAGATTCCAGTTCTTCACATGCTGTGGTGAAGTGCTCCAGATTGATGACGACCTGTGCGATCTGCGATAGGTTGCTCATGGTTTTCAGGCGATCAGAAACTTGTTTCGCGACATTCATAGTAAGAAGGTCATCCAGTGACTTTCATATCAGGAATGGTCACATGACGAGGAGTATACTTACTTTGCGAAGAACCTCATCAATGTCCAGATGATTCTGAGTGACACCATCGGTAAAATTGTAGAATTGGTCGACGAAATTTCGGATGTTGATGCAGCACATAGGGAAGGTTTGTGAAAATGGCATAGCTTGAGGGAAATTTTGCCTGTGGATCAGTTAGTCTGGTCATCGTTGAAAGATAGGTACTACGCACATGGCTAATGACTCTTTCTCCCCGGTTGCCAGCCAGCAAACACCCGCGACTTGTTCAAACTCTTCCTGGTCATTGACCATCATCGGCTGGTTATCGTCATCGGTAACGATCTGATCGTCAGAATTTGTGCACCTCCTGAGCCATTCTCACCTGGTCAAAATCGGCACTGAACCGTCGAACCAACAAATCGGAGTACCGTTCAAACAGCGTAATGAGGACGCCATTCAGCTCGGTCACATTGTAGCTGTAACCCTGCGCTCTTAGCTTGTTAATGTAAACGATCACAAGCCTCACCTCGAGTGTCTGAACGAATAAGAGAACATTTGTCTTGCTGTCCAAGAATATTTCTGGCTTCGCGCATCCTTTTAGCCCCTGGCCCATGACATCGACGATGCGACGACACATTTCATCCCACAACTCGTCCACATCGCGTTGAGAACGGAATTCCGGTACCGCTCGCAGAACGTGATTCTCTATGATGAAGAATCCGACGAGTTCTTGCATAAGGAGAGGGAGGGTGTTGGTGAGGGTCTCGGGGGTGGTAGAGAGTCGAGAGGTCAAAATAAGAGTAGCTTGCGTCTTTTCGTCAGTCCATTGACATACATCATAAAGTTGAAATTGACAGACCTTACGATCGTCTTGATAACTTCTCTGCAATTCTGGCTTGCAATCTAGAGCTTCGTAAATATGTATACACTGATACAAGGGTTTGAAATCGATATGTATTTCGTCATTATCCAGAGCATCGACTATTACTTTTCAGCTTTTGGACTGCAAGGTAACGAAGAGCCAACATTCGATCCGCTCGTCATGAACCAGCTCGAGCGCCCCGCCAACCCTTGCCAACTTGACACCACCTTCCTTCTCTCGCTTCGCTCTCCACTTCTTGATCCGAGCTGACATTTGATCTAAGGCCAAACGCCCAACCTTGGCTCCGCTCTCACGAACCTCGAAAAGCCACGTTTTGGCAGAAGCCGTCACTGCGTCCTTGATCGACAGACGAAGTGACGGCAAAGAAGAAAGTATGTGCGCGTAGAAGGGAGTGTCGGAGATGGATGGTGGAGTTAGATGATTCAGATCTTCCAGAGACTAGGTGTCAGTACAGTTCATATAGCCTCAGGATGAGTACTGACCCTGAGAGCACCCCAATATTTCCCTTCACGGATCATCTCCCCAAGTCGATGCACCAAATCTAGCAATCTGAGGCAAGTTTGTAGAGTATCGATGGCATCGTCCATATTCCTTGCTACCTGTTTCTGCTCCAGCAGTGCTCTTTTCTAGGTTCATCAGCTCATTCCAGTATTCATATACGGAAAAAGTGACCTTCTCCCCCAGTGCACGTCCTACATCTCCCATCTGTCCGTCTAGCTCACCGATCCTCCTTCTGAGGTTACCTGTCCCTTGACGTATAGTCAAAAGTGTCGATACGGACCCAACAAATTCCTACCCATTAGTACTGGTTTCCGTAACAGAGATACTCGTGGAAAAGGGACCAGAAATGCACCGACCTCGTAGTTCTCCTCGCATATCTTCTCGATCTCCCGTTCTTTCTCCTCGACAAACTTGTCCAACGCGCGGAGGTATATTTGTTCACTGTCTGTTTCCTGTATAGATTTTATGAGAGGAGCGAGAGCTTCAAAGTTTTCGGCTGCACCCGATGCAGGGTCAAGGGTGATCTAAAGTCGTCAGCGGGATACATCATGCAGCAGAGGAATGGGGAAGGATAATCGGCAGAACTCACTTGCTGTAGTTGTAATTCGAGTTCTGCCGATGTGAATGTCGGACGTCTTGGTTTGATCATCTTGATGGTCTCAGTATCATTTCTTGTCTGCTGATCAAGTGCGAAGCAGGTCCTTTCTCTACAAAGTTGTGCAATGGTCAGAAGACGAGGTTGGTGGTGGTTTTCAAGAGACGCCGACTATCAGCCTTAGTTTCCGACGGAACTGAATGTGGCGTTTCGTTTTCATGAAAATCCTCGCCCCCCGCCAATTGGGCCAACCACCTACTAAGTACTAACTCTCTTCCTCCCACACTCAAGAGTCAGGTCACACCTATCAACATGTCAAGACCAGAAGAGATATCCCCTCCAGAGATTGTAACTCGCATTCTTTCTCCCGAGACTATCCGCTGATCATCAGTTCTACGGTGATGACGAAGCTAGGAAATACACCTCCAAGTTGGTCCTCCTTTTCCCCCCCACACTCCAGCTGGCCGGCGATCCGAAGTGGAGCTGATTGAGTAGTTCTCGAATACAAGCCATCCAATCTCAAATGACAGAACGTGCCATAGAACTTTTGGCATTACCGGAAGATCAACCTGCGTTTCTGCTCGACATCGGTTGTGGTTCAGGTTTGTCGGGGGAGTTGTTAGATGAAGCAGGTCATTATTGGGTGGGAATGGACATTTCTCCCAGCATGTTAGGTGAGTCTATCAGTCTTATCATTTGATTCCAAATCATGCCTGGGTTAGGTTATGCCGCTCAGGGAATGCTAGATTGTATAGCTAACTAGAGCAGAGGTAGCTCTGGAGAGAGAAGTGGAGGGTGATTTGTTTTTACAGGATATAGGACAAGGATTTGGGTTTCGACCTGGAACCTTCGACGGTGCTATCAGGTGTGTTGCTTTTTATCTTCTCCGTACTCCTATATTCAAAACTGGCTGTATCAATATAGATCAGCCGGTAGCGTCCCAGCCTGCATGTAACCCTTCGCCAATTGGATCAGTACTGTAGCACGTCACTGAACCTTTCATCACTACTCGTACCTGCCGACATGAGTGATCTACAACCAAGGAGTAGAATGACAACAACAACAATAGATACGACTACAACGAAACAACCTCAATATCTAACATTGGAATACCCCGAAATGGTGGAAGAAAATATAAACTAACGCTACAGTATCTCAGTCCTACAATGGCTTCTAAACGCCGATACTTCCTCCCATTCACCACCACAAAGACTTACAAGATTCTTCACCACCCTACATTCCGCCCTTCGTAATCCCTCTAGGGCCGTATTTCAATTTTATCCTTCTTCCGATGATCAAGTCCACCTCATTACACAATCCGCTCAACGGGCTGGGTTTGGGGGAGGGATCGTTGTGGATTATCCTAATTCTAAAAAGGCTCGAAAGATGTATTTGTGTCTGATGGTTGGACATCAAGAGGTTCCAAGAGGTTTAGAAGGAGAGGAAGAGGTGAGTCGAAGGGAAGGTGTGAGAAATGAGACGCGAAGGAAGAAAGAGAGGAATAAGATTGTTGGAGGAAAGAAGAGAAAGGAGGAGAGTGGGAAAGAATGGGTAATGAAGAAGAAAGAGTTGTATAGGATAAGAGGGAAGGAAGGGTGAGTCTATCGTCTTTTCTAGGCTGGGGGGAAATTGTGCTGATCATTATAGAGTACCGAGGGATTCGAAATATACAGCCAGGAAAAGAAGAGTCCAATTCTAATGTTCGACATATTTACAGGGCATCTGAGCAACTGCTTCATTTACTTTACTTTAACCATCTGGAGGGTTGAGTACGTAGATGTGATGGATATGTGTGCCTTCCAAGAGGATAGTATATATTTGTATGCACAAAGAATTTGGCTCAAATGTTGTTGGCATTATTGGCATTATTCAGCCCAATGCACAAGTGGTCTTCGGCTATGCACATTCATCCCGACCACACAATTCAAGAAATTCAAAGTTAATTAGTAAGTTTGATTATCCATTTGATTGATGAACCATTGAAAAGGATTGACGGCATTGACAAGACATAGATACATGGAGAGATCATCTCCTGTTCACAGTTTTCACAATCTACTTTGCGCCTCTTTCTTCTATTTCACATCTACTTTGTCCTTCCTCTTCCACCTGCACCTTGAACCATGCAATGCGATAATTGAACAAAATGAATGTGATATGTATGTACAGTACGATTGATTGACCGTGGGATATCGGAATGAAATGTGTTTGATCAGTGTTGCAGCCATGCAGATATACTTGTATGCAATAGTGTACGTGACTTGTGATGAGATTTGTATTGATCGTGAAGAAATGAGTTTACGAGTTGCTAGTTGCTTCATGGGAAAAAAACTTGAAAGTATTTTGAACAGGCTTGAAGTTGAATTCATTCACATATAGTTTTTCTTTCCACAGAACTTGCTCTTTGCCCATCCTTGGCCTCGCATATTGATACGTACTTCCTTGTTTTTTGTACTCTTGCTAAAGAGGATAGATGTAGACTTGAAACGTTTCTTCAAAATAGCAAAGAAACGTCAGTTCGATTATCTAGTACCTAGTACCTGGGATTCTCTACGGGGGCATCATAGTCACGAGAACGACGATCACCATTATCAGAATAATGACGAGAGGGTGCGCCGCCGGGACTATCAATGTTAGCTCTTGAACAATATTTTGCAGGAAGAATCCATACCTGAGTGACCTTTGACGAGGAGCATCTGCTCTCCTGCTCCGACCACCGTAAGGGTCATCATCACGACGAGGAGGATAATCACTGATATTGTCAAGAACCTTCTTTCATGAATCAGGGTAAGACTCACCGGTCACGATCACGGGGACGGTATCTGTCCCTATCGTCGTACCTTCCATGACCGCGATCATCCCTTCGTTCATAACGACGGTCATCGTATCCACCGCGGTATCCGCCACCATGACCACCACCACCACCACCATATCCACCGCCACCATAACCACCGCCACCGTAACCACCACCACCGTAGCCACCTCGACGATCGTCAACTGTCACGTTAGTCAAAGGTCATGGCCAATATCACTGATAAACTCACTAGGAGGCCTCTTGACACCCATGTATTCTCCTGGGGTAGGCGCGTGGGGTCTTTGAGTGGCAGAAAAATCCACTCGAATGGCACGACCATGAAGCATTAACCCGTTGAGCTTTTCGATGCACCTTTCGGCATCTTCGACGGTTCGCATGGTGATGAAACCGAAGCCTCTCGAACGGTCCGACTGCTCTTAATCAGCACCGATTATTGATGGAACAGTCAGAAATGACGTGAATGGACATCGACTCACTCGCTGATCATATACAATGACAACCTTCTCAACATCACCATAACGCATGAATTCATCTTCAAGGTCACTTTCGCGAGTACGAACAGATAGACCGAACACTCCCAAAACCCTGTTCGGCTCGACACGCTGAGGAGCGTTTCGGGGCCTGGGAGGAGGCGGGTTGAGAGCTTCCCTGATAGGTTCCGATCGACGCCGTCCAATAATTTCGTGAGAATCACGTCGTTCACGAGGTTCAGGAGTAGGTGTCCGTGGAATGGGAATGTAAGTGTCGACGGACATAGGTTCGTCGATGGCGGCGACCAATTGTTCATCGATTGTAGCGACCGATGGTTCATCGATGGTAGCGATCAAAGGTTCGTCGATAGCGACCGTCATCGTATAAAAGATTTAGTGATTGATAGAGAGTGAGACAACGAGTGAGAAGGAGAGGGGATGAGAAGAAAGAGAACCCAGGGTCAGCCTTTTTGTACGAGCAAAGAGAGCGGAGGAGAGGGTTGGGAAATCAAAGGAGAGATGTGGGATGAAATGACAAAGGATATGACCGAGTACCCCTTGTCTTTGGATAAATCCTTAGACCGAGAGAGCAAGACAAACTCCGAAGCGGTGAACCATTTTCAAAATCTTAAAGTCGCGTGGAGTGTTGCAGAGAGGACACAGTCCGACGCGGGCACTGATATGAAAGAGAGATACGGCTGACGAAGGTTTATCGAGGATCAAGAAGAAATGACTCACTCGCGACTCCCACGATCATAACCTCCTCCGGCTTCCCTGGAACCATCACGCATGTCCACATCTTGTCGTGTCGACGAACTCGGCGGCCTGTCATATTCTTCCCCTCCATAGGGGGCGGCAGGACCACGAGGGGGAGAGCGTGGAGCCCATGTGTCCCTGGCAATTGGGACGTTGGCAGAAGAGAAGTCCTGAGTGGTCAGCTGAAATTCGTGATTACCGATTCTTCTGAGATATTCCAGTGTTCATAGCGGTATGGTGATCTAGAAAATAGGATGGATGGGGTACGTGGATCGTTGATACGCACCATTTTGTAAACAAGGTAAAAAAGTAGGTATTGGGGGCAAGCAAGTCAGGTGAAAAATAGAGTGAAGAATTTGATTCCGCTTCGAACCCCACTTCTTTATCTTTAGGCACATGCACATGGATAAATGGGATTCTCTCGTTGGTAGAATCGCTCTGCATACCATCATACTGTAGACTGAGATCGCAGTCTCATGGTGACGTGGTGGGCCATCCGGACTCTTTCGACTCAAAGACTCGCTCAAATTGTAACTCGACTCGAGCCTCCTTTCCTCAAGTATTCCCCCATCCATTCTAGCCGACCGCCGTACGCGCCGTGTCAAGTGTACGACGTCTCCTATGTTCTTCTTGATCATTACGCGATCATGTTACCAGTCGCCGTACCGTGGTTGTTCGCTACTTCAGCATGTCCACCAGCTAGGACCATGTGCGCATACCCCACTCGATTTCGCTTCACAACCATCCGCCCACAAAATGTCAACAACACATGCTTTTTCCCCCACCATCTCCGCTTCTCCGATTCCACGCCATCAGTCCCTAAACACCTTTGGTCATCTTTATTCGTAAATTCTCAAACATTCCGTTCCCGTTCTTCTATCGTTCGTCTGGGTCGTCCGCCTCTTGGAGCTCTTGGGGCGTAAGTCATCTAACTTGTTGTCTCATTCAGTTTCATTTCCGGGTTACCGGCATTTGACTACTGACCTCTGATCTGATGCCTTCTGTGCAGCTGTGGGCTCTGTCACCTCGCCGCGCCCTGGAGAATCCGAAAAAGTGATGGTTCGGGCGATCACGTTTCAAGACGATCAAGGGTTAGGGAAAGAAGTACATCATTCCAAGATCCAGCGGCCAGCGGAGCATGACTGCTCGTACCGGGGGAGAGACAAGGTAAAAGGTCCAAGGGCCACAGGGATGATCAAATAGCGCACTGACCAGAAGAAGGTATATAAGTGCCATTATGATCGCTTTATTAATTCGATTCTTGTCACCTTAACGTTTCTTCTCGACCAACTCGTTCTAAACGCAGTACGAGTAAACAAATTAAAAGTGTACGTTATCACGTTATTTGCTGTGGGGATCAAACATTCGTCATCTTTCTCTCTCAATATTTTCGATCTCATCATCAACTCTCTGATCTCTGACAATTTCAATAAGAGCCGGTTCGGAAAAGGTCAAAGTTTTTCAACATTGGTTTCATCCTCTTACCGGGTTTCAAAATTATCATCGGACATCTGGTCGATCACAAAATGTACAAACTGAAAAGAGTGTTCTCCAGCAAGTCGCTCAAGAACAAAATTGTTGAGAATGATGTAACTCCTCCCTTACCTCCCATAAAGAGAAGTGTGAGTTTTATCACCCTTCGCTTCCTTCTTCCCCCGTTTGTCTCCCGGGTTCTACCAGGATGTGCGTGGCTAATGTCAGGTCTCTACGACTCCGGCGAACTCTTCCATTTTCCAGACCTTCACCCCACTCGACACTCTCGCACCCCCTGTGATACCTCTACCTCAATTTGACTCGCTCGACTCATCTTCTCCTGATTCAACAATCTCGAAAACTTCAAAATCATCTGATCTGCGTCGGTCACGTTCCCTCACTGGTCTAATCAACTTCTTACACCTGGAAGAAGATCAAGAACAACCTTGGCGCTCTTCCGAAGCTTGGCATTCCGCACTTGCTCGTCAAAATTCCCGTCCGGTCTCCCCAAATCAGAATTGTCGTCAGCGCGGATCATGGCGAAGAGAAGCAGGTTGGAGATCACATGGTCGTGGTGGTTTCTTTGGCGCTGGAATCAGTCCTAAGAAGCATATGAAAAACCTTCAGATCTCTCTCTCCTCACCCTCGATCACACCTTCGTCGTCTCTCGCCACTGTTTCTTCAACTTCTAGACCATCACTTCATATCTTCCAAGTCGATGATGAGGACGTATTCACCGATGTTGACTTTGATCATTCGATTGAACTCGGTCTTCAGTTATACAATGCCAAACCCATGCTCCATTCCGCTCGACCTCTTCAGCCAGCTCGTCCAGGATTCGGCAGCACTCGTGCTAGAGGTTTACGAAAAGCTTCCGAAGCACCTACTATCTCGTCATTCGCTAGTAGTGACAGTTCTTTCAGCTCGGCTTCAGATATTGGAATGGATCTTCTACCACTTACGCCTTCCACTGTTCCAAGATTGAGGACATCAGCATCGTGTACCGACCTTCGACAGAGCGCGATATCTTGGGGAGAACGTCGACCTTCTTTGCCCGTCGCTCACACTCAACCATTGATGCTTTCTGGCAAGCCGCCCACGTCCTTTACACAGCGTTCTGCCAAATTGATGCGTCCTCCCGCCAGGCCTCTTCCTCTCCCTGATTGCGGACAGTCCAAACAACACTCCTCCCTCATGCGTCAGCCACCATTACCCACTCGTCCCCAGTTCGATGAAGAATACTTGGATCCCGAGATTGTGTTAACCCCAACGTCGGCCTTCTTCTTCGGCCCAAACCCAAAGTGGACTAGTGTCCCCGACAAAACGCGGCATGAGGATGCCCACAGAGGGACGACACCTGAGGAGATCAAGTCTACCGGCTTGCTTGTGGCGAAACCGGCTATCCTGCGCACACCCAGTCCAGCGAGGGAGAAACTGTATTCAGGAGGCTGGATCTAGGTCTGCGATTGGTTGGTGTTAGGGTATGTCTTTGATCAGAATATGTTGCAGACGACGAGCTTTGGATTGGTAGATGGTTAACGACTTTTACGGTAGATAGATGAGCTTCTGGATCATGTGGTTTGAGTCGAGTATATGTTTGCTTTCATGAAGCACATGCATACAATTCAGTCTTCTATCTTCTGCCCATCAGCCTCGTCTCAAGTCCGAATGTGTTCTCATATACATACTTTATATGAGAGATATATGCTACACGATTGTTGTCAATGTCCAATGATTCTACTAGATATAATCTCACATCACGACGTCCGACTCTTGTCTCTCTTGAGATGGTGCGGGTCTTCTTAGCCTTTCAGTCGGGTAATCACTACTATGTCAGTTTTTTTTCTATCTACCCTTCTCATATTCCAAGATAGATGGCAGATGAGCAAATAGCAAGCGAGATTGCGGTCAATTAGACACATTCTAAATGAGACATCATGGCATAGCGCAAAGCCAGTCGGAGAAACACTAGCACTCACCTGTCTTCCAACTGCCTCTTGAGCTTTGCTATCCGAGGTTCTTGTGAGACCATCATTTTTTGTGCCAGATAAATGGGCTCGTACTCTTTCAACTGGATTTGGAACTGTGACATCAGACTGGACTTTTCTGGCTTTTCATCTACCTAAATCCCATCCCTCAATTTGACTGCGATCTGCGGAAGATACGTTGATGAGTCGCGATTGCGGTTGACGAGGGAGGTCTTTGGGAAAGAAGGGGTTGAAGTGAAAGGATACTCACAGTCATAGGTGCCACGCAATACCTCTTCCCTTGTACAAACGTCAAAGCCATCTCATATGACCAATCGAGTTTTGACATAAGGTAGCCGATGACTATAGCAGGAGACATTGAGATTCCGCCTACTTGATGAGCGGGAACACTTGAGTAAAAGAATGATGACTGACCGTTGCAATGAACTAGGACGCTCCCGCCGTTTGCTATGGCAGAATCTATGAACTGACAACATGTGGGGAAGATAGTGATAAGATTTTGGTCCTCAAGTGTCAGCTTCAATCATTGACGCACCCTTTCCCCAGCAATAGGACAGATTGGCACATGAAGTTGTTTTGAGGATTGGAGAGAGGTGAGACTGACTATGTTATCGGATATGTCTAAGGTCATATATGTAAAATCATGTGGGAAACGGGGATAGATGAGGTGAGATTCTCTTTTATCTCTCAAACATAGACTGATGATCAGCTCTCTTCACTTACCATATATTTTTAACCAGCTCAAGTCTACTGCACCCCGTGGCCCTTGAGACTGACTGAGGCCTGGCTTATGGGAAGTCAGGTAATGTAATCCAACTTGAGCTGTCAGATCAGAAGGTGAGGAAATACATACACATGTGTTATTCCCATACTTGTCATTTTCCCCAGATTTGTAGATGCTTGAAATGGTCCCAACCAAAGATTGGGCATTATCAATTGAGCTTCTCTTCTCATCTCATACCTGTGTACGGTCAGCCTCTACTCCTCTACCTTCTCCTTCAGAGCCGTCTGGTGAGGTGAGGGATAATGAATTGATAAACTGACTTCCACTCCAACGGCATTGACAAGCTGTCCATATGAAAAGCCGATGGTTTCCTCGCCATATCCGCTGTCATTGGAGATGTATGGAAGATGACCGATGTCCGAGAGTCGAGGAGAAAGCGGACAAAGCAGAGATCCAGAGGTTTTGTAAGACGAAACGGACCACGTGGAAATGATTCCGTGCGTCGTCATTGACCTAACGAAAGGAAGGTAAGGGGTAAGTAACGAGGACATGAGGTGATATGAGGTGAGCCGCCCTGCCCAGCCCTATTGATCCTTCTGTCTCTTGCATTCCTCATCTCCTCGCTTCAACAAGTCCCTTCGACCTTCCACCTGTGGGAAAAAACACAAGGAAATCAGTGAAAGGTGAAGGAAGACTGCGTTTTTTTTACTGCGACGACGAAACCCTGCCTCAGCGCAGTCAGACTTCCCATCGATTCGTTTTACTTGTATCTTAAACACTCGCGATCCTAGGCGGCCTGGGTGAAACAGTGATCTTTTCCTCCGCTCTTACGTCCTTCGAATTCAGTACACAAACACCACCATCATTTTCTTCAGCTTCCATTCTTTCCTCTCGTTCCCTTATACCTCCATGTCAGTCTCCAAATTGCCTCTACCCGATCGGGATCGTCTCGTTCCTTCCCCCCTTGGCTCGCCGGCGCGCCCGTTGCTCAATCCCACCGTGTCAAACGCCCCTCACATGAGAACCCACGCCGGTTGTGTACTTTGCGGTCTCGTAGCTAGCGCAGCGGGAACCAATACGTTCAATTCGATGGGATCAGAAGGTGATCCAACGCCTCCCCCTTCGGCCGCCACCACCAGCTTCCTATACTCTCAAAGTAGGTATAATGAACCATTTGGAGCATCGTCTTCCGCAACGGGGTCGAGCTCAAATAGGAGGATTGTCAATGGAAGAGAGATAGTATATCAGGATGAAGACATAACAGTATATTCAGCTGAAGGGAAGGAAAGATTATGCAGCGGAGGCAGACACTTGATCATAGTGGTCAACCGACATTTGGAGAGTGTCTATGATTTTGTGAGTTCACCCATTTCTGTGACCAATAATCGGAATGTCTGAAGGTGATGTGTTTCTAGATGTCAAGAGAAGACACAAGTTTATGGGGGAAAAGCTAATCAGCTCATAGTCCGCCGCCGATGTACCCCTCTTATCCCATATTCTGGCAACCGCAGAAGCCCTACTTCTACCTCTATCATCAACGAGCGGTACCTCTGATGCAGAAGGACGACGGAAGATGGATGCCAAGGATATCCGAGTGGGGTTCGTTGGTAGTGTTATGAGTGAGTGTCTCTCCCGCTTCATCTTTTTTCCAGCGACCGAAATCGACAACCCCCTAACTTAACGTTGTATCCGAAATAAGTATTGACCATTTCAGAGGACCCCCAATCACCTCATGCACATCTGCATGCACACGCGATGCTAGGGCCGATTGACACGACCCTTCCCGGAGCGACATTCTGGCGACGCACAGTCGTATTCGGTGGGGTCAACTGGTGGAGCGTGGATGATCTTCGAGCGGAAATACGGTAAGTGTCTCTTTTCCATATTCCATGAACGGTCCTTCTCCACGCTCCTCTACGTACTCCTTCGTTCGGGCCAAACTACCGGGCCACGGGATGTAGCTAATATGTGTCAGGGAGGAAACTTCGAACAACCGAGTCAAATCAGGATACACGGACAGAGGAACAGCACCGATAGACAAAGTTCCTGATGCTGGATCTACTTCGGTATGTTCTCCTCGTCACTTCTCATCATGATTGTGACCCACCCACGTCCACTCTCTTCTATAAACTGTGCTAATTACCCAAGGGACTCCCCAATGCTCTTGACCCTGATCCATACATCGATTCCCCTGCCGGGCCTCCCACTGTCAGTTTGCCGCCTAGTAACGCACCTGCGTCTCGAAAGATGTCATCACGACCGACCGACTCGAGACAACCCTTAGAAGCTGTGAACAGCTTGCAACTCAACCGCATGAGTTATGACCGCTATGACGCTGTAGACCTTCAATCCACCCCTGCCATTCGTTGACCAATTGAAGACGAACCTATGCTGACAGGGATCATTTCTGTACAAAAAGTAACATTATGCATTGCCACCTGATTTCTGGCTCCAGTGTAACTGTAGAGTATCGTTCCCTTTCTCTCTGCACACGTTTTGTACTTCAGCATTGACATCATCCATGAGATTCGGACGTTTGGGGCCCCTGACGAGTCAAAGGAGAGATTCAGTGTGGCAAGTAACAAAATCCACATGCCTCATCTGACAGACCACCAAGTGATTTTCTGTTTACACAAAACCATCCTTCCATGCCAAGACTTTCCTCTTTCAGACATCCTTGCATCCATCTGATGGGCTAGAGTCAAGTTGATCGGCTTTGGTCTCTTTTTGGTGTCGGAGAAGTGAGAGTTTTCCGTCCCCATGCGAGTGGCCGAGTGGAGTGCTCAGCCACTCGACGTCGTCAACTAATTACGGGTAACATTGTTGCATTCACTCTTTTGACATCTGGATTGATACTCGTAGATAGACAACTCACAAGCTCACAAGTCTCAAGTTTACGAGATCCGGAAAACGCGCAGGAAGTAAGGAACGGACACGGACACGAACACGGACCTCAAAGCCACTCGCTGATCACCGCCCCGACCTTCGTTGGAGAACAACAACTTATGGTGTTGTGAAACTTGACAGCGACAACTTCAACCTCTTCACCAACGCTTATAGGAATCTACTAACAATCGTGAGTCCATCCCTTTCGCTGTTTGTGTGAAAAGGAGTTGTCTCGTCGGTAGTAGAAAAAGCGGTGACTACCACTACCCAATCCCCTCGTTTTTCATTTGTGTTTGGTCACTTTGTTCGTAAACATTCCTGATCCACAGTAGTACTCGATCAACTCGGATCCTCCGCCCTCTCTTCTCTGATATCTTCATCGTAGCCATAGCTTCCAAAGTACTCATAATCATCCCACAGACGAGGTCTGCGTCCTGGAACCAATTCAAAACCCACACATCATGCTTCCTTTACTGCTTCTCCTTCCCCTCCTTACCCCCATCACGGCATCCTCTCATCGAAACATACTGGCAAGAAGAAACCACGCAGATCTCGCTCTCAGAGCACAACATTCGACAACCATGGAAGCTCGTATGGCCCGTCGAGCAGCAGGGAAAAGATTAGCATCTCGAGCGGCTCAGAAATGTCGTGCGAAGGGATCACTACCTTCCCTCTCTGTCGCTTCATCCTCCACACCTTCTACTTCTACCAGTATCGTAGCATCGTCCAGTTCGACTTCAACTCAGACGTCTACATCAAGTGCTGATCCGACTACCACAAGTACAACAGGTACGACAAGTACGACAGATGCAGGAACAAGTCAAGAGACGACGGGGAGTTCGTATAATGTTCAAGTATCTTCAGGATCGAGTAGCGGAGGGAACACAGGTATGACACCAAATGGGAATAAGGCGGGTATTTCTGGAGGTGACGCTTTTGATTATTTCAAGGATCACATCGGTTGGTGGTATGGTGAGTACTTTCATCTCTTACATCTCTACCTCACTTCTACGTCCCTCAATCCTTCCACCAGACCGGGGTGATGATATTCCAGCCATCACACCAGGCCGATAGACCTCATAAGCTAGAGTCTCACCGAGGTCAACGGTACACAACACTACCCTTCAGCACCACCCATGGAGCTATAATATCGAGATCACATACTGCGGGCGTGATGGATGCTGATAAACAGACTGGACACCCAACCCCAGTGGTCACTGGGGTTCCCCAATGGCCGTCCCAATGCTTTGGGGAGCAGGTACAGTCGACTCGACCGATTCTGATCGCTTCTCGGAATTCCTGGCCATTTCCTCTAGTCCCGCATACATTATAGGGTTCGAAGAACCTGATTGTTATGGTTCTGGTTCAGCTGGCATCGACGTGTCTACTGGTATGTCACCGTCTTCTTCCCGCTCGTATCAACTCCGGGTGGTTGTCATCCGTGATAGAACGATTAAGGATAGTGAAGTTAATCTTCAGCTGCCGGTATTTGGAACAACCACGTTGCTCCCCACGGCTCTGCTGGTTCACTTCTGCTTTCACCTTCCATGTGTCACCAAGCTGCTGAGACGGGGTGGCTTCAACCGTTCGCTCAACAGATCAATCGAGGATGGGATATCACGAATCTACACATCAACAAGAATTCTGCTTCTGGTATTCAAGCGGATTTGGACCATTATTGGAACACGTACGGGAAACCCATGTGGATCACAGAGGTGAGTCGTGTCGGTGTTGTCGTCTTTCAACCCAAATCTCATTTCCTCATTGGCGTATTCTTCACTTTGTCTCCTCACCAAAGAATCCAGAACAATTTTCACCGAGTTTTTCCAGTAATAGGCACAGCCAAGAGAACATAGAAAGTCTTAGATGGTATTGAGGGGCGGGACGAATAGTCGGCTGACACATAGTTCGCTTGCGTCGACGACTCAACCGGTTTTGTACCCTGCACAGATCAAAGCGAGATCAACAACTATATTTGGACCGCTGTACAGATCTTCGAGTCTGACTCTCGAGTGGCCGGATACGCATATTCCAATGGCGCAGGTCTCGGGAACGTCTGGCCCTTGATGAATGGAGGGCAGTTCAGGTATGTCGATCGTCCAGCTTCTGATCGTCTCGTTGTGCTGACGTGAATAGTGAGAGTGGACAAACATATCTTGCTGCGGTCAAACAATATCACTAAGTGATACTAAGTGATATAGCTTTTGTGGAATGGCACATGATATGGAAGGGAAGAAAAGGAGGAGGATGACAATTTGGCAAGAAGAGGACGAGAGAGCGGAGGGAAAGCGTGATACGACACGATAGAACAAGATACCCAGCTTGTCTGATACCCAATGAGATGATACCTGCTTCATTGACCTTTGCTTGACTGTCGCAATCCGTCGCAACTTGTCTTAACGTCGGATGTCATGCCCGGTAGCTCATCATCCTCCCGTGTTCCGAATATCATTCTTCCTGGTCTCCATTCCGGTCCGTTGAACCGGGCAATAGTGAAGCATCTCATTCTACCTACAAGTTTTCCTGCCAAGCTTCTAGACGTATGAAAGAATCAGGAATCCATAGTCGTCCACTTATCCGAACTTCGCTTCCCAAATTTTGGTTTATTCCGTTCATAGACGGTTCGGTCGACGATCATCCGTCTCGTCGTAACCTAATCTTTATATTCTTTCCTTTTTCCTACAAAAGCTCAAGGTACAAAACAAAACGCTTTTGTTCATTCTCAAGCCACAATGTACAATGTCTAAGATCTAAGATTCATGAGGAGATTTATCCTGACGCCATTATTTTCATGTTCTCATTTCAATCATTCGACATTTTCCAGAAAACAAGGAAAAAGAAATCGATTTCGGCGGCGGCGGCCGAAAATATGATTTTTTGATTTTTACTCGACGTGATTGTTTTTTTTTTGGAAACCAATGGGAAAATCAAAGGGTCTTGGACAATCAAAGTGGAGGTGTTTTTCTCTCTGATTTTTTTTGGCATTGTCGTTCCTGTTTTTGTATGAACTCCGTCTTTAGGCTTCAGAAACCCCTGAAAGTGGTTCCGCGATGACGTGAAGAGCACACGATAACGATAGCTATGATTGTACGTGGTATAGGTGCTGACGTATTGGCTCATGGTTACTCCTGATCAGATGGCAAGATGGGTTGTAGTACATAGTACGAAAGCGGGTGCGTGGAAGGGGGTATATAGCGGGACACTTCGGACTTTGTACTTGGCATTGAAAAAATGGATGTGAATATATCGGGAGTATGGTTCCCGGGATTCTCGCGACCATGAAGTATGAGGTGAATTCCAGGATGTGGAGCATACCTGGCTTATGGAGTATAGAACTAGAATGAAGCATCGAATAGGAAGTATTGAATCGAGAAGGTAAAAAAACGGCCAGACATGGTTTAACGCCAAAACCCCCACATCTAAGTGCATGAAACCAGGAACTTTTGGCGATCACCCTAAATCTTATTCCCCTTCTTCACATGACATCTCTAACATGAGAACCCATCACATTTCTTTGTCGATCTCGAGATCTTTTGCAACCGGGGAGCAATGCTGCATGCTGCATGATGCGTTTCATAGATCATGGATCACACTGACGTTCACACACCGTTTGCGGAGTGAAGCAAATTCGACAGGATCTCGGACATCGGATAGTTTATGTGCGACAAGCTCGACGGAAAACTCACGTACGTCGCTTTCTTACCTGAATCTGCAAATTACGAAGGGTAGATCGGGTGTTGGAGCAGGAGAAGGATTACGTCTTTATAATACTTGTATAATTTAATGGCCCTGGCAACCGCCATGATCCACATGCCAGGGGGAGAAGAGTAGGTTCAACGCCATGATTTTTCGTCATTTCTGTGATGACGGTTTCGTGGCAGATTGCAGAAAGTAGTGATGAAGTTAGAAGTTCTAGAACGGACAAAATGGCAAATGGTACATGGTACATGGTACATTGGTGCATGACAGATTTTACATGGGTACAGTTGGCTTCTAAGTTGGTGTTCAAAGCATGTCTTTTGCATGGATCATAAGCCTGGCAGCAAATCAATCAGACTGATTCTCTATTAAACCGGATTTCGACGGCTCTAGTAGACCGGTCCTTCTTCCATGCCATCGAGAAAAGTGCCTTACGCTTAAGCGACTCAGGTCAAGAGAAACAGGTTGGGAGAGGCATGGGAAACAGACGAAACTTGGCTCATGCCTCCGTCTAATTGTCCCCGGTCCCCCTGCCCCCTGATTAACTCACTCCTGATTCCTGGCAAAATTGTCCAAAATTTCGCAGAAAAAGTCCAAATTCTCGCAGCAGACCCGTAAGTCCACCCGGCACGTCACTCCGAGGGCCGAGGGCCGACGGACAGTGAAAGTACCTTCCGTTCTACCGTGCTGGTCAAGTGGATCGAGTGACCAGCAAAGGTCATACAGCAACCATCTCCTTCGCATACCACCTATCTGTTTCGAGCATAGTGCATAGATCTAGTGAAGTGGTTAGAGAAGAGAAGGTGGTGGACGTCAGACTAGGATTAGGTTTTGGCCGATCAAAGGCCCGGGCCAGGCAGGAGCGGTGCGTTTTCCCTCCTCACCCCCACCCACCTCTTCCCTTTTCCATCCCTCTTTCTTTTGCCTTCCTTCTTCCACTCATCATACTCGTCTGGTTCCCTTCGCGTCATTCGTTGCTTGCTGGCAAGCACCCGTAGACTTGGTCCGGTTCCCGCAGATCTAACGTCTTCGACAGACGGGCGTGCCGGACTTTCCTTGTCCTCGGTGTAGCGTCATCCCCTCCCCCCCACCGCGACCAAGGGTAGACTTTTTTTTTGCGTCCGATTGGACCGTTGGACCGAGTGGGATTTTGAGCCAAGCTTAGACTCCCGCCCTATCCCGTCAGTAAGTCATACAAGCTCTCCTATGCAAATAGTCGAACGTTCTGAAAATGTTTAGTCTTATCTCATGTCGCGCAAGTGGCAACGAATGATCAAGAGCACAGCGGAGTGCATTCACGAGCTCACGAGTTTCTATCAGCCGACGACGATCGATAACCCGTTTTGGGTAAAAAGAAAAGAGTAGGCATTGCGAGGTGAAAGAGTACTTCACATAATATGTACGTCGTACCCTTCTCTCTCTTCATCTTTTCACTTCCTCCCTCTCCATCTTTCACCACTCTTCGTGCTGTGATTTTCACACGGTCAGAGTACAAATCTTCAAATGCTGACCCTTCAGAGATCCCATTGAGACAATTCCCCAATCATGTCCACTCATACATCCCCTGTCATGTTCACACGTCCTGAGCAGCTTTCTCCAACTGCTCCCTCCACCTCTAACACCACTCCCACACGTCCCAAGCAACATGAATCGGCCACCATCGTCCACCCGATACCGGTGCCAGCTGCCGTGGCAACGGACTTCACATCCCCATCCGCATACATCAATCACGATGCGTACTCGCACACTGCTCCAAGTACACCTCATGTCTCCGGTCTTCACGACATGGCCTATGATCTCTCTGCTCATTCTCTGGACAGTTTCGATTTTGCTTATACCGATTACAGTGTAGACCCTGCCCTCTTTTCCAATGACAACAATACTTCCACCTCGACCGCCGCCAACAACCACCCCGAACAAGCCGATCACACTACTCCTCCTGCACTGCCTCGTTCCGAGGAAGAACGTACTCCCGTTGTATCTGATTCCCAAAACCCCATCTCGGCCTCTTCCCTCCCTGCACCACCCGGCTCCGCCCATGAATTCAAACCCCTCATGTCGCCGTTCAGACAGTTTGGCGAAACCGCTCCCATGATGTATCACCCTACTACCCATGATCAACCTCTGTATCAGCATCAAAATCAACAACATCCTGTCTACATCGATCCTGCCACCGCATACTATGACCACATGTCCCATTTCATCAATATGAGTCCCCAAGATACCGCCCCTGCACCTTTCCTGCCCCCTCCTCCACAATTTGCCATGCCAAGTATGCCCGTTCCCATGTATCCTGGACCATACCTCCCTGGTCAGCCTTACGACTATGGACCACCTCGAAGTCGCGGCGCATCTCCATCTCCCAGTATCACCTCAGCAGTCTCACTTGCTCGTTCGGCTTCAGCTTCGTCTGAGCTGAGACCTCCTCGGCCAAAGGTCAAACTCACCTATGAAGACAAACGCAACATTGTAGAGCTTCACCGTTCCAACAGCTCCTTACGACAAGAGGATATCGCCAAGCGATACGGGTTAGTGAGCGGCTTGATCTTCCTACGTGAGCTAACGACCAGGGTGGATCGAAGTACCATTAGTAAGATCATTCTTGCAGCGCACCGCTGGACGCAGCCTCAAGAACCTCAGCAAACATCCGCTCCAAAGACTAACAAGTCCGTTGGTGGTCGTTTTCCAGCTATTGAGGCCAAGATGCATCAATGGATGGACGCCCAGATCGCTCAGGGGCTCGATGTGAGAGACAACATAGCACGGGACAAGGCGAAAGCTTTTGCGCGAGAGATTGGATTTCCCATGGAACGCTTCAAGGCTTCTGCTAAGTGGTTGGACAAGGTGAGTGTCTGCATTCATGACGATTATACCTCACTGACACTTATCAGTTCAAGGACCGACGCAAGGCGGCCGGGAAACCCACCTCTTCTCCAATGCACATCAATTACGCCTATTACCCTTACAACGCGACGGCGTTCCCAATGATGTCGCCCATGGGCGGACCAGTGATGCTTTCTCGCTCTCAGTCGACCGTCACTCTGTCATCTTCCGACTCCAGTGGCCACGAAGCGTTTCAAATGAGCCCTAACTTTCCCTCGACCGATATGGCAACTCCGCATGCTCCCGACCGTGTAGCGGCTGTGAGATCCGAGACGGACCTGTTGCATTTCGACACGTCGACCGGTGGACGACAACGCTCGCAATCTTCTCCGCAGTTCATCCAGCCCGCCGGAGTGTCTCCGTCGTCCGGGAAAGCTACTCGATTCCCTCGTCCTTCTCCACTCAACCTCAGCCGACAGAACTCTTACCATGGGACATCTCCTTCACCTCGACGTGTCGTCCCTCTCGCTCGGACCAACTCAAGCCAACAGGGCATGCGACGTCCGCGCCCGACTTCACTCGCGGCGTCGGCATTCGGAATCACACCCATCTCGAATGACGGCAATTGTTCACCGATGCAGTCTCCTTCTACGAGCGGAAGCAGTAACGGGGTTCACTCTCGTCAGCGGTCAGACATTTCACTCGGCTTCACGTCATCCATGTCGGGCATGACCATCTCGCCAAATATGTCGGATACGAGTGAACCGTCTGTCATGACCAGTTCGGGTCTCACCGTCCCTCCCCTCACGCCAATCACACCCGGACATGGTCCTTCGAGCACTGGAGTGTTTCCCACGCAGACGGACTTTGACATGCATATCGACAACACTGGCGGAAGGATGCAATACGCTACCATGCCGAACAAACACTACGCACCACATGGGCATGCCGGTCATGCACAATATCTCGCATATCCACCGACGGACTTCGGTCCAGGTTATGTACAGGAACACTCGTGGAACTAGACGTTTGGTCCTGAACCGGTCCGATTCGACCAAATCTCACACCAATCTCAAGGACCTGTCATATTCATACTTGTTCATCTCACTCGATTACCTCATACCATATCTAGTCCGAACGTCTCATCTTTCTCACTTGTCATTCCCACTACTTAGGCATATTCCCATTTCTTTCCCATTCCTGTTTATTCTCACGGCAACTGCACGAGTTTGAAGGCATAACGTAGCATGAGCACACAAGGACTCTCCACGTCCCTTTTTCTTCTGTTTTTCTCTTCATGTCGTCTTTGGTTTTTCTGATAGGGTTTACGAGACGGGATGGAATGTTTTCATGATTTGATGCAATGTCAGGATGCGCATGAATACCATGAAACGTTTACGTCGTGCGTCATGTCATTGATCGACAGGCACTTACAGGATCCGACAGCCAACAATCCAAAGAATCAAAGGGTGCATGATGACCTCATCGATCATCGAGCACCAAGATCGGGCGTTCCATTGGCGTCTTGTCACTCACTGATTCCTAACCCTCTGTCGGACAGCAGATATCGAGTCCCAATATTCAATGACCGGAAGTGTTAACGAAGTGATCCTCAGAAGAAGGATGTACACTTCCATTTCGAGGGGCAACACCAATTCAAGGAAAGTGGTCCTCGTCGGCGCTGGTTTCCTAGGCAAGTTTTGATTCCCCTCCAGTCATGCTAAAAAGTTAACCTCCGATTAGGGTCTTACATCGCCAGAAGCTTGGTTGCAGATCCACGAAACAATGTGCTGCTCGTTTCTCGGAATCCCAAATCGTGTGAGTACCTCAACTTCTTTCTTCTTTCTACTAATCTTACCTTCCCGCTCCCGATTTGCCTAGACCATTCCCTTAATCTGCTATTTCTTTTCGAATCTTATCCAACATCCATCTCTTCGAATACTGAGAATGTTCCGATAGTCGAGTATGACAACAGAGGTAAGCTGAAATGAAAAAGTACATGATCGTCTTTCTCATCTTGGAAAACAAATCCTTCCTCCTATTTCTGCGGACATCGCTTCTCCCTCCTCTTCCCCTCAACTTCGCGAGGCGATGGAAGGAGCTCATGCGGTCGTCTCCCTGGTCGGATTGTTAGCTGCGACGGAAAAAGAGATGGTGGATGTTCAACAGGATGGGGCGAGACGTGTTGCAGATGCCGCTAAGGAGAAAGGGGTTGAGAGGGTGGTAATGATTTCTGCTATTGGAGCGGATAAGAATGGTGTGACACCTTAGTGAGTGTGACCTCATATACTTTTCCATCGACTTCGACATGTTCACTATACACCGTGACTTTCAGGTATGATGAAGTGGATGAAACGTCAGTTGAATGAGTGTTGGTCATGAAGCGTCTGTTTGAGCCATTGATACCTTACGAAACTCGCCATTGTCTGGAATAATGTGGGGACTGAGCTGGTGAGAGACAAAGAGACGGATATATTGTTGTTATTCCCAAATACCTATCAGGCTATTTGCATAAAAGTGTTCGCACTGACCAATAGCCAACGGACTAAAGCAGCTGCTGAAGAATACTTTCTCAGTCTGCATCCAACAGCCACCGTAATCCGTCCTTCCATAGTTTTCGGACCTGGCGATTCTTTCTTTACTGTATGATTATTTTCCTCAAACTCACCATCGACGAGATTGACAACTTAGAGATTCGCTGAAATGGCTAAGTGGTTACCTTTCTTGCCTGTTTTCGGGGGTGGTACGACGAAATTCCAGTGAGTCGGCTTACTTCTTCCCGGGTGTTCAAGAAACTGAGAAAGTATCTGTCAAGCCGTGATTCGCCCAGTATGGGAAGAAGAGGATGATGAGAGCTGATGAGTAGGCCCGTTTATGTGGGCGATCTTGCTCGCGCTGTGGAAATTTGTTGTCGTGATGATGCTAAAGTGGTGGATATGGTGGGAGGAAGGATCATCGAAGCGGGTGGTCCGGACAGTATGTGATTTCCCGTTCCTCCTTCCGTTCAAAACACCAGTCTGTTATCATCGTGCAGGAAGACACATGAGACATTATGAAGTTTTGGCTGATGATGAGTTAGGAAGTGAGGTGAAATACATATGCAAATCGTGCTGACTCACAGTCCTGACATATCGAGAAATCATGAATCTCACTCTCCTCCATTCTCAACGTCGTCGTCCCATCATATCCTTACCATTCTGGGTCGGCACACTCCAAGCTTTTTTTCTGGAACGACTCCCACAATCACTCTTCACTCTCACTCGTGATCAAGTGAAACAATTACGAGTCGACAATATCGTCTCCCCTCATCCTCTCGTTAACTCAGTCAACTTCCAAGATCTCTTACGTGCTTTCCCAAGTAATTCACCAAGCTCAGTGGTCGAAACAGATTTGGTCAGCGTACACCAGATACTTCCTACTTATCTCACCCCACAAACCAAAGAAAACGGTAAACGTACGCATGGACGTCACACGAGTCTCGGGAGTCTAGAAGAATTCAAAAAGATGTCGGGTAAATGAAAGATGCATCACATTTCGTCGTGTACGAGTACTGTACGATTTGAGGGAGTGGAATGTTCATATTCAATAAGTTACCGGGAATTCAGCAAGATAGGCATGATGACATTGAGTCTTTGATTAGACTTTAGATAAAGATGATGAACAACGATATGGAGAGTTGACATAGGGTCAATGTTCACCTTCAGCTTCACGAAGTTGAGAGAGTTGACGTTGATATGCCTTGAGTCTGTCGGTGATACGATCTTCAAGAGTGAGTTCTGAAGCTTCGTGACTGATATCAGTATTGTTCTTTCACATTTTTTAGACTTACTGAACTCTGTCGCTTAGTTTTCTGATGATCAGCTCCATTCCCCGATTTAACCCAGTATGCACACTCGTCCTCGAAATGACGACGACGATAATTGGTGGATGAGGCGGGCAGAGAAGTAAAATGAACGGTGGAAGGGTATCATCGGAGATGTTAAAGGGGTTTACGAACATAGAAAAGGATGATATGTAGGGGAGAGAAGAGAAGAAGAAGAGAAAAGAAAAACTCACTTCATCTCTTCCACTACCCACTTTTCTCTTCTACTCACTTGTCTTTCCCTTTCTTCAACATCACGTTCTCTCTCCCTCTCTCTCCTTTTACGTTCTTCGATTTTCTCCCATTCGACGTGTCGTTGATCCATGTCTAATTCATCTTCCACCAATCCGGTTATGAGCAATGGTGCACCGTTTTGTTGATGGATATGATGTGCCGGGGCGAGATGGACAGGACATGCAGGACAGGGAGAAGCGCGTAGTTGGTCCAGTTCGGCTTGTAGACGATCACGGAGAAGTAGGGAATGAGTAAGGCTGGAGACTAAGGCCGCGTTGGCTATTCCTCAGCGAAGTTTTTCACTTTTTTCACTCTCTTGACTCTGGATCTTGAATTGAACACTTGCTTTTCTTTCTATAGCAATATCTGCCTTGAGAAAATCAAGCACCCGACAGTGATGATGACAAGGGACCCTTTTCGTCTTACCAAGCGAGGATTATACTATTGATACATGGATGAACGGTTGTCAGGAAGGAAAGGGCCAAAGAAAAGGAGAAAGATGATGGGAGGGGAACGAGTGGAATGTGGAAATGAATAGAAAAGAACATGCAGATGAAAACCACAATCACTCACAATCTTCACCTTCACCAGTCCTCAAAACCCATACCTCTCTATCCCTTCCATCACCTTTAGATCTCACCACACTAGCTCCTTTTCCTACATCTTCTATACTCCACCATCTCTCAGGTCCATCTAACCCCACACCAAGCACACCACCCAGTTCAGTGTTCCAGAACCTCATACCACCCACCCCACTACGCAGGAGGTCCAGTTGGGTTTTGTCCCCGAATGGACCCCAGTTATTGGGTACTGAAGGGTCAGGTGAAACGATGGTTGATAGTGGAGGTGGAAGAAAAGCAGATAGTTGAGTGAGAAGGTTGATACGTTCTGCTACGAGACGTTCTTGAGCCTTTATGTCAGCGTGGGGTAGATATCAACAGGGCAACTGATCACGTCTTGTTCGATATTTAGTGGGTGAAGTAACGTCTTGGGAATAATAATGTAGGTTGTACAACGTGGAGTCGTGGACAGCTCTCGTGAGGACAACATTGAAAGGTACTAGGATCTGGTGTGTGGATATGAGGAAAGCGTTGTGGCCTGATGGTGTAAAATTCAGGTGGAAAAATGGATTCCCACGACACGTCATTATTCGGGAGCAGGAAAGAAAGAGGCGTAATATTCTGCAATGTGAGATGAGTTCAAGGGGATAGACAGCGGGAACGGAAGGCAGGTAAGATAGAGAGAAGAACAGTTTTACTCACCCTCAACTCTTTATGCCTCCCTGTCAACGTAGGCAAATGTCCCTTCGGTACACCTAAAACCAAAGCCGCAAAACTGATAATAACCGCTAACCAGGTCAACGGATGAGGTCTACCGAAACCCATTTTCTCCCAATAACCTCTAGGTCTCCTCAAAGCCGAAGTGAGAGGAGCAGGAGTTCTTTCGTGTCTGGGAGGAGAGACAGATACAGGTCTAGTAGGTGAAGGTGGTGGTGGAAAAGGGTTGACGTAGATATTAGGAAGTTGGATAGGTATAGCCGCCCCTTCAGGTCCCCTATGAGGGAGGATTGTGACTGGAGTTTGGTCAAGATCGTGATTACCTCTTGCGGTACGAGGTGGAGAACCTGTCAATTTAGCACGATACAAATCGTCCATTCTTCAATGACCAAAAGGTAAGAGGAAGATGATATCCGTAAGGGTTTTTGAAGTGGTGTTGGATGGATGGGGCGTTTGTTCCCTAGGTGAACACGTTGAGAAGGTGAGGCGAGGGTTTTTGATTTCAACATGAGGCTTGGGTGAGTGGGTCCGTGATTCTTTGATTGCATGATCCGACAAATTTTTGACTGTTGGGAAGGCCCCCCAATTTGGGAATGTAAAGGGCGTTTTTGACCCTTGATGTAGGCAAGTACGTAGCGTAGGAAGATAAAGGACCTATGTAGGTATGACGTTGAGTGCTTCTTGCCATGCTTTTTCGTACTCGAAGTCATTCATGGATCCTGCTTGAGAGGGTCAATACGAGGTCAGAAGAAAGTTACAACATCTTGCATATCCCCTTGTCAATACTCCCTTTCTGATTACTCACTCTACATCAAGCAGTCACGGGAACCTTGGGATCAGGAGCCATCAATATCCTAGGAAAGTTGACTGTGAAAACTCCACCTAAACCCAACCTGTTCACGTCAGTCTCGAGAACTATCACTGGGAAAGGAGACACTCACGCAAGGATGAGATAAGATGACATGGCATCTTCTGCTTGACGGAAGTTTTCTTGTTGAACATAAGCCAATAAACCTAGGAAGAGTGATCCCCATGCGAATCTATAATGTCAGAATTGATCTTCTTCTTCCGCATCCGTTTCGACCTTCTCCCCTTTCCTGAAGTCTCTTCACTGTGATGTGATCTTTCTTCTCGACTACTCTTCCCCTTCTTCCTCCCTACAGGATAGACTGAATGTGACGACGTTGGTAGACTGGATGGGTACGTTGGCATGCTCGTCGAGGGTAGTGAAGTGGGCTAAAGGGAAAAGACGATGGAAAGATAAGCATGAACAATGATGGAAAAGAACCCACATGGGGCTTTTGATGAACATTCCAGCTCCAGCGCCCATCATAGCAGCTTGGGAATACCAATCTTTCTGTTCTTCCCATTCCGGTCCGAAAGGTAAGGAGAAAGCGTATAATCTGCATATATCAGCGCCATTCCTCGCTTGTCTTCCTCATCGAGTGTTCTCGCTGATCAGGGTGAAGGAAAAGGTGATTGGAAGTTTATAGAACGTACTTGTTGGGCGTCTTGGGATCGGATTTATCGTAGATTGGAGCTGTTACAGACATTTCGATTGGCTTTATTATACTGCGAGAAGATAGATGTGAGTAGCGAGAGTAGTATCGAGGTCTCTTAAAGAGCGGGTAAGAAGATTTCAGGGTAATTTCTTCGAACGAGTGGCGCACAATGTGGCACCTTCAGTAGAAAAAGCACGGAATGGGAACAGACAATCTATACATCTAACGAGTACGTAGGCTGCTGTCCAAGTACAAGTGCGAGTAAAATAGATGTACAATCTATGGATACTTACAAGAGCTTAGACATCCCCTTTGGAAGGTTCATGATCCACAGGCACAACTTCCTCGCCCTCTTCAGCCTTGACGACAAAGGTTTCTTCCCCAATCGCAGGCTGGGTTTCCGGTTCCACAGCCACTTTGAGCCCTTCGTCCAATTCCTTCTCCCCCACATTGATTCCCTCCTGAGGCAATGCTTCAACTTCTGGCAACGAGCCCTCACCCTTCTCATCCACTACCTCTGCTTCTTCAGGAGACCAATATGGTTCTGCACCACGCCATTGGCTCAACCAACCGGTCACCCTCCTCCAGGCCAACTCGAACACCCCTCTATCTTCCCCCAAATCCACCGATTTCGTCCTTGATTCTCCACCACCTTCTTCAAGGATATCAGCGATTGGGACGGAGGGAGATTCTTGGATCTCCTCCTTGATCTCTTGTACGTTGAGAGGTGCGGGCGGTTTTACGGAAAAGAGGGGAATGTCGCCCAAGAGTAAACGTTCAATATGTGGATCACTGAGGAAGGGGACGTTCGATTCGACAGGTTGTATAGCGTGACACTTGCAGGGCTGGTCAACATCGACAGGATTGACTTGTTCATCGACGACGGGAAAAGTAGGCGGAGCAGGTTCGGACATGATTCAGTTGAGGGTAATTGCGGATATGACTAGGCTTGGGGAGGATTCACACTCGAACGGGAGATTGGCGCATTATTTAACGGATCCTTGTTGTAATACAAATGGTGCTCGAACGTTCTCCTGATTTCTCCTTTTACTCTCGGAATGAAAGGACATTCCGATATGACGCTTTCGATTCAACTTGTTACATGTAGCTGGACGTCTGCCTGTAAAGGCCACCCCGCCTCATATGAAAGGAGTTACATAGGAACGATATTCTCCTCTAACCTCTTTTGATTGTCGAGGAGGATTCCTTCAAGGGGTAGGATAGGAATGGATGGATCGATCCATTTTGCCACTACGCTCGCTACGATCTTAGAGTGATCCTCTCCTGTTCACTGAGCTTACACTCTTCATGACGTTTTGAGTATTGACTTACTGAGGCAAAAAGCATGTGGGATACCCTGTAAAAGTGTCACCCTTCCCCCGTCCTCTCCCCTAAGAGCAGCTTGTACCAAGGCCCCATCCCTCCCGACCCAGCCATCCAGGTTTCCGGCAGACCACACACCGAACAAACCTTCCGGGAGTGGAATGGATGCCTGAGAGGCAAACCAGTCCACATCTAGGTCTCGAATCCCCAGCATTTCTGACCGGCCAAGCTGGAGGACGTGATGAATACTTCTTGGTGACCGAAGGAGCGACAGCGTGGTAGGCGGATGGTTCGTGAATGGAAGGATCGGTCGAAGTGCAAAGGAAAGATTAGCAAGCAAGGGTAGTATCGGCCGATGGAACATTGGCTACAACGTCAGATGATTACAATCAACTTGTAGTCAGAGGGGTGAACTGACCCAGAGTGTGCGACCATTATACGTCTCACTTAACCAACCCAAGGAGGGAAACAGCATGTATCCGGCATGTATAACTCTTTCCTCCTCGTTCAGCTGCTTCATAGCCTCACACAGCAACCAAGCTCCCAGAGAATGTCCCATCAGAGCTAGTTTGGATTTGGGTGATTGTTGATCTTCCGCCCAAGCGTCTAAACTTGATCTGAGGGCCTGTATGAGCTCGATCTTTGATTTCAGCTGGCCTTGAAGTTCCACTGGAATCTCAGGAGCAGGTATGTCGGGATCGTGTCCGATATGCGAAGTAGAGAGGATGGCATGAGTGGGCGGTAGCAGAGAGTATAGGTGTTGCAAGAAAGGAATGTAGTATCCCAATAGACCAGGATTACCTACAATCAGCGCTATGCCTCCATAATAAGTCACGGGGAGCTCACCAAGAATGAACAATGTCAATTGAGTCGGGGATTTCGAGACACCTTCCTTCGCAGGCCAGTAGACTACCGATACTTTGCCTGATGCTCCGGGAGCACAATGACTGAAAGTGGTTGTGACGGGCAATTTGTTGTTATCTTGGGGAGGCTGCCGGAGAAAATTGAGACGTCTGTCCATGTGAACGAGCTTGTGTAGATACAATATTAATTGATTGTAAACGTTGGTTGCCAAGGAAGATATGGAGTTTGGAGGTGAGGCCGAAATTGACGTGGAGCCCCGGGTCCAATCACCTAAAGACCACGTGGCAGTCCAAATGAAAAAGTCCCATCGACGCGTTTTTCTGATGTTTCCTCGAAGAGTACTTTGCGCACAATACGTTTTCACTTCCTGCACAATACTGCCACCAAGTCACGTGAGATTTCGGGCTTATCAGCCAGAAAAAATGCCACGTGTGTCAAAGCACGGACCACCCTTCCACCTCTCTGCACACATGTCAAAGTTATGAACCTGTCTTTTTTTTTCCTGTCCAATATTCATAATGCATTTCTTCTAAAAACAGCATAGATGTGTAGAGAAAATCTGTCTCTATCAGCACCAGAAGAGTTTACTTGAAAAAGCAAAGAACTCACCAAGATACATCATCTCCTCTTTAACCCCTCTGTCCGCCAGTGAAATCCTGTTCTCCTGGCCTATACTCGCGAGGGGGGAATTCCTGTCTCATACCACCGTGCCTGGTGTCTAGGACACTCCTTTCTGCGAAGTTTGAGCCATTTCCGAGCCCTTCTTGAACATACGGCGAAGGGTACACGGGTGGATAAAAGGTAGGTGGAAAATTCGAGTAATTCGACACAGGAGGGTACATAGGTGGCCTCTGGTACCAATTAGATGGCCCAGGGACCCCTGGGAGCAACTGGGGAGAAGGGTGGAAGGGATGATGATGATATTGAGGTATTATCTGCATAAATCAGCCGGGAACTTTCATGAATCAGCCAGCAGAAGTGGTAGGACAGATTTCAATGTTATGCGTACTGGTGGAAGTGTCCCCGTTATCTCAGAGGCTGTCCTCACCATCTCTGCAGGCCTCTGTGTCATCACAGAGCCTGCATTCATCGTCCTTTCCCTGGAATTTTGAACCTCTGCTTCGATCCTAGCTCGTAGTACTTGTTCCCTCGCCGCCACTGCTTTCTTAGCCCCACACATGTAGCTACTCGCATGTCGCTTGGTACACAGGTCACATTTAGGCTGCTGAGGACGTGCAGGAGCAGACTGCTCGGCCTGAGTGAGGATTCTACCTGTAGTAGCCCGTGGAGGGCCAATATTCGAAGTTTTTGAGATTCTAGATCGTTTCAGAGGGGGTGGAGCAGTCGAGGGTGGCTCAGGAGGTGTGAACATTGGTGTAGGACGAACTACAGTGATTCCTGAGGCTTGAGTAGCAGGCTGAGAAGGAGGAAACTGTGATGCAGAGGCCCGAATGGCCTGACGAGCCCGAAGGCCAAGGTTGATAGGTGGATCAAGGACAAAACGATCTGAAGATGAATTCCTGGCCTCGAATTCGTCTTCAAGTCGGTAGACACCAGTGGCCCGAAAAGCAGTTGGTTGACTTCGGTTATTGGTGTCTTCAAGAAGCTTTTCAAAGCCGTTGTGTGGTAGCAGTCTCCAGTGCTGATGTATCTTGTCTATCGTGAGGACACCGTCCTGCTTGATGATGTCGACGATCGTATGAGCACAGGGCAAACCCGTCGAAGCTAAAAATCGTCCTGAGCAGGTATGAGTCGCATTGGGTTGTCCAAGAAGCTTGCTAGCAAGTCGAATTTAATGCTCGATCTCGCTAGCAGCGAATCTTGAGATATCTCTTCGAATGATACTGAGTACTCTGTCCCCCAGAGCAGTTCGCAGTCGCTGCTGACCATCTTCCAGTGTAATCTGATCCCACTGTTTCTCCAGGAAACGATGTGTCTTCAAGATCGCATGCCAGAGAGTACCTGTATGAGTCTCTAGGTAGTCTTTTAAAGCCCGATGTTCACCCTCATTGCGAGAAGTCGTGTGCTGGTACAGATTACGATTTCTGTTGGTAAAAGCATGGGCCCATTTCTCCCTTGAATCAAGAAGTCGTTCTAGGTAGCGAACTGCCGTAGCGTGAGCAGGTTTCGAATATTGAAGACGTATCTTGTCCATCCCCTGCTGAAGCTTAAATTCGTCTTTCGCAGCTACCACTTCTTTCATCCACATATCACCAAACTGCGACCTTGCTTTTACAGGATCCTCTTCGTCTTTAAAGCATTTTGCTTTATCACAGGTGTTTTTGATGTTTTCTCGTAGATGCCATGTGCAGAATTGCTGTTTTACATTGGGGAGGTGAATTCGAAGGGCGTTTGCTAAGGCTACTTCTCTGTCGGTTATAACAACCTGAATTCGAAGAGGTAGTGGCCCCATGAGTTCCAGGAAACTTTTGATAGCGATGTCATACCAATCGGTTGTCTCTCGATCAATGAAAGCAATTGCTGCAGTAAAAGTGAGGTTGGTCGCTGTCATACCAGTAATATGAAGCAGTGGACGACGATAGCGGTTGGTTCGGTAGGTGCAGTCCATCATGAGAACAGTGGGGTATTGGTGTAGTAAAGCTCGAGCCTTTTCAGTCGTGTAAATCAAGCCCAAAGTTTCGTGGTGGCTATTAACTAAGCCTTTAAAAAGTCGTTTCTCCTTTTCTAGCAAGATAAAAAGGCTTTCCGTCACAGTTCGTCCCTCCTGACGGTTCTTTTCATACCTCCATTTGAAGTTATTTACATCTGCCGGGGTCAGGAGGGGTTTATCGGGGTGTTCTTTAAGCAGATCAATGATCTGGTGGGGTTTAAAGCCTTGATCGATGTATTCCTGCAGTAGTCTCTTGATTTCAGGGGTACGGGAACTTTTTCGAAGGTGTGACAGGAGTAAATTCTTGATTGGTGGGTGGTTATGATTATTACATATTGTGGTGAGAAGGACAGGACGAAATCCATCAGCCAGAGCGTCTTCCTGGCGAACTCTGGATAGCTTGAGCTTGTAGGGACAGTCTGTTCGCTGAGTATGAGGCTGACGCTGGCGAATTTGATCATATCGAGATGAACGACCCGAACGATATTCCCCGCTGCATACGCATTTTAAAACCATGTATTGAAGTTTTTGGTTGCTGGAGCTTGTGACCAATGCAAAATCCTTGTCTTTTGCAATATTAAAGAGTTTATCTCGAGCTGTATTAACATTTGGCTGCGGGGGAAGGCGTAGAGACTCGTGAACAAGGTTGGAAAGACGTTCATGTGGGCCAAATTCGTCCTCATCAAAGAGGGTCGATTCTTCATCGTCCTGGGAGAGATTTTCAGAGTCAAGTGGATCTGACTGAGCAGATAAAGGTACGGGAAGATCAGAGTAACTTGAATCTTCTCTGATCGATCTTAGAGGTGTAGAAGAGGAATCAGGAGAACGTGTTTGCTGAGTTTCGGGTATTAAGATGATGGATTCACTGCGCTCGAGTTTGAGGGGAGGGAGGGACGGTGGAAGGCTGAATTGGTGTTCCTCATCGCTGGAAGTATCGTCTATTTCGATAGGTTGAGAAGCAGACATCATTTAGGTTAGGATTTGGTGTTTAAAGACTGAAAATATGAGCTATGACCTTGGGGGGGGGGGACAGACGTACCGAGTGGCCAGTGAGCAACATGTAACTTCGTATAAGAGGTATCCTAATATGTTTTCTGATGTGAATTTGGGTGCTGGTTCAGATTCTGTTGTCGGTTTGGCTGTAAGTGATGTCCTGTGAGCTGCAGGTGATGATGATAAAGAGGTTTTACTTTGATGTTGAATGAAAAGATGTTAGATCGTGGTGGTTTACGCACACGTGGCATTTTTTCTGGCTGATAAGCCCGAAATCTCACGTGACTTGGTGGCAGTATTGTGCAGGAAGTGAAAACGTATTGTGCGCAAAGTACTCTTCTGTTTCCTCACCCTACCAGTCAGTAGTAGTCGCTGTGCTCATACAAGGGGTCTCTACCTGTCAGTAGGTACCAAGAACAACGTAGAAGCCACTTTATCACGACAGACACCTCGGAGAACCATGACTGTCCCTTCGCCTACCTCCCGCCCTCGAACTCCCGGATCCGAGCCGGACCTCTTCTTCCCTTCCTCCGACTCTGAAGATGACATCCAGTTCGACACGTCTGAACCTTCGTCCAGGCCTGTGACACACCCCACTAGCAGTTCAGTACCTCAACATCTCTCCTCGTTTCCCTCCAACCGATCTAATGGCAACCATCACCTCCCTTCGTCCCAAGACAGCGATATAGTCATCGTCGATGACCCCCCTCTGTTCCCCTCCTCCGCCGCCGGACCGTCATCGCTCAAACGATCTTCTCCCGCTCGCTCACCTTCATCTCGCATTCCTTCCCACTTTGTAAGAGGGTATCTAGGAGAGTTTGTCTGCGAAGGTTGGTCACTTTCCAAAGGCAAGGGTTACTGCTCGCCAGGATCTAAAGTCATCTTCGAACGTCCCAAGCCGATAAAAGTTGGAGAGGACGACAGCAGAGCTTTGGCGAACAATAAAGAGAAGGTGGGACCTGCCAGATTAGTGAATGGGAAGGTCGTACATGCCAAAATCAAACCGGCGGCGAGTAAACAGATAACTCTCGGTGCTATGATGAAGAAACCTTCCATGGGGACGAACAAGAAAGGCCCGACCAAACCTGTCGTCGATCAAATCATTCGGTTCAGAAACGAAAGAGGATTCGAAATCGGTAGACTTTCAGTCACGGAAGCAGGATTTTTGGTACATCTCTTGGACACTGGAGTCATCTCTTTAGTCGGCCATGTCATTGATTGCCCTCAGATCTTAGCCACAGGAAGTACTATCTTGCTCAATGTCAAGGTGTATCTCGATCGGGCGGCATTTGAGTCCGTTGAGAAGGAGGGCAGAAAGGAAGATGGTTCTGGGACGTTTTGGCAGGAACAGCAGGAGACTGTTGAAGAAGAGGCTATGCGGAAGCGTAAAGACGCGTTGGGATTGCTCTTCGGTTAGATTCATCTCTGACAGCAGGGTATGAGCTGATTGAGGCAGGTCGCATTGGGGTCAAACCACTTCAATCAAATGCACTTTTGCTCGCACAGAAAAAAAATGGATCGGCTGTGATCAACGAAGACTCGCTCAGACACTTCGATAAGAAGTCGGGAAATGACTCGTCCAGCCAGATCAAGAAACGCTCTCCTAGTCCTGTCAAGAGCGTCGGTTCTGGCAGTAAAGGCAAAACATCTGTGCGAAACAGTGACGATGAGGGCGAGGATAGTGGAGATGAAGCAGAGAAACTGAACGAGGAACAACTCAACGAGCTGGATGCCATATATGCCAAGTGAGCGTCCTCCTCACTTCGACATCAGACTTCCGTGGTCGCTGATATCTCAGGGCTCAGCAGGGTGACAAGAGACTCGAAGAGACAGACCCACCGGCGACATTTCTCTACACCTTGCGGCCTTATCAAAAACAAGCACTGACATGGATGAACGCTCGGGAAACAGGCGACACGAGCGTTCGAGATCAGAGTTTACATCCCTTGTGGGAGGAGTGAGTCTTTCTTTGTCCGTTATTGCACATCTGACCCTTAGATACGCCTTCCGCGTAGAGCGTCTCGAAGGAGCACCGATAGAGATCGAAGACGACGACGCCTGGATAGATCCCAGTCGAAAATTCTATTGGAATCCTTATAGCGGTGAACTAAGTTTGACTTTCCCAACATCCAATACTTCTTCCAAGGGTGGAATTTTGGCGGATGCCATGGGTCAGTCTTCCCGTCACGCTCGTGAATGATTCTGACATATAGGGATGGGAAAGACGTGCATGATGGCTTCTTTGATTCATCTGAACCGTGAAGGGGACCAACCTCCTGAACCCACAAATCCCGGCCCGGCCGAGGAAGAGCCAGCCTCAAAGCGACCAAAATTCACCCAGATCACCCTTTCAAACCAATGGCGTCCCATTCCGACAGTGACGAGGCCAATCCACGTCCCACGAGCTACTCTGGTCGTCTGTCCTGTTTCCCTAGCCTCTCAGTGGCACGAGGAACTCGGCAAAATGTCAGAAAAAGGCACGATATCTTCATTCATGTGGTACGGAAACGACCGCACAGACCTGGACCGATTGTTACTTCAAGAGGGAAAGAAGCGAGTTGATGTGATCGTCACATCCTATGGTACTCTAGCCAGTGAGTTTCAGAAATGGCGTAAAATCAAAGACAAACCGTCATATGAAGGTGGAAGTATATACGATCACGAATTCCTACGTATCGTCCTTGACGAGGCACACAACATCAAGAATCGAACTGCTTTGGTATCGAAAGCATGCTATGAGCTCAAAGGTCAGCGCAGATGGGCGTTGACAGGAACCCCTATAGTCAATCGACTTGACGATTTGTATTCCCTTCTTCACTTCCTCCGATTAGAGCCTTGGGGACATTACTCTTTCTTCCGCAGTTTCGTCACTGTACCATTCCTCAACCAAGATCCTAAAGCTCTCAATGTGGTCCAATACATATTGGAAAGCTGTCTTCTCAGACGGGAGAAAACTATGCGTGATAAAGATGGTCGATTAATCGTCGACCTTCCTCCCAAACATGTCGACTTACAAATTCTCGACTTTTCTCGACCCGAGAGGCAGATATATAAGCATCTTGAGGATCGAGCGAGAAGAAGGTTTATCCAGCTTGATGCGGAGGGCCGAGCCATGTCCAACTACACCTCGATTTTGGCAATGCTGATGAAGTCAGTGATGTTTCTCTTTCGAGACGCAAGGCTGATTCGGTAGATTGCGACAGTGCGTTGATCATCCACTGCTTGTCTTAGGCAAGAATTCAGATAACGAAGAAACGGGAGACAAACTTCTTGATGCCGACTCAGGCGATCCTGCGTCAAGCGTCAAGGAGCTGATTGCTATGTATGCCGGCGGGTTGAAGGGGAATGACAGCAACGACGCCAACTCAGAATACGCCTTACAGGTTCTGAAGGATATCGGTGAGGCTGAGGAAACGTCGGAGTGCATGATCTGTTCGAACGAGATTTTTGATGAGGTGCTTCTACCTTGTTATCATCGAGGGTCAGTGTTTTCGTCTCCTAGAAACTTGTCCTTCCACCTTCCCCCTTCGTCCACCGAACCCTCTTTGGGCGCTCTGGGTGCGTCCGGCGTCGGTTGTTCAGTTACCTTGACGACGAGACGTCCTTTGACGCTTCCCACCATCACAGTCGTTCAATCTGTCTCACAATCGAACTGCTTCAATCTTGACATGTGATTCTCTTCTCAGGAAATGTCGAATTGGCTCCCTCACCTCAGCGTTAGATAATTCACCTTGACCACAACTGCTGTACTTTGTAGACGGATGGAGCGGTTTGCTGAAGATCAGATGTCAGGATTGTGTCGTCAACTGGATCGGCAGTTGTGAAGATCAAGGCAAATCAGCGACTTGTCCAATGTGTGACAAAGGTCCTCTCGTCATGTCTGACCTCCGATCCGTACAACGTCGACGGAAACGAATCAATCCCATCACCGGGGCGTATGTAGGGGATGATGGTCTACCTGCTTCCCAAGGTGACACAGCTATAACACTTGGTAAAGTCGATTTGGTGTCAAGTACCAAACTTCGAGCTCTGGCTAGAAAGTTGGGTGAAATGCGAGTTGTCGATCAGGAGTTCAAAGCTTTAGTATTTTCTCAATTCACCTCCTTCCTAGGTGAGCCACATCTCTCCATGATACGAACATCGCTGATGTGAAGATCTTATCGAACCTACTCTGACGAGAGAGGGGATCAAATGGCTGTGAGTTAGCCACATTCCATAACCAGCATGAAAGCTGATCAACGAGACGATTCGATGGATCAATGTCTCAAGCTCAAAGAGCAACAACGATAGAAGAGTTTGGAAAGAAATCCAAAGAACCTGTCGTACTGCTCATCTCCCTTAAGGCTGGTGGTGTCGGACTTAATCTGACCATGGCTAATCGTATGTCTTGTTCGACATCATCGTGAAGAATGCTGACGGAACAGATGTGTTCATGATGGACACATGGTGGAATGAAGCCATAGAGCAACAAGCCATTGATCGTGTACATCGATTAGGACAAAACAAAGAAGTTTACGTGACGAGGTATATCATCAAGGGGACTGTAGGTGAGTGTTTGTCTCCAATAGTAATCACACTGCAAATCCTCTTTTGCCTTTCGATGTCTACGCTCGGTCGGAAGGAAGCGAGGGGGGGAGGGAGATGATCAAGTGACCATCATAGATGAACGCTGATTGAGGTAGAGAAACGTATCATGAAAATTCAAAGATCGAAGACCGCTTTGGTCAACGCTTCCCTCGCCGGCGGAGCTCAAAAGGATAAACAGACCAGTCTGGCGGATATCAAGAAAATCTTCGGTTTGGACGAAGACAATAGCGATGATGAGGTGTTCTAGCATCGTCTATCGTTCAGAAATACCGAGGGAAATGAAGGATCAACGAAGAAAGGAAAAGCCGACAACCATTGTCTTTCGAGTATATACACATCTTCGAATTCTACGCCGTGTGGGATGATGACGAGGGTGGCGATGTGATAAGCTTCCCACGAAACAATGGATCGACAAAGCTGTTCGGGACGACGAAGACGTTGAAGGCAAGCTGTGTTAGCAACTTGTCAAGGGATCTTGAAGGTAGTTTCCCACGACTCACAGCACTGCGCTTCGAATTTTAGGGTACACAGGGGTATGGATAGGTACATATATGTCACGAATACATATCCTCTTGTTTCACAGCACAATCCTACAATACAAACTTACCAGCTCGTACAATGAGCAGTTCCCCGACCTCCCCATCAGCCGACTCATTCGAAGAGCACAATAATGATGAAGTGGTCGTCGAGGGTGCTAGCACCCAAGGGCTTATTCGGATGGCTATGAACGCGTTTAAAGAGTCTTCAAGCACTCTCTACCAAGAACTTGACCCTACCTCATTCTCTCGGGACTCGGACAGACTACCATACAGATGGGAGATCACCTCCGGGGGCTTAGTCATCCCGTCTTGGACAATAATCACAGAAGAAGGCGGCGCTCGAATGACGCGCAACCCACGTGAGGATGAACTAACAACTAAGTACGCTATCAAAATACTTGGAGATAGCATTCGTCCTGCGTTTGGGGCTTTGTCGCCAGAGATGGCAGCAAACTGGGGGAATATCATGTCTGAGGTGTTGAACGAGTTGGCGGATACATATGCGAATCTGAGCCTTGAGAAATCATCAGGCAAAGAAGTGGACGAGGTCGATGCGGCTGGGGCACCCGCAGACGTGAATGTCACGTCAAGACAGCGTTTACCAGGCAGTGCGGAGAAAGATCCTTGGGAAAAGATGCGCGAGCAGTTCACGCAGGCCATGGATCGCTTCCAGGATAGAACTGGGCAATTACTTTTTGGCCAGCCTGGGCTGACGGTGCCAAGTAGGGGGTTACTGTCACTAGCCAACAGTAGTACTGGCGGACCAAAGCTTCCACTGAATGTTCCAACGGCTTGAGTGATCAGGCAACCCCCGTGACAAGAAACAGAAACATTGGAATCACACGAGAGACGGTCATTTTCATCCACCCAGCCGTCGGGCGTCATGTGTTGAAGTTTAGATACATTCTATACATGCTGATCTTCTCCCCCTGAGTCAAATGACTATGCAAAAACATCTTTCCGCAATTGTCAAAAGACCAAGTAGCAGTAAAACAATTGAAGACATCTTTATCCTTTCCTTCTTTCTTCTTTCTTTCTCCTTCATTCAAAGTATTCCGGATGATCACTGATCGCCCAGGATACTCATTCCTGTTGGGAAATTATCGTACACCGTACACTCCTCCAAGGTTTATTATACCCACAAAACGGAAATTTGAACATGATGAGTCGAGATTGTTGTTGTTAATTCTAGATCGATATCATAATAGTGGATGTTGATGAAAGATCAACAATCGTGAGCGGCGATTTGAGCTTGCCAGCGTAACATGGTTTCTGCGTCTTCGACTTTGAGGAAATGTTGGCCTGTAAAATCAGCATGAGTCTGGTCCTTCTAGATGCAATACGGTTACAGACGGAAAACACACGACGAAGCATGAAAGAAGTTGAGGTGGAAAGAAGCTGAAACGCAGGAGGGAGGATTGCGTTACTTACCACCTTTCACAGTAGCTTTTGCTCTCATCTGGTCGCATAAATCATCAATGACGATATCGGTCGGGGTCACCTGAACCATCTTCAGCATCTTGTCAATTTACAAACTAAACTTGTAGCTTACGTTATGTAACCCAGCACGAACCCATAATTCTGATGGCTTGACATCCCGTCCATCTTCCCCTATAACACGTACAATCTTGTTTTTGATCAACGGTTCCACCATTTCTGCTGGTACAGGTGACGACTCCGGGGTAGTGGCAGATGATTTGGAATCGTCTGGTCCTGATATAGAGCCTGAAGTTGGCGAATCAGCGGAGGAAGAACCTGTCTCGAGTGGTGAAGGTGACATGTTGAGATAATTGGTGGGACTGAAGGCGATCGGAGCGGAAAAGTTCCATTCGCCATTACCTTGACCTGATGCGATACCTGGAGTGATTCCTGAGCCGGGTTGAAGCACTTGACGAAGTTGAGCGTTGAAAAAGTCATCATCGGCCATCGAGTTGTCCGCCTCGGGAGGTCCACCAGATAGAGATTCGAGGAAGTTCGACATATTTTCTTGGTTGAGTGCACCCCAATTGACTTGTCCTTCTTGACGTGTGGATGTATCACGATAAGCCATACTTTTGGCGGGTTGTTGAACGGGTGACGGCGCGGAGTCGGTATTACTTTGGGCACCAGGAACGTTGATGTTGGCGACGGCTGGAGTGGTCGCGGCAAGAGCGTTGGAAGCTTGGACTTGAGCCATAAATTGTGAGAATGGACTGGGAGCATTCAAAGGCGATTGCTGCTGTTGAAGATGTTGCAATTGCTGTTGAAGTATCTGTTGACGAGTTTGTTGCTGCTGTTGTGCTGCGTTATTGGCGTCGACATTATTAACACCTTGATTGTTAACTCCCGGAAAGTTTGCAAGACCGTTGGGGTAAAAGCTTGCCCACAAAGCATCAATTTCGCTTCTATTGTCGGCGCCTGATGACGGGGGTGTCTGTCTGTCCGAAGGTGAAGAGTCCGTGCCGTCGGGCTTGATGGCGAAAGGATGCATGCGAGGAAGACCAAGGCTGACATTGGTGAAAAAGTTTGCTTCGGTTGGTCGTTGACTGTCAACGTGTCGAGCGCTGTTGATGGAGACCAACGATTCTGGTGAATTGGCAGTCGAAGGCTCGGAGGAGCGATGCGAGCTTGGTACATCGCTGAGTGAGACAAGTTGGTCATCCTGACTATTGACACTGACATCTCGGTGCGGAACGGAAGGTTTGTTCGCTGTGACAGGTGCAGATGCGGGTGATCGGTTGAATTGCATGCCTGCTGGCGTGGGTGCGCCGCCGGATGGCGGGGTGATACCTGAACCTGCTAGAGGCATGGAGAATGTGAAAGCAGATTGTTTAAGAGCGACGTTTTCTTCCTGCAAGCGTTTGAGTATAGCGCGAAGGTTCTCATTCTCAACTGTATATCCATATGTCGTTTCTTCCAGCTTCTTAACCTTATCCTCGAGCTAGGCGTATCAGCGATGTATCAATCGTATTGTGCATTACGACTCACGTCTTTGACCTTTGCCTCTCGACGCTCACGGAAGGCTTTCTGAGCAGCCCTGTTTTGTTCCTTCCTTCTAGCGGCCTTGCCCATTTCCTTTTCCTTGGGACCTTTCCCATCCCCATCTTCCCCTCCACCAGACTTACGTCCCTTCCTACCCTGTGCAGATCCGTTTTGATGATGTCTTTTATCCTCATGTGGGACACCCGCATCACTTTCGAATTCATCTTCTTCATCTTCCAGACCATCCAAACTCATATGACCTTTGGCGACTTTACGTTTATGTTGTCCAGCGTCATTACTCCGTTGACCACCCCCGGCTGCCTGTTCGTCCGAATCGGAGACGCTATATGAACGGAACTGAGGTCCAAGTTCAGGAGACGCAGATGGGTTGTTCGACCTTGGTGGTGTGCCTTCCGGAGTGTCACGACCGGGTAAAGGCATAGGGAAGAAGGCCGATGGAGGAAGAGAAGTAAGTGGGTTATTATTCATCTGCGGCTTCGGATCGGGCTGTTGAACAGGTGCAGGTGCAGAAGCCGCCGCGAGGTAAGAAAGAAAGGCAGATGTGTTGGGAGTCAAAGGTGCTTCCATGATGTCTTGTGATCGTACGGTCCGATTTGCGAAAAAGAGATCAAACAGTGGTTATTTTTGATGATAAATCCAATGGAAAGAGTAGAAATAAGAGAAAAGAAGATACAAATAAGGATATTGGTCGGAAGAGAGACTGTCAGGGTGACCGAGGTATGATGTAACTTCTGTCTTGGGATTGCTGTGAGAAGGAAGATGAGGTAGACCGAGAAATCAAAGGAGATGGAAGAGGGAAGACGAGAGAGGGAATCGATGGAGTTGTCGTTCGGTCACTCGGTTTTCCGTCGGTCGATGCTTTCAGTAGTCGTCACGCTATCTCACCCGATGGGTCGGGTAGTTACGTTACGACTTGACCTGTCGACGAAATCGAAGGTTAGATGGTGAGAATAAAATGGGTTTGTAGAGATGAAAGGTGATGAGGTGAAAGCGAGGTAGGGCCTGTAGATTTCGCTAGCACATGTGCGACATACATGCCACGACGGCGAATGCTCTCCGTTTCGTCCGTCTCGTCCGTCACCTCGATCTGTGTACTCTACTCTAGCCCTCAGATCCGTTCAAGTTGCTAAATATGATCCAGAGCATGCTTCGCCTCTGCTCTCACCCCTTGTCACTGCTCTCTCGCTTTTACCGCCTGGCAAACCCGCAATTGTCTCGGTCCACCGTCTCCCTCTGGTGAAATGCTTCATGCATCAGACGCCACAATTGCCCCTTACGACGAGGGATAAAACGTCCGAGTTTACGCGGAGCCGATCAGTTGTGACGTGGCATTGACCGACCTGAAGTTCTGATACTTTCACGGCGACCGCCGCTTCTTCTCACCTCGGCCTTCCGCCACGTTCGCCGTCCCGTTCCAGAGACTTCAGCTTGAACCGTCCAAGTTTCGACTCAATCTCCCCCTCCTCCACCTCTTCATCTCCCCACGATGTCGTAAGTGCTTTCATCAGAGTATGTAATTATTGCTGACTTGTCAGAACGTAGGTTCCGCTTCATTTGGACCGCATTATTGGACACGTGTGCCGAGAATGCGGGAGCTCAGGCAGAAGTTGACTGATTAGGTCTTTTTTACAATGGGCAAAATCACCCGCTGCTAGACAATATTTCTTCAGTGAGTCTCTTCGTCCAGTCGATAGCCACATACTGACATCCAGGTACACACTTTTGGGGACCTGTGAGCTTATTTTTTTCGCATTCTTCACATTTGCCGCCTGGTTTCCGAAGACAAGCCGTGATGAGCTTGAAATGTGATGGAATGATATGATGATGGGATATTGATGGACAGTTAGCAAATTGGGGTCTTCCTCTAGCTGCTCTGGCTGATATCGTCAATAAAGATGAAGAGTTCATTTCGGGTGTCATGAGTCCAACTCTTGCCGGGTATTCGTGAGCATCACTTCGATTGTTCTTCCATCATCGTAAAGTACCCCTCACTGTCCTCACGGAAGACGGAACCCTCCCAACGTCACGGGGAATGCCACGGCGTATGAGACGGTGAGAGGGATGTGAACGATGCGATTGCAGTGCTGAAGGGTAAATGAGTGACTCGGAGAATTAGAGGCTGGTAAAGAGGGGAGAGTGAATGCAGTGAATCCAAAGACGAAGGATCAATAATAGACAATCAATTAGGAAGAGAGATCATAGGAAAAGTCGCTGACGACAAGTATGATCTTCATGCGTTTCGCTTGGCGTGTTCAACCTCGTAACTACCTCCTCTTCGCTTGTCACGCTACCAATGCCACCGCTCAAACTGTTCAAATGGGTAGATGGGCAAAGTATTGGTATGGTGGTGGAAGAGAAGCTCGTATGTCTGTGCTGGATAAGGCAGAGGAGAAAGTGGAGCAAGGAGTTGGAAAAGTCACAGAGGCTGTGAAGGCTTAGAGTTATTTGGGATATGCATCGTGATTCTATCTTTCTACAACAAATTGAGCTTCATACAGTATAAGCTGGAAGAATTGGATGATGACGCGACTCTTGAGAGAACGAGAGGGTAGATAGATTATTTGAGAGACGTTTGTGCTCCTCGGAGACTGAGATATGCTTGATCACCTCCCGGTCCCTGCCAGTCAGATATTTCTGCATGTTCAGTCGACCCATAATCGGCATCCGAGTTCATTCGTGCGAGTTGACTGAGAAGGACTTTCACTGGATGATGCGGATGAGAAAACGGAATGAGGAGAAAAACAACATACCAAACCACGAACAACATGCCAAATCTCTAATCCTTTATATCGTAATTTGGTACGTGGATCTGTATAACCGGCATGAAGACCTGTGATATCGCAGTATTTCTTTGGTGGGAAAAGGGATGGTGGAGCGGTAGGAGTATGATCTAACTCATTAATTTTTCTCCTTCCTCATCCCTTCCAATCCGTAACGTCACACGGTGGAGCGAGAAATCATCACGAAACCCATAGACAACACCTACCCTCCTCTCCTCCTTACCTTCTTTTGTACCCACTCAGTAGAACCACAATCACAATCTGATTGCGCGATTGACGATTGATCAAGGACAGAGAAGAAAAATGACTTACAAGTAAAAACCTCTTTCACCTCACTTTTAATCTCATCCCCCTTGATCCCATTCCTTTCCGATTCCTCCTTCCCATCACCTCCCTCAATACCCTCCATCGCGTCATCCTCTTCTTCTTCCTCTTCAATCGGACTGGTCCTCGCACTCTCTTCCACTTCTTTCACCCCAGGACCAGGTTTATTCCCCCTTCTCAAATTAGCTATATTTCCTCTTTTCCCAGTACTCTCTTTTTTCTTCTTCTTTGCGACTTCCAATGTTTCACCTCTACTTCTAGCTAATGTCTGAGCGGCGGATAAAAACCCATCTCCACCAGAATAACGTTCACGTTCCAACGTCAGGATTTGTTTGACGTTCTTTTTCACTGAGAGGGTGGTGGAGGCTGTACGGTAAGGGAGATGGGAATGAAAATGAGGGTTTTTGAATGGTTTAGGGATATCGGCGTAGGATAGACGGTCGACTAAGGGCTGAAGATGATCAGTCAGATATTTACTTTTGGGCTACTACGATGCCTTCATGACTAGGTGCGAGAACTGAGGAAGGAGATAAGTGGGGCAATGATGGTGGTATATGATCATGAGTAGAACATCTAATGGTGTGGTCATACGTGAGATGTTACCAAGTGATGAGATGAGGATGTAGGAGGGAGGTAAGATGGGTAAGGAAGACGTACAGGTTGATCAGCTTCTGAAAGAGCAGGCGTTGCAGTGTTAGATTTCCGAGGAACTTTGAGGATGGCTTTGGGCCTGGTCGTCAGTCTCCCTCACGCACGCATACTGATATGTTCAGACAGGATGGTGTCACTTACATTGTGATGGTGAGGATGAGAGTAGTAGTGAAACAAAGACGTGTTAAGACGACTTTCTTCATTCGTGACCTTTTTCTTTGTCACGTGCCGATTGTTGATATGTTGCAAGATGCAATATGTATTCCTTGCTATAAGACTGGATGATCCCTGTGCGATAGCGTGATAGCGGTGCGATGGCGCGATGGACCATATGAGTATTTACTGGTACAACTACATCGGTTGTCCTTGTATTGCACGCATTCAATATCCATTGGGCGACTATGGGGGAGCTCAAGCGACGGATCTTTTCCAGAGCTTCTCGACATCTTGGAACAATCTTCTGAATCGCAGAACCGGACGAGTATCTCCAGCGTCGAACAGCACGCCGGATTATCTCTCAAACTCATGCATACACCTACACATTCTCATTATTCATAGATGCACAGCAAAGATTACTTAGAACCTGTGACGGCTTCGACGGCTTGTCTGGCCAGCGCGGTAGCTTGGTCGATAAGGGATGCTGAACGTCAACTCGAATTCATTAGCGGTCACGCTCTTCCCGAGGGCAACTTCATAACCCGACGTGGATGTCGATAGAGTTGGTGGCCACATAAATATCGATAAGGGATCACCAAGAGTTAGTGGGGAGGGACAGGATGGAAAGGGGGGCGGGGGGGGACGATAGGGTAGCAGAGGAGGGAAGAGAGGAAGGACACCACTCACGATCAGGAGCAATTTTATCCTCTCCCAAAGGCGCCAATTCAGTCCCCTCAATAACCCCAGGAGCACCTTCCACTACGTCTCTCTTTGGATCTTCACTAGATGGGGCATGACCAGATAAGGTACCTTCGTCGGCATATTTATCTGATTCTTTCGGGACGGAGCTGGACGAGGGCTGGGCGTTAGAATCCATTTGATCATTCTTCCCTTCCTTCAACCACCACCCTAGTCTATCTTTGCGCGGCTATAACGCCTTCTCACTAAGCTTAGATGAATTACGAGCTTTGAGGCCATACTAGATTAAAGGAGCCATCAGTGTGCGGGGAGGACTACCGAGTGTCCAACAACGATGACGAGAAGATGGCGGACCGGGAGGTGGATGAAAGTCACTATAGAATACAATAGAAAGGGGTAGTGAGAAGCATTAGAAAGTAAAGAGGATTCGCCCACACAGTAAAGGACACGCTCACATTTTGGACCCCGGCATAAGCTCCTTGCACGCCAGTAGGGTGCACAGAGGTGCTGTCTATCAGCGAGAGTCTCCGAGTTGAGGGTTTCTAGACGTACTCGTTCAAGTTTGACATATTGTTGTGTATCACTTTTAGTCGTGAAAGGTTAATATTTCAATGTACGTCGAATATTTCAATGTACGTCGAGTGTTCTCTCGAAGGTCATACTGCATCAAATCCCCTCAGCATCTTATGCCTCTGCGCCCAATCCCGCTCCACCCAGGCCACCCAAGAGTGAGTAGGAACAGGTCGATGCTCGATGAGGTCATTTCGCCTTTGGACCATCAGATTTACATGTGGCATATAATTTAGCCACTTTGACGGACCCTTTGGTATCACCCCGTTCTCCGGAAACAGAGGATCTCGTCCCATGTTCTCTTGACCATCCCCAACTGACATTCCTCCCCACTCTTCTTCAACTGTGCACTGACCATCACCATCACCATTATATATAATACATCCCATTTCTGTCTGAGGGTCCGACTGGAGAAAAACCGCATCTTCCATACCAAAACCTGAAACAATGTCTGCGACTATGGTCCAAACAGCTATCACTCTAAAGCCTTTCGAAGCCGATGTAAATCTTGACACTTACGATGAGGAGCAAGTGAGGTTGATGGAAGAACGATGTATTCTTGTAGATCCTCAAGATAAGGCTTATGGAGAAGGGACGAAGAAAGCATGTGAGTGTTCATTGCTCATTTCTCTTCTCATAACTCAAATACATTTCGTATTTTCCACCTATCTCCCTTTGTTCGCCAGTAACATACGCTTGTGTGGACTGTAGCTGATCGCCAGGTCACCTCATGTCCAATATCTCATCCGGTCTTCTCCATAGAGCATTTTCCGTCTTTCTCTTCCGTCCTTCCGATGGTCGATTGCTGCTCCAGCGTCGAGCAGCGGAAAAGATTACTTTTCCCGATATGTGGACGAACACTTGTTGCTCTCATCCTCTCAGTATACGTGCGGAGCTTGTAGAGGAGAATCAGGCAGGTAAGCTGTAGCAGTATAGCTATCATGGTTTAGAGCTCACGAGAAGGTGTACGTGCTGCAGCTATCAGAAAATTGCCACATGAATTGGGTATCCCTCCAGAGCAGCTTCATCCGGACGACTTCACATTCTTAACTCGGATTCACTATTTGGCACCTAGCGATGGACTCTGGGGGGAGCATGAAAGTGGGTCATTCTATCTTGATCCGAACTTGAAAGACATATACAGATACCGTGCTCGAGGGATTAGAGCTGATCAGCTAGTCGACTATATTCTATTCTCCGCTTTGGACGTCACTCTTGATTTGAACTATAATGAAGTGTCCGATGCGACCTATGTATCTCGAGAGGAACTCGAGGCAATGTTCGCAGATCCTAGTGAGTAGTGTCACATCGCACCTACTTCCTTCTGCAAATCATGCTTCCGTGATAGTACCGCAAGACCTGCTTCTGCACGGGATTTGACGAGTGAGGGTACTACAGGCGAATACAACATGCCTGGATGCTGACTATCAGAAAATTCTTTCACACCTTGGTTCCGGCTCATCGCCCGAGACCTCCTGTTCCCATGGTGGGACGATATGCTCGCCAAATCTCGATTGCAAGGATGGGATCCTGAGAAAGGACTGGGTAAGGTGAACCCACGAGTGTTGGCTGGTGGGGCTAAAGAAAAGGAGATTGTGAAGATGATTTAGGTGAGCAATTGATACGATGGTTTGGAGGGAATATTGCATAAGGGACTTGTATATAGCATTAACTACATGATTTTTATTGGGCTCTGTGCATGCATTTTTCTCATCAGCTCTGCAGTAGAGCTTTAGTCCATGATCCATGAGCCATCAGTCGGGTCATTGATCATTGAGGCCATTGACCATGGACCATGGAGAGAAAGGAGGGTGAGGTAACCCGGGTCTAGTGGCGCGTCATACAACCGGGTCTAAGAAGCACATCGTCACTCCCCATCTCCCTCTCTCTCTCTCCCACACCATCTCTCTCCTCTGTCTATGCCTATTTACTCATCCTATCACCTATCTTGACTCTTCATATCTAAGCATATTCATACTCATATCTACTCATATTCGATGCGATTATCTCTTTTTCTAGCAGCCGGGGCTCTATTACCTCAGGCATGGTCCTGGGGAGCCATAGGTGAGTTTTCCATCTCCTCCCTTGTCCTTCATCTATCATGACCTCTTTCTATGACTTTCGATGGAGCAATCAAGTGTTTTCTGATAGCTTAGGTCATGAGATAGTAGCTACCATAGCTCAAATACATCTCCATCCATCTACTCGTAAGAAATTATGTGGTATACTACCTCCAGAGGCAAAATGTCATTTGGCTCCTGTGGCGGCGTGGGCGGATCAAGTGAGGATGAAGTATAGAGGAACGGCAGGGATGCATTATATTAATGGTGTGTTTTTTCTGCTCAACTATTCCGAATCACTTATCTCTACTTCCCCATCCTCCAGAACTTGATCATGTTTCCCCGGTCACAATCAGCTTTCAAGAAGACCGACTCGCTTTAAACCCCGACATTTACCTCAGCGAATGGCTCTGTAAACATTTACGGATGATAATCCTGGGACAGCTGAGGGATAATCTATGTCCTGGTTGTTAATAGGACATAGTTTTAGGAGAACTTGGGAACGGAGCAGAGGAGAAATCACTGATACTTCTAGGTAAAGACGACCATCCGAGTGATACGTGTTACTTTGGTCAACATGGTTGGATGAACGAAGACATTAACGTCTTGACAGCCGTGGCTAATATGACACAGCTCATCATGGACGGTAAAGGGTGAGTCATTGAATAACAGCTTGACATCAGCATTCTCTCATTTCCTGCACCTCATCATGTGCCCTCAACTCTCAACCATGCCTCTGTCGTACATCGGCCAGTATAAACTGTCTGTCATCGCTTACACCGGACCTCATACGGTGCTTAGTCTCTCTGTGATCTCGATAGACCCGATGAGTAGACTTGAGATTTAGTGTTAATCCCCAGAGACATCCCACTTCGATTCCTTATCCACTTCATTGGTGATATGCACCAACCTTTGCATCTCACCGGTCGGGACAAGGGCGGTAACGGAGGTGAGCTGCCGAGCCTTGGGAGAGAGAAGGAGCTGACTTGTAGCTTTGTTCAGGTGGGAAGGACATATGCGAAAGTGAGTATACTATTTGGTACTTGAAGTTCTGGCTGATTGTACAGCTTGCATAGTGTGTGGGATGGTGGTTTGATCACTAAGAAAATTAGGGAGTTGGGTAATTACACTTCGCCTTTGCCATCGTAAGTTTCACGCTTCATCTCCTTGACTGTCCGTCGCAACCCACTCTCACACATATCATCTTCCCTCCTGATCAATTCTATGCCCTCTCTTTCCATGAATTCTTTCGTCTTCGTTCCTTCCCTATATTTCATACCATAGAGCCGTCCGGGAAAAACACAAGCGATATATTGACAAATCAGAAGACAAATCGAATCTTCTCTCCTAGGTACAATATTTGACCCTTACGTCCGATTCATAGTTTGGGAAGGTATACGTCAATGGTATCTCCCATCTCTTCCAACATGGTTATCATGTCCTTCCACCGGTGATCCTTATCCACATTCTTCAATTTCACCTATCCCACCATCAACATCTTTCCTCCCTTCATCAGAAACATTAGCATCGTCGATCCGTTCAGCCGCATCATTCATCGTCGGTTATCTACCAGGTTCAATGTCACTTTTAATGGAAGAACTTTCAGGTTACGCTTTACCATTAAAAGAAACTGAAAATCTTCAAAACGCTTTATTAAACTTACATCCTTTGAAATTGAACCAAACGGCTTGGGCGAGAGGTATGGAAAAAGGTGAAATGGTATTTCCCGTTTGTCCTTTTCATTGGGCACAACCACTCCATTCTATCAATTGTGATTTAGCTTGGCCGAAAGAATATACTGGGAATCATAGTGATCCTTTGATTGAATTGGACAGTGATGATTATTACGGAAAGATAGTTAGGGAAAAGACTTTGGAGAGATTGTTAGCTATGGCAGGGTTGAGATTAGCAAAGGTTTTAAATGAAGTTTATGGTGATGAGAGTGAAATTTTGTATTTGAGTTATTTGTAAGCTTAGTGGTATTAACTTTAACTTTCTAGATATCCATCATGTATGTATGTTGATATGGCGATAAAAGTGTTGAGTCGTTATTAACATTCAAGATGGTCATGGGAACAACACGAGTAGAGCACTCTTACTCTCTCTCTAAATGAATAGTACTCATACTCGTACAGTAGAGTACACAAAATCATTAATCTGCCAGTCATCCGTCCTGCAAATCACTCGGTATGTTCGTTGCACAACTAATCGACTAGTAGCTAGTAGCTACGAACGGTGTATCGTTTTCAGAGACTGATGTCCACACTTTCCTTTTCAACATGAAAAATGAAGGTTGAAAACACTGCAGGAATTAGAAAAGAAAGATAGCGAGCTCAGATATTTGGGTCATAACCTCATCATGCATGTCCCAGCATACAGCAACATTTGCACAACAATCCCATCGAAAGAATAAAAAGCCCAATCATACCAAGCGACTCGTCCAGCGTCCACTGGCGTTTTCTCCATCCAAACCTTCGTCGTCATCGTTCAATCCAACTTTATCACTCAAACCCAGAAGACATGAAACTTATGATACGGTCTAGATCTGATTAGAAGCACTGTGGGTCAGCTTGATACATCACTTGTTGCAAATGAGTAGACACAATCCAACTCGACGTCATGTACAAGATATCTTGGACTCGACTTTGACGGACTTGATGAGATTAAACTATCCAGCAAGAAACTGATACACTATGCGAGGATGATTCAAGGTAGAATTATGAAGAAAGGATTGCTTGCATGGTTTTGGAATGAGAAGTCACTGGAAGATTGGAATGATTGGAGCTGGGGCGCAGCAGGTCAAGCAGGAGGGGTGGAAAAGACTCGCGGAACCAACTCACCTTGAGCATCCTCTTGTTCACCTTCGCATCCGAAGCCTTGTCCAAAGCCGCTTTCAAGTGCATAATCTGAGCATTGGCAGCCGTCAAACTATCCCTTCCCCTAGCACTCTCATCAGAGAGGTTTTGCATCTTATCTCTCCGTTCCTCCAACTCTTGCATATGAACCACACAAGCGTCAGAAGTGCGTTTATTCTCTTGACGCGCTTCTTCAAGATGAGCTCGGAGTCTAGAATCTAAATCGTCAGCGTATTCCCAGATTATCACCACAGATATTCGTCGGCCATGAAAGATCCTCATAGGAGAGGTTCAAGAAATTGTAGGAGAGTCACGCTCACTCGTCTTACGTGTATCGGCCAATTCTCTAGTAAGACTAACAGTTTTCTGTTCTTCTTCTTTCAATCGGGATTCCTGACATATCAACTTTGTCTTCAAAGAATTGATCAGTTGACTCACAGCAAGATGTAACTTCTTCTCTTCCTCTTCCAACCTCTTTGTCAAGTTCTCTTTCTCCTGCAGTATGACATCTCTCTCCTCTACGACTTTTTGGATAGCTTGTCCATTCGCACTCCCATTCACCCCTTCTGCAGAATCATGACTGCCCTCTGACAACCTACCCGTGGATATCACAGGTGAACCGAAAACGATCGGAGCTTTCGGGGACGAACCACTCGACGATGCTGGTGAGAATGGAAGTGGTGGAAGTGGGACGCTTGGGGGAGGTCCAGAAGGAGGTAAAGCAGAAGCTTTACGACTGAGACGATGTTCTGAATCCACTTTCTTCTGTAATTCCGCGTTCACCACTTGAAGATCCGAGATAGTCTTTTCGTACTGACCACGTAACTTGCTCAATTCAGTTATCTGTCGAAGATCGTTATTACGTTGAACTTGATGTTCATCCCGAACTCGCGATAACTCAAACATTGTTTGATCAGCTTTCATCTTGAGCTGACGTCTTTGATCCTCAGAGGTATTCAACATCTGTTCCATATCCGCCACCATGGCATCACTTTCCGCTTGTAAGACAGCAAGTTTCTCTTCATGTTCTTTTTGTAGATCGGTCATGGCAGTCTCATGCGACGACCGAAGATCCGCAAGCTCTCGATGATGAGATGCTTCCAAGTCAGCGATACTCTTCTCATGTGCTGTGCGGAGCTCGTCAATGGTGGCATTGTGAGTTTGGCGAAGATGGGCGAGGGCGCCTTCATGCGTCTTCTGAAGATCGACAAGCGTTGCTTCGTGCTTTCCGGAATGTTCGACGAGCAGCTTCGCTCGCACTTCCTCGGCAGCCTGTGTAGTCTGCGCCTCAATTTCCACAAGATCCTTGGCATGCTCAGCTTTCAAACGTTCCAGCTCGGTGGCATGTTTAGCTTGCATTTGTTGATAACTTGTCGAAAAGTTCACTCGCACCTTCTCCATATCCGCCTCATGTTCCGCCTTTTGTCGATCGGTCGTCTCCGTCAACCGCTCCATGGCAGCTTTGTGAGTTTCAATCTCAGAGACGAGTTGGCTCAGAGCCTGAGTGCGTTCTTCGAGAAGCGCAGATTTCTCGCGTTTCATCTCTTCCAGCTCTTCGGCCAGTTCAGGGTGACTGGCTCCAAGTTCTTGACGAAGTTTGTTGTTCGCCTTCTGTAGATCGGCTATCTGAATGAACTGCTGCTCGATGACTTCACGATGAGAAGCTTCTTTAACGGCCATCATCTCTTGCAGTTCCGCCACTCGCTCGGCATCGTTGACCTTGATCCTTTTGTCTGAGGTGGATGATGATAAAGCCGGACTAGACTGTTCGATGACAGGTGAGCTGAGAATAGTTTCTTGCACATCTGCGGCGGTAATCTTGACGATAGGGGTTGGAGGACTAGCGGGGAGAGGGAATTCTTTAGGCTGAGGGGAAATTTTGGCGGGGGTTTGAGGGGCAAGAGCGATCTCAAGAGTGTTCGTATTGGCATTTTCGTTAGGGGAGGGGAATTCACGCGTCTCACGGAGACGAGCTTCGAGTTCTCTGATATAATTCTCACGTTCTCGTAATTCATCATCACGTTCTTGAACCACCTGAACATCAGTCACCGATCACCCAAGAGACAAGTCACTGACTTTATGGACAAATTTCAATTCGGCCTCTACGGACTGATAAGACCGCAGAGATTTGTCAGGTGATGAACCATTCGCTCCAAGTCGGGTGGGTGATGCACCGAGTAGCATCGAGCTAGACCCGGACCATGAAGAACGTGGCGAGATATGCGACAGAGACGCAGAGGACAGCTCCTGCGACAGCGATTGTGGCCGTCGACTTCTTTCTCCGTATCCCCTCCCCCCTCGAAAATCCTTTACTTTCGCTCCTGTTAAGATCGGCATCGATCCTCTTCTCGAACCTTTCACCCCTTTTGTAGGAGACGGCACTGGACTCAGACCCTGTGGTGTCTGCAACATCGATTCATCCTCTGTTGTCATGTCATCCTCTCGGGGTGAAGCGAGAGACGGAGTGACGACGGAATCTTCCAGTTCCGCGGTGATGAGTTTTGCCTCTGTCAATTGCGACTGAAGTTCAGCGATCTTGCCCTCGGCGTCGTTGCATCGATTTTCGGCCGCTGCACACCTGGCGGACATTTCTCCAAGCATGTCACGTAATGCTTCCAGCTCGGCTTCCTTAGCGGCTATGCCCTGAGCTGCTGGGCTGTGAGGTGGGGTGAGGTCTTGTACTGTCTTGCTGGGCGCTCGAGAGGGAGTCGGCTCGAGACGTGGTTCGAGGCTGATCCCAAACGTCTTGCTGCTCTGTGTCGAAGGGACTCGGGTCATTTGCTCGCTAGATAGTTCCTCAGCCAAGTCGCGACCATCATCGCTGCTGGCTGACATTTGTTGATCGTGAACGAGGACGGGAATAGTAGCATTACGTTCTTCCTCCGCTTTCTCCAATTCAACAATACGAGCGTCTTTCTTCTCGAGCTCTTCCAGTAAGAGTTTATTGTCTTTGCTCGTATCGAGAAGGGCGATATGCGATTCCAGATCTCGGAATGAAGCTTCCCGTCGTTCGGCCTCCTTCTCATGTTGTTCGATTTGAGTGACGAGTGTTGCTGCATGAGCATCTGTCTTGGCCAAACGCGCTTCGAGCTCCAGAGTGTGTTGTTCCAGCCTGGCGTTTCCCTCCTTCAGCTTGACTATTTCCTTTTTAAGATCGCCGACGACACCACAGTGATTGTCATCCTTGTCCGAGTGTGCTTTGAGCTTGGCCTCGATATCGTGGATATAGGACTAAGGGTCAGCTGCAACCCAGTCGGGACCAGCCAACTCAACTCACCTCGCTGGAGGAATTGCGCTCAGTCAATTTGGCCAATCGGTTCCGCAGTTCCACCACGTACGTCTCGTTTTGTGCAAATCTCTGTTGAGCTTCCTGCAGCTGCCTCCCCTGATCTTCGTACAGATCATTCAAAGCGACAATTTCCAGCCGCAAATCGTCCAGCTGCTTGTTCAGCACTGCAACGACCTTCTCGTACTCCAAAATGACAGGTTCGACCGTCTCGTTGAACTTGGCTAAAGCGTCACCGTCTCCGGGTTTGGTGGTGCGCAGTTCGTTCGTGAGACGCATATTATCGCTACACTTCTGCAAATATCGATCATATAGATCTGTATGTTCTCTTTGTAGCTCGGCAAGCCTTCCCAGTAGTTTCTCAGCATGACGCTGGTTCTCCTCTGAAGCAGGTACACTGCTTCTGCCCTCACCTTCTACACTAGCGAGTTGCTTGCGTAGCTTGAGGACGGTCGCTTGCAAATGCTCCACATCGTCCCACCCAACTTCTATCTGATTGATCTTGGCCGAATTCTTTATATTTCTCGCCCTCGAAGCGTACTTGATAGTGTTGAGCGTTTCACCGATGTTGTACTCTATTCCTGAGACACAGGCGATCATTGTGGTGAGAGCGTTACCACCAATGGAGTCTTGAAGCATTCGAGTGAGTTTGGAATCGCGGTAGGGTATGTGACCTTTGGCTTTCACGGGATCCGCAAGGGTGGAAATGACGTTACCGAGTGCAAGCAAACCCGAGTTGATCGAAATACCTTCTTTCATCCTTTCACCTTGTGCTGCGGTTCGTTTCAATCTCTCTGACCCTGCCAGATCGACCATGTTAAATTTACTGGTGACTACGACGAAATCATCTTCTTTCGAAGGAGCGAGTTGCATCGATATCGGGCGTGATAATCCTCCCACTCGAGAACCGATGGTTTGGAAACTACTGGGTGGTCCTCGACTACTCGGCGTCGGTGATCGAGCTGGAGGGAAACCGATGGTTGATGACGGACGTTTGAGCTTGGTCGGTGTCTCTGACCGCATGGGACTAGGTGTGGAGGAGGGCATGGTCACTGGACGTTTTTGAATCATTGTGAGGGAAAAGATGGCATGACTTCTCGAACTTGTCGCGTTCATACTTGTGCTTCCAGTCTGACGCCTCTCTGATCCTTCTTGTAGGTACTGCATTACCTCCGCCAAATTTGACACTCTCACTTCTCTCACCCCAGCCCATATGATACGACCATCCCTTTCTTCTCTGATGGCGATCTGAACCCCTGTTCCTGAAAGAAGGTCGATGATTTCTTCATTATACAATTCGAGGAAAGATAAACGACATTCCCAACTAGCTCCCGGACCGGCGGCGATACGTAACTCTTCAGCTTTCTCGAAGATGGCTTGAACGGTACGGGGTATAAGACCGGTTCGTGGATTTAATTCGGCTCCAGAGTAATCACTATGTTCTCCAGTCGTACCCATGGAGTAAGACTTTCCAGAACTGGTTTGACCATATCTGCAAGTCAGCTCCAGTCAATTCTCCGGACAAGGGAGCTGAACGTACGCAAGGAAAGTGACATTGTGTCCTTTGAGAAAATCATCAATCACATCCTTCGCCGTCGACTCGTACAACGCGACTTGGGACGCGGCCTCGTCGAGTACGTGATCGAATACAAAAGTGGGATGTCTTTTACCCGCTCCGGTCAGACTGAGACTTCCAGGCGCGTTTCCAGCGAGAGCCGCAGGATCGACGTCCACCCGGAGTTCAGAGGGCGATATGGGGTGTACGAGTGTTTGTCTGAAACGAGGTGGGACTGACGGATCGTCTGCGTCTGCGGGACGTATTCTGACCACTAGATCGTTAGCATTATCTCTCCTCCTCCTACATGACGCAAGCTCTTTTGTTGCGATATCATGAGAGTTGGAATGAAAGTATAAAAGACGCACCGACCCGCACGTTCCTACTCTCCCCTTCGTTACTCCCAGAAGCTTGTAGTTCATGATGATGTATCTTGCTCGTCCCGTGACCATAATTACTGGTCTGGGAGCTAGGACGAGGAAGATGAGATGACGAAGGAGAAGGGGGAATGGAAGGGACGGCAGATTGTCGTCTTGGACCGAGCATATCACTGGTGCTGAGCGTCGTTGAGATGTAAGGTTTGAAGGAATGTGATTGTTTGGTAAAAGGAATGTGAATGTGAATGTGTTCGTCTGTCGTTGAATTGTTCCGGTTGATACCCGCCTAATGACTGGGTGGAATGGAATGAGGTCTAATCTGTGATCTGTGATCTGTTTACTCAGTGTCAATTATCGTTTGAGGGGGAGGATGAAATCGCGTGGAAAGGGAGGGGTAAAGGTATCAAGGGGTAAAAACTGGTGGAATGTGATGAAAGATGACAGCAGCGAAAACATCTGATACAACGTGGTGAAATCGTACTATATTCTGCCGTCACGATTATAGTGATTTTTTGTCATTTCCCCTCTCCTCTTCACCTTTGTAACTAACAGAGCATTGACAGAGAAAAATGTGATGGGATTTTGACGGTTGCCGGTGAAGATGGAAAGGAGGATAGGTGAACCAGTAGAGGTAACTCACGAACTATGATCCTGATCCCACCGTCAAATGGTCAAATTGCCAAGAAAGGTCAAAGTGTGACCTTTTCCGGGTCACTAGTATCACCAAAGCTTGGACCGTGACAGTTGTCGACCAAAATTGGACCTGAGAACCTGGTCTATCACACGAGAGGGAAGTACCGAGTACCCAAATCAAGATAGGGGTGTATTACACAGTTTCCGAGATGATCAAAAAAAGGAAGGCAAAGTGGTGGAGAAAAGAGTGGGAAAGAAGTACAACAATGAATGGATTGTTCTTTCCCTAATTTCCCTAAGCTGTGTAAGCTTATGGAAGGAAAAAGAGAAATAGAAATAGGGCGCAAAGCGAGTGCCCGTGTGACCGTTTGAACTGGAGGAAATGGCAGATGGCGGTTGGCGGTGGGGCAAGGAGAAACAACACGAAGGTCTGTGCTTTCAAAGTTCAAAGGTCCTAGGTCCACTTGAATAAGGGTACTTGACTGACTTTTGATCTCGAAATGCTTGACGACCAACACTTCAACCCGCAACTACTCTAATCTTGTCACCCAGGTGGCCAGGTACCGACTATCGGACTGACTCGACTGGGTCTGGGGACTACTTTCTTTCAAGATGAAGGCGAAGGGGAGTCGCGTGTTAGGGTAAAGAGGTATCGATATCTCCACAAAGTATTAGGGTATAACTATCGATTCTATTGATCTATTGAATGAATTGATTATTTCTAATGTCGGTATCTATTCCTCGGATCCTCAAAGTATCGGAATGTTCGAGGGAAGATGAGAAAAGGGAATATGTCTCGGAAGTAGAAGACAATTTTACCCCTTGGTCAAAGGACATTTGGTGTATGGGGGTTTCATCCTGAGATTGACCGGGAGATTGAGAGAGATGTTGATGATAGGTGGTCCCTGTATGCCCGGAGAGGGGATATGGCGATGACCATGACTTAAGACGTCATGCTCATGAGCGTTCGAGCCAATGCTCACACAGGTTGAAGTCGATAGGACATTCCGTATTCACCAACTGGAGAGTGGGGTACTAGGGAAGGTACGAATATACCCATTTAGAGTTCGAAACTCGTCAAATTGCCGATTTGGGCGAGACAACCGTTCACTTGGAATGTGCTCTACTCGTACTGGTAGTAGAGCAGGCTTGTAGGATGTACATGGTGCATGGTGCAAGGTGCAAGAATGCATCAAGGGTCAAGATGTACATGATTCTATCAAAAACAAGATTACTTTCTCTGTTAACCCCTGGTCCCTGACTGACCAAGATTCAAGCGCAAGAACAATTCTTGTAATTCATTCACCCCTTTATCAAGCGACGACCCGTGATCCTCCTCGTCGTGAAGAAGCAACTCTAGATCTTCTTCCTCTCCTTTCCCTTTCCTACCAATCTTCTTCTCCTTCGGCGCACGTAGAGAAAGGCGTTCCAATGCATGCATCTATCCATCAGCTGTTCACATCTTGAGCAAGCCGGCACAGCTGTAAGTCCAAGTGATACAAGAGAACCACTCACGAAAACGATCCGTTTCTCCTCCCATTCCTTACTCAACCCGACAATCTTCTCTTCACCCGATGAGATTTCCAATTCATGTCGTTCCATCTGTTTAACCACTTTCCCAAGGTCCAACACCACTCCAAATAATTTCATGAGGATTTTATGAGTCACCTCTTGACCCGGAGAAGGCGACAAAAGACAAGCGTGGATGATACGATCAAGGATGACCTCGTGGTATAACACCAATGAATGTATCGAATGCAATTGATGGAGATTCGTATTACCGCCTTCGTCTTCTTCACCTTGGAATGAACCTTCGGAGAAGCTGGAAGAGATGGAAAGAGGATATTCAAAGTATTCCCCTTCGTCCATCGTATTCGGCGTTCTGGGTCGACTTTCATCGTGAAACAGACGAGGTCGCTGATGTTGAAGTTTATTCAAACGACGATTCATAGTATCCATATTGACGTTAATGGCGATATCGATGACGTATCTATGAAGAGCAGTGATGAAATGCGACATTTTCCATCGCAAGAGATGCAACTTCTGCCCAATTTTGCCAGGGGAAAGTGAATCAGTCGTTGGTTGGGAAATCGAAGTTCGAGATTGTGGACGTGAAGGTAGGTCGACTCCAATTTTCGGTTCAGATACAGAAGAAGAATGATTTAGATCAAAGTACATTGAACGTAAGACAGTATCCACCCGACAGATGCGAAGGAGGAAATTATGGATTGATTGATATCTTTCCATGATACTCGGTGGCAACAATATCTGTATCGTCGGAGGCATGGAATATGAAAGATATAGAAAATCAAGCGCCCTCAGAAGTCAGCGACGAATACAATATGAACAAATGTAAGCTCACTCGATTGCTTGGGGATCTAACCACTTGGCCCTTCTTCCATCTTGCTCATCCTGGGGTAGATCCCGAATGGCGAAAGATACTTTATCCTCAATCTTCTCCCACACACTTCCCCTATCTTCTTCCATCTCATCATCCACCAAAGTCGTTCTCAACGCATATGCTAGCTCGGCGCCCCCAGGTGGCCACTTGGCACGTTCACTCAATCCAATAGCCAGACCCATACCCCATTCTCCATCCCCGGTACCATTCTGACCAGGTGCTAATCCCATTCTAGCCCTAGTCCTGGCTCTCCGACCTAAACCCAGGGCTTCACCAGCACCTGCGGTGTCCTTGCCAAATAACGCGGCGGATACACGTTCGGCGAAGGCTGCATCTCCGGCGAGCCAAAATGATCGTAAGACATTCAAATGATCCAAGAAGCAGAGATCGTCCAAGCACAAAGACACAAGCGAGGTCGTAACCAAATCCGCGTGTGTGAGAAGAGAGGACAGCAGGTGTTCGGAGATGAAGAGAGGAATCGTAGGGCTATCGGAAGGCAGCAGGGGAGAGTCAGATTCAGAGTACAAAGCGAGAAACTCCGTCAAGCGGTCGAGAGGAGTCGGAGCCCAAAGGGGATTTCCGGTCTTCTGAAGATGTGAACCTGGCGGTTGAAGAAAGAGTGACCAGAGATCTACGTCTTTACCAGGATCGATGACTGTGTCTGGTATAGGTAGATAATCTATGATACCGGTCGATAATGGGCTCGGAGGGGATTTTGCTTGGTCGAGAAACTCTTGTGGAAGACGTTTTCGCTCTTTTCGAGCTGTGCGACGGACTGGTACGGACGATGATCCAGACAATGGTCGAGACCGATCTCGGACTGAACGGCGCCAGTGGTCCACTTCAGCCTTCACTCGTCGGACATGAGCTTTGACGTCTACAGAGCTACGTTCATCAGCTCCAAAAGATGCTCATCAGAGCTCTTAGTTTGACTCACCCGTCCGCAACATCGCCCCAAGACCATTCGGTTTTGATCTCCCAGTTTCCAGAACAAAGCGGATGTTGACCTCCTGACGCCTCTCGAAGTATTCGCAAGCTTCGACCAGCCTCGAAAAGCTTACGCCTCACGTCTTTGGGAATGAACCCTGGCATTTTGCGTGACGAGAAGTGATATTCCCATCCAGATTCCTCACCCGGTGTGGCGGTGCGTGTGATGCCCAAATCAGCCCATGGTTGTGAAGTGTGGTCGAGATCCTCCACGGCATCGGTGAGCCCGACCCATTGATGCAAAAGAATCAAAAGTGGACCGGATGAGTAGCTGAGAAGATGGGCAAGGGAGAGAATCATGACACCATGTTTCCGTGCAGGCGAAGCAACTGAATAATGGGCGAAAAAGTGATTGTATACGTGAGTGATAAGGGTCGAAGCTCGGGTAGGGAGCGATGCGGCCGTCTTTCCATTCAGAGGCTATGATGAGTCAAAGTACTATCGGGCTGACAGGAAGCACCCACCCAGAACATGAGGTCACACAGGACTACTCCTAATTCTCGAATCTCCGAGAGAGTCGAAGACCATCGGATAAAGCTACAGGTGCCTGAGCCATCGCAATCCTCCACGTAGCAGGTCAATCGTTGTTTGACGTAAGTGAGAATGGTCGATAGTTCGTGTAGTAGCGCATGATGTGTGGGCGTTGCTGGACTACTACTTTAGTTTCTGAGGGAATTTCAAGAGACAGACTGACGTAGAGCTTGACGAGTCGATCAAGATTTCCAGGCGGCGAACCGCAGTGGCGATGTCCAAAAAAGTCTCGATAGTTCTAAAAATGAGCCCACTCGCGTTGCAAAGGGAAAACTCACGACGCAGCTGTCGATCTTTCAAGACCGTACGGTCGTCCAACAGACTCAGACCAAACGAACCGACCATCTTTCAAGTTCCATTGAAGGTGCTCAGTGGTGACTGTTCCTAGAGTCGTGCGCATACAGAAACGCAATAGCTGGTCGAGAGGTGAAATAGGGATTGTCGTCCTTCTCAGCGCGGGTATGGTATTGGTCTGTGATTCACTGCACGTCAGCGGACGAAGCTCGTGAGTATGTTGACTCACATGTATACCAGAGCTTCGAAGAGGGAAGCTTTGTCGGTCATCAGTCCCGTAGAGGGTGAAATGGCATGAGATGAACGCTGATCGTCCCATGTCCGGATAGGCTGTTTGTCAGAACGAGCTCGAAGTTGTGGGAGAGGAGCTTACGGAGAAGGCGACCGGCGGACCAGGGTGAACATGTCCCGCTTTGGCTAACAATGTCCAAAATTCCGCCCCCTGCTCCACTTCTTCATCCCGATTATCATGTGCGACAGGTAACTCCTGCGCCTTCTCTTTACCTTTAGGTGAAGGTGAGGAGATTGAATCACGTTCGTGGGGCAAGAGAGAGCTGCGCCGTATACTTTGCAGCAGCCTGTCACTCGCATTTTGATCATCCAAGGGAGGCAGGGAGAAAGATGGGTTGATCTTGGTGAGAGGGAGAGGGAGAGGGCATGACGGACCAGTAAGGTCAAGGGGATAGAGGTTGAAGATAGATAATTGGACGACCATTGTCCTTCGTCTGCCCCTCGTTCACCCGTTGATATGTTGAAATGTATGAGCTGATAAGTTAGAGACTACTTGCTCGTCATCATCTCGGACTTTGCGAAGCTGAGTTGACGCGTCGCGTGCCTATATCTTGCCTCTGCCTCGCACGCCTACCAGCAGTCCCGAATAGCAACTAAACTTGCCTCAGATGGTCGAAACTTTCAACGATGCCTCTTCTTCTGCGTCCCCTCGCCTATAAACCCATGGCAAGTGAGTCTCCTGAGGCAATCGTAGAAACAGCCTGTCCCCGTTTGAGGGTCGTCGAGGATCACTACCCACTTTGGCTTCCCATAGAAGTGGACTCACATTCCATGACATTCTTCGCCTTCTTCACAAGTCCTTCTTGTCTTGCTCCGTCCCGTGTCTTCTCGATCGAGTTTCGGATCCTAGCAGATGTACGTCGTCCATGATCACTTTCTCATTGAGTCGAGATCACTCAACAATGACGTTATACGGTCACACGGTGGTGGTTCTTTCCTTTGTAAAACCTCCTGTGTAATTGCGGTGAGTGATAGACCATGGTATGATGATATAGGGTGCGTCATGAAATCTTGTCACCTAGAACAATCCGATTCTGATGACCCGTTGCTGTGTTCTTAAAGAATTTCTCACCGTTCAGGTATCTCACGATTTGCGGAGTCGATCATTCTTCGACCTCCGACAAATAGCCCGGCCTATGACTCGAATTCCCACTCCGACATATAAAGAAATGTTTCAAGATCTTACTCGTTTCGACATTGAATAACAATGACATCTTTTCACATGTCCACTACGAAGATGGAATTATTGTAAGATATGGTGATGTTTCATCGGAGTATCAAAGAATTTCTTTCCCCGATTTCTATCTCCAATTACGTCTTGACGTCTCGTCTGAGTTTAAATTCTCTCGGCCGTACGCAGTCGTTCTTCTATCAAACTCGCAAACGTCTCACGCCGATGGAGTACACACTTTTTTTGAGTCTTTCTTTTTCCCTCGTACACTCCACCCCCGTCTGTCACGCCAAGCTGGTGCCCGGCCAACCGGTGGAGCTCCTTTACTTGTCAACCAACGTTTTGAGACACCGTCACTTGAACCGCGACAACATCCAAAGTGTCACATTTCACCTTCCGACTCTGATCTCTCGCCTTTCCACTTTTGTCTCTGTATCGAGATTGAAAAGGGTCGTGGGTAGATATACAGCGTATCGATCTGATCTCAATAGGCACTGACAAACACATACACGAAGTCATTTATTAACGAACTTCTAAAATCAGCCGAAACCGACACGCTCTTTCACTTGATACTCACCCCGCCTTCTTGACTGATATATACTGAACTGCCAAGAGAAAAGCGTCATACTCATAAAACAAAACTAGTTTGAAACAAGGATCCCTTCGGAGCGAGTGAGTTCTCGCCACCCGACATAAAACTCCGACCATAAACGGGAGAAATAGCGAGGACATAGAAAGAGAAAGAGAGGTTGTCATGCCCTTCGGGATGTTTGGGGGACATAATGCCCCACAACAAACTTATGCAACGACAAGACAAGAATTAGCACAATTCAAATCTGCCCCAATACTCAACCCACACTTCAACATGGTTGTGAGATAGTGAGTCTGAGATCGTTCTCCGCTACTTGATACACCCTTTCTCGTACTCGCTAACGTCCGTTCAAATCGTGGGAAAAGTGGAGCGTGAAGCTGATAAGGATAGCCTAGACTGTTTGAACCGATTCATGGACGCCCTCATTGCCGTTCATGGTCCAGGAGGAGTGAGGGAGTGGTTGTTAGAAGTAACAGCATTCCTTACTGCTTGTCAAAAACGTACTTTTCAGCGTATGCCCTTGTGAGTTAAGATATCTTCTTCCTTCCTCCTTCTGTGTCTTTCCTCTTCCTCCTCCTCCTTCCTTTTTCCCGCCTCCATCTGTGTTCTTCCTTGATTTACTTAGATCTACTCGTCTCCAACCAATATTGAAGCTTTTCTTCTTTGATCTCATAGATCAATGCCCCTCAATCTCGAAGCAACCACTACCACTGGGGTGAAAATTACTGACGGTAGAAACCCACAAGAACGTCAAGCCATTATATCCTTCACGACATACTGGCGTCGTATGACCCAGCCACCCTTCATGATGGGAAGACCGGAATGTCAAATCGTGTTGATCACATTGGCGGAATACGTCAGTCAGTAATGTTCTGTCAAGTAGTGAGTAAAAACCATCTAACTGCTCACTACTTGACTAACCATTTTGACCACCTTGATATCCCTAAACCCAGTCACTGATCGGGACTGCAGAGGATGGTGATGGAAGAGGGACAACCTCGGCGTCGATCGATATCTCGCTACATAATCGCTGATATGAGAGACGGTCATCGATCTCATCTGATCCCTGACAATGTTCCAATTCGTTCTGTCATTCCTCTGTTTCAAAATCATGACTCTTAAAAGAGCGACGCTCCAGGCTTTTCCCCCATCGTGGGGTCCTGATTGTAGAAAAGAAGTAAAATGTGTATGATGGACGAAAATGAGTATAAGAACATTCTTGTAGAAATGTTGATAAGTATGCAAATGCATTGATCATAAACTTCTTCATCTTTCCCACATTATCACAGGATACTTGAAACGTCCACCGGTCCTTCAGGAGGATAGACTTTCCATTGTAGATGAGGATTAAAGAAAAGTACCTAATCTATTTGAAGCCATCAGTCTACATATCCCTCAACTATGTGTTGAAAGACGATACGACCAAACCGACTGAGACCGCCGACAATCCTATGATGATTCCACCAATTAGGAAAGAATTATGTGTAGTCCAAGTAGACTTAGATCGAGGACTTTTTCTCCTTTTCTGACGTCGAGGGGTTAAGAAAGAATAGGATGAAGAGGAAATCACTAACCCCATCTGTTTAAGTCTATTTGTCAGCTCAACCAGTCAAACGATAGAGAGCTAGACTCACCCTCTGATATAATATGTGTCTAAAGCACGTTCGATATCTGCTTGACATCCTACGGGTACATGTTCAAGGACGAAAGTAGCTGAATCGTTAGCTGAGCACATACCAGTCACGCCAGCTCACCGCTGGTCGATTCAGATCCTTGTACGAGAGACATAGTCATTGTGGCGTAATGATCTATGGTCAGCATCACTCAACCCGACTGGTAAACTCTCACTAGATGGCCATTGAGAGTTTTGTGCTTGCCAAGTCTGAACGAGTTTCTTGGGTGGATCGACGGATATGATCTTGCCTTTCACAAACCCTGCGAATAGTTCGAATTGTTCTTCAGGCTTGAGAGGCATCTGTCATCAGTAGACGAAATTTGATTTTTACCTCCCCCCAGCCTCTTCCGTCCGTCCATCTGCCTGCTGCTGATCACCACCACCACCACCGACATCATCATGCTCGTCACTTTCAACATAGCAGAGAAGTGGCATCAAGTACTCCTGTATGTCAAAGAGGAAAATAGAAGGATACCTAAGGTGGCAAGGACGTTGACATTTGGGAGATTTAAAAAGAAAACGACACGAAAAAGTTGACAAACCTTAGCAGGACCCCTAGACCACATGGGGATCTTCTTTTCGTCCGTCAACAAACTCCAAAGATCATCCGCACTGGCCCTCAAATCCGCTTTGACCTCTACCGTCGCCGTGGCTCCCACACCACCCTCTTTCTTCTCCGCTTTAGGCTTGGGAATATCATCTTTCGCAGGAGGAGCCGGAGTGTAAGTTGTCGAAGTGGGATCAGGAGTAGAAGTTCCAGATCCTGATGCTGCAGCTGCTGCTTCGGATAGAGCGGCACCATGTTCGGCGAGTAAAGCAGGACGTAGTGCGTTGAATTTTTCTGATAAGATTGGTGGAAGGGATTTACGAATTATGGCAAAATATGCTTGAGCTTCTGGTGTATCGGGAGAGGTGAGACGGAAGTTGTACTATCACGAGAGGTCAGTTTGGGGGTTTTTCACGATGTAATTTCAAAGACGTCAGATGTGCGGTGTATCAACTTGGCATGCTCTTGTTAGTTTGGAAGTAGAAGGATAAAGTGGGTAAGGTAGGTGAAAGGACTAAGAATAGGTGCTGAGAGTAGTTGGACAAGGTGAGGTGGGAGTGATCAAGCCTGATAGATAGATAGATGAAGGAAATGTGATCGATGAGTAGATGGGAAGTCCATGGTAAGTGGAACTGTGAAGATGAATCAATGTAAAGTTCGCTCTTTGCTCACCGTATACTCTGTCAACCCATCTATAGTCTCATGGCTGACTTCGGGAACGTTGACTTTTCCCTTCACTTCCGTACCATCTTCCAAAGTACCTTTCCAAGACATTTCCACGACTAGATCGTAGATTGTCAAAAGTCTGTCATCAGTATCGTATTTCCGTCTCCTTACTTTTTGTCATACCCCACTAAACCCCCTAACCCTCTGAGAACCTGCCCACATAATCTACTACGTCTCGAAGATGTCTTTCTATTGACGAGAAAGTTTCAATGAAGAAGTATAGTTATTGTAGAGGTGACTTCCAAGACCTTTGGTAATGATATCGAAAGGTGAGTATGTATAGTACTAACTGAGAGTAGAAGAGGTATGAAGATGGGATCAAGAAGACAAAACTCACTTGCCCTTCCTCTGCCCTAAATCACAATCCCCACTGACAGCTATGACCTCATCTATCACCACCCCCCCAACGCCCGTACCGGGTAACGTCTTTTTGATCCATTCATATGCCCAAGGAGCGCAATTCTTATTCTTCCCATCAGCTCCATTGACAATGGTCAAGTCAGGTCTCAGAGGGTCGGATGAGACAAAGGAGGTGGAGGGGAGGAATGTGAACGAAGGGCTTGAGAGGATGGGATGAGGAGAATCACTCACACGCCAGTGGTACGTTTGTTGATATGCTGTGAGAGGGGTTGGAGCCGCCATCATTTTCCTCTTCGTTTCTCCGTTCTCAATTCTGGGTGGAATGATCACAAGAAAGAAACATGAAACTCTCTTACGAACGCGACGCAGTTGAATGCGGGTCAACTTTCTAGAATGTTACCCGATCACGTGATTGACGCCGTGAAGGTAAAGCCAATGAGCAAGAACCAATGCAGAGACAATGCATGCAAGACAAATGTACCCAATGACAACAATGATGCCCGGAGATGAAATCTATGTGGTCGTTGATGATGCAGAACGGCGGGAGAGACAATGGGCAGATGTGGAAGGAGGAGGTAGAGACGTGGGATCATAACCCCAGATTGGCCAGACGACGGAAGACGTTTGAACTGCCGGAACTGCCTGACGGTTCGAGTTGTTTGCTTCTCTCAAACAACGCCTGCTTGTCAGTCATCCGCAGATCTCGAGGTAGTGTCCAGGTAAATCGCTAACAAAGAGTATAAGACGTCTTAGTAGAAGGATGTACAACTCAGGAAGCCAGTCGATGAGACATGGAGGGTGAATCTGAAACTCACATCCTCATTCATGATCACAGGCGTATCATGGATCAAGCTCCGGAAAGCTGGCGACGGAGGATCATTCATCATGGGTCCCTTTTGTTGGCACTCCGTGATGACCGAGAGGATCTGGCCGAAGCGCGCAAACTTGTCCCACTGGATAGCCCCGTCTTCACGCACGTCTTCTCGTCGCACGCTATGTAAGCGGCTGATGAGCGAGATGATCGTGGCCCTGAGAGTCAGCTTGTTTTGTTCTCTACTGACGCTCACGTCTCATCTCAAAGACTTGGAATTAGATGCAAAGGAAAGCACACCGAGGAGGTCATGCGAGAGGGGGTTGCAAAAAAGACTCACATCAGGGGAATCGCCGGCCGACCATGGGAAATATCCGCCTGTAACGCCCTCCTGTACAGGACGAATCCCGCACGAGGATCCATCAACTTCAGATGACTCTGAAAATCCCTCTCCACACTAGAACCCAGGTGGACCGTTGCACGCGTCTGTCCTAAGCGATGCACACTGGTTTCCTGTAGCCCTGTGAGGACCGCATGCAAACTGTCGTAATTGTTGTTTCGACGTAGCTGGCGGGCGATCATCACAAACTGTTCGTAAACCCTAGCGCGATGTTTAGCTTTCGGATTCGCGAGGACTAGTGTGGATACCAGGCGGGAGAGATGGTTGAAGAAGTGAATGGCTCGGGCCACGGGACCCGTCTGTTCTTTACCGAGATCGTAGCGAAGGACGTCACGAGGACGGATGGAGGCGAATAACTCCCATTGCAGCTTTGTGAGCTCGGCAGCGAAAGTACGTGGGTCGGAGGAGAGGAGAGTGGAGACGGCTGATGACCATCTGTGAGCGTCGAGGTCGTCAGGGTGAGGCAGAGGAGGTCGAGGGGGATTCGAGGTGCTGCGCTGTCGCGCCATGGCGGAGGATTCGGGATTGTCGACACCCATGGAAGATGCGAGAGAGGGAGTGGACTCTTTGGGAGTGGCAGCGGTGCCGACGGAAGATCTACCGAGAGAGGAATCAAGCTCGTACAAGAGCTCGTTATCGATGACAAGCTCGGTGGGCGATGTAATCGAGGCCACGCTACTTCCTTCCGTGGTCTTGAGCGCCCAAGACGTGTCAACATCTTCAACGTCAGACAAGCTTTGTTCAATCCGGATCAAGTCTTCTGTCAAATGTGACATGAAGGTATTTTTGAGGTTGAGCCGAATCACTTGGAGGAAGATTGTATGCGTCTCCTCGTTTTTGACATCCCCCGGATAGGTGTTCGTCCACTTGATGAGAGCACCCGTGATCCTGAAGTCAGCTCTTGATCATGTGGCTGTCATGAGAACTCACTTCATAAGCGCCCAGAGCTTGACGTCTCGTGACACTGCATGCCGCTCTACCTCCACATAACGATCCAAGAACTCACGCATGAGAACTTGGGGGAAGCAAAAGCGACGATATGTCAAGAAAAAGGCGTCGACAAAAGCCTCGTCTTCGGTCGATACGATCGCGGCGAAGAGTTGGCCCAAAAGGTCTTCGAGGCTAACGTGAGGTGGTGGCTCGACAGCCTGACTCGACTCGGCTTGCATGGATAGCGAGCTGAGCGCGGTCATGCTACTCAGATTTCTTCCCCCCGTGGCCATATTACCCGCCGTCTCGTCTGCTCCGCCTGCCGATGCTGCCAGGGGACCCCCCATCATCCACTGCAGACTGCTGGAGCTTGAACGAGTGTCTGATCCCGCTTCCTGCCCGTCAGCCGGAGTGAGAGTCAGACCGTGTCGCCACATGATCCGATCAGCTCCAGAGGAAGTGTCGCTATCGGGTGAGGTGAGGGCATCGAGACCAGTAGGGAGAATTAGCCCAGTGGGTGTCTGGATGGGCTGAAGCGAAACGGCAATTTTTCTCTGATGTCGACCTAAGTGATCAGCGAAGAGAACTGCCAAAACACGAGGTAACTTACGACTCCTCTGCTCCAGCTTGTACAAGAGCCAACGGAGTCCGTTCCTCATCTTACTCTTGCCTTCTGATGATAAAGCGGATACTTCAATGAGACCAACATTGTACGGCTCGCCGAGGATGTTGCCTTCCGCCGCAGTGATCTCGAGCTCGACGCCAGGATCCGACTTGCAGGCAAAAATTACGATGGGTAAGCCCTGAGATGAGAGTCGCTCTGAGATTCATCAGTCTCACTCTCTACAATCTGACGGACCATGACACACCAACGAGCTCTTCTAAGCCATCTAGGGTATTCCGTCGCGTGGCATCATAGCAGAAGATGGCAGCTGAAACACTTCTTAACCCGGCAGGCCATACATCGATGCTATCCTTGCGAAGGGTTGCGATGTCCATCTCCAGAAGGTTCACCTTCCAGGGATGCTTAATCTTCCCGCTCGGCTGTATGCTGACAAAGTGCGATGTGACTGGTAGTCAGTGCATGCGACTAAACCGGCGTCCAATGCATACCTGTTACACCGTTGAAGTCGACATCTCGGGTGGCCACATCCCAAGTCCTAAGAGCTTTCTCCAGAAGTTTGGTCTTGCCCACACCAGCATGGCCAACGATAGGTATGACGAGATCAGCATCCGACATGACTGGCTGCCAGACGTCAGCGTGGACTGTGGATTCGGACTCACGTTATGCGCCGGTGGTCGTGGTGTCCGATCGAGGAGATCCGGTTGCAGCTCTGACAACGACAGCTGAGGCTCGTCGAGATGTCTTGACAGAGTAGATCTTCGCGTTCTCAGACCTGTGCTTGGTCCAACGCCGTTCGGAAAGCCAGGGCTCAGTGGGGACCCTGACTTGGACGAGCCTGAGTCTGATAGATCCATTTGGGATCTCAATCTACGCATGGCTGCCCGATCCTTGTTGGAAAGTTTCTGTCGCGCTGATTGTAGCAAGGCTACTTGGGAGGAGTCGTGAGAAAGATCTTTTATAGGAGATGGTGGCAGCTCCGCTGAGCCAGGACTGACTTGGGACATTATCGGCCGTTGGATTGGCCGAAGGGGCGAAAGTGCGAAAGGTGTTGGAGATCTGTTCAAGGGAGAAAGATTGTACTCGTTAAGAACAGCGGGAGAACCGAGGTCAGGCTCGAGGTCACAGCTGTCAAGAAGGATACCAAGTGGAAAGAGCCTAGTCAATGTCAAGTATTGATTATTGGGTGTGAGTGGGGGAGGGCGTGATTTGTTGAGACCCTGCGGTTGTAAGCTTGCGGTTGCAACCAACCTGGAATTGCACTCTGAGTCGAGCATTGGGGAGACATACAAGAGGATGGAATAGCAGGCAGAGGTAGACTTTTGTAGTACCGCAGAAGGTTAGAAAGCAATGGATCGACAAGGGGGGTCGACAGTGTATGAAAGGGTGTCGGAAGGGTTGCTTTGATATTCCAAAGCCCCCGTCGGGCCGTCCAGTGAAGGACCGAGAAACAGCAGGGCATTCGGCAGCGTCGGCGTGATCATGCAGTCATACTCTGTGGATAGAGGAGTGAAGGCTGAGCGGTTACAAAGAGGAGGAGAAAGGAACAAGGACTCACTTTGTCAAGTGTGTGTGCTACCTGTCGGAGAAAGGGACGTGATGCACATCGCTCCCTCCCTTCAGAGTACACAGGCCGTTATTGCATAGAACGTCATGCGAGAGATCGTCGGAGCCTTATTACCTCGTGTTGTTCGGTGAGTAAGGCATAAATGTGTGTGTCCTGCCAGCAGGGTTGTTTACCGTCGGTTTCGAGTGGGGGCACGAGGGAGGCTAAAGCGGGGTGTGATGATGAATGGATCTGCATCATCAGACGCTTTTTCTTCATACGCCGAGCAGGACGAAACCGAAGTCGCAGATGTCAAAAGGCAATTGAAAAGATAATAACAGTTGTTGTGGGTGGACAAGACAAGTTGTGTGGTTTTTGTAGAGGAACAATGAACGAAATTAGACTTGTTTTGCTCACGGGGTGGAGGTTGAAACATCAATCGAAGTGTCGTTGTCCCGAAATTGAAACTAAAGCAAAACGGGACGGAAGATGACGGTATGTGTCTGAGAAGACAGTAGTAGTACAACGAAAGTCAAGCAAGCAGCATGCAGAGAGAGTGTATGGCAGGAGTGAGCGACGGTGAGGGTGAGAAAGAGAAGGCAGGGCGAGAGAGAGAGCACATTGAGCAACCCTCGAATCTGGTGGGCAACCGCGGACGCTCGGACCTCGTTCCGTCGGAAAGCCAAGTCTCCCTGTGATCACCAAATGTCGCATGTCGCAATGCCGGCGCCGGCACTGTTTGCCTGAAAATTTCGTCTCGATAAATCCTCATAGTACTCATAGTGAAGCATGTTACGATACGGTGCTGGGACACGATATCCCTCACGACGTTTGCTATCCCTGCGACAAACATTAAGAGTGATACCCCAACGTCGATCGTGGTCAGATGATCCTACGTTTCGTCCACCTCCCATCTCTTCCCGAATTCGACCCATAATCCCATTCCTGATCTATTGGACATTCGTCACCTCCCTTGCTCTGAACCTATTAAAAATCCGCAAACGCGCAGAGGAAGACAACGACAGGTATCAAGCTCGAATATCAGTATTACAGGGCGTCATCAGAGGACTGGAGGAAGGACGAGTGGACGAAGAAGAGATGAGGCGAGATTTGGAGATGGTCGGACTGAGAGATAGACGTGGTAAAGAAGTCGTGGGAGACCTGGGCATCGTAAGACCTCTGAGTTGGAGAGAGGCTCTGTTCGGACTCTCTAAGGGGAAGGATACGTCGGTGCATGAAGGAGATGCGGAAACGTCTCTGCAAGAATGGCTAGAAGGTGGGTACATGACTATCCTATCTTAATCTGCATACTTCCAACTCTCATGACTACGTGCTACCACTGCCACTGCCGAGATTATCCTGACTCCCAGCTGTAGGAAGCTCTCCCTCGACCACTTCTCATCCGTCCCCTCCTCTTTTCGAAGGTCGTGCTGGTCCAGACAACTCGGGTGGGACCCGAAGGGCGCCTTCATCTCGAGTCTACCTATGACATCAACCATTCAAAATGGTCGCGTCTCGGGGCACTAGCCGCTGGACCTGATTGAAATCATTCAGGCGCCCAATTCAATCGCCGCGACTAACGTCTCGCAGCATCTTTGAGATCTGATGTGCGGCATTGGACGGCATGTGAGACGTATCAAATCAGATGGTTGAGCTGCTGACAAACGAGATTAACCTCCAACTGATCAATTGGCGCAACGGTGAGACGCCGAGAATTGACATCCCACCGACAACGCTCCGGAAGCATCAACAATATTGTGGCTCTCACCCTCAAGCCGCCAACTAATGATGTTTTGTACCTGGGCTGATCCGCCAATTGCCGCCAGAGCTAGCTTTCCGAGTCATCCGGTTCAGGCCGCGTGAGACCTGCCTCAGAACTGGCGACAAACGCTTGATTGATGGTTGATGGTCAAAGGAGGGTTTTTGTGAAAGACCTCTGTTTCAGAAACGATCAAAAAGTGAAAATCTCTTTTTTGGCGAACGATTAGAACGCGCAGATCATGTTTAGCACGGGAGAGTAAAGAGGAACCAGGAGATCGTTTAATATCGAGATCGACGCTATACCAAGGAGTGACCTCATCGTGAGTAGCTGAGACCTTGCTCGACGTTTTAAAAGATCAGCGTATTGAGTATTGTTGGGGATGGGGCAACAGATTGGAAAAACCAAAGTGCAACCGAATTGACGTCAAGACATGATGTCGAGAGGCTTTTCTTGTTCTATCAAACCGTCGTCAGAGCCTCCACCGTGATAGAAGAATTTACGCCCGAAGCCTCACCCTTGCCCGACCCTAATTACTCACAGACCTTCCGTTTACCGGACCAAATGTCCTTTCAACTAATTTAGGCATGGGCCCAGATTGTATCCGCCGAGACCGGGACCTTTGAAAGGAAGGGGGGTGCTCCATAGTCCTTGCTTGATGGACCATTGATCACTACTCATCGCCTCTGTTCGACCGCCCTGAACGACTTTGAGCGCGATCTCCAAGGTGCATCGGTCGATCTCTCCAAGTCTGATGGACGATACCGTCTAGCCGCCCGGCTGACGCTGATGGACTTTCACCACATTCGCTTACGACACTCTCAGGCTTCGCGTGGAGGTGGTAATGGTCGACGCTCGGACCATGCGAGTGGGGCAAAAGAACTAGTGATAGACCGAAGAGCAAATGAGCAATCAGGAAAATAACGAAGAAGAGAGAATAAATAAAAAATTACGGGGTGGGGGTCTAGCGGTCTGCGGTCCGATATCGGGAAAGAAATTCAATGTATCAAGTACTTAAAGGACCCAAACCGCCGGCAACGGTTTCCCTGTTTCCCTGTTCTTAAACGCCCCTCCACTTGACCCTTGAACATCTGACACAGTGGTAACAGACGTTGTCTCGCAGCAACTGAGATCTAGAGTTATAATAACCTGTCTCGCCCCAACTCCAGACACCCCACAAACATCTCGTTGATTCTCATCGAGTTTCGCTATTCATTCACAAGACTCGTTGACGTACGACTGATCGACGCGTCCAGTATATAAACCACACCAAAGATCCTCCACCTGACTCGAGCGGCCTCAACTTTTGTCGGTTGATAACACCACACCGGCACAGACGTCACTGTCCGCGCGCCTCGAGGTTAGAAGGAACTCCTTGAACGTCCCTTCGCCGAAGTCTTGTCTCCCGTTGACCCCCTTTCACAATCGATCCGCCGGCTACTCTCTCCGCAAGAGACACATAATCCATACCTCTCGACCAACCTGATCCTTTGTCCTCGAATCCACTTCTTCTCCCACGCTTCCATTCCCGTTCCTATCTCTCTCTTTTACCCTGAAAGCATTCCATTCATTTCATTTCTTACCCCACATTTCTACCATATCATTGTTTCTTGGGGTCATCCTTCGATATGCCCGTCTCATCGCTTCCAATTCCATCTCCTGTACGCCCTCCAGCGGTACAGCTTTCTATTAGCTGCTACGAAGCCGCCCATATCGCTCAAGCCGAACTTGACGACGCGCCTCATCCTCATCATCATCACCAATCTCAACCTGACGCGTTGCTCGTACCTCAACCTGCCCCAGGACGCAAAAAGACGTCAACGACAAATGGAAAGAGCAGACGTAGAGGCGGTCAGCAGTATAACGCGGATTGGAAAACCACCATGGTGAGCTTTCAGTATCTTCTTTTCTCCTCGATGCTTCGATACGAGTTTGCCACTCTAACGCGTGTTGTGGCTGATCAAGCAGTGCAACATGACACCCTTCGGAGCATGTACGAGACCGCAGACGTACTATTCACTCTTTTGCGAGTTTGTGAGTGTACATCACTTGATCGCATCAGACGCGTGTCACTTATCCCCCTCGAAATGAAAATATACGCCCGATGCTGACCCCCTTCGCAGCATTCATGTAGAGCCGAAAACGCCGATAACACCTCGTGTGGGAATTTTGTACCTCATCCAGAGGAAACACGCTTTTGCAGTGCTGGTTGTGAGTATCGTTCCTCTTTTCTCTTATCCGTGTGTTTTCACTTCAGTACTCGCGTCTGAATCATCTGTGTTTCGGAATCGGGAGGTGATCCGAAGACCGATGTGGTAAATGCGAAAGGTATGGCGCTGACGGGAACAGATCACCGTGAGACCGGCTGCGAGACCAAAGTGCTCGATCTTCTCAATCGTCGAAAGGAAGAAAATCGTATCGCTCAACGTCGACGTTCAGAAGTCCATGCTCATGCCACGGCATACTTCGATAAATGCTTCGGCGATATAACATCAACACGCCGAAATTCTCCTCCTAGCTACCCTTCTCTCCCATCTCCTCCATCCTCATCAAATACAGTTGTTGCCCCCATCGCCGACAGTCGAATGCGTTGGGGAGGTGGCTCTTCTTCGTCTATTTCGTCGATCTGTTCCGGTCCGGCTATCAGTCCGCCTGCCAGTGTGCGCAGTTCGGATAAAGAAGACAGATCGTGGGGGAGTCACGGGGTGGACAAGTGGTGGGCGGGAAAATGGGTACACGAGATTAGACCTGTCACCCTTCCAGGGTTTCGGTCCCCGCAATAACACGAGTCGGTCTTCTCGACAATCATCAATCTGTTCCCATGTGATCAGCATGTGAGAATGTCGGGAGAATCTTATTTTCTGAGTGAAGAGTGAAGGGCTAGCTATTGTGCATCAGGGAGATATATGCGGCCTGGAGCCAGATAATCAGGGGGTGGGGGGATATACGAGAAAAGAATCATGTTGTATCTTACAGTTGTGAAGTGGGGAATTTGGCTTGCAGTTTCGTTGTATATTCTTCCATAGTACGATTTTTGCTTATAGTCATGTTTCCGCCCTTCTGGCGATGCGCATGTGATCGTTGATAATTGCATCCGATTTCACATATTCATGCCTGAGTCCAATGTTATCGCAGATTTCCCAGCGTCAATACCCTCCTCGATATCTTTGTCTAGTCTTGTGAGGTTGTGTAGTTGTATCCTTGCCACCTCGTGCCTTGACGTCGATATCCGACTCCTCATCCCACCCGATAACAGATCCGCCTCCGAATCCCTTGGCTCTCCATTCTCCTTCCCAATCCCTATCTTTCTCCTTGTCCTTTGATTTCCGCCGCTTTACCCCATTCTCCCCACTCCGTTTCTTATCCCCCGTCTCACTCAGCGGACTGGGTGGTCTGTGATCCTGTTCCTTCACTCTCCCCAAAGGCGTCTTAGTCCTTTTAGGAACAGATCCGGGCGATCCTTCATGTCGATTCGGTGGCTTACTGTTCTGTGACGTCGATTTCGTCTTTTCCAAACCAGGTCCTGTGAGATGTCCAAAGATCATTCTTGGTCCTGAACTAGGCAATTTACTCATAAACCTCTTATGACTGAAGGCTGTGTCTTCTTTCTCTTCTCCCTTTCCTCTTGACTGTCCCACACCGTCGGAAGGTTTAAGGGTAGACGAATGTCGAGGACGATCGAACCAATCGTCAATGTCTGAATCGTGTGAGATAGACTGTTCGTTCGCCAAAGCTTGGAGTCGCTGACGGGTTTTCTCTTTGCTTTTCCTACCCACTTCCAGGGGTACGTTGGAAGGTTGGAGGAAAGGAAGAGGAGATTCGTCAGGAGAGAAAGAACGGAATCGATTGTGAGTTGGTGTAGCGGTTGATCTAGGAGTGTGTGAGAGAAGAGCGATGCTACCGTATGGACCTCGTGAAGCGGTTTGACGTGAGAAGGCTGAAGGGACGGTAAGACGTGAAACAGAACCTCTGCGATAGGGACAGTCCTAGGAATCAGCCTACTCATTCATGACATTTGAAAGTTTCTTTTGAACAGTCAACTCGCAGCGGTTGAGCAGAAGTCGGCGTGTGAGAGTTGGGTTGGAGGATTGCAATGTTGATATGATGGGATTACGACACAGTAGATCAAAGAGATTTAGTGACGTGATTGGAATCTAAAAAACAAACTCACATCACCAAGATGCCCTTGTTGAGCACAGTTATAACACCACTCTTCGTACGCATCTCCACCCACAGCCTCCTTCGCCCAACCCTGTACTCGAGCTTTCTTTTCTCGACTCGCTTCCCTAGCCTTTTTAGAAAGATACGAATAAACTCTCCAGACACTTGGACATCCCTTCATTGTTCAGCTCAGGACGGCTCACACGGGATAAATGTCTCACTGCAGCCATATGATCTCTACTTCCACATTTAGCACATCCATGTCTTCTCGATGTCTTTGAACTTGGTTCCTCGCATTCCTAAATTTTAGCATGAATAATCGCATTTCTGACGATGAGAGGGCTCACTGAGATTCTATGCCCCCGTTGACCACAATTAAAGCATACAAGACCAATTGGACAGAAACGTCTCTCGTGATCGTCTTCTTTTCCACAAAGTGTACACTGACAATTTAGTCATATCAAGGAGAGATAGATTTATTGAAACTGACTATGGTATGTGGACAAGCGTTCATTCTATGTCCCGGTCTTTTACAGTTTTGACATATCTTTGACCGAGTGGCAGAAGCCAGAAAAGCTGCTTCTTCCGTTTGAGGAGTGTTTGGAGTGGTATCAAAGTATCGGGGTACGCCCTGTCTGTTAGGACACCACAAAGATATGTAGATATATGTTCGACTCACTTTGGCAACATCATCATCTACAAAGTGTAGACCTTCCATATCTTCATTTTCATCCCCTCTATCTGATCCAGGAGGTGAGGTGAGGGTGACATGTCCAGGTAACAATAATGTGTCTTCTTTCTCTTCCACATACGACTCCTCCGCTTGTATCTTCCCTTTCGCAGCCAGTGTAGGGTTTATATTTAAGACGACTGGAGGAAACTTTAAAGTTTCTGAAGGTTCATAAGGGAGAATGAGGGGATCGGTGCTTGATGAGGTTGCTGGACCCGCAATGGTCACATTCTCTTCTACTACCGTTTCGTTTGATATTACAGTGGTGTCAAGGGTCGTCGTCATGAACGAAACGAGGCTGATGCTAGAGACAATGGATCTCATCGGCGTGAAACATTCAGGAGTGTAAGGAATGGAGCTTGGACCAGCTTCGGATTCTCCAAGTCCGGAAAAAAAGGTATCGCTCGTGACCACCAGATCATTGTCCTTGTGGAGGTCGGCATCATTGTCGCCAGTGAGATCGATCACTTCTTTTGTATGTCTGGTTGGACGGACAAGTCTCTTCTTTTTGGCTGGTGTCACATCGACCGATGGGATTGATTTGGGTTTTCCTTTTCCCTTGGACTTTGAGCCAGAGGGGATGTCAGACTTGACCATGACACTACTCAATCTTCACAGAATACTACGATCGTAGTAGAAATGAACAGAAATCTTTGCCAAGTGCTCGATTTTAAATGGGGGGATCCCTTAAAGTGCAGTTTCACTGGAGGATGGAAAAAGTTGGCCAGCTCTTGACAACCCTTGCTTTTCCCATCTTTCGTTCGTGCGACCATCCCCAGTTCATCTACATACAGTAGTCATCACACAGTCAAATATCAAAAGCACTTAGTTGTCTGGGGAAAGCTGGATAGACGTTGGGACAACTTTGCTGCGAGATCAAAGGAAGTCGCTCACCTGATTGTGACAGCGACTCGAATTCGTCGCTGTGTCAGCCGACATTCCACAATCAGTACTCTTTCTTCATCGCCTACACATTGTTCGCCGCTTTGCTGTCAAACAATAATCACACCGTTCACCATGTCTTTCCCTGCTCATGACCGTAAGTCGTTTCACGATCTCGGACCGAGGCCCGTGCTTATCTTCCTAGCCAATGCCTCCATTTCCATTCCCAAGGTGGAACAAGCAGTCCTCGACTTTTGGCGAGAGATAGATGCTTTTCACACTTCCCAAAAGCTCCATGAAGGTATGCCAGAGTATAGCTTCTTTGACGGTCCTCCATTCGCGACGGGTAAACCTCACTATGGTCATCTCTTAGCTGGTACCATTAAAGTATGTCCTCATCCTCTGCTTTACAACTTTTTCTGACAAAGATAGGATATCGTCACACGTCACGCTCACTCGACTGGTCATCATGTCGAGCGAAGGTTCGGATGGGACACACACGGTCTTCCTGTGGAACATGAAATTGATAAATCGTTGAACATCAAAGGAAAGGATGATGTGATGGCAATGGGAATTGCCAAATACAACGAAGCCTGTCGAGCCATTGTCATGCGTTATTCTTCTGAATGGGAAGCGACGGTGGAACGAATGGGAAGATGGATTGATTTCGAGACTGGCTACAGGACGTATCAACCGACTTTCATGGAGAGCGTGTGGTGGGTGTTCGGTCAATTGTGGGAGAAAGAACAAGTGTATAGGGGTTTGAGGGTCATGCCGTACTCTACTGGCTGTACGACACCCTTGAGTAATTTCGAAGCTGGAGAGGATTACAGGGATACCAGGGATCCAGCAGGTCAGCGTTATTTGTCCATGTAGGAAGATTGAAGCTGATGAAGCGTAGTGACCGTGGCATTCCCATTGATCGACGACCCCACAACGTCTCTCCTTGCTTGGACGACAACACCTTATACCCTCCCTTCCAATCTTGCACTTTGTGTTCATCCCGATTTCACCTACATCAAGATCCACGACATTGAACGGAACCAAAACTTCATCCTGCTAGAACAATTGCTCGGTACAGTGTACAAAGAGTATGCTGGGGGTAAAAAGCCGGATCCCAAAAAAGAACCCAAGTTTAAGAAGATTGGGTCTTTCTCGGGCAAAGATATGGTCGGGTGGAGATACCAGCCGATGTTTGACTACTTCACTGAGCAGGTGGGTGCACTCGTACTTACGGAATATGACATCTGTGTGATACTGACATTCAGTACGAAGACCGAGCTTTCCGAGTGTTGTCAGACACTTATGTCACTGATGCTTCCGGTACTGGTATCGTACACCAAGCTCCTGCGTGGGGTGAAGATGATCACCGAGTGTGTGTTGCACATGGCGTAGTGAGGCTCGACGAGATACCGCCTTGCCCCATTGATGAAGCCGGTCGCTTCACCGCCGAAGTACCTGAATACCAAGGGAAACACGTCAAAGAGGCCGACGCTCAGATCATCAAAGATCTCACAAAGTCTGGTCGACTCATCGTGCGAGCAGACATCACACACTCTTATCCTCATTGCTGGCGTTCGGGAACCCCACTCATCTATCGTGCCATACCTTCATGGTTCGTCCGTGTGGCTAGTATCGCCGACAAATTGGTGGCCAACAACGAGAAGACCAGATGGGTGCCTGCCAACATCGGAGAGGGTCGGTTCGGCCAATGGTTGAAGAATGCTCGGGATTGGAATATCTCTCGGAATAGATACTGGGGTACACCCATCCCGCTCTGGGTCAGTGATGATTACCAGGAAGTCGTCTGTATAAGCTCTATCAAGCAGCTTGAGGAATTGTCCGGCGTTACTGGGATATCAGATCTGCATCGAGAAAGTATCGATCATATCACCATTCCTTCACAGAAAGGAAAGGGGACGCTGAGGAGGATTGAAGAGGTGTTCGATTGTTGGTTCGAGTCTGGAAGGTGAGTTTACAGTGTAGGCAGGTCATTTTTGACGAATAGTATGCCATATGCTCAATGCCATTACCCTTTCGAGAACCACGAACGATTCACGAAAGGTTTCCCAGCGGACTTTGTCAGTGAGGGTATCGACCAGACTCGCGGGTGGTTCTACACTTTACTCGTACTCGGTACACATCTGTTCGATACAGCCCCATGGAAGAATCTCATCGTATCGGGTCTCATCTTAGCAGCGTGAGCGGTCGGTCATATCATCAAGACCCTGCTGACATAACAGAGATGGCAAGAAGATGTCGAAAAAGCTCAAAAATTACCCTGACCCCATGGAGATCGTCAACAAGTACGGAGCTGACTCTGTCCGATTGTTCCTCGTCAACTCGCCTGTCGTTCGAGCCGACAACCTTCGCTTCAGGGAAGAAGGTGTACGAGAGGTCCTCACATCGGTCATATTGAAATGGATGAACTCGCTCAATTTCTACCTCGCTCAAGCTGAGCTTTTCGAACAGACGACGGGCGAGAAGTACGTGTATGACCACGATGCGCCAAAATCCCAAAATGTCATGGACCGATGGATTCTTGCCAGCTGTCAGACTATGATTCAACACGTAGACAAGGAAATGGGGGCGTACAGGTTGTACACCGTCATCCCGCGATTACTCAATCTGGTGGAGGATCTCACAAACTGGTATATTCGATTCAACAGGACGAGATTGAAGGGTGCCGGTGGTTTGGAGGATACAAGATCCGCTCTCAATACATTATATGAGACTTTGTTTACCCTTTGTCTCACGATGGTGAGATCTTCCTTTCACTTTAATCGTTGTCTCAATTGTGATATAGCTGACGCGTGCAGTCATCATTTACACCCTTCACCTCTGAATATGTCTATCAAGCCCTTCTTCACTCTTCTCCTCCGTCTGCTGACGCTACCGCCGACGTCCGATCTGTCCATTTCCTTCCTTTCCCCTCTATGCGTGAGGAGTATTTCGACCCCATCATCGAACGTCAGGTCCAGCGACTAAAAGCCGTCATCGAGCTTGGGAGAAATATCCGTGATCGTCGCACTTTGAAAACCAAGCAACCCTTGAAAGAACTCATCATCTTCCACCATGACCCTGAATATCTCGCCGACGTCAAATCACTCGAATCTTATGTCGCCGGTGAGCTCAATGTTGTCAACGTTGTCTATACATCAGATGAGGCCGCGGTGGGCATTCAATATCGTGCCGCGGCAGATTGGGCCGTACTAGGCAAAAAACTACGGAAAGAAATGGGCAAAGTTCGTAGTGCCCTCCCATCTTTGTCTTCGGAACAATGTCGAGATTACCTTTCTACAGGCAAGATGGAAGTAGCTGGTGTGGAGCTCATCACGGGAGATTTAGTCGTCACTCGTTTTGTGAAATTGGAGGATCAAAATACATATGAATCAGCTACGGATTTCGAAGTCATCGTTCTTTTAGATATTCGAAGACATCCAGAATTGGAGAGTTTAGCTCTTCTTCGATCACTCACTTCGAGAGTCAACAAACTTCGGAAAGAGGCAGGATTGAAACCGAGTGATAAAGTTGCCATTTTGTACAAATACGAACAAGGAGGAGAAGATGCGGTACGTGTGGCCTTGAAGGGGAATGAAGAGTATTTGGAAAGACAGATCGGAGGTTTACCCATGGAATACTCTCAAAGGGGAAGTAGGAAAGTGATCAAAGAAGAGGTAAACACGAAGGAGGCTGAAGATTTAGGAGTGGAAGAGAGGTTCGTGTTGGTTTTAGCTGAGAGGGAGTGAAGGTGTTGAAGTGTGGAAGTGTGCATAATATGAGCATTGGATGCATTCATCTGCCATGAGTTTTTGACACAGGTGATGGCCCTCTGGCAGCTGTCAATCAAAGATGGGGCTCTGGAGCGGGCAAGAATGATGTTATTCACCATACGATCGCGTACGAAGTAGTTGGGTGAATTCTGTCGATCTTGACGATGGTTGCCTACGCTCGCCTGCACCCAGTCGCACTCATTCCTATCGTCACTAGTCTACTTCATATCGTACAGAACTCTTCATTTATTAAACACTCCGTAGCTCTCAAAGCAATTCCTCTCAATTTGACATTCACAATGTCGCATCATGGTACTAAATCGTGATAAGTATCACCCATCCGTGCCCACCGGCGACTAAGTAACCTCATCGTCACATGCCGTATCACATAATTCACCTTCGGGGTTCCCCTCACCATTTCCCACTCATCTTCAACCTTTCAAAACCCGGCCCGGGATATCTTAATCTTCAATACCGTATCTCTGCCGTAAAACGAGATGAAATCAAGATCGTACCATACCAACTCTCAATTCATTTTCTCATTAATATATGAACTTCTTCATTGTGACTCTAGACTAACTCTTTAATTAAAATCATATCTCTCAATATAGTCGTAACACTCACATTCTTTTGATAGAAACTCACACTCGTTTTAGAAAGATACATAAGCTCGATTTTTATTCAAGAAATAAATATCATATCGATACTCCAAATCCAACTTTTACCTATCAACTCAACGACTTCCATTCTTCGTTCTTGACTTTCAACCACATCTTCCACATTTCTTTCGGATTCAGGAAGAATATAGATAGATATCAGTGGGGGGCTAGTGATATTTTTCAACACCACACGAAAAGACAAAAATGTATATCCCTTTACCTCTCTCAATACTCGCCGTGAGATTCGCTTCTTCTCGACCTAACTCTTCACCCGCTTTGATCATTTCAACACCGGTAAGTTCCCTCTCTTATCTTCTTCCCTCGCCTTTCCCCTTTCCGATCAATATGCATCGATTACCCCACGAGACTGTACTCAAACAACCACGCCGTTCTGAAAGTTAAGTAGAGAAGAGAGGGTATGGTGTCAAGGAACAAAGATGGGTGTAGATGGGAATGAATCATACTGACAATTCAAGGACACTCTGACACAATGTCAACCAGCAACATTCTCATGGTCACCCACCACATCACCATACTACCTCGCCCTTCTCACATCTTCCGATCATTCTTCTTCCTCCATATTAGAATTAGACGCTCAAGCATACGTTCCCGTCCCTAGAGAAACAGCCACTTGGGTGGTCGATGTTGAGGAAGGTACGACAGTGACTGTTTTGGTTCGTGATGCGACCGGTGAAGTAGCATTCAGCGAGATGAGACTTGTGGAACACGGAAATGGGGATTGTCTTTTATAATCGAGATCTGGAATCTTGGATTAGGGCAAGAGAGTATCAAGGGGTAAGCGATATATCATGTCATCAGTAGGCAGCGATACTTGTATGATTTTGGGTGCTAGTAATTTAGTGGTAGTAGTGTTCAGATGTTAAATGTGGGGATTTCCGGTCACATCCAATGGACGTGGCCCTTGGAGACCGATTGTCAATGAGGAATTGCAACCTCTCCGAAGTAGCATGTAGCGATGTACACCATAAGAGGCAATTTTTCTTGATCTCTTCCTCCGCACAGCCTCTTTTTTCCCGATGGGGTGGTTTGCATCGCCAACCCCTCGCTGGCCGTAACGATTGGAGAAGAGGTAGTCTCGGCTTCGGCACCACGGGCATTTTGTAGATCAAACACCCTGTTCCCAGACTATATAACACAGCATGTTGTGCAGAGTCCTCTCAACACTTGATCTCTCACATCTTGTCTCGACGTAGCACCATGTCGTCCAACGAACAAAGTGAGCTTAGTGGGATCTGCAAGTTTGACGAGGAAAGTCCGTACAAGCCTCAACACTGTACAGAGTGGTACCAGTTTAAATGTACCGGACTCTACAACCCGACCACCATCAATTTAGACATTGACACCTTGTTTCACATCTTCATACAGCGCAAGGAGAACCCCGTGAATCCTCATGATGGTGAGGTTTACATGGTGCTCGACACAAGGGTGAGTGCTCATCTGATATAGTGTATTCCCTCACCCCCCTTTCATGTCCGCGCCGGGTGTTTGGAGATAGCAGTGTGCATTTATGGTGAATCTCGCTGACTATCAAGCTAGAGTTGACAATTGATGCTCTTAAACAGACACTTGATGAACATCATGCATCTGGATTCGGTTCAAAGGCGATCCATATGGATTCTCTTGAATCATTGGCTTCAAGTCTACCGTCGATAGATCAATTTGTCCTTGATTTGTGTCACGAACTACGTCGCGACACCTCGATTACTCCACCAACAATGACCCTCCTTTGGCCATCAAAACCCCATCACGCCTTAACCTCTTTACTCTACACGTAACTCAGGACTTCTGACACCAAGTACGGCGAAGTTAGACGGAGTTAGGCTAAGTAGGAACAATGGGAGCAGAAGTACGGCGAAGTTAGACGGGGTTAGGCTAAGTAGGGACAATGGGAGCAGAAGTGCGGCGATGTTAGGCGGAGTTAGGCTAAGTAGGGACAATGGGAGCAGAAGTGCGGCGATGTTAGGCGGAGTTAGTCGAAGGAGGAAGAGGATGGCCGAGGGCTCGGGGAAGTTGGACGAAGTGCGTTGAAGTACGTCAAAGCGCGAGAGGGTTGGATGAACGTCTAGGAGGAGTAGATAATATTAGCTGAGAAGATCGCTGAAGTTCTTCAGCGATCCTTGATTGTTGTCAGTAGTAAAAGACAAATAGAGATAGCTATACATCGAGATACATCGCCATCAATAGAACAAAGCCTTAGTGAGAGTAACTACGCCGAAGTACGCCGTAGTTACACTCCTTTCGACGTCTGCGCCCTCCTGGTTGGGTGAGACATCGACTCAGAAGCGTGAAGTTAGCCGAGGTTCGTCGACCGTCGGTCTATAAGGAAGAAGTTGCTCGACGGCCGTGACAGTATCAAGGATCGCTCTTACCGACGACCCGTGCGAACCTCGGAGAAGTACAAAGATAATATGGAACCAGAAAGAAGAATTACACGAGGGATGAGTAGGGATGGAGACAGGATGGAGGAGAACGAGAGGAGAGCATTGGAGGAGCTTAGCAGAGCAATGGGGCAGGACCTTGGAGTGGAGGATAGTGTGGGGGGATCAATTCAAGGAGATGAGTTCGTTCCACCGGTGCCTTCTAACCCTCCTTCTCCTCCGTCTAATGCTCTCCCACCTGCGGGATCCCCACTTGGATCAGACCAAACCCCACGCCCAAGAGAAAACACTGGAAGTACGGCGAACTTGGGAGAAGAAGGAACACAAGGAGTGGTGTTGGCCTTGATGCAGATGGTGGCGAATATGAACAAAGACATGATGGAGGAGAGAAGGCGTAGGGAGGAATGGGAACAGAGAAGAGAAAGGGATACAGTGGGCGGGATTGCAGAAGGGATATCAGAAGGAGTGAGGTACGCCATGGGACGGCAAACTTCGGCGACCCCAAGCGTAGTGGGCGAACAACGGAAGGGGATAAAGCTACCTAACCCAGACCTCTGGAGAGGAGATCGGAACAAGTTAACCGCCTTTCTGTCTGAGTGCGACGTACATTTCGAATTGAACTCTCATCTTTTCCCCGACGACACTAAGAAAGTCTTTTTCATGATCTCTCATCTACGCGAAACACCTCTTCTTGCAGTGCAGCCCGATCTATCCAAAAGACCTCTTCCTGAGTACCTCACGACACACGATCAGTTCGTTAAGTACCTCAAGACTAACTTTGGTGATCCAGACGAAGAAGGAACTGCGGCTCGACAACTTAACGACCTCAAGCAAACCGGGTCTGCTTCGGACTACTTCTCCGCCTTCCAGCGACATGTTGCGATTCTTAAGTGGTCTGATGATGGAAACCTAGTTGACCGAGCCAAGAAAGGACTAAAATCGCACCTTCTAGATGAAATTGCAAGACACGGTAGATCGTTTGGGACTGTGAAAGAGCTATTGGAGTTTGTGATTCCCTTGGACAACCGCCTGTGGAGGAGACAAGTGGAGAAGGAGGCAGAGAGGAAAAGGGAAGGAGGGATAAGGACAACGACAGTGGTGGAAAGTCAGAGGACGGAGAAGAGAGAAGAGAAGAAATGGGAAAAGGGGCAACCTTCGGCGCAGGGTGGTGTCCAGGCGGCTATGATGTCGACGGTGGTAAAGAGTACACCGCCAAACATCGACGAAGTTCGCCGAAGATGGCCTAGGCCGAGCTCCGATCTGAGGGAGACAAGGAGGAAGGAGGGGAAGTGTACCGAGTGTGGTGAAGCAGGACATTGGCTGAAGGAATGCCCTGTAAGGGAGGCTAAGGTTAAGGTTGGACTGTTGCCTCCATGGGGGGAGAAGTTCGGAGAACGTGGTGGAGGATCGGGAGGGAACGCAGTACCTCTCGGACAGAGGAGGAACTTGAATGCGGTTGGAGGAGAAGTAGATTTGGAAGAGGACCAGGGAAAAGAAGAGGACCTGTCGCAGTAGGCGAGGCTCGGCGGGTCCGCCATATTCTCTCGGCCACCATTCCCAAACCCATAAAAGAAACACAGCTGATGGAGCCAGAGGATTGTGAATACAAAAATACACCACTCAGTACCCCTTGTTCATGCAATGTCGATAATCATCTCCTCATCCCTTCCGTTTCCAGAGATCAACCTAAATCGGACATTTTCATTAATGGAATAAAGCTAACTACGCTCTGGGACACTGGAGCTACTTGTTCATATATAAGCCCTAAGGCAGCAGCGAAGATAGGTGTAGAAAAGAGGCGATATCAGGTGAGCGTACCCGTTCACATGTTCGACGGCTCGGTGAGTGTCGCTGGACCCATCACCGAGTTTGTCGAAGTCGGATTTAGTTTGACGAAGGACGCCGAAGTGCGATCTGTTTGTCTCGATGTAACAACGCTCTGCGACGCAGATGTTGTGATAGGGTGGGATTGGATGAGGAAGGAAGGGGTTGTCCTTGATGGAAGAGACAACTCGGTGAAATTTCCCATCCCAACCCCACCAAGTGCGGCGAAGTTAGCGGCCATAGGGCTGCCGACTCTGACGGACGCGATAGACCTCCGCGGCGAAGATGAGCTTGAAGAGCTGAGCCCGGAGGAACAAGACGAGTTGTTCCAGGTAGTTCCTGAACAATACCACCAGTACATTGACGTTTTTAATCCGAAGAAGGGAGGAGAGACCCTTCCCCCTTCAAGGTCCTACGATTTGAAGTTTGAGCTTAAGGAGGGGGGGAACCTTAAGGTTGCTCCACTCTACTCGCTTGGAGAAGATCAGAGAAGTGCGCTGAGAGACATCCTAGACCGCGAAATGTCGGCCGGAAGAATTCGACCCAGTAATTCGCCCTACGGATCACCGATGTTCTTGGTACCGAAGAAGGCGAAAGGTCAATGGCGAATGGTCATTGACTACCGAAAGTTAAACGAGGCAACGATACCCGACGCCTATCCTCTGCCTCTGATCGGCCAGATAACCGAAGAGCTGGGAAGAGCGAGGTACTTCAGCAAGTTAGACCTAATTGGGGCTTATCAACTCCTACGAGTAAAGGAAGGTCATGAACACCTGACAGCGTTCAGGACACAGTACGGTATGTTCGAGTCTCTTGTTGTCCGAGATGGCCTACGGAATGCTCCCGCTGTGTTTCAGCACTTCTTGAATGAAAGTTTTCGAGAGCTACTGGGAAAGGGAGTAGTAGTCTACATAGATGATATACTCATCTACGGTCAAACGTTGGAAGAACTGAGGGGAACTACGGCGAAGGTGTTTGAAGTGCTTCGGAGGTCGAATTTGTTCGTTAAAGCTAGTAAGTGTGAGTTTGAGAGAGATTCGGTAGTCTTCCTGGGGTTCGTGGTTTCACAGAGGGGAATTTCCAGTAACCCGGATTACATCGATGCTGTCGTATCTTTTCCCCGTCCTAAGAACTTGCGAGAGAGTAGGGGATTTATGGGAGTTGTCAGTTATTATCGGCGTTTTGTCCCCAACTTCTCCAAGATTGCTAAACCGATCAATGACCTCACCAGGAAAGATGTGCCGTTTGTTTGGGGAGTAGAGCAGGAAAGAGCCTTTAAAGAATTGAAGGATAGGATGTGTAGGGCGCCAGTATTGGCTCACTTTGACCCTTCGTTGAAGACGCTACTACAAACAGATGCGTCGTTCTTCGGCTGGGGATTCATAATTTCGCAGGTGAACGAGTTGGGGCAAGAACACCCGGTGGCTATCGAGTCCGGAGCGTTCCAGGCGGCGCAGTTAAACTACACGGTAGGCGAAAAGGAATTACTCGCTATCGTTGAAGCTTTCAGGAGAAGGAGACACTTACTACTACAGGTAGAGACTACAGTTCTCACAGATCACTTAAATTTAACTTACTGGATGGAACCTAAACAACTTAGCCCCAGGCAGGGCAGGTGGGTCGAAGAGCTCTCTAACTTCAGGTTTAAAATGGTGTATCGACCAGGAAAACAAGCTACACTGCCGGACGGACTGTCGAGAAGAGCAGACTACCACTCAGGGAAAGGAAGTACTATGGTGCAAGAGAGCAACCTTATCCAAGGTCTGCCGAAGTTCGACGAACTTGATGATACTAGCTCTGGGTTACAACACCTGCTTCGGGCTTTACAAGGAACAAAGGAAGTACGAGAGAACGACCTCATTGACCCTATAGATTTGATAGTTGGAATACAGGAAGACGAGAGTGGAGAGTAGGTTAGAGAAGAATTACTGGGGGTAACCTGTGCTAAGTGCTCTCATCTGACATGTCACGATAATGTGCAGGAACCAGAGTCGGTCACCGAACTACGCCGTACCTCGCGGTCCCCCTTAATACTTCGTGGGGGATGGAATTCAAGAGGGTTCCTCACGTTCGATGGTCGAACTTATGTGCCGAACTACGCCGATGCTCGACTAAAGATAATGAAGACGCGGCATGACTCGGTCCTAGCGGGTCACCCAGGCTCAGCGAAGACTCTCGAGCTAGTCCTACGGGACTACGTTTGGGTTGGAGTAAGGAAGGATGTTGAAGATTACATCGCTGGATGTGCGGTGTGTCAGAGAGCAAAGACTAACAGGCAGAGACCCCATGGAGAGCTTAAACCACTGGAAGTGGCTACGAAGCCATGGTCCAGCATTTCGATGGATTTCATTGAAGAGCTCCCGAATTCCCATGGATACAATTCCATCTTAGTAGTGGTGGACCGGTTGACCAAATGGGCCATTTTTATCCCGACTACGACGAAGTTAACCGCAGCTGGCCTATCCGAGTTGATAATGGACTATGTGGTAGCTCAGCATGGGCTACCAGAGAACATAGTGTCTGACAGGGGATCGAAGTTTACCTCAAAATTTTGGAAGAACTTGACCGATAGTCTCGGGATAAGACTACATCTCTCTACTGCATATCATCCGCAGACTGATGGACAGACTGAACGAACCAACCAGTCCTTAGAGCTCTACCTTCGAATCTTCACTTCTTATCAGCAGAACGATTGGTCGAAGCTGCTTGCTCGAGCTAGCTTCGCCTACAACAACACCCATCATTCTGCGATAAATAAGACACCATTTTATGCGAACTATGGGTACCACCCTCGATGGGCTGAAGAAATTAAGGCCAGTGAAGTCGAAGTGCCCGCTGCTACGGTGGTGGTAAAAGACTTGACTGAAATACACAAAGATTGTATCGAAGGAATTGAGAAAGCTAATGAGAAGTACGCCGAAGGATACAATAGGAAACACCGGACTACGCCGAACTTCGCGGAAGGAGACCTAGTGATGCTGTCGTTAGAGAATATTAAGACGAAGAGACCAATGAAGAAGTTAGATGTTAAGCAAAGTGGGCCGTACAAGGTAGTACGGCAGGTAGGTTCTCATGCTTGTAAATTGGAATTACCAGGAACGATGGCAGGTATCCATGATGTATTCCATGTCTCCTTGCTCCGTCCTTATCACCCTCCAATATTTCCTGGTCAGCAAGCTGAGCCACCTGGGCCAGTAGAAGTAGACAATGTGGGAGAGTCTTGGGAGGTAAAGGATATTGTGGACTCTAGAGTAAATAAGAGGTCAGGAAAGTTAGAGTACTTGGTGGAGTGGTTAGGTTACGAAGGAACAGATGATTCAGTATCATGGGAACCAGTGGAGAACGTCGATGGAGCTGATGACATATTGGCGAAGTTCCACGAACTTCACCCTACTAAGCCGAAAGAAGGGCGACTGCGAAGGACTAGGAGATAGAACGTACTGCATACAACATAGGATTACAGCTACGTACCGCTCACTTGTCCTTACTCTTACCCTTACCTTTTCCTTTTCCTTTCTCCTTCGATCTACTCGGTCCCGCGGGATTGGTGTGGAGGCTACCGATGACCGAAGGTAGATCGAGAGTCTCAGACGGGAACGCAGTAGAGAGAGAAGCATTCCATGCCCGATTCATAGCCCCAAAGAAGTCACCGAAGTCCTGGACATCTCGAGCAGCTTGCATGCTCGGAGTCCTCCACAGAGAACGTATGGTCCGTAGACACTCGAAGGGAAGACTGAGGAGGTCTAGAGCAGTCTGGGCGGAAGCTGGGACACGAGAACTACTACGGCGACCTAACCAGTCAAGGGACGGTGGTGGCTCATACGCCATAGGAGTGACTAGGAAGGGGGTGTCGAACAGTCTTCGGCGAACATCGGCTATCTCAGTAAGGCTTCGGCGAGAGACGTCCGCTAACCTTGTCCTTGCTTCGTCGTCCAGAGCCCCAGTGTTGACTACATCTACTAACGCCGCAGTAAGATTGTTTAAAGCGTTAGCTTGACGAGAAGAGAAGTCAAGCAGGAGAGATGTATCATTTCGGGCGGCCTCAAGCTGAGTAGTGAGACCGAGGACGAGAGAACGATAAGTGGCGAATTCCTTTTCGTCCTCAGGAATACGGACGTCCAGGGAGATACGAGGGTGGACGAGGGACAACCGGGGAGCAGAGGGACCAGCACGCTGAGTATCTTCACCTTCCACATCACCATCATTGAAGGCAACCTCCTTCTCTTTAGATTTCCCTTTTGATTTCTTTAAAGAAGACTTCGGTGTCTTCTGGGGAGCAGAGGTGTCACGAAGTGACAAGACAGTTTGATAGTGATAGTAATAGGATGGGTTGGGTATTTAACCAGCGACCGGCGGTATGCAGTAACCGCCGGTTAATAGGCCTTTTAGCGCAGTGGTTTAGACCACTGTCTCTGAAGGGCACTGTTATATCGTCCCAATGCTGGTTAGTTGGTCTCGTGACAGATTAACCGGCGGTTACGGGTAGGATCCTGGGTTCGACTCCCAGGGTGGGCTGGGTCGTGCTCAGTCCCTACTTGGAAAACCTCCCTCTCGGAGAAAGTTTTCGGCCTATCGTGCCCATCCCTGTTGGGGCCCCAGATGGGGCTGAAAGGGAAGGCATAATGTCACGAAGTGACAAGACAGTTTGATAGTGATAGTAATAGGATGGGTTGGGTATTTAACCAGCGACCGGCGGTATGCAGTAACCGCCGGTTAATAGGCCTTTTAGCGCAGTGGTTTAGACCACTGTCTCTGAAGGGCACTGTTATATCGTCCCAATGCTGGTTAGTTGGTCTCGTGACAAGAGGGAGGGGTGACGGGAGGGGCCGCCGAAGTGGCCGGAGGAACAGAAGGACGCCGACTTCGGGTGCTGTGAGCCGGGGGAGAAGCTACCACTGGAGAGGACGGACGTGGCGCCGAAGGACGAGAGGCCGAAGAACGAGAGGCCGAAGGACGGGAGACCGAAGGAGCAGAGGCCGAAGGACGGCGAGAAGACGAAGGAGGAACAGCCGGGAGACGTGATGGGCCGGCCACAGGAGCGAAGGGCGACGGCGACGGAGGCGACGGGCGGAGGTCCGGCGAAGTACGGCGAACCGACCGGAGAGACGAAGGAGGTACCCGCGAGCGGGGGACAGACGCTGGAGTCTGAGGAGGGGGGAAGGGCGAAGAGTCGGAGGGACGGGGCGGGATGTCCCGGGCAGAGGAAACAGGACAGAAGGAGCAGGGGCCAGACGTGCATGAAGCACAACGGAGGGCCTTGTTGTGTGGCCTGACTGCCTTGAGGCAGGGCCAGTTTGGACGATTATACGTGATAATCTCACGTCTACTAATTAGCAGGAGTAACTTCGGCGTAGTACGAATAGGTGGACTCACCGGCAACGATCACACGCTTCGTCAACACCAACTGCGATCCAACAACCAGGCTCGGACTTCATCTTCTCCCACAAGTACTCTTCTTCCCGCAGTGATCTCTTCACCCGTTTGGGCGAAGGCTCCCCTCTGGGAGAAGGGGGGGGAGCAGCGACGGGGGCGGCGGCAGCAGGACCGGCGGCGGCAGCAGGAGCGATGGCGGCAGCAGCGGCGATGGCGTTGGGGGGGGGGAGAACCCCGGAAGAGGAAGAAGAAGAGGAAGAAGAAGAAGAGGAAGAAGAAGAAGAGGAGAGGGAACGGCGTCGTTTCTGGCCCACAATTTGAGCAGGGGGAGGGGCAGGAGCGGCTGCGAGTTAGCAATGTCTTGGAGAGCTAAAGAACAGATAAACAAGGCCAAGTTCGGCGAAGGTGTGAGAGGTTGGACGAAGAACTCACGCTCAGGACTATCTACGTTGTTGTCCTCTACACTAACCGCCACCATATCATCATCCGAGTGTTCCTCTAACTCGGTTTCACCCTCCGACACGATTCTATCATCCTCATCACTATAATCACCCCCTTTTCCTTCGAAGTCTGACTGATCGTCCGACTCCGAACCACTGGGCGACTCCTGGTCGGAGGAGGACGGAGACTCACCAGGACGAAAGGCGGGCGTCCTGCGGCGAGGGCTGGCGGCAGGAGGGGAAGCAGAGCGAGAACCAGGAGGAGGAGAAGCAGAGGGAGAACCAGCGGGAGGACCGGCGGGAGGAGAAGCGGAGCGAGGAGGCGGGACATCGCCAGACGGCTCCCCCAAAGAAAGGGTGCCGAGGCCGAGGGAGGAGACTTGGCGAGATCTGTCGCCGAAGGAAACTGAACATCAGCCAAGTCCGGCGAAGTAAGGTAAGTGTCGAGGAATAACTCACGAGCAGACGACACCATACCACCAAAGTTCCTCATGGCGGCGAAAGGGTTAGAGGTGGGAGTAGGAGGGGCCATGACGTTAAAAATACTTAAAGAAATAAAAGATGATTCAAGGTAACAAATCTGTTTTCTAGGTAAGAGAGATAGAAAGTTTTGAAAACAGATGGGAAAAAGAGAGAAGCTCGACGAACTGCTCAGTATTTAGTATAATCAAACCTAAACCCTCGTCGTCAACATGCAGCAAACTTCGCGTTTCATCAACAAAAGGCATCGCAGGGACGATCAAAATTCCCACGCTATAGTGTCTCATCTCAATATAAGCGAGGGTTACTTCGACAAACAACGGTGTTGTTCGGCTGCCATTCAGGAAGCGTGTCTCACCTACAAAAGACACAGGGCTTCTTACGGCAAACCTCGACGAAGTTAGGGGAGTCTCATTGTCGGGTTTTGGAGTGAAAGGAGGCCCAACTACGAAGTGCGGCGCAAAGAGCAGAAGGGTGAAGGATGGTCATGGGGAGGGAGAGAATGGGGGTACTACGCTGCTAAGTTCTCTTGACACGACAGAGGTGTAATCGCTCACGAGGACGTTCACGGCTAAAGAAGGGGGCGACTGTCACGAACTACGTCGCGACACCTCGATTACTCCACCAACAATGACCCTCCTTTGGCCATCAAAACCCCATCACGCCTTAACCTCTTTACTCTACACGTAACTCAGGACTTCTGACACCAAGTACGGCGAAGTTAGACGGAGTTAGGCTAAGTAGGAACAATGGGAGCAGAAGTACGGCGAAGTTAGACGGGGTTAGGCTAAGTAGGGACAATGGGAGCAGAAGTGCGGCGATGTTAGGCGGAGTTAGGCTAAGTAGGGACAATGGGAGCAGAAGTGCGGCGATGTTAGGCGGAGTTAGTCGAAGGAGGAAGAGGATGGCCGAGGGCTCGGGGAAGTTGGACGAAGTGCGTTGAAGTACGTCAAAGCGCGAGAGGGTTGGATGAACGTCTAGGAGGAGTAGATAATATTAGCTGAGAAGATCGCTGAAGAACTTCAGCGATCCTTGATTGTTGTCAGTAGTAAAAGACAAATAGAGATAGCTATACATCGAGATACATCGCCATCAATAGAACAAAGCCTTAGTGAGAGTAACTACGCCGAAGTACGCCGTAGTTACACTCCTTTCGACGTCTGCGCCCTCCTGGTTGGGTGAGACATCGACTCAGAAGCGTGAAGTTAGCCGAGGTTCGTCGACCGTCGGTCTATAAGGAAGAAGTTGCTCGACGGCCGTGACAATTTGATAAACAATCATACTCAGTCTCAGTCCAAAGTCAAGACTGTCTGTGCATATAGGCGAATGTCAGTGCGCATGGAAGAATGTGATACTTATGAAATGGAAGAATACTTTGAACACATCTATAAGGCTTCACCGGTCAGATCTTTGGCCGGGCTTGCAGTTGATATCAATATTGCCAAAGCTCTTCAGAGTCTTGCTACTGAGTTCAAGCCCACTAGCCATGATCTCAAGTATTCACTTGACTTTGAACCGCGGCGCAATTTAAATACCACCTTGGACGGTCGGGTATGGGTACCTCCTCCTCCTCCCACCTTTGAGGACGTCCTCAGCAGCGGTACAGCTTGGTCATAATTCGACAACATGCATCATCAACATAAGTAGTAGTGGGATCAGCCGAATACGTAGCAGAGGTAGCAACATCCTCCTTTTCAGGGGTGACTGATGATCAAAATCTGATCACGTCAGGAGCCGAAATGCCACGCGCCAGATTACTCGTAGGTCGTAGGTCGTTACTTGGTAACAGTGTATCCAAGGAGATGGGTGGGTCACCTTGGAGATAAATAAAAGTGAGAAGTAAGTAGGACGTCCACTTGGGGCACCCCCCTTTTCTCCTTGGGGCACGACATGCCACAAACCCTGAACCCAAGTTCATAGGCCCGGCGTTACTGAAACGCCGACCAGCATCGCGACGCAACATGTCTGCTCGCTACCTATCAACCTGTCCTCACCATCACAACTCTCTTTATCGTCAATTCACTAGTAAACTCACGCTCTTTTTCACACCCGCAGTCTCTACTCGTGTCAAGGATCATTTTGGTACTCTTCTCACTCTTTTACGACTTCTTCTCACCAACTTCTGGCCCTTCGCTTCTTCACCTGCGCTACCCATCAAATTGCTATAACTTCTTACAAGCAATCGTGGTACTCTTTCGTCCTCTTGACACTGTTTTTCTTCTCTCTGTGAGTCTGTGAGTACTTGTTTCATTATCAGAAGTGAGATTTTGACTTCCTAGGACCTCTCATCATCATCCTCGCCACCCCCCCTCTCCCACCTACTCTCCCTCCTCTATCCTCTCAACATCGGCCTCCCTATCCCTCCCAGGGATTTTCTAGACATCCCTATGGGTCATATTATCCTCCTGGACATTGATAGTATGAACTATGCATGGAAATGACCGGAGTTGACATGGTATAGCTAATACTGACATTGGCGATGTAAGAGAAGAGTGAGCAATCAGAGGTCGCGGGATTTTAGTAACGCCGGGCCTATGAACTTGGGTTCAGGGTTTGTGGCATGTCGTGCCCCGAGGAGAAAAGGGGGGTGCCCCAAGTGGACGTCGTAAGTAGGCAAGTCCATCTTGAGTCCTTGCGGGATGTCTTTCAAGAACATCTTGCTTCTCTTCCTAAATTTCAAGTCAAGATACCGACAGAGGAGACCACTTCATCTTGAGGTCGAATCTGATGGTCGATATACACTTGAACATCTACACTGCCAACGTTACCCCCGAGATCCCCAAGAATGAAATGATCGGATCTGACTATTTCCTCTTCTGTCCTTTGCACGGATGTGAAAAAATCTCGGCTTTCGGCGATTGGACGTATCGGTCACGGCCACACGGCCACACGGCCTCGACGCAAGCCATGGCCATTGAATCTGGTCAACCGGTCAACCAATAACGTGAGAAACTTTCACACTCCATAGTAGTCGAGAACAGTACACGAGAATGATCGATGCGGATGCTCTCGACGGCCGTGAACCGAGAACGACAAGGGAACGAGCCACGATCTGATCTCACGGACGATCTCGAAGTCGGAGTTAACATACAACTTCGATGTATAATCGCCATCGGGTGGTAATGATACTCCCTTCCGCGCTTTCTTGGAATACTACTGATATCTTTACACTACTGATGTCGACAACTGAACCTATAGATCCTCAGGTAGAAGTTACACATACTGATGAAATAAGAGAAGAATTATATCCTTCCCAGACCATCACTCATATGATCGAGTTTAAGGACGAAAACCGCCCGACCCTAACTATGGTATTAAACTTCGACATCCGTACAACTTTCAATTGGACAACCTCGGACGTTCCTGAGAAAAGTAAAATAAATCCACATCATGGTCAAATACAAGCTTTCATCAATTCCGATGTAAGTTATCCCACAATCCTCTGATCCTCTTCCAAAATACCCTGGTTATAAATAATGTATAGTATAGACAGGGCATGTGATACCGTATTCCATGACCTAGCTGATGAAAAAAGATAAAAGTCAAATTTGAAGGGACCAATGTGGAAGAAAATACAGAACCGTTCATATTTCCATATCAACCTACCTCTCGGATCAACTTGGACGATATCCTGCAGTCCGTTACGGAACGCAAATCTGTGAGCGAGTGGGCGCAACGGATCGCCGACGCTCATGATTACAGTTGTGATCATCGAAGTGAGTTTAAAATCGTATCAGAAATTCGCGTAATTTTCCCAGAGGCGTATAACAATATGAGTACTCCTGAATGGCTCGAGGCGAAGGAGGATGGTGGAGTGTGGGTGATGATTTGTGTAGCCGGAACTGCTGTCGCAGTTGTCCAAGGTCTAGCACACTCTGAAGGTATAATCTCGACCCAGGGTCCTAGAGAGCATCCTGTGATGAAGGCAATCGAGGTGTTGGTTTCAAAAGTAAAGGTCAAGGAATCCTGGGGATCCTCGATCATTGAAATGGAGCACGCCTACAGTGGTTATGTAGGTGGTTTGATCAAAAAAGCAATGGAAAAGTATCAAGCGGCCACCACTGAAAACTTTCAAGCCGCGATGGATTCCATATTGGGATGGCGACGACCATCTAGCTTGGCATCCACTTCCCAGAAAACGAATAAGGGGTAACCACAATCTCTCCTACGATCACTCACTGCGTCGTGGCCGAGGAAAGGCAACGGATGAGGGAATGCGATTAACGGCAAGTCAATTCAGGACCATGAGAATCATGTCGTTCAAATGTTCCAATAGCGACCCATTTTTGTGGTCTGCCGATGTGAGGAGGGACTTCGTAAGGGGCGTGGAGATGGCAACATTGTACATCTTCCCCATTCATCATATTATGCGAGTCAGTCGAGGAATGAGAGCTGCAATACTCTTCAGCCACGAGGTTCGATAGAGATTGCATTCATTAGATCGATATTCCCCCGACGACAGCAATCGTACTATATCCGTAAGGTCGTCTGATGTAGTCGGGTCACAAGAGCCAACAAGGCCACATTCTCACTTCCAGCATTACTGATGATCAGCATCTTGTCATGAAACGAGATGAAGTATCACCAGCCCGGGAGGTGAAGATGGAGATGAGTATGAAGAGACTTACTAAGTCACAGCATCCAGATGAAGTTTGGTATGATGATTAAAGTTGATCTCGAATTTACTCAGCACCGTCCATCTTTGGTTCGCTTTGGCAGGATCTGATTCCGTCGTAGGATCAGCGAGGAACTTGGAGAGAGCGGCGTTGAAGGAAGATTGGTATGAAACAAAAGCCGACATTGTCGCCATGAGTTTTGCGTAGACCTGATGATAAGTCACACCTTTCGACAATCTCCAGTGAAAGACTAGCATGTCTTAGCATCTGAGGTAGAAAATGACCATACACCAATCATCAAAGTCAAGACAATGTGTGTATCGAAGAGTCTCTGAATAAGTATGAAAGTGAAGGAGAGAGTTGACGAAAACCCACTCCAAGCAATTTTGACGTCGTCAACATACACTGTTTCAAACACGTATCTAAAAAGTCGACGTGATCCCTCATGAGTTGATCCACCGTTTGAACTTTAGACAATTTCCCTTCTAACGATTTCCAATTCGTCTCCAGCACTTCAACTGTGGCGAAAGCCAACACTTGTCTGACGAAAGCTAACATACGAGCACGAAGGGAAAACACGCGCATCTTCCATTTCTCCATATCCTCATCATTGGAATGGTTTCGCCATGGAGGAGCTTTATGTTCGAGCCACATGGCTGATAGAGCCGACTCGAGGGCATTAAGGTGAAGGAGGAACCGGAAGATGAGTTGGTATCTCGTGATTGTTTTTCGCGAGATGACGAGTGAGAGAGGGAATTTGACCGAGTAATCGAATGCTAAAGCGTCGAGGGCTAGGTATCAGCTTTGTTGCTCTCCTCCAAAAGATCATCCAATAGCTTATTGAGCAGAGATAGCCTTACCTATGAGTATCCGCTCTTTCCCCGATTTGTGAGATTGAGCATCATCGTCCCTTATCGCCTCTTCGGGCGCAAAATCAAGTTCGGCACCATCTGCCATACTACCTGTCGTACTGACAATCTTCATCAACCATTCGTATAAACCTTGGCTCGCCATGGTGACTTTGAGATCATCTTTATAGGGATCGAGCGAGCTAGAGCTGGCGGGATTGCGTAAAGCGAGATCAAGTAAAGATTGCAATTTGACCAAGGAAGCGGACTTTGCTGGTTTTTTCAATTCTGAACCTGCCAAATCGAGGAAGTTGGTCAAGAAATCGGATTGATCGAGGAAGAAAAAGTGTTTCATCGATCTGTCTCGTCAATACCGTCTACAGTCCGTAGCGTGAGCTGGACGAACCTCAGATGGGGTATCAACTCCTGTTCCTCCAACATAAGTCTGAGAAGGGTCTTGTTGGCGTATATGTAAGCATCCTCTATCCGCTTATAAAATCTGGACATTAGCCATGTGAGCGGAATAGGGCTCAAGGATGACTCACTTGGGTTCATTGATAACCACCATACCATCTTCCTCACTATCCACCTCGCCAGGCTTTTTGACCTCGATGCCACATTCCCGTACTACATTAAGGTATTTCCCCGCAAGAAGTATTTTGAATTTCCAAGGTTGAAGAAATGGAGGTATACAGGCACCTCCTGGAAGACGACCTGATCCATCTCGGACGTGAGGAGCAGCAGAGGCTAGTGTAGACTTTCCAGCGCTGACTTTGGAGGAAGATGCGATGGATGATCCGTCTCGTAACTAGTCACATATGAGCTCGAGCACGCGGATGGGAATGGACTCACCGTATATCGTCTCTCCCAATACTCGTCGGTATAATCGCTTTCCAAAACACCCTTAGTGATGTGTCCACTTTCCTTGACCATGAATTCATCATAGGGATCTGACAGATATCCTGTTGAGATCCACCGTGATAACATCTTTGAGTAAGGCTGAGAGGCATGTAACAACAAAGTGGAATGTAATGTCGACGCGGTGGGATCTCTGTAATGTCATTCATCTGCTATGTTTGGAGATGAATGAACTCACCCGCTCATCTTGGCGTCTCTCTCACAAATGACACCTAAAACCTCCCCTCCCAACACTGGTCCACTACTTCCCAGACCTTCCTGGGCGTTTAAATTCTTCATCAATCCCTTGAGTCCGGCGCCTCCCAACCCCAATTCTTCAGCCTTGGCATCAAATTCATCGTCAGATGATTCCTCAAGATCCGGTCCGCTTTCATCCGTCTCAAGCGCAAGACAGAGTGAAGAGAGCAGAGACATTGTGTGTAACGTGGGGTGGAGATGAAAATATAAGGTTTGAAGGGTGAAAGTAGAGGATGAAAGATATAAAGATTCCAGTTGAGCAGTAAGAACTCGGTATTCCTAAGTGGGGTTCAGCTCACCAGAAGTAGCTGGAGAAGGAGAGCTTACTTTTAACATCGACCGTATGCCACTACACAGGGCGTGACTGACCATACCAAATTCTGGACTACTCCTGTGCAGTGTAAGCAAAGTGACAAAGTGATATATATGATAACATACCTGAGCTCCATAGAAGCGGCGACGGAAGTGAAAAAGCTTGCGAGTGGTAATAAGCGTTCAACCAGCGATAAGAGTGAGGGGTCTGCAGTGTCAATTTCCCACGAGCTGTCAGGGGAATGACTTACCCAATGACGGATCCACTCTCCATTTGACACCTTGTAATCGTTGTGTAGCATCTAAGGGATCGTAATTATCATCATATCGTATCAATGTCCCTTCAACACCCTCCTTGTCAGCTAGGTTCACAAACAGACGATGTACACACCTGAAGCACAAACATCAGGTCCTCGCAGATCCAAGCCTCTTGGATCTCCAACGGAACGCCATCCAGCAATCTGACCTCTTTAGCGGTTCCTGACACAACTCCATTCACTAGAGATTCCTCTGCCGGGAGAGTTTGCGCTGGAGACCGTTCTGGCTCTTTGCCAGATCTATGTCGGGGTCTATCATCATCCTCAATAGTGGCTAAAGTCCGAGTGGAAGGAGGTTTGAAGGAACTTGATGATGCTCGAGATGTTTGAGATGATATTCGGTCTGTTTGACGAAAAGTTGATGGTCGTCTAGATGGACCAGGTTCGTTCTCTTTCGGTAATCTACTACGACCCTCTAGTGCGTCTATTTTTCAGTTTTACCCCACTAGTCCCCAGCAACTCCCTCCCATTTCTCCCTTGATACATCACCATAACACGCCTGATACCTCATGGCGAGCAAAAGCTACAATTGCGGCAAAGGCATGTCGATAACGACCATCACTCACCTTGTCTCCCAGGTAATTGTCCACCTTCCCCACTATGATCCAGCTCTTCGATAATAATTCCCGGTCTGACCTTCCGAACAGAAGCCAACGTCCCGGCGATCTGTTCGTATCAGTTCAAACTCTCCTCCTCGTCTCTCCAAAACCCGCAAGTCCATCATCAAAACCCACCTTGTTGATCTCCTTTTGGCTCAACGTCAACCGACTGGAGGTGCTCCGTTTGGCGGGTTTGGGGGTGAAGGGGACAGTCGCACTTGGTATTCTGGCCGACATTTTGGAGTCCTCCTACTTTCCGGATCTCTCCGATATCGAGGCGGTGTCTCTCTGAGTTTTATGCGAGTGGAGGTGAGTAGAATGGATGGATAGATGGCAGCTAGTTTGAGGGAGAGAGGGGGGGGGAATGTCCGAATCCGCGGTGTCCGTCGGAAAAAGCGCGTCGTCCATGTCCGTGCGACGCGTCAATGTGGCACTGTGGCAATGTGGCACTTTTCCCCTTCATCTCCTTCTCTCCAAATGTTCGAAAGCATCACCGTGACACCGAGTTGTCCAAAGGCCGAGAGCGGTGGAGTGGAGGGTCGAGACCCATGTACTTCAGTCTGGACAATGACGACGATCAAAGGGGTTAGTAAGATGAGACATACGGCCGCAGGGTGTTAGGATGAAAGGATACAGATCCGTTGTATCCATCCTTCCTTTCGACGGTAAAGTACGGGGGGAGGTGGAGTAGATGACATGTAGCTCACTCATATTTGGTCTCGTCTCTCTTTTCCTTGTGAGGAATGAGGCTATTTATAAAGTACTCAACAAATCAAATTTGAGTCAAAATCAAAAGGACCATTAAGGGATCATCGTGGATCAAGACGTCGAAAATTGGTGTACGAAATCGCATTGAGATTCTAGTAACGGGTATTTCGACAAGATGGAAGATCAAGCTAAGGCAGTGAAGATGGATAGTATCCGGTAAGTTGACATCAAGTCCTCATTCCCTTCTCACATCTCTCTGCTAGACATATTTAACCTCGAATCTCACTTCAAGTGACATTTGTCAGAGTACCCATGTCGAAAGATGACTCAAAATCCATCTGCTGACACATAGTTCGGACCTCAATGCACTTATCGCTGACATCGCCCTCAACTCCGACCTGCAACCAATTACGACTCCCTGCCTTGAATCTCCTCCCTCTCCCACGAAATCCTCCAAGTCGGGTAAAACCGCTAAAAACAAATCTCCCTTCTCTCGTCTGAAATTCAAGAAAAAAGGTTGGACTAAACTACCCGATTCGACCCCACTCGAAGTCCGACGCGGCTCCACCGACCCACTTCTCCGTCGAGGTTCCTCAGGCAGCGATACGACCTTGGTTGAAGACGTTGGCGAATCCGCCGCTGATCTTCTCGGCCAAATGGCGCCTCTCGTCTCTGCCCTTCAAACCCTCTCTCCGAAGATGTCGACCATCAAACCGATCCCAGCCGATCTTAGGGAGTTGTTCGATGAGGCATGTCAAAAGTTGACGGACTTGCTTGAGAAGAAGAGAGCGGGGGTTGAGGAAGGAAAGGGTGATGAGCTCGGGATGAGTCGTCTACTTCTTGATGCCTTGTTGAGGAAAGTACAAGCTGAACGATTGACCGTGGCTCGCGCAGCTAGCCCGTTGGTCATGCAAAGCGCCAATCCGTTCGTCATTCATGCTGCCGCACTAGGCTCGACATCGACGATCAGTAATGGTAGTGCGGCCAGTAGTATCTTGAATGGAGGAAGTAGAACTATCAGTTCTCCAGCAAGGATCGCGCCCGTCACCGGGACAAGTGCTGGGGGATATACGAGCTTTGCTAGTGCGAGTCAGAGTGGAGCTTGGGGGATGAATGTGGTCAGATTGGGAAGTTTTCAAGCTAGTGCATTGTTCAGCCCTAGTCCTATCGCGGTGCGCAGAGCTGTATGATGGATTCGAACTGTTCATCAATGGAAGAGATTGTATACCCATGTACTTTGTGAGTTGGAGGGTTTGTACGAAAAGTTTATGATGAGTGAAGTGAAATGTATCGTTGTCTTCACTGGTTTCATATTGTGTTATCTCGTTAGATCAGAGGTCCATCTCGTTCGCCTCTGTCAAATCTGCCCTCGTCAAAGTATCGTACTCGCTTCTCATCAACGCAATCTTTCTGTATCTTAGCTTAATAACGTACCAGTTTCTTGCCACCAAAGAATCGTCCATCGAGCTCCCTAGTTGCTCGCCATGCTCCAGCCATACCGGAATAGACAATGAAAATCCGCAGGCATTCTGAAGGATCTTCTGGGACTGGCTCTGCCATGTGCAGGACGACACGTTCGACGATACTGTATGTCAGTTTCGATTTCCTTTACAAACCTAAATGTGATGACGGGAGAAGGAGAGAGGCCCTGCACTGTACTTACCCGTAATTCGAACACTCCTCTCCAATTTCTTCTGACAACTCTTCGTCTACTTCCTCTTCATTGTCCACAATTCCTGTCAAAACAATCACCCTGCTCGCTTCTCCCAATCTCTCCTTTTCCACCCTCTGCCTCTCATCTTCGTTGGCATTGACGATCCGACCTCTGTTCGTCCCATGTTGCACCCATCGTCGATTAGCATTCTTCTCATTGGCCGCCGCCGCTTTTTGCCTCGCAACTGCCCGTTTGGACAACGGTTGATTAGGATCCGCAGGTTTGGGAGGAGCCACAACATGTTCTGCCGCAAGAGCATGGACGATACCAGTTGAAGACGCCCCTAGACCTTGACCCTCCTTGTGTCCAAGCCGGCGCATGTCTGATAATCAGCTGAAAGCTCATTGGTGGATTGTTTGACTCACGTCTTTCCGCCCATGTGCCTCCGGATCTGGTCGTCAGCAGAGTCACACATACTATAAGAGCAACACACCCTTCTTCCAATGGCGGTAACTCGCCGGCGGGTTTTGGGGCCAAGGCCGTGAGCTTGTCGGCGATGGCTTGAGCGGCCTGCCGCTTTTCCGCGATCAACTTGTCAATATCACTCGGCGGCGGTTGAGGTATCGGTACAGGTGGATCAGATGGTGCTGAGACGCTGGCAGGTGGGCTATGAACGCCAGACAGGTGTTGTGCGGAGTTTACTGGGAAAGAAGGAGGAGGCGGAGCTCCAGCCAGTGCAGAAGGGGGAGGAGGTATAAACCCAGATCGCATTCCCGGTGGCGGCGGCGGAGCTCCGGCCAACGCTGACAGCGGAGGAGGTACAAAACCTCGAGGTGGAGGGGGTGCACCTGCGAGGGCAAAAGCTGGCGGTGGAATGAAGGAGGAACTGGGAGGTGGTGGTGCTGCATCTTCTGGCGGAGGAGGCGGGGGATAGGACGGCATCGTCGCTAACTCCGCTGCAGATACCGACGCCTGGTCTTGAGGCTTTGCTTGCGACAGAGCCAGTCTACGGGCGTAGGCATCGTCCCCAGTTGATGCTTGTACCATAGCCGCTCGTCTAGCATAGGCATCGTCCCCGGTCATCGCTACGTCAGTCTTTTGTGGTGGATTCAGGGGGAGTGGTTTGGAGGATGCGGGAGGCGAATATATTCTCGGAGGGGCAAACATTTTTGGAGCTGAGATTTCAGCCAGACCTGATAATGAACACAATGACCTGCTCACCATCCCTCCTGGGAGCTTCTTCCTCGCTGTCCGTCTCATACTCGCTTCCAGAGCTGCTATCGCCCATCATCCGTCTGCTCTTCTCTGCCAAGGCTTTGGCCCGTTTCTCTTCCTTCAGTCGCCGGCGGTATTGTTGATACTCTGCTAGATCGTTGGGCCTATTGGGATCATATTGCTCTTCGGGATCGAACAGCTGGACGACCATAGACGGTAGTTCCAGCCGCTTCTATGACGCATTAGCCCATATCCATCAACACCTGGAAATTTGAACCCTCAAGTTCTCGGCCGTTTCAGTGTCATATATGTCGGATGGTCATGTTAGAATGCTAGTGGTTGAAAAGAACACACCTTCTTCTTCTTCTTTTTCTTCTTTGACCCATCCCCATCTCTGCCCCTTTTGCCCAACTCCGCCCTGGTGGGCTTCATCTTCAACGTCATCGCCGGAGCCCTTTCCAGCGGTTTCCCATCCGTACCAAAAGCCACCTCTTCTTTTGTCATGGATACAGGCGGTGAATCACGCACAACCGGAAGCGCAGCGTAGACTGTCGTCGGTCCGGTCGGACGAGGGATCATCGTTTTGGTCTTGGCTATGCGTGGTGCGAACTTTAAGGAGGCCGAGAATTCTGGCCCGGTGCTTTTGGGCATTTTGGCAGCCTGGACGGCAGAAGAGGAGGCAGCGGCAGCGGCAGGGGGGGTGGTGCCTTTTGGAGGAGGGCCTGTGAATATGAGCATACGTACGTTTATATCGTTGACAGACTCACCTGGGGGAGCAACTTCTGAAGGAGGGGGAGGGGGAGGAGCCGGATCGGCAGAGGTTGGTGACACGGAAGATGACCCGTTGTCGAGACCAAACTTGATACCTCCGTATAGCGACATGATTCAATCCGTTCTACACCGGTCACCCTTGAGCAAAGGGCGAGGGGTAGGGAGATATGGAGTGAAGTGGGGTGAAGAGGGTGAAAGGGCAGTAGTAAGGTAAGGTAGTAAGTGACAACGAAGTGAGCACGAAATTATTGATCGATTTAAAAGACGTCTTTTTATCAATTCAGACTTTGTCATTTGACTTTTCCTCCCATGTCTCTCACATCTGGGCTGTATGGTCTGTCTAGGGAATATTGGCAATCATGGAGCATATCAGATGGTGTACAAGACAACTTATCACCAGGAGAAGAATGGATAGGTTCTTGGTCCAATGTGGGCTTGTACAACGAGTGAGTTTACATGTTCCTTCTTTCCTCCTTTTTCTACATCTTCGGTCAGCCTATGAGGCAACTACGTTTTGAGGAGCGCAATGATTGATGATAAGAAACGACAAGATACCAGAGCTGCAAGTACTCACTGTCCATCTAACCACACATCGTCTCATTCTCATTCCCATCATCTCTGACACCCCTGTCGCCTCTTCATCCCGACATGCACCTCTGGGACTGTCCACTTTACTCAGTCATATTCGTCAGACCGAGTTTTACGCAGGTTTCATGCGTTCTTCGGCAAAGATAACACTTGCTCTCGGTCCACCCAATCCATCGACTACTACGTCCACTGGCAATGGTGAACCCGTCAAGTCTGTGTCTATAGACACGTACACCGATCAAGGATGGACGTGTGGGGTTTGTGGTTACTCCAATCCGACTGATGTGGGAATGGGTAAATGTGGACTTTGCGGAGTCCCATATTCTGTCTCACAAGCTGCTATGTCAAGTTTCTCCCAAGGACCATCGAGGACCTCGACGCCAACTCCTCGACCTATATCAACCATGTCTGCCACAGCTCCCCCGGAAATCTCTCAGATTTCGAGCGAAATCACTACATCGCTGGAAGAGGGCATTCCTTGTCCAGCGTGTACTTTTCTGAATCATACATCTATGACCTTTTGTGAGATATGCTCTACTCGACTGAAGACATCAACATCTCGGAAAGCAAATATCACCGGGCCTGACATGTCGGACCCAAGTGGCGGGAGAAGTCAAAGTAAGCAGGAGGTTGTACGTCTAAGCTTTCGCGGTGGGGGAGAAAAGGTGGCGTATCAGAAATTGAAGAGTGTTTTGACTCAAAAAGCCTGGGAGAAGTCTCAAAAGACAAGAAGGGACAAGGAGAATGGTGAAGTCAAGTCGGGGGCGGGTATAGGTGTGTCCAGCTCCGATCTAAAACCAGGGTGAAGCTGATATACAGATGGAATAATGAACACTCTATCACTCGACGCAAAGGAACAGGAAGAACATGTCAAGGAATCTTTCAGAGATCTTGAACTGCTCATGGTTCGTGCAGGAGAGATGGTTGGTTCTTTCTTCATCTATGTCGCAGACTCATGCAAGCCAGCTCCCCTTAGCGAGAGACACACGCTCCTCACTACATCATCTCCAAGTCACCAACAACCCTCACATGTAGAGTTATAAGTGACAATTCCCGGTGACGGATAGGGTGGGAGATGATAGAAGAATGGAATAAGTCACAAGTTGAATACGACTGACTTGACAGGTCCGGTTAGCTCAATCTCTCAGTGCCAAACTTTCAGCCTCCTCCTCTCCTTCAGAGTCCGAAACATCTCTCATTCACAATTCTCTCGTCCAACTTGGCCTTCCCGCACCCGCTTTGACACCTGATATGGTCTCTACGGATCGAGCGTATCATACCGGTCTAGCCAAAGAACTGGCACATCTCCTCCTTGGTAAAACAGGTGATGGGGGTTTGATGAATCAAGTAGGTAGAGGTGTGATAGGTTTAGATGAAGTATGGGGTTTCTGGATGAGAGCTAGGGGTGTTGGTGAGTTCACCGTCCAACCTCTTGCGCTCGCCCTCTTTGGATGTTACTGCCGTGGACACGACCCGATCGCGTTGATATTGCTTCACTTGACGACCTTTACCTGCAAGCCGATTGACGATATTTAGATATGGGTATATGAATGACACAGCTGATATGTAGCTCTTCTTCCACCTTCAACACTCATCTCCGTCCTTCCTTATCTAGCCACTCAAACTTCCATTCGTGATTTGACTCTTCCCAGTGGTCTAAGAGTATTACATACGAAATCATATGACCCCATTTCTATCCTTCATCGTATTCTCGTACTTCTCACTCCCTCTGCTCACTCTCCTTCTTCCGAGGTACTTACAGCCACATCCGCTCATAGTGATCCAGCATCTTTACCTCCGATCTTACCCACATCTCAAACTGCCGTGTCATCTTACAACTCAACCAATCTTTCTTCTTCCGACGAGGGAGGATTTTTAAGAGATAACGAGGGAGAATCACCAAGAACAGATAACGAGGAAGAATTATCAAGGATAAGTATCGAGGGAGAATCATCGAGAACAGATAACGAGGGAGAATCATCAAGAAGAGATAACGAAGGAAAATCATCAATGATAACAAACAAAGAAAAATACATAACCATAATACAATTATCTTTTTACGAATCTTTACCTATCGGATTAACACAAGAGTTGATGGAACATATCGAATTGTTACAAATACCCGAATCATCTTCTATCAGTGTTACATTAGGGGACGAACCTTCGAGAGTTGGTGGAACCCAGTTGGATTCGACGGAAATAAAAGGTTTAGTAAGGGATGATCAAGCTCAAGGAGGTGTTAGATGGTATCGAGATCTTATCACTCCTTGGATGTTATGATAGGTTCTTGTATGGTTCTTTGAACATTGTACTCGTACTGTAGATAATCTTGTACTGGTTTACTCTCTAGACATATTTTGTCATTGCATCTCTCACTCTTTTTCCTGTCATTGTCGATACCGTAAACGTTTGTTTCTACATATCATTTTTTTTCTCAAAGTATGTTTTTTTGTCTTCCTGTGACCTAGTTCATAGGCTGGATGGGAACGGTTTGTCACAGACTTCACAAGTGGGATGGGAAGAATTAACAGAATGGAAGAAACCAATCGACATGTTGAGAAACACCATTTTACGGATGAGACAATACGGATATTTTGATTGCATTCTTCTACATCATCATTGAGACATTATGATCTATTAATTTTAGTGTGACACATTCATAATCGGAATAACTGTGTTATTGAATTAGTGGAACATGGGACGCAAGAATGAGATGAAAGATTGATATTTGGTTGAAACTACTGCTGGTATTGTCATCTCATCAAAAGGGTTGGAGATAAGTTTACGTTTTATGCATTTCTCGAACGGATGAAGTATCCAAAAAAGTCAACCTATCATTTCCTTTTCCCCCTTCATTCTACACTTGTCAAAAACAGTTATGAGTTTTCAATACAAGTGATTTAAACCTTTTAAATCTAAACATCCCGACCTAATTCACTATAAAGACTACGATCGACAAATGAGTATCCTCTGATGCACTTTGACACAATTTCGTCGATATAACTTGTCTCATATCACTTTATCCATAAACCTTCCACCTCACTCCATCCATAAACCTTCCAATTCACTCAAAACCACACCATCAACACCTTTAACACCCACCACCCAATCTAATTCATCACCATGACCTGCCAACCAACCACTTTCCACAGGTCTACTGGCGAATTTCCAACCTTTACCATCCACACCTCCAGCTCCGAAACCCATTTTCTCTTCATTAAAAGCAGGTGATACAGTCCCATTCAAAACACTTAGAGTTTCCACTAATCTTCTACATAATATACCTAATGGATTATTCCTCCAATCTGTCGTTCCTCTTGTATTACCAGTGAATGAGATGACTCGTAATAAAATAGGTATGACACCTTTTATTTCTCTCATTTTCGCTCGAACAGATAAAGGTGAGAGGAAAGCTATTGAATATAAACACAAGGATAAAGTTTCGAAATGAGCTATGAAATCTTCATGATATTTCAATGATTCTTCTTGTCTTCTTGAGATAGGTAAAAGTTTAATGAGAGTTTCGAATAGAGATATCAATTCGTTTGAAGGAAGACGAGATAAGATTTCACGATTGGAATCACGATGCGTTAATTTACATAAGGCTTCAAGAGTTTTGTAAGTGCTGGGTGTCATACTAGGTGGAACGACAGATAAAGGGATTGGAGGTCCATAGAGTGGATTGTGAAGAGTTGTAGGATCAAGAGTTTTGGGAAGGGAGGAAGAGAGAAGTTTGAAGATTGTTTTGGTTGATGAGAATGAGAGTGAGGGTAAGTAGAATGAAAGGGAAAGATTGGAGAGGATTGAGATCACTTCTCGTCGGACTCGAGCTAGTTCAAGGATGGAAAAAGGTCGGGAAGATCGATCGGATGGACGGTTGTTGCTTGAGTGAGACGACTTTGAGTCTTTCTGTTCCGTACCCTCATCTGCGTCACAAGTTTGTACCGGTTTGTCGGTCGAATAAAGGTCATTTCCATTGAGATGTCGCGAAGATTCAAATTTATCCTTACTAGTTGACATGTCTTGTTGAAGGAGACGACCAAGTTGGAGTGGTATGGGCTTGTCGCGTTGAACGGATGCGGATGCGTAATTGGAAGAATAAAACCGACATAACCTCGAATCCGTTATCCTCGCCAGAAGATCAAAAATCCCAGGATACCTCGCCATGACTTCTTGATTCTCCACCATCATACTCAAATTCCTCAACAAGTTCAAACAACACAAGATGATATCAGTCCTCCCTCCGGTAGAGCAACGTCCTGTATCAAACCCCCATTCTTTGTCTCTGCCCATTCGTTCCAATTCTGAATACGTCAAATCCTCATATCGACTTTCTTCGTCCCCAACACTCTTACACCAGGTATCGTATCCATCTTCTCCGAACGCTGCCTCACAACACAGATCCACAATTTCCACGTAAATCTCTTGAAGATGTAACAAGGGTAGTCCCGCGATACCTTCGTCAGGATGGGGCATGGAAAGCATCGACATGACTGCCAAAGCATACCCTAGTTGATGGGGCAGCCGAGAGCGTAGGCTCATCAGGACAGCTTCCATGTCGACTATACCGAGTTCGTGCACTGATCGAGGGGTCTGATGAAGGTTATGTTTTGGAAAAGAGGATACGATGGCTCGTTCGTCCCATCCTGCTAAAGTCGGTTGAGGGAAGTGAAGAGGACGGTATTCAACTTTGTATCGAGCACGTTTGGGAGTCGGAGGACAAGGAGGAGAGGGATCTGGAACTGGTGCTGGTGCTGGAGTGGCCTGAGGAGTGGGGGTAGCTGGAACGGAACCCTGGTAGTCAGCACGAGGTCTGACAGCACCACTTTGTATGGGGTTGTACTCACGGATTTTGATTTGTTAGCTTTCGCACTATCCTTCTCCCTTTTGCGCTTTTTGGCACTGCCACTCGTTGGGCCTGCAGGTGAACGACTATTTGTCGACGTATCGATTTTGATAGGTGGAGGTACGTGCTTCGGATTATCCCCCTTGATTTTTGACGGAGCGGGTGAAGATCCATCGGGCAATGAAACGCCTATAGTGGAAGTTGCGGGGGAGGGGTGAGCAATCACGTTGACAGGCGTAGCGACCGCGGAGCCCGGCGTCGGCGCTTGTTGAATCGCCGAATGAGGATGGCCTTGCTGAGGCTGTTGTGATTGTGGAAATGTTGCAGGAGACGAATCGTTCTGAGCCGGTATGGGATTCTCCAGAGGTGATCTTCCAGCCATCAAGGCCGCCGCCGCTTGCTGCCTCTGAAGCAACGCCATCCGCTGTTTCTGCATATGCTGCTCAAATGGTCCAAGCCATGACCCATACGCCGCCAAGAGGTACTGAATTGGATTGGTGGTCATCTCTTGAGGTAACGAGACATCTATCGAGAGAGGTCTAGGTAACGGGATAGGTTGTGGTAATGGGTTCGGAATATTCTTCGCGGTCAACAAAGTTTGCCAGAACGGACCTTCGGGAGGCATCTTCGATATATTCGTTATGCCGCCAGATCGCAAGATGGCCATGAAGAACTCCATCACGTCCAGCCAAACGTCGCCGAGTTTGAGAGCACCCTCTCGCTCACCATTGAATATGGGGGTGGGAAGAGGAAGATTCATCTGTTTGTGATAGCCGGCGAGAGAACTAAGAAACTGTCGTCGTTGATCCGCTGGACCCGGTCGGTTGGGCGGACGGACGGCTCCTGTTTGCGCGGGCGGTCGGACTTGTTGAGCGGACCCCATGTCGCGTTGTTGGTGAAATTGGTCCTGATTTCCCGTGCCATTGCTTGACATGGGCGCGCCGTTGCTGTTGGAAAGGGGAGGACGGGCGACAGGAGACTGGGTGGGAGCCAATGGGTTGTGGGGGAAAGCTGAAGGGGATCTGGAAGGTCCTGCAACGGCGTTTTGTTGATCAAGAGGTAAAGATGTACTGGCAGTTGCAGGGGATGGGGCAGTGATAGAAGCGGGGGAAGGAGCACTGATAGGATGAGAAGTTGAGTTTGGTCGCACACCTGGCGGAAGGGTGCCAGACGTTCTTCTCGCTTTAGCAGATTGCAGAGCCTGGAGCTGATATGGTCAGTTCAAGTCTTCCAAGTTGAACGACAAAAAGACGAACCTGTTTCATAATGGCCTCTTGATTCGCGCCGGGCATTTTGCTCAACATCATTCCGTTGACAGCACTGGCAACTCCCCAATCGTTCCCGGAGCCATTCATACCGAGTTGAGTAGGGTGAGGGTCCACTGACTGACGCTGCATACTGGACTGGGTAGACTGGGCGGGCAAGAGCCTAGCTTGAGAGGACTGAGGGCCAGATGAGGCATGACCGGCTGAGCCGTTGGTCGACGACGGAGGGGGGAAGGAGATGGAGGGGTTTGACAGACCGTTGGCATGGGGTGTATGAGAAGAAGAAGTCGAAGGTTGGACTACCGCAGTAGATGGAGGACGTTTGGAGTCTGTCATCTGGGTTGACATCCCACGAGTTGACTAATGGGTCAGTATGACCGACATGGCTTTGTGAGAATCAACCAGTGGCACTCACCTGTCACCTCTGGAAACTACGAAGGGAGTGGACTACCTCCACTCTGATCGTTGGCTGGCCGTTTGACGACTACGGATGCAAGTACTTTGCGGACGTGACGTGCACGCGTCGTCGATACGAGACAAACCGGGTGGAGGTGAGGTCTCGGGGGATCGATCACTTTTTCCTTGCTCTCCCAACTTCCTTCGCCGGATGGAAGAGAGGGCGGGGGAGGGAGGGACGACGCCAAGGGGACAGAGGCAGGCCAGGTCAGAGGGCCAGAGGCCAGAGGGGAGAAGCGTGGGATGGGACACGTCGTTTTTCCTGGTCACGTCAGAGATTGGGAATCGGAAGATCTAGATCCGACGGGGTTAAACGGCCCGAAAGGCCAAGCTTGCGGTTGCGGTTCGCAGAAAAGTGGGTGGGTGGGTCTGATCTCGACCAGTGGCCAATGGACCTTGCCGTCAGAACGGTACGGCGTTGAATTTGGGGATCGGGGCGCGTTTCAGGATCTCGTACGGCTGAATCACTCTTTGACTTTGATTCGACTAATCGGGTGGGAGAGGACAGGGGCAGAATGGCAGGATGGCGGATTGATAGGCAGAGCGGGACAAGCCGAAGCCGAATTGGTTACTTTTTTCCTTACCTTGTCAGAAAAAGCTTGGATTACCTTCGGGTCAGACACGGAGCATGCGAGTAAATCCTCCACAACTTGCCCCAACCCCCCCATAGAACGCACAAAGGAGCCGTCATCGCCCAATCCGGTAATTTATAACACCGCATAACACCGATGGTGGCGAACCCTGACCCCATGACTTTTTCGACTCAACCCCCGAAAGGCAAAAAGGATTGGTCGCAAAGTTGCTATAGTAGCTTCTTTTTCTCCCAAACCATCACCCACCCACATCAACACAATGCTCAGAAGAAATACTCACCTCCTACGCAACATCTCTTCTCGTCCTTCCACCTCCCTCCCCTCCCGCTACCGCTCCACCACTGCCTCCACCTCTAGAAAACCTCAACCTTCCGTCGCCGGGGAAAAGGGCATCACCGTCGAAGGGAAAGCCCGTGTCCAAGAACACATCCGTAGGATCCAGAGTAGTGCTCCAAAAGCTGCTGCTCTGGCTGTCCGTCCCGAACCCGCACAACATTTTCAGACTTCTCCGACCACATTCCCCTCTCAAACACCGGCGTTTGATGACCCTCTAGACTCGAAAATCAAGGATGGGCTCGATTACTCGTGAGCTACTTCGCGCTTCGAATACTTATAACTCACACGCAGCTTCATCGGTCTCTCTGGGGGTCAGATATTCCACGAAATGATGCTTCGGCACGATGTGAAAAAGGTCTTCGGATATCCCGGAGGAGCTATCCTTCCCGTTTTCGATGCCATCTACAACTCACCCCATTTCGATTTCGTCTTACCTAGACATGAACAAGGTGCTGGTCATATGGCAGAGGGATATGCTCGTGTCTCTGGAAAACCCGGTGTCGTTCTCGTCACTTCTGGCCCCGGAGCGACAAACGTCATTACACCCATGCAAGACGCCTTGTCGGACGGTGTTCCCATGGTCGTGTTCTGCGGTCAGGTCGCTACCAATCTTATTGGCAGTGATGCTTTCCAAGAAGCAGATGTCGTTGGTATCTCCCGCAGCTGTACCAAATGGAATGTTGTTGTCAAAGACATTGCAGAGTTACCTAGGAGAATCAACGAGGCTTTCAAAATTGCCACAACGGGAAGACCTGGTCCTGTCCTTGTCGACTTACCGAAAGATGTGACTGCTGCCATACTCCGTGCTCCTATTCCCTCCAAGTCGGTACAACCAGGTTCAGCACCTTATCTCCCTTCCAATCCACTCAACCCCGCCACTGTTCCTTCAAGACCTCAACCCGGTGATGCCTCTAGCATCGCCAGAGCAGCCAAGCTCATCAATGGCGCTAAAACTCCTATCGTCTACGCAGGCAACGGAGTACTTTCCTCCCCACACGGACCCAAGCTGCTAAAAGAGCTTTCCGATATTGCCGGCATTCCTGTCACGACGACACTTCAAGGGTTGGGGGCGTTCGATGAGCGAGATGAGAAGTCTTTACATATGCTGGGGATGCACGGAAGTGCGTATGCCAACATTGCAATGCAGGAGGCGGACGTGATCATAGCTTTGGGGGCGAGGTTTGATGATCGTGTGACCGGAAAAGTTGACAGTGAGTTGATGTTTCTACCCGTTTCCACTGTATGAAGTTGACCGTTCCCATGTGGGGCTCTCAGCTGATGATCAGCTTTCGCACCAGCCGCCAAGGCCGCTGCTCTGTTGAACCAGGGTGGTATCATTCACTTTGAGATCCAACCCAAAAACATCAACAAGATCGTTGAGGCACACGTGCCCGTACTGGGAGATGTCGTGGCTTCGCTTGCGGAACTCGTACCCCAGATCGAGCAAAAGGACCGAAGCGCTTGGATAGCCCGCTGCAATGCTAACAAAGAGCGTCTTCCCTTTTCGTATACCCCTAGTCAGCCGGGCGAGAAGCTGAAGCCTCAAGAGGTGGTCAAGGAGCTCAACAAACAGGCTGAGGCATTGGGAAGTGAGTATGGTCGTCTCAACCATCCGTCCATGTAAGGATGTGAAGATCAAGGTGACTGGTGCTGACTTTACTTAGAGGATAAGTTCGTCATTTCAACCGGTGTCGGACAGCATCAGATGTGGGCTTGTCAGTATTACCGATGGACCGAGCCTCGATCATGGGTTTCTTCTGGTGGCTTGGGCGTGAGTCTCACTAGCTCTTCGCTCCTGGACCCAAACTTTGCCCCACCTTCGAGATCGTTGGCAACTGACAATGAGGCATATCGCTCACGCACAGACCATGGGCTTCGGTCTCCCTTCCGCCATCGGAGCCAAAGTCGCTGCTCCCAACAAAATCGTTATTGATATCGATGGTGACGCATCATTCTCCATGACAGCTATGGAACTCGCCACGGCTCATCAATATAACATCGGCGTCAAGGTACTTTTATTCAACAATGAGTTCCAAGGTATGGTGGAACAATGGCAAGATTTGTTCTACGAGAACCGATATTCCCACACGAGAATGACCAACCCAAACTTCGTCAAGCTTTCCGAAGCCATGGGCGCCAAGGCGATGCGATGCGGTAGTCTGCAAGATCTGCCAGGGATGATGAAGGAGTTTTTGGAGTATGATAATGAGAGACCCATCGTGATGGAGTGTTTGGTCAGTAGTGAGCATGTGTATCCTATGGTACCTGCTGGCAAGGCTTTGCACGAGCAGATTGTGAGTGGCTTCTTGTTTCACTCGTCCACCTTTCATACGCTTCTCTGCTCGGCTTTTTCGTAGCAGTCGCCGTCCCTGTCGAGTGTTCCGTTATGAAAACACTCTGCTCGTAGGCAGGGTAGTCGTTGTGGACAGGAGTGATATTATATCAAAGCGGGGCCGCTAATAAACAGCTGCATCCTTCGCTGAGGGATAAACAATGGGTGGAGTGAAGTGGAAGAAGTGTGAAAATCGCCCAGGGATGGGTTTTCCTGTGATCAAGGGATGTTTGTGTAAGGATTGTATGCATGTCAATAAGATGAGTGATCTGGTGTTTGTAGAGGTCACAACATATGGTATCGTCTTGTTTCCGTACTTCAAAGTTGCTTGCAATTCAGATCACCGGCCACCGGCCGACTGGTCGAGTCAGGCTATCTATGGTCCGCTCCGACATGTCCACATCGGAGAAATTTCCGTCCATCAAAAAGTTATGAGCAGATTTGATCGTTTCATCGCCGTCTACTTGTATTTTCGTAACCATGTAATTCTTTTTCTACAAATCGATGGAAGTATGGATCTGGCTTCTCTTGCAAGATACCCCCAATGGGATGATGGAAGATCTTCGGTTAGGTATACTGCGTCCGAGGGAGGGAGAGGGGATCAGGAAGAAGATATCGATATGTCTGTCGGGTATGGGATTCCTGAGAGGTCGGTGAGTTGAGTTTGTGTTCTTGACTTCATCATAATGTTTCCACAGCTATCAAGGGTCGCACAATTTGATCAAGTGAGATGATTTACGGGAGAAGAGGTTATCACCAGGTGAAGGAGACTTTCGTATGAGAGGGCTGAATCACGGAGGGCGAAGTCGAGAAAAGAGATGTTCAAGTGTATCAACCTTCGTGGTCAAATCGCAACTTTGGCGATAATAATCAATTGAAGAGTGGACGTTACTAAGTGAACAAGGGGACAGTAGTACTACTTAAGTGGAGGTGAGGAGTGAAGTAGAGAAAGTAGAAACTGACGACTAGAGATATCTATGTTTAGATACAAACATACTCATTCATCATTTACCCATAATCAGAGAATTTTATGATACCTTGATCCCTTCAAATGGACAAGAAGGAAATACGAAATTACTGATTCCTGATATTGTCATTCATGGTAAGTAAATCCCCCCCCCCTCCTCATTCTCTACCACAGAATTCTGTAAGCTTAATCTCCCTTTATCTACTTACGCCCCTCGATTCACACTTGATGATCTTTGAACCCCCTCGAAATGCACTTGGTTGATATTTCCCAGAACTAGATAAATTAGCAGTAATGGATCATCCTATCCGATTGGTACATTTCGACGTTCAAATCTCTATTGGTGATTTAGCAAAAGCTGCTACTCAATGGTTATTACGTTCTATCCGGTCTACCAACTCGACTCTTTCAAGTGGAACTACAGATCATGGTCTACAGGATGGTGGTGATACTTATACAAATATTGACAAAAACTCGAATGGTAGACGAAATACGAAGGATAGACAAAGAGAAAGAAATGAAAGAATATATTGTCAGAAAAGGGATGAAACGATAAATTCCAATCTGACCAAAGGGGATGATAAAATATTAGATTGTTGTTTGTTTTTTCAACGGAAGGGAGAGGTGATCTTATGGACGGAAGATAAGAATTTAACTTTACTCGTGAGTGATTATTTTCATAACAAACTGTACATCTTCTCTTTCTTCTGTTGTACAGGTATTCGTACTTGTGTATTCCTTTTTCTTGAGGGAATAATAATTTCCGATCTTTTGTCATTTGGTGGTGAGTTTGATGATGAAACCAATCTCAATCATGTATTCGTATGTGTAGGATGTTTACCAGAGTCCACTCGACTCACATGTTCCAATGCGAGGTGTCAGAAGTTTCTCCAAAAGTGGGCAACCACTCACTTGGAGAGTTCCGCGACATGTTGGGTTTTATTGTGCTTGACAGCAGCTCATAATTCAGGCAGAAGCAAATTCCATTTCTACTCTACATCTTCCGCGACCATCTCTTCTAAACCTACTAAGTGCTCTGAACATTTCTTTTCCCACCCTCGAGGTTTTGTCAACACAACACCAAACGATCTCTCAAGCAAATATTCCTGATTTCCCACAGGTTTTGATAGATGATTCAGATATGGAATTAGATTATCATCCTGTACGTTTATTTTCAGTTCAATCATGTTTTTTCCTTCTATCCCTCCCCCTCTCCCTCCAGACGTTCTTCTCACTTCACGAGTACTATTTTCTGGTATCACCTCCAATTCTATCATCTGGTTTCTTCTTATATTCCTTTGGTCGCCTGTCATATGGGGCTGAGATGCATCTTCTCTCCACACCTCATTTTTCAGTTGTGGCCAACCCCCAACGCTGTATGATTAAATGGTGTGAATACTGTATGAAAGAACAAAAGAAATGTCAACTCATAATATATAGGAACCTTCCCCTCCATCCGTGCGAAAATTTCTTAATCCATTTATCGACCTTCCACCTATTCCTGATCTCCCATCTCGTATTCCACCTCAATATCAAATCAAACCTTCTCTCCGGCGATCATCCACATCGACTTCTTCTTCTTCTCTCACATTATCCACTTCATCTGTTCCAGATGTAGAATTCCTTGAATTACTAAATAACGTTTTCTTGCCCATCTCTCATCAACTTACACGACTAGTCTCTCAGCCTTTTCCCGGTTCTTCCTCTTCCTTCTCTTCTGGACTGACGACTTTCTCTCAGGTCCCTCCTCCGACGACAGCGACAACAACGATGATCACTACACCGACATCGACAACAACATTAACATCGACTCTCTTTCCCACCACATCTGCAACCTCGACATCGACAATGATCTCATCACCATCACTCCGTTTCGGAATTTCTACCAGTACCAACGCATCGAATGAAACTAATGGATTACATCGACTAAGGGATCCAACATCAACATCAACATCGACAACGACATCTACAACCATCTCATCCACCTCCAAAACTCTGACGACCCCAACGAAAACATTGACGACTCTTCGCACGACCCTTGAAGCTCTTACAAAGCTCGAAAAATCTTTATTCCCTTCTTTAACCCCTTCCTCTGAAATTCCAAGAATGACAAATCAACATCAATCCCTTCTCCGTTCCATCGCTTCTATCCGAACTTTAATAGCTTTCATCTCACCTACTTCTCCCACACTTCGTCGACCTCGGACTGGAGAAGTCATAGAAACCATAATGCCCTTCTGTCAATTTCTAGATATGTTAGGAGTGGAATATGATCCGATCATTTTTGAAGAATTGAGAAATAAATTACGACCTTCTCATGGAATATGACTTTTTGTATTCTTTTCATCTGTCATACGATACTGGATACATATATGCACATGTATGCTCAAAACAATTTATACAATACAATCATATGAAGAAAAAGAATCGTTGATGTTATGTAATGCTAAATACGATACAGTGACAAAATCAACATTTCCTATACGAACCAACTCTCTTGGACTATCACCCCTACTTCTTCTAATTGGTCCAAGACTCCTGTCCACACATCAGGATCGTCAGGTCCTATCACTCCTCTAGAAGAAACATGTCCATCTAATATTCTTCCTGTAGCAAAGGCGAGTGTTTTACCTACTGTCATTGACATTGCAGAGGAGGTCTCATCCCCATAATGTACTAATGATGCTGTTACTTTCATTCCACGTTCCGGATGACGTTCAGCTTCATAACTAACATCACTGGAGTTGTGCTCGCTGAAATTAATCCCCATCGGTGCCAATTCTGATGGGAGTTTATTTTGGGAAATAGTAGGAGTTGTAATGGAAGTTTGTGAATATGATTTAGGAGCATTGAGTGGAGAAGGGAGGGGGGAGATGGTGTTAGGAACAAGATGAAATGTATGATGAAGAAGTACCATATCCCTTTCTTTGGGTAAATAACGAAGTCGGTGTCCGAGGAGATGAGCGGTAATGTCGATTGGTGTTTTTGTTTGAGGAAGAGGTAGATCCGAATTAAGAGTAGACTTGCTACCTAACAGTCCTAACCTGACTTATCAGTCCTAGAATTCCTGATTACCATACAGTTTGAGAGCCGGGGTTATACAACTGTGAAAGACGAGAAAGGACTTATGATTACTCCTACCCGTACGGTACTCGTGAATGGTAGATATGTGTAGCTCATCACGTTGTCCGACTGTCGAAAAAGGGATTTTGAGATGTTGACAAGAGTGGGATGGAGCATGAGATGAGGAAGAAGACACTAGGCCGAACATGACTTACCATTCCAAAGCGATCACCACATCTTCCCCTTCCTTACCTAACATTCCCTCCCAACTCCCTTCATTCATTCCTACATCTCGCCTTGTCTGTTCCGCACATACCATCAAGAAATCCTCCCAGTCCTTCGGTTCTCTATACAACGGAGTCAAACTCAACAAACCTATTTTTCTAAAACCATCCATGACCTTGCAAAATCCCTCGTAGCGTAACGTACCCCTGAATATATCGTCCATATTTTCCACAGAGCCCATACCGTATTTGGCGGCGTATGGAAGAGAATCTCTATTGGCCACTCCTTCTAAATTCAATCCTCTCCAAAGGTCGAGAGATGTGAATGGATGGGATATTATCCCCCCGGCTGGTATATGATGAATTGAGTTGTGGAGTTTGTACGTTGCGGGATTCAATGAGGCTGTGAGGACTGCTTTTGAGGACCAAGCGAATTTGTAACCTAGAGGGACCTGCTATCAGTCCCAAACACAGTATCCCATTGGTTGGCGAGTCATGTATTTTGGGTACTCGATGATGCAGTGGAAGTTCGGATAGGGCGTCAAAGTCAGTCACGTTTTAAGGAACAAGTGAGAGGAGAGAGACAAGGCCATTAGGATGATACGAGCAGTGGATTTAAAATGATGGAAGATATATGTAGAAGAGAAGGTATTGAATAAGAGGAGGATGAACTCACATCGGCACATTCTGGTGAAGGTAAACCTCCACACCATGAGACGAACGACGTGACACGTTTCCCTTCCCTTTTGGCCCTCCCAAGAATCCTCATGGCCGCCCTGATCAAGATCAGCATTGTCCACCGGCCAATTATCCCACAGACGATTCCACGAACTCACATCGAGTCAATTCCGGGATCGAGTCCACATTCATTGAGCAAAACTACACCTTTATTCACGGCGCTACAAATCAGCTGAAGGGGGTAAAGGCAGCAGCAGACTCACTCATGATGCAAAGATTTCATCTCTGGTGAAATATACGAAGCCGTCACCATATGTTTCCCATGAGCGATACATAATCGCGCGACCGATGGATGCTTAGGAGCTGGTAAGAGGCTATCTGTCAGTGATCGTACATGATCCTGTATGAGCTTACCTAACTATCACATCCGCCGTCAGGATAGCATTGCTCAAGGCAGATTGATCGGAGACGTCGATATGTAAAGCAGTGACATTAGATCGTCCACCAGCCAGCGCATGAGCTTCAGCTAAGTTGTTGCTGCCTGGTCATCAGCGCAGAAAGTAGAGAGAATAACTCACCGATGGCTAATTCAATATCACCCCGTTGGACGAATACGTCCACTGCTGGACCTGCGACCAGACCACTACCGAGCAAGAGCACTTTCTTCTTTGGGCGGATTTTTGTGGTTTTTGTGGAGGAAGGAGCAACCGAGGAGGAGGACACGATTGATGTTCCAGTGGCAATCCGCCACTTTTCTAACTTGGACTCAAGGTGACGATGGGGTTCGATCAGTTGACCATGGTCCACGATGCTCGCTCGCTTCAGTGTATCGTCAAGATGTCTCTGGTTGGTCGAAGCATCGCACAGACCAAGAGCTCGGCCAACATATGGTAATAGGCATCGCGAAAAATGATCTGAAGCTTCAATGGCTATAAAGTCAGCTCAGACACAGGAGGATCTCAGAGAGCTGACGCATTTCCGCAGGAAGTATGTCCGTGGTGGAGATCAACACTCCGCCAGGACCGATAAAGTGAGGCTGATCAATAGTCGTGTGCTTGTCAACAAACTCCAGCCCACCCTGTCAATCAGCACCGAAGATCCAGATCGTCGAAAACTCACGTGAAGATCACATGTGACATCCTGTACGACCACAAGCTTTTGTTTCCCCGCTTCTGCATCTACTAAAGTGTTCAGGTCAGACGTCGACATGACTGGTGGAAAGCCGTCATTCCAGCCGACTCCGTTGATCAATGTGGTCAAATACGGGGTAATCTTCGTTTGTCAGCTAGTCCAAAATGTGTAAAATCAAAGCTCACTTTGGCAGAGAAAATGGAGCGATAGAAATTCGGACGAGCGTAGTAATCTGCTCTGTCGTAATGTCTTCCATCCTCTCTGACTAAATAATCGGATGGGGTGATGTGATAGGCAGAAATGCCGTTCGAGTCTACCTCAGTAAGCTGTCAATCCCGTCTGAAGGAAGGGGAACTGACTTGTTGACTGAACGTCTGATAGTTGTCCAACTGGTATCCACTGCACTCCCATAGCGTCCAACATCTCCATGGCTCCTTGTGCGACCTTCCCCTTTCCAGTGACACCAATTACTATCGGTTTTGATCCTCCACTAACGGGAATTTTACACGCATCACCGGTCCTACGGAGCGCGAGTTTGTACTCCTGCAATGATTGGAAGGTATATGGTCTAGGGAGATGCTATATGATCAGCATCTCATGTGTGGACAAGACACAAGTAGATGGCCCACAAGCAAAGATGTGGCTTGGCCTCTTTGAAGCAATGCCAATCCTGTCAGGGACAAAGCTTCTCCCGCACCTACAGCTGCACTCATCAGCTCTGCCTTACTTCCCGATGTAGTGTGAACTTACCCCCGGCATACCAACCGAAAGCCGCCACTCTCTCTTGCTTCTCTCCATCGGGAGAAATGGTAGTGAGAAGCTCATGATCTATCAAAGTCTGTTTAGTCTCCATCATAGCATTCAACAACGACATGTTGTGTTCCTATTTCCATCAGTTGCAGCTACGGCACACGGAATGGAATCCGAACTCACTTGACCTTTATGGGTATGTGAGAAGATCATCCATTTCCTGTTTCTATCCCCTAACCTTCTCACTTGATCCGCAGGAGGTTCTTTGATGCCCAAAACCACATCTGCCTTGTCTAACTGATCAACAATTTTTGCACCTACGCTGAGATATGCGTTATCAGGGTAACATCGTCTTTGACAAGATTCCACTTCCACCTCGAGATCTCTTGAAGATGACAAGAGTGAAGAGATACCAGAAGGTGTAAGAGGAGTTCGACGTTCCCATATCCTCTTCGGGTCTTCACGTCGGATCCCAAGTGTTATGTGTCGTCTACGGAAGAACCTGTGATGTAATTTGAGAGGACCTCTTCGAAGCATGATTGTGAGATTATGTCAGTGGAATGTAATGGTGCAAAGAAAGAGTCAGTAGGAAGGAAGTATGATGAAGAGATGACACGAGGGTATGACATGATGACCAGAAGCATATGTCTCGAATGGGATGAACAAGGGAAGGGGTATAGTAGATTGAACATGTCTTTGATTCGGCTCATAGTCAATCGTGATCGCATGTTCCGGCCGAAGAATGGAGAGATGTGATAAACACGTGGTAACCACGTTCTTCGTTTCCGGTAAATCCACGTCACCTCCCCCGACCAGACTTTCTTCCACTGGCCACTGACTAGACTTTAACCGAGCATCGACTGTCAAATCAAACCTTACACAATGGCTATCTCAGACGAGACTAAAGACCGTTTCAACGCTACTCTGGGCGTTCTCAAGGTATGTCGCTACTATGACATCCTGCAGATCAAACGGTTGAACGAGAAGAACTGACTAGAAAGACGGTGGTGACGGTCGGTTGGATCCCTTTTATCATCTATATCGGGTATCGGAATTCTTCCCCTCAGCCTTCTCTTATCAAGTGAGTCTTTCATGTCTCTTCTTCCGCCCCATCTATCCGATTCACTCCATTGCAGAGGTCGTGTATCTTTAGTCATGATTTATCAATGGCCGCGTAAGATTGTCTTTCCTTCCATGAAATGGTTGTAAGCTTTCTTCTGGGCAGTGTGTTTGATCATCAAAAAGCTCAGTTTTGGCTCTTATAGACCGTAGCCGCTTGAATATATTGATGAGGAAAAGGAACGAACATGTGGCTGATATATTCAGACTCATCACCCCTTTGGCCTAATCTCTGGACTTACATACTTTATTCAAGGTATGTTCACCTGCCAATTCTCCATTATCAGAGCTCAACTAAGCTTCAGTTTCGTCAGGTGACTCCTCCACTCATGCATCCTCATCTTTGACATCTTAATCTCTCCGTTTGCTGTATATGGTGAAGTCCTTAATTCGGTGATTGTCCTTTCGCGTTTCCATCTCTTGCTTCTGATATTCCGTCGATCGTCGATCACTTGTCTGTGGAATATCTCGCGTTGCCTCTGTCTGTCGACGTAACTCTGAAGTAAAGACACAGATGGAGAACCAGCAATGATGATCCCCCTCGAGGATGTCTCTCCCAAGTGGACGAGATCCGAGTCACTCTGTCTTACGATAAGGGCGACAGAGTGGATTCAGAGGCCCGGCTGAGCTGTGTTCTTTCTCCTTCGTCGATCATACCCTATATCACCTTTTCCATCACTAGTTCAAGTACTGATGCTCCGTCTCCTCACCCCCGTTCTAAATTTATCCTGATTCCTGCCACTTCCTTGTACCCGGCTTTGATGTATACAGTGTCCACTGTGATCCATCCGCGATGATTGTCTTCCCCAAGGAAGGTCCAACCTGCATGCATCGATTGTGAGGGTGAAATCATGATATGGAACTGCATATACACATCGCCCGAACACTCCAGGCATTAATACATCTTGCTGAGAACAGGAAAACTGCGGAAATAATACTGTTGGGGTCATTGTGGTGTCGGGAATTTTGCTGAGGTTCATCCGTGCTCAAGGTGCCAATCAAGATGAAGTCTTCCCTGGACAATCCGCACATCCGCACTGTCCAGGAGGACAAGAACATTCGTCACCGCAACTATTGGTCAACATCTTTTCTAACTTCCCTCTCCCCGCTCTATACTTCTATAGTAGGGAGAGAACGTCATGTCTTCAAGCGTAGTCGAGAGGGGAAAGGTTGCAGACTGAGGGAAGGAGCCACTCACGCGCAGGCTTTGGCAGGTTCGGATTTCTTGGGGCAATTCGCACATTTACACTCTCCAGGTGGGCATGAACATGACTCGCCACAGCTATCATCAGCGTTTGTCTCAAAATCAGGTTACACTATCAGTCATCAGAACGTGACAACTTGACAAGCAGGGTTAGGAATGAGGTCAAGGACAACATAGCTCACCTGCACCCTTTCGCTTTGTCCTTGTGCGGACAGTTGGCGCATGCGCATTGACCAGGAGGGCAAGAACACCCTTCAGAGCAACTTTGATATCAGCCCTCTTCTCATACTGCAGTGTTGAACCCCTGCTAAATGCAGCATTTCTCACACCGCATATCTCGCGTCCGCCTGTCAATCAAATGCAAGATGTCGGGCGTCGTTCCTCTGATGACAAATACGAGTGTCACGATACTACGCGTCCCGTCATTCAAGACGGGAGATGTGACAAGAAGAGGGCGAAAGACATACCTGCAAGCATCTTTCTTCTCTTTAGCGGGACAATTGGCACAAGAACATTGTCCGGGGGGGCATGAACATTCTTCTCCACATCTGACGTCAGCCTCTATTCAATTTGTTCCCCACTGTGAGCGGCAACTCCACTCTCCCTTTCATGTTCACCTGACAGAGGTGGGCGTATCGTTCTGAGATGGGGGATGGTACAACTGAGGAGAATTTGGTCACTCACTCGCATGCCTTAGCAGGAGCCTTTTCTTTCCCTGTGGATTTGACGTTAGAGCAACCTGCACAGGAACATTCTCCCGGCGGACAAGAACAGGATGGACCGCAACTACCCGTCAGATTTACCTAGGTATGAACGAAACTGCTCACCTGCATTCCCCGGCTTTTTCGTCCTTTGCCTTTTCTTTGCCTTTGTTGTTTGGACATCCGGCACAAGTGCATTCGCCAGGGGGACAAGAGCAAGAGGTGCCGCATCTGGAGATCAGTTGTCATGGTCGATCTTCCTTACTTGACTCTCCTGCGACCAATCTGAGCCCAAATATAAATATACTTTTTTTTCATACCGCTGGTTACCTCAATTTAGCACGACCGATAGGGAGTGTCCGAGCGGGATGCAGGAAAGGTCATCAATATGGAGAGAGGAAACAAGAGAAGACTCACGTGCATGCCTTTACTTGCCCGCTAGAACCAGGACAAGAAGCACAATCGCATTTACCGGCTTCGCAAGTACATCCCTCAGACCCTCTATGTATAAGCCCTCATTCTCTGTCAAATCATCCCATTCTTTGTGCCAGATCACAGGGTCAGATCTTGACGAGGAAGACACCCATGGGCACGGGGTAGTCAAGAAAAGTAAAGTGATTTTGGATCATATTGAGAAGTCAAGTATGACTCACCCGCACTTGCCTGTTTTCTTAGTAGAGTCCGAGGAACACGAAGAGCAAGCGCATTTTCCCGAAGCACAGGTACAATTTCCTTCGTTCGAGCAACTAAAGATAAGCCTTCGTCTTCGAACACAGGTCTTAAGGGTCGGTACTATGAGAATATTCCAACCCCGCTTTCTCGGACGTTCTGGTCGTTTCCTTCTGAAAGTCTGACATGGAAGTTGACCATACAAGAGCCTATGAGATGAGGAGTGTAGAGACTAGAGATGAAGGAGAATGAACGACTCACTTGCAATTTTGCACAGCAGGAGCAGGTTGGCACCCACAAGATTTCTCCTTGGTTTCGACAGGACCAATGGTCAGCTCATTTATCTACCCGAGAGCTTGAGAAGATACTCACGCGGACATGTTGATTCTTAGATGACTAAACTGTACTGAACTAGTCTGGACTGGGCTGGAATGAGACTGGGTCGAGATGAGGATAAGAAGAAAGAAGAGAAGGAATTTAAAGTAGAAGAGAGTGGTTGAGCCAATTCTGCGGTTTGCGTCGATTTGGCGCACTTAGGGCGTCAAAGAAAAGATCCTTTGATACATTTTTGACTTTCCTTTGTGCCTCAGTTTATTCGGATTTGAAAATGGGCAGAAAGGCCGCATCACAAGTACGTGTCACCACAACTCCTTGCTTGGCAGATGATACGGGACTCGTGCCCATCCATGGTGCCATGGGGATATCGGGAGTACGGCGATGTGAACGAGATACGACTTGATCCGTAAGTCATTCTTCTTCGCGATCGTCGTGGAGCGCTTAGCCATTTGTCTCTCACGAGATGAAGGAATACATCCTCCTTCTCGCCTTCACCTGTGTATCATCCGAGTAACCACCAGCGCTACATCCCTCCCTACTTGACAACGACGTATGATGATCACCATGCAACATGCAACATGCAACAACCTCCACGTACAAGGATTCACTTGAAAATGTGATAAAAGACGAGTTGAAATGGCCAAAAGAACAACTCCTACGACTCCCCGCTGATCACGGCTGAAATGCCTCATTGTAAACAGATTCCCGGATCTTCATGAGTTCTCGTCGGTTCGACCTCTCCTCTTGCAAATCTTTCCTCCTTCAGCCACCTATGATCTTACAAGAAGCCCGCTTGAAGACATGGATCATCTTTACCCACCTTGGGCACCGCCCATAGACAGCAAATGTTTCTGATGAGCTCTCCCGGCTTATTGGGTGGGGGATCGCAGTCACAATGTCAAGATGTACGAATTTCTGCCCTATATGAGCTCCGCTCCCTCTCCTCAGTCCTCAAGGTCTTCAAAGTGCCATATCATCGACAGATACAGTGTCTTGTCCCTCGTTGAACTTATGCATCAATGCTAGCCCCTAACCTATCCACTGCGCCGGAGCCCCACATGTCAATCGGAGCCCCCATTCTTCAGCCAAAGTCCAAAGTCCGCAAAGTCGCAAAAAAAAATCTCACCCATGTCAACTCACTCTCTCGTTAAACAATATTTCGCCCTGGTCCCTCCTTACTTCCTCCATCTTCCTCCTCCTCTCATTTTGATTCAGCCGGATAACCAGGAATGCCTCATCCAACATATCTTCCAATCATCCCTTCCTGAACCTGGACCGACATACAGGAGACAGTTTTGGAGGAGGATAGTTGGGTATCTAGAAGATGTTCTAAGGCGTCATACGAATGAAGACGATGCGTCTGAGATAGATGTACAGGAACAGGGAAGAGAAGAGGAAGGAGACGGAGGAGATCCAGAAGTTGACGAGAGGATTTATTCGGCTTTGGCTGATTTGATGGCTTTGCCCTTGGAGCACGAGTGAGTTGGATAATACCTTGTTCTCTCTCTCGTTGCATTGATAATAACTCCTCGTGTCGGTTTGCCCTCATGCGTCATGCGGCGCCTCGTTGGTGATGTGCACTCCTAGAGAGGTGCTTTTTCTTTGATGGTCCGAATATCGTGAGGCGAGGAAGTCGGGACTGAGGTGGCCGGGGGTGATGAAGCTGATCGTCAGAGAAACGTCATATAGGACTTTTCTCTACCCTCTTGGAGATACCGAAGCTAGGATTATATTGTTGGAAGACATTGCTGTCATACAAGGGGGCACCACAGGTCTTAGAACATGGAAAGCCTCGTAGGTTGATGTACAAGTTGTCTCAAATTCACTATCCGCTTTCTAGGGTCATCAGTCTACAAATGTGCTCTACTCCAAGATTTAGGTTACTGCTCGCTCAGCAGCTGATCGTATCTCGTCAGCCGTAGACATGAGAAGGCAGAGATGTGAAAGATCGAAGCAGCTGAGAAATACAGATTACACCTTGCTCATCACATACATTTGAACACGATCTCACTTCCCCCTGGACCCATAGTGGAGTTGGGCGCAGGAACAGGATTCTTGTCCATCTTTCTTGCACAACGACAAAGGGAGGTCATAGCTACCGATCTCGATGCGACCGATGGGAGGCAAGCACCTCTAAAAAGACTGCAACACAACGTCGGTATGAGTGGGTGCTCCCTGTTCAGTCGTATCACACGATCTTCCGCAGCATGAAAAGCTGCTTCTGAGTGACAGTAATCAAAAGAGGAAAGACTTATGGCAGATCATGTCGAGGAAAATGTGAAGGTTACACCGCTCGATTGGGCAGATAGTCTTCGGCCAAAGAGCGAACGACCGGCTGTATGGGAAGAACTCACAAGTCGACCATATACCGTAGTCGCTGCAGACGTTGTGAGCCACTCTCTTCTCTCTCTTTCAGACGGGATTCTTCAACTTGGATTCAAGAGGACGTAGAATGTAAAGTGAACTGATGTCAAGGTCTATGACCCTGATCTGATACCTCTACTCGTATCCACCCTTCGTATCTTACTACACGTCGGAAGTACTGCCGTGGTCTCTGCAACCGTTCGAAACCCAGACACGATAGATACCTTCGTTCGGACATGTGGTATGTTGGTACAAACTCAATCAGGACTCGAGGTAATTAACGTGCAGAGGTCAGTGGTATAGATGTCGAGGTCTTTCGATTGGATGTCATGCCCAAAGATGATCCGACCTTTTATGACAACGGTCTAGACTCTTCATGCGAGGTTCAAATCATGCGGTTGACACCGTCATCGGCATCCATGTTGAGTAAGGAAAGCGAGGGCCAACAGGAAATGATGAACGAGTGCAAATGATGTATGATACAATGCATAATGCCTAGGCGCCCTCGACAGCGAGCTGAATGTCAGCACGAGTCTAGCGATTGATGCGGTTTCTTGACCAGACAGACGACGAGATCCTTGATGCCACTCATTAAAGTGGAAAGATTGAGGGCAAGGGGAGGAATGCGAGGAAGAATGGAGGATGACTGACCAAGTCCGAGTCACCAGCATCTTGGATAGCCATCACTCCGACGCGGAACAATTTTCCAGCGGCAGTACCGAGGTCAATGTTGGAACCTTCGTAGTGGTGAACGTTGCATTTGGCCCTGCATGTCAGCCCTACTGCCTACAGCGTGTCCTACCGATGCCCTTGCAAGCCCTTCGTGAGGAGCAAGTAGTCACACATTCCAGCTTAGGGCTGAGATAGTCGAGTAGATACAAGAAGACAGAAAAGAAACGAGACACAAGAACAGAACTCACAACATGGCGTAGTATTCAATCTCGGATTTCCGAAGAGGGGGACAGTTCTTCGAAATGAGGACGAGTTTGGCTATCCGTCAGCGAATCGTCTTGCTCATACTTCTTCCTCTGCCAGCATCATCAAGCTTAATGCTGCTGTACTACAATGCACAGGAACAGAGAGACAGCAATGATGTCTGTCATACGACTTCCAGAGCATGATCAGAGATGAACAAGCGACAACTGACCTTTACCCGACCGCAAGTTTTTAAGAGCCTGTTTGATTCCCAAAGAGTATCTACCCGATTTAACCACCAACTGAAGACGAGCGTTAATGTTGTCGCTAGTCTTGGCTGACTTCTTTTTAGTGGGTGCCATGATGTCTGCTTTTTGTCGATGAACGAAGGCGAACGATGAAGGGGAGAGAGTTTCGTAGGAAGTTCGGCATTTTGATTCAGACGGAGTTATTTCAATGTGGCACTTGTCATTCATCTTCGTATTCTGGGATTTCCGTTTCCTCCACTTCGTGTCAGGATTGATGTACTTCACCGACAACCATCTTATCAAGCCCACGCATACTTGGTAAAGCGTATAGGTCTGCTGCATACTGGATTTTCCGACTGTTGAATTACAAAGGAAAAGAAACTCAAAATATCATCCAAGGAAAAAGAATCCTCCTCTTCTATGGCTTCGGCACTCACCATCGGTTTAGGCCTTTTAGGTGCCGGATTAGCAGGTCGAGTAGCTGTCCAACTGTTTCGTGCGAGTAAACCGGCGGAACAGTTCTTAAGAGGAGGGTTCAAGAGTAAAATGGATAGATCGGAGGCTATTGCGATATTAGGATTGAGGTGAGTTGATTCTTTTCCCACTTTCAGGACAACCTTAAATGCTACGCTCGTGTACCTCATTGCTGGCAGGCATAACATGTGCTCTATGCCCATATTTCAGATGGTCCATGTAAGGGGACAGATAGAATAGGAGCTGAGAATCTAGAGAACCTATAACATCGATCAGATTGAAAGAAGCACATAGGAGATTAATGCTTGCCAATCATCCAGACAGAGGAGGGGCACCGTATCTAGCAGGAAAAGTTAATGAGGCTAAGGCGATGTTAGAGTGAGTTCAATATATACATCATATCTTCTACCAACTCCCTACACTCGCATCTGTGAGTGATAAGTCAAAGGGAGGAGATCTCGATTCATAGGATTTAGAAATATTGTCGCTGACGCTCTTTTATCTTTTTTCACGTTCCCTCCCTCTCACTAATTTCTGTCTCCGTACGGGCCATTTCGACCTCTGAACGTATGCGTTCTTCATGTTTGCGACTTTGCTCTTCAGTAAAGAGATCCGGCGTTGAGGTTGAACGGAGGGGATTGTATTATTAGCATTAGTCGGATTCCATCATGCACTTCTCTCGCGTCGAAACACCTTAGCATATGAAGACACAAACGTCTATTTCACCATGACACTTGTTGTGAACTAGTTGTTCTCAAGGGGGTCTGTTGATCTTTCGCATGTCCCTCTTCACCCCCTAGCCAGTATGTGGCGCCTGAAGTATGGCCTGAGAGCGGCGAGCGGCGTGTTGAGTGGGTTAGTTATCGCAGGTAGCCAACCGGATTTATCAAATGCGATCGAATGACCGAAATTTTCGCCTCCACCTCCACAGTCCATCTTTAGTTCCACCATCCTTCCTACTCCAGTCTCGCCATACATCCCCACATTTAACATCTTTGTACGATGACCGAATTATACGACTCAGAAGGAGAGAACTGGGACTCACTTCCCGAACCTCTCGTCCTCACGCCAGCAGAGATGTTAGCGAGATACGATACAAACCTCTCTGCTCCTTTGGTTCGATGCTCCAAGCTCCCCTTCCGCACCCTTGTGTCATTATACGAGACTCATATCACTCATACGCCAATGATCCTAGCACAGGAATTTTCAAGATCACAAACTGCCAGAATGTCCGATTTCTCGACTGCTACGGATGAAAGAGGAGTGTTTTGGATGACACCTCGTTCTTCCTCTTCCACCAACATCACTGCAACCCCTTCAGCTTCATCTTCCTCATCGCCACTCCCCTCGATATCACGCCAAGAATACTCTGGACAGTATAAAACTTCAAACACCCATAGGAAAGAGCTTGAAGAGGACGAATTCCATCATTCTGAAAGACCCCGAGGCAAGAGAAAACGCCTTCCTCCTACCTCTCAACCCCCAACGAAGAACGCAGAGTTGGTCAAAGGTTGTCTCGTAGCTCAATTCGCTTCCCCGACTCCTGAGCATCTGGCAGATGCGGTGGAGCTCATCAGTCCGTACGTCGATGGAATAGATATCAACTGCGGTTGTCCCCAAAAGTGGGCGTATGCTGAGGGAATAGGATGTGCTTTATTGAGGAAACCGGAGCTGGTGAGGGATATGGTAAGGTGTGTAAAAGGAAGAATGGGATGGAGTTGGCCTGTCAGTATAAAGATTAGAGTGGATCCTGATCTGAAGTGAGTAACTTTCTACATCTCACCATGATGACGTCCACCCCGGTGTTCCTTCATCCCCATACCTTCAGATGTCAATGGTCACACCATGACTGATCATACTACGTACATAATGAGGCTCTAAGAGTATAGACGGCTGACTAGTAGACTAACGGACCAACTCATCCATACAGCCATACAAGCCAATGTGTCACACATCACTATTCACGGTAGAACTCGACACCAACCCTCTTCTGAGCCAGTCTCCCTTGACGCCATTCGATTCGCAGTCAGCTGTGCCAAAGGTGAAGTCCCAACTGTGGCAAATGGAGATTTATGGACTTTAGAAGATGCGAGAAAGATGAGACAGACGGGGGTGAATGGTGTGATGGGGGCTCGAGGTTTACTGGCCAAGTGAGTCGTTGTTCATCCCCAACCTCAATAACGTCCACACCCCGCATGCATTCTCCTCCGTTCCACTTCGTGTGCGATCGTGACCCCACCGATCGTTGCCTTCAAGCTTGCTCTCCTCCTCCACCTCCACCCGCTCAACTGCTTCAGTCATGCCAAGAGTATCCATCTGGTCTCTCTCTCATCCTGTGTCTTCAAAGTCGCCCACCTTCGTGAGGGACGGCTTGGCGACGTGGCAGCTGCAAGGGTCCCAGATCGATAGCTGACCCATAGTCCTGCTCTTTTCGCAGGATACACGAAAACTCCTATACACGCAGTGGAACAATTTGTAAACCTATCTGTGGACTATGGTCTGATATTTCCACTTTTGTATGTCTCAACTTCCTCTTCCTTCATGCTCACTCTCTTCTACGGTTTCTCCCATCGGTCTACCAGTCCCCCACTGCCCCTGGCCCATGTGTACGTGCCCTCTGCCAGCCGTCTCTCCTGGCTGACATCCTTATTCACCGACTGGCTTTCTCCTCTCATCAAATAGACTCTTACCTATTCACTCCCTCTGGCTGAAATAACCTTTCCTCGTCGATCATGTAGTTGAAGCTCACTGAACAGCCAAAAGCATCTCGCCTACATGCTTGAATCCCGTTTTGCCCGCCCGGAAAGAGTATGGTTCAACTCGCTCACGTCGAGTGTCGGAGTCATAGAGTACTTATCCTCGCGGGGGGTAGACATCCGCTCTGCTCGCATAGACCCTATATGGGATGCATGTAGGGGACGAAGTTTGATATGACATTTGTGTTCGTCGCTCTTGCATTAAACATCTGAGCCGAAAGCCCGGATCGACTATGCGAGTATGCCGCTCCGACATCAAACGACCCTTTTCTGCCATGCTCTAGGTGTCTAAGAGACGAGAGGATACGTGTGCAAGCATCCACAAGCACAAGAAGACAGCATCAGTATGACAGTGGTCTTTGCAAGTTTCCGATGCATGCTCTTGTGGATGCAAGCTTGATGTAATTGAGAACGCTAATATGGGGCCCCGGAGTATGCCATCCAGCGGGGATTTCGGCCGAAAACTTGACCAATGAGGGAACGTTATTTACACCTTGTCTCCCCCTCATAAAGAGGTCTGTTCGACCGACTCGACCATATCTTACAACCCTTCAACCCTTCTTCTTCGCAACACTACAAATTCTTGCTCTTGGGAGTCTTTTCGAACAGAAATCTCATTCTAGTACTGCCCACAAAAACTCTAAAAAAATGCCTGCACCGACAGTCCAACCCCGAACCCTATACGACAAAGTATTCGACGACCATGTCGTTTACTCTGGTGAAGGTGACACCCTCTTGTATATCGACCGTCATCTTGTGCATGAAGTCACCTCTCCTCAAGCTTTCGAAGGATTGAGAAATGCTGGACGTAAAGTTCGTAGGACCGATTGTACTCTGGCAACTGTCGACCATAACATTCCGTGAGTGATTTTTCTCTATTCTTCCTGACGTGTCACATGATCCCCATGCTGCGGTGAAATATGAGCTGAAGGGTAGAACCATCACTAGAAAAAACTTCAAATCTATTTCGACTTTCATCTCTGAACCTGATAGTAGGGCGCAGTGCGCTGCCCTGGAAGAGCATGTGAAAGAATTTGGTTTGACTTATTTTGGTATGGATGATAAACGACAAGGTTAGTCATGTGACTGAATGTTTGGGGATTTGCTGATGAGAAGGAATCGTTCATATCATTGGACCTGAACAGGGGTTTACTCTTCCAGGAACCACTGTCGTTTGTGGTGATTCTCATACATCCAGTGAGTATTTTTCTTTCCAGCACCCTCACTTTCACCTCCACCTCCACCCCCCTTGTGTTCAGCTTCGAGGACGGGATACACGCTTATATTCAGCCCACGGCGCATTCGGCGCTCTGGCTTTCGGTATCGGTACTTCTGAAGTCGAACATGTCCTTGCTACTCAATGTCTTCCTCAAGCCAAATCAAAGAACATGCGAATCTCCGTCGATGGTCCCTTAGCCGAAGGTGTCAACTCTAAAGATATCGTCCTTCATATCATCGGTGTCATCGGTACAGCCGGTGGAACAGGATGTGTTATCGAATTTTCCGGTTCTACTATCCGTGCACTCAGTATGGAAGCTCGTATGTCCATTTGTAACATGGCCATTGAAGGCGGTGCTCGAGCAGGAATGATAGCTCCTGATGATATAACCTTTGAATATCTCAAAGGACGACCTCTGAGTCCTCGAGAAGGAGAAGAATGGGATATGGCAGAGGCGTATTGGAGAACTTTAAAAACGGATCCAGGCGCGAAATACGATATAGAGGTTGAAATTCGATCTGAAGATATTATTCCTACCGTTACTTGGGGTACAAGTCCTCAAGATGTCGTTCCTATCGCTGGTGTCGTACCGAATCCAGAAGATATGGCATCTAACAAACGTGGTAACGCTATTCGTTCTCTCGAATATATGGGTTTAACTCCTGGTACTCCAATGGAACAAGTTAAGATTGATAAAGCTTTCCTTGGATCCTGTACAAATGGTCGAATTGAAGATCTTCGTTCCGCAGCAAAAGTCATTATAGCTTCTGAAAAAAACGGTGGTCCAACACATGTCTCTGAACACGTTTACGCAATGGTCGTTCCTGGTTCTGGATTGGTCAAACAACAAGCTGAAGGAGAAGGATTAGATGTTATCTTCAAAAAAGCAGGATTTGATTGGAGAGAAGCTGGATGTTCAATGTGTTTAGGAATGAACCCTGATCAATTAAAACCTCAAGAACGTTGTGCTTCAACTTCAAATCGTAATTTCGAAGGACGCCAAGGAGCAGGAGGTAGAACTCATTTAATGTCACCTGCCATGGTAGCTGCGGCAGCTTTGACTGGATATCTTACAGATGTCAGAAAACTTATGGGAAGTCATATTTCAGAAGATGGTGGATTAAAAATTACTTCATATTTCGATTATCTTTCACCTCTCGCTGTAGCAGCACCAGATGCTCAACCTACCGAAATATCAGAAAATGAACAAACTCCAGTCAAAGTCGCCAATGCAGCTTCGGCAGGTTTACCCAAATTCAATATCGTAAAAGGAATATGTGCACCAATGTGGGAAGCCAATATCGATACGGATAAAATCATACCTAAACAATTTTTGAAAACTTTACTTCGTACTGGACTTGGATCAGCTTTATTCTGGCCACTTCGATATGATGTTAAAACTGGTGATATAATACCGGAATTCGTATTGAATAAAGAACCATTCAATAAATCTTCTTTATTAGTTTGTACAGGTGCTAATTTCGGTTGTGGTTCTTCTCGTGAACATGCTCCTTGGGCTTTAAACGATTTCGGTATAAGATGCGTCATGGCACCTTCTTTCGGAGATATTTTCAAGAATAATTGTTTCAAAAACGGTATGTTACCACTGGAACTCTCTCAAGAAGCTTTGGATGTTTTGTATAAGGATGCTGAATCTGGAAAAGATATCACGGTGGATCTGGAGAAACAAGTTGTCGTAAGACCTAATGGAGAGGAAATCCAATTTAGTATAGATCCATTTAGGAGACATTGTTTACTTAATGGTTTGGATGATATTGGTCTCACGTTGGAACATAGGGATGCGATTGAAGCTTTTGAAGAAAAGAGATCAAACACTTGGCCTTGGTTGGATGGGATAGGATATGCTAAGAAAGGAGGAAAGGTCGTTCCTCTTCCTCAGAGGAAAGGGGTGAAGAAGATGGAGTGGTAGGGTTGGAATCGGTGGGTGGGGTCAAGAGTCGTCACATACAGCACAGAGGGGGAGGAGCTTTGAGTGGATGGAAGATGGAAACAAAAAGATCCAGTACAGGCATATCGTTTGTATAGATTGATGCAAGTATCTGCTTTTTCACCGACACAGCGCAATTGCTTTGATCCCCCATCTCACAAAGATCCAGCTAAATAAAGTGTGAGGTACGATGGTATCGTGTAAAGTTACTAAAAAGTCAAGTATTTAGTCCACAGGGAGCTACAGGATCTGCGAGGTGAAAACACCAAGTGATGAAGAGTGTTTGCATGACATATTAGACTTCTGAAACCACTTAGATCCGTACGACGAGGAAAGAAAGTACGAAGCGTCAAACCAGCCGAGTATGATCAGATCCCACAGGAGGAGACAACGATAATGATGTGTCTCTATAATCTCCTCTATCCATTTGTATCGAGTTTGGGGAAATCTCCGACTGAACTTCGGTAGAACCGAACCGCCAGTTATTTATCGACTGGAGTATGGGTTGAAGGATATTATGTGATAATTCGGGACCTTCACGAATCAAGACCTATGAGTCAGTCATGCTTTCTGACCTGGGTTCATTGGCCATTGTCAACTCGATGGTATGCCGTCGCAGTGAATGAATGCGAGATTCACTCGGAGAGTAGGGAGGAATGAAATAACGGAGGGTGAGGGACATTGACGGAATGAAGAAAGGCATGAATGAAATAATGGAGGGTGAAGGGCACTGACGGAATGAAGGGAGGAGAGAGGGAGGATAAGGAAGAGAGTAAGGAAAAGTTAGAGAAGGAGGAAGGAAGAGGAATGGGAAAGGAAGAACATGAAGCTCACAATGACAACTTCCACAGCGATAAGAAGAATAATGATTACTTCCATCCTATGTGCCGACGCTTCGGTAAGTAAAGCTCGCAGTGTTGATTGTACTTCTTGAGCATAATCTATCTTTTTATTGATCGCGTCTATACGTTCTTTTATCTCAAATTCGGAAGCGATCGAGTCAAAGTAGGCTGAAGGTTAATGCTCCTCTTATACTCAGACCACTATCTGTCATATACTCCTAGCCCCTCTAATTACCGTTGTATCGACATTGACTGCAGGTCTTGGGGGTCATTTTATAAAATCACCACGTCTGTCAGCAGCACCGAGAAAGGTGGGAAAGGCAGGAAGAGGTTGGTGATGCTCACCTTCTAGCTCGGGTTCTGACCAATAAAACTGCTTGTCAGCTCTAGACATACAAAGATTCTTCGACGGGCTCAATTTGAATTTGAGCTGTCATGCGAAGACAAACAGAAGACAGCCATGCATCGTTTTAGTGCACCGTGATGCAATGATAGTGACAAGTGAGAGTCATATGAAGCATAGGGTATAGGGATAAATCGACAAGCAGCGTAGGCAGAAATAGGGTAAATAAATTTAGGGATGATTGAAAAACAAGATCACAACTCACTTCCGGGGTCTCCTCCAACCCTCCACCACGAGTATTGACAGCCATCCGAAGTGTCATCAACTCTCCCAGTTTCCTAATCACCTCTCTTCGTCTCAGAGGCTGAGCACCCGAGACAGATAGCGCGCGTGGCAGAGTCGAGACGCTCGCTATGTGGGTATCGAGTCTGTCCTCCAGTACAGACAATGAAGAAGAGCGCGAGAGAGATAGGGAGAGTGTGTATCGGGCAAGTAGAGAGGAGAGGGAAGGTGACGGGGGAAATGTGGAGAGGACTGGTGGTCGACCAAGAAGGATCAAGTTGCCCATTATGTGGGTTGTTCTGCTCGTCAGGTCTGGATCTCTGTCCTTGTCCATATCTCTTATATAGATATATCAAGAGATGATTTCATATGAGAGGAGCAAAATTCTCAGGTCTGGAGGGAACTGATGAACGAGATGTATGTGACAGGAAGAGTAGGTTAAATAAGGAGTGAGAAGCAGGCCATGCATTATGGACGGAATTAGTTACGTGAAAAGCGAACTTCCCACACGGTGATTGGAGAATGGATATTGCGGTCAATCAGGAGCACGACATGATGTAACTCACGCAGTAGGATCCACAACGAAATCAACCTCTTCCACTTCATATTCCTTCGCTTCTAATCTATCCACTTCAACTCCTGACCCTTTCCGTCTAATCACCTCTCTCAAAAACGCCCTACCCTCCTCTTCTGTCAAACCCCAAGTGACAAAACTACCAGAACCAAAAACCCAAATCTCTCCTCTTTCCCCATATTCGAAACCAAAATCTCTTTCCTCCTCTTGCTCTTCTTCCAATTCCATCCTCTCCGAAACTCCTCCCGTCCGGGCTTTATCTCTTTCAGAGACAGAAAGGATTCCTCCGACTTTCTCTTTCAGAAAAGTTGATGTGTTCTTACTTCCCCTGACGTCTTTTCCTGAGATTAATCTTTCTGCCCCTCCTCGACCTTTCCAAGGACCAATAACGACAGCCCTCTCTCTATCCCCCTCGGGCACTTCATCCCATCTCACACCTAATGATCGTAGGGTGAGACCGAGAGAGACGAGGTCATATCTTTCAGCAGTCGTATGTGCTATACATTGTAATACCGGGCCTCGGGTATGTGAAGGGGCATTTCGCAGAGGTTGAGAGGCAGCTTCGAGTCGTCTTTTGGGTGGTTTGTGAGAAGGAGGTTTGGACTTGGGTTTGGGTTGACTCGTTGGGGTGAGTTGAGAATTGTTGGAGGTGGACGTACTCGGACGATCAGACTCACGAGGGTTGGTAGATACGTATCGTAAGGATGGAATGGGAGAGGGAAGAAGAGATGGGGATGAGGGAAAGGGAAGTAAACGGAGACATCGGGTGCAAGGTGGAATGCCGTGAGTTCGGAAGGTAGAAAGTCGAGTAATGTTACGTTTCCACATCTTCCTATCGGATGCTGCCGAGCTTTGCTATCACCTGAGGCTATCGGACGTAGGAATGGGTCCGAATAGTCTCCAAGACAGATGAAGGACGCGACAAGAAGGAAGAGTACGAGTAAGTAAGGTAATTTACTGCAGTAGGTATGGGATGGAGCAGGTTTGGGTGCTGCAACCCGAGGTGGCAAATTGCTTCCGCTCTATATGTGGAAACCTGATAGACTACCTTGTTATACTTGTACTACCTCTTGGCTGCATGGCTGCAAGACAGCAAGAGGGTATCACGAAGACATTTCTAGATCAATGCATGTTGTCCTGACCCGGATACCGTGGTCTTTGAGCCAAACATCTCTCCACACTCAACTCGAAAGGCGTCTTCCCCCTCCATCCTCCTCTGGCGACCACCAACCCTTTGACAGATCCCACTCCTGATGTCCCGTGTACCCCTCCCCCCTCTCCATGATCTGACAACAATGACATGTGACTCGGATTCCGGCTGACCCTCCGACTGGATCCTCCCCCTCCCATACCTAGCTCACGCATTGTCCTCACCAACGATTCATGTGCCTCTCGATAATCCCCGTTCTGCACGCCAATTTTGGAAGACTCCGCTCCCGCCGGTATCTCCCACGCTGGGCGCTTGCTTTTCTTAACCGGAAGAAAACGTGAGATCAGATGAGCTGTATCTGCCAACGTCGATGGATAACCCAATGACTGATGATACAACGCCGGATCGTTAGTCGTATGCCACTTTGACGCCGCTGCCGCAGCTTGCAGAGCCGTGAGCCGACGTGAAGTGGCAATTTGTTGACTAGGCCGTTGTCGGTCGTCTTGAGCAGCGGTGAATATTTGTCGCAGACTCCTGGTAGACGAGATCGAAGCGACTGATTCTCGTCGATTCATCGAAGGTCCCGGCTCCATTTCTCGATCTTCCGGAATATTCCAACTTTCACCCTGCACCACAGTTGGATAAATCACAGGAGGTGGTACGGGTTGGACGTAAGGTTGGGCCTGTTTGTTTTTGTTGGGGGATCCAAACATGCTGCCAGGACGAGACGTGGAAACCGTAGGTTGAGTGGCTCGTGCACTCACAGGCGAGTTCAGAGGATGTGGTGGAGCTCGTAATGACTGCATGGAACGTAGAGATGAGTTTGACATTTTCTGTCGGAGAGGACGATCAGAAGCGACCCGCGAGCGTTTCTCCAGGACCGATGGTGGTTGTGAAGATGAAGGAGCCGATGACATGGAGGGAAAGGGGAAATCGGTGGACCCTGGTTTTACGCGTGAATCAACGGGGTGAGGTAGTCCACTACCTTCGGTCGAATTTGATCTCTCGGGCATTCGGGCTTCGTTCCGGAGAGTCTCGGCTCGGCTACTAGCTCGACGACGTTCGGACTCGACAGCAGCGTGGGTAAGCTCTTTCGTACTGGGGATATGCTTGAGTATCACCTCTGGCGCGGGATCGGGGGAGGGGAAAGTGAATGGATGCGGAGGAGGTATGACAGAAGGATCGGGAACTGTGACATTGCCGGTCCAACCTGTTGTGCGCCGGGTCTGCTGATGGCCATGTAAGGAGTGAGGCGTAACTGGTACGATGGGAGAATCGACCGAACCGGTAGGTCCGTTGACCTGCGCGACGTGTTTGGCGACATCTCTAGGCTTTTCGGTCATCGTTCTGGGCTTCTCATTTCCAACTGGTCCAACTTTGACCTCTTCATCTTCCTCTTCCCAACTTTCCTCCTCTGCTTTTCCTGCGATAGAAGCATCCTTCCCTCGGGGTTGCACTTCACTATCCTCCTTGCTGTGATTTCGCTTGTCATCCTGACCATGACCTGATGTTGAGCTATGTATCGAATGGGTCGATGTGGCGGACAAGGTTCGTGCCAATTTAGGTAAGTGAGTGTCAGATCGAGAAGCTTTTCCGGGCAATCGCTAGTCGTCAGTCCAATTCGTACATCTGCTTTGAGAAAGTAGAAGCTCACATCACTAGAGCTCTTTCGGGGGTTTGACGGTCTTTCCAAAGCATGCATTGTCAATCCGGCTACCACAGCCCTTCTCCCCGACTCTCCGTCGGATGAGCGTCGCTGAGCACCATGAGCAACAAGATTGGTATACGATGGAACGCGTTTCTTGGTAGTTGCATGATGGACGATTTGTCCATGACCGGAAGTACGTCTGACGTGGCCATTCGTCGTGTTCCGAGAGGTAAGCTGGGTTTGAGAACGTGAATTTGTCCGAGATAAAGCATGATGAACATGGGCAGAGGGAGAGATGACGGTTGTCTCGGAGGACACAGACATGATGGGAGTGAAATGGTCGTTACGTTTCGAATTGATGGGGAATCTGTGTAGATGGGACCTGAACGATGGCGAGGTTGAATCTTGTCATCCAGACCTAGGGGTTGATCATGAGGAAAGTAGTAGGTACACGATGATAAGGGTTACAATTGTGGCCCCGAGGTCAAGGATGGGGTGAGAGAGATGTCACATGAAGCGACGACGATTGGCTCTTCCCCCCTTCCCCCCCACTTTGATATAATTGCTCCCGTCGCACTGCCTTTAAATCCCACGTCACTTACCGGCTCAGCCATCTCCGATATCCGACGGCCGACGTGGGGCACCCTCCCTTCCCTCGCAGCTCTCTCTTCCTCCTCTCGTCACTTGACTATCAACTACTATCAACTTATCATGTCATCTATAGCAGGGCAGCTAATCCTACATCCTAAACTCAGTCAAGCGCTGTCTCTACTGGCTACCACCAATGGGAGAGATAAGGTGAGTCCTCTCTAGGAAAGACCGATTGGGGTTGCGGACTCACGTACCAGGTTTTTCGACTCATCCAATATCTCTCTCGCCTAATCGCATGGTCCCTCACTCGCCGGGGTTATGCTGATACCGCCGATCGCTTCGAGGGTCTCAAATTGGGTATGACCAGGGCTCGTAAAGGTCAGCTTCTCATTCATCTTTCATGGTAATTATCGCTCATAGCTAGCCCTGCGTCTTTTTCGTGCCGCAGACTTTCTCCAATCCGCCGCGAAACTCGCCCAAAGTCCAATGTGAGTGATCTTTCTGGGTACTGAGATATTCATGATTGACATCGTAGAAGATCTCTGCAAACATCAGGGCAGGTGGCACATGTCACTCAGATCGGACGTCATGTTTCATACGCTTCATTCTACTTTGCAGATATGTTGGCGTATCTCGGCAGCATCTCGGTGCTCAAATACGATAAAATGTCAGTCCATGTACTCCATCTTTGTTCTCTGAGATCCTCAGTCCTAAGTCCTATATGACGGGGAGATGTGCTTATGTTATCAGCCAAATCGACAAATATCAACGTATGGCTTTCAAATTCTGGTTGTCCGGTCTGATCCTCTCCCTCGCATCTTCCACCGCCAGTATGGTCAAACTTCGAGCCGACTCACGTCGTTTCGCTCTGTCGAACGAGATGGCGCGTAGAGATATGAGCAAAGCAGAACGGACGCCGGAAGAACGTGCGAGAGATGAAGAGGAACGTCGGTCAAAAGGTCGGGCTATGCTAGCGTATGTTGTTCCTATATACAAAAGGCTCTGGCTGATGGACCACAAGGCAAAGACAGACACTGCTCTCTCAACTCGTCATGGACTCGATGGACGTGTGGATCCCAATGACCGCGTTGGGTTATACCAACTTCAGTGATGGGACTATCGGATTACTCGGGTACGTCTTCATCGTCAAGAGCAGAGTTGTTCGCTAATGTTACGCAGTGCTATAACTTCATATATGGGTTTACAGACCATGTGGTACAAGCAAGCAGCAGGAGGGCGGAAAGCGATTTGATGGGCCATGTCAACATCATTATCGGGTAGTAGCGGACATATCACATCACACTTTCTTATATGATGACATGACAGAGCTCACAACCATATCGGACGATTGGCATTACATGACCACTGCGCATTCAAATGTCGATTGGAAGCTGACTTCTCCGCATCGCCTCAATCTTCCCACCATATCGTGTTTCCTCCTCAGACAAAGTGTCACACACAGAATTGAAGAGAGGATCTAGCACAGCTTTCCCACGATTTCGCAAGTCAAGTCCTCGTCGATCGAAATCCTCAGGCCAAGATTTACTTTCCCGCGCTGACTTCAACTCAGATTAGCCGTTTTAGGTAATCAAAACCGTATGTCTCTGCTCGTCCGCCTACGTATGGGGTGAAGACGGGGTAGAACGCATCAGTCTCCTTTCCCACCATATTTGAAATTCATAAATCTTATACAAGTATGATGAATACCCTGCAACCTCATCATATACTTGACTTCTGACTGTCGTCAAGCTGATTGATATCTCTGTCTCACGCTCATCCCCACATTTGCCTTACCAATCATTGCAATAGAGCATGATAGATGAGGAAGACAACACGGAGGCCGCTTCTACAACGACTTCTCCAATACAGCAACCACGCCGTGGTCTACGTCTGCATCTGATGACGAGGCACCAGCTCGTGACGGCAACGAAGCAGCCAGTGCAATTGGAGAAGCCAGTGAACGTCTTATCATACTTAAGGTGAGGACTGGCTTTCAAGTGCACAGCTTACCCTCAGGGATCTGATGACTTCACCGTATCTGTTCACCCTGAGGAATTCCTTCCACATCATATCATTTACAATAACGATGGTTCCGAAGTGATGATTCACCCGGAACGTTACCTATCGGGGCAGCCATTGGCGGTCCTTCAAGCTCGGTCTCGGAACAGTACTCTGAACAGGACCACAGGGCCTGGAACGCCTCAAGAGCATTCTTTGCCCGTGTCCCCCACCCATAATCTTGCTTCATCAAGCCCAGCGGAACTGCTTTCTTCTACGTTCACTACTAAAACAGATGAAGTGGAGCCAATGGCCTCTGTCAGCAGCGTTCCAGCTGAGCTGACAGCGCCTCAAAATACAAGACGGTGGCAAGATTTGCTTACGGATATCAACAATTATGACCCCAGACTTTCCCACATTATGGCACATCTCTATGCCCAGTTGCACCCTGAAGTCAAACAAAGTCATATACCCAGACTCATCAACGACTTTGCAGTGGACCTTGGAGTCAGGCTGGGAAGATACACATATAGTACAAAAGTGTCCATCTCTAATGGGAGACTCTCATCTGCTGATGCTGATTTATACCGACAGGGGCAGAAGGACATCCTTGATTCTTTGGCGGCAGGTGCAATGTTATCTTACTGTGGAGGGAAGTTCCACAGCCTCTCTGGGGAGGGCAGTACAAATCATACCGCTGGACAACGTCTCCGGGAAGACCTTGAGACTGTTGGAGGGATCAGATAAGCTAAACGCGTTGAAACTTTTCTTCTGTTCGCTCGTTCATGTCTTTATGTATTACTATATCGTTCGATTTCAACTGATTATGAGACCCGTGCTTTAACCGACTAAGCGAATTCAGCAAGCATAATCTACCCATTGCTCATTCACTCGTTCACTCAACCAGCTCGACCGACCGGCCTCCTCGCTCGTCTTGTCACTGCTGGAGTATATATAGGGAAGTCAGGAAGACTAGCCTTCTGTGTGAGTGGGAGTGCGACGAGCCTTAGTGTTACGGGGTAACAACGAATCGAGAGGACTCTATCGAGTTCGACGGATTAGGACAGAGGAAAGCGGGAGTTGGAGGCAGTGCTGCAGTAGGTAGGGACGGGTTTTCCCTTTTCGAGATTTCCCCACTGGGTTTGCTCAAAAGCGGTTTTTCACCTGTCCGAGTATGTACATAGACGCTTGCAGTAGGAACTGAGAGGAGGACACGGATACCTGTAGACAGTATATAGTACAATCAGCAAAGTACCAACTTTGCTGATTCTTCAATATCATTCTTTGGCTACATCGATTGCAGAGGAGACACGATCCATTAGCACCAGAGCCCCTAGATTTCCACGAGACCTCCATCGAGTTCGACCCAACCTGCGACCTAGTCGTCGTGTTTCCAGTACCGTTACAAGTTGAAGAATCAGCCTTACGCACCTTGGGTCGAATCGGAGAGTACTGTATGCTCACCAGAGGGAAAGCGCGGAAAATGATACCAGAAAAAGAGGAGTTGAAACAAGGGCTAGTCCCAGAGGAAGAAATACCAACAAGTTCTTCGAGAAGTACCATTTCACATGATCTCACGTCTACTACCACTACCCCAGATCCGCTAAATGAATTATCGCAGCAGTTGTCACAATTGTTAGCCATTATGACGATGCAACAAAAGGAACAAAATGCATTAAGGGAAGAACTGGCTACGATGAAAGCTGACCGACAGAACCAACAGATACTCACATCGAAAGGGGCAAGTTTGATCGAAGTCGAAGAAAACAAGCCGTGTTTGGAGCCAAAACTTACCAACAACGAACGAACAGGAAGAACCAGGTGTGCGGATCCACCTACCTTCAGTGGAGAACGAGGAGAATTGGACAACTTCCTTGCAGCATGTCACATGAACTTCGAATTCAAAGGGGCAGAGTACGCCACCGATCGCAGAAAGATCCTGTTCATGTACGGGTATCTTCGAGGCACCCCTCAAATGCTTATAACCCCGGCCATAACCAATCCAAGTATATGGAATTCGACCGAATGGCTAGAGAGCTACGACAAATTCATCCAGCATTTACGAACTCAATTTGGAGACAGTAACATGGCAGGAACGGCTATGAGGAAATTGCAGGAGTTAAGACAGACGGATACGGCCGCCGAGTATTTTGCCAACTTTGAACTTTGGTCCACACACCTTGGAAAGGTACCCGATGCCATGAAAATCGCCTCAGCCATACAGGGCCTGAAGGAAGAGCTACTGAAAGTGGTAGTGGTAAATAACACCGATCCTCGAACCAAATCGGACTGGATCTATTTCAAACAACATGTGATAGGGACTGAGGAGAACCAACGGATGGCTGAAACGATGATTGCGGCGAATTGATGGGCTGCTAGACGCAAAAATGAGACGACCTGGCTTCCCCCTCGATCGAATTCGATGCGATTGGATACTAGTCCGCCCAACCCGGTAGAACGCCACTCACAATCGACTGGTAGAGGACCCTTGCCTGGTGGAAAACCAGGGATGATGAATTATGGTCTACCAAATGACCCTCCGGTCACTTGGACAGAGCACGGAGGACGTCTCAGCGAGAACGAAATGACTTGGAGGAGGGAGAACCGACGTTGTCTCAAATGTAGAAGTCCAGAACATTATGCCAACAACTGTCCGAATGGAGGAAACACGAGAAACAGTATTAGGGGATCCCCAAATCCGCATAACTCACCGATTCCTAGTGGATCGAACTCGATCACAACTGGATCCAAAGGGCCATTAGTTCGAGGAATGGCGGTGACCTTTGAAGAAGAGGGAAACGACTACCTGGCCTAAGTGATGCGACCACTTGCGGCCAGGATCTGCCCGGATCGCAGAGAATTCAAATACCAATAGATCTCAGTAATGACTCGGCCATAATATATATAAAAATACAAACAAAGAAAGATACCCTACAGATTGGAATGTTAATCGATACCGGGGCTACAGGAAGGTATGTGCAGCCGGCCTGTCCATTATACCATCTATTCCCAAAGAAACAATATCAGGTACCACGAAAAATTAGGTTCCTGGATGGAACTACCGCGACCTTAGTGACCGAATATGTAGAAGCAGAATTAGATCTAGGAAAAGGACTCAGGATTGCAACTCGACTGGATGTTATGGCATACGAAGGACCAGAAGTACTAGTAGGACTAGATTTCTTGAGACAGTTTAGGGCAAGGATCGATTGTGGAAAGGGACTGATCGAATTCGACGGAATTGGACAAGATACTGGTTGGAAATACCCAAGATTAGAAGAAGGATTAATAAGAGGAGCAACACTGGAGAAAGGGGAGGACGAAATGAGTGAGGAGGAACTGCGACAAATCATACCGACACAATGGCACCAGTACCTCGAATTATTCAAGGTAGAAAGAGCAAGAAGACTACCACCAAGAAGAGAATGTGACCACGAAATCGAATTAGTAGCAGGGGCTGAACTAAAACCAGGACCAATTTACCAACTGGACGAGCATGGGGATGCTTTCCTGAAGCAGTGGATCAATGATGGACTGACTAGTGGACATCTGCGAAGAAGTAAATCGCCCTATGGGTCCCCAGTATTCCTGGTCCCCAAGAAAGGAGTCATTCCCTATCGAGTAGTTACAGATTACCGGGCACTTAACAAGGTAACCATCAAGGATTCATACCCAATGCCACTCATCTCGACACTACTCGATCGACTTCAATTAGGAAGGATCTTCACTAAACTCGATTTGAAAGGGGCTTACCAGTTAGTCAGAATAAAGGAAGGAGATGAACATAAAGCTGCCTTACGAACAAGATACGGCAGTTTCGAGAGCACAGTCCTAAGGGATGGGTTGTGTAATGCACCAGCCACCTTTCAGAACTTTCTACAAGACATGTTTCACGATCTACTTGACGAAGGGGTAGTAGTTTATATCGACGACATCACGGTATACTCCGACACGATCGAAAACCATCAGATAATTGTCCAAAAGGTGTTAGATCGACTACTTGAAAACGATTTGGTCGTCAGTCCGAGGAAATGCGAATGGAGTTCAAATGAAGTGAAGTTCCTGGGGTATGTAATAGGACACGAACGGATCGAAATGGATCAAGAAAAGGTGAAAGCTATTCTAGAATGGGGAGAACCCATGACAGTCCGGGATACTCAAGTGTTCTTGGGCTTTGCAAATTTCTATCGGAGGTTTATCAAGGGGTTTTCGCATATTGTGGGACCTCTCACACGATTGACCAGGAAGGATCAG